AGCCTAATAGTAGTATAATATATATAATTATAAAATACTCGTAATTATCCTTATACTTAAGGAGTAGAGGGCAGAGCTTAAAGGCCTTTAGCGAGAAGATTAATTTAATATCTTCTCCGATTATTAAGCCCTATAATATTTTATAACTACTAAGAAACTAAATTCGTATTAGGCTCGCTAGGCTAAGTTCTTATCCTAATTCCACTTCTTAATCTATTACTTTATAGGGAAGCGGAATATTATCGTAGATACCCTCTCCTAAAAAGATCCTAATTTAGGAAATAAATAAGAATAGATTCTTCTCCCTCGGTTATATCTTAAGTATAGCGTATACCCTAAGGACCGTGACGACCCTACCCCTACCCTAATTAGTATCTCCGAATATATTTTAATAGCTACTAGTAGCTCTAATATTATTACCTAAGTAACCCTTATAAACTAATAATATAAGAGTCTCGAGAAATACTAAGAATTAATAAGAACTAATCTAGATAGACCTTAAAAACTATAAGATAGGCTACTATTAAATATAGGTCGCTTAGTAATACTAGATAATAGGGACTTATAGGCCTAGTTACTTAATAAGATCTATCGGTAGCCCTTAATAGCGTATCCTAGATAGGATAAGACAAAGGCTCTCTTATCTATATAGTATTTCTGGCCTAGATAGTCTACTAATATTAAATATTATATAGATAACTATCTAATCTATAAATATATAAAGACGTAGAGAGACTAGCCCCTAGGTCTATTATAATCTCTTCCCCTACTAGACTATCTATAATAATATATTATAATAGATTTCCGATCGTTCCCTAAAGATAAGTGGGGTTTCGATATAATATTTATAGTAATTAACCGATAAAGTAAGTGGCTAGTCTCCCTTCTATATTATAAGATAATTAAAGCTTTAGAGATAGCCCGATTATTTATCTCTAATATTATATAGTACTTTAGCCTACTAAACTTAATTATATTAGACTAGGGAGGCTAGTTTATCTTAGAATTCTAGACAGAGATCTACTAAGTCCTAAGAATTAAGCGTAAGCTATCGATAGTATATTACCCTTAGATAGATAGCTAGAGCGAGATTATAAACTAATATATAATATAGCGACTTTATATATTAGTAAATTAACGCTAGGATAACTAATCTAACTAGCTTCCGATAATAGATTTTACCACTATAGCTCTATAGTAGGATTCTACTAAGAGGTCTCCCTTCTTTATCGAGCGAGGATATAAGCCCTAAATATCCTTTAACTAAGACGTACCTACGGAACTATCTATATCGCCTTAGTTAACTAAGTGGGCTACTTATTACTACTAGTTATAATAAGACGCTACCTATAATAACTAATATTTTCTTTAGTGATCGTGCTCGTATATATCTTTATTAATTGCGATTCTACTGAGATATATTTTAAACTATTTAAAGCACTCTTTCAGAAGATCGCAGAGGTAGCTCGGTCTCCGATCTAATAGTATTATATCTATCGGAATAGGATCTAGGCGATTATTATAGATATATATACTAAGTAAGTAAGTAGTAAGTACCTATAGTGACTGGTTACTCTATATAATAATCGGTTATATTAATAGGCTTTGGGCACTATCTTATAATAATCGATCTAACCCGGATATAGTAATAATATATATAGTCTATCTTCTTATATTACTAGGTGCACTTCTAACGAAATCTGAATCGGTTCCGCAGAGCTCCTAATTATTACCTAATAAAATTAATTCTTACTGTTCCCTCCTAAGAGGGCTATATAAGGATCCTAAATGGTCTTAAAGGCTCCTTAATACCTAGTATTATTAGTTAGGCTATATATAAGATCTATCTATAGATTCTTTTAGGTCTAAACCCCGCCTTCTCACTAATACCTACTAGTTACTTTAAGAAGGTTCTAAAACATACATATTGGAATATAGACCAATGCTACATAGAAAGATCTATCCTTATATTCAACATATAAGATCAGCATTGGCCTTCTATCAAAATGATATTTTGACCACTACTGATTCTGGTCCGCGGCCCTCTCCCGAATGATAGGCAGGACCATTTTCCTTCAGAGGTAAATGGTCCGCCTTCAGGCATGAATGGTCCGTTCCTTCGGAGGTGCCTTCGGGCATATCTTGCCTGCGGACTTCGACCATGGTCTTCGAACCTCGGTGAACAGACTTCGACCCTCAGTCCCCTCAAGGATAGGCGGACCACTTTCCCTTAGGGATAAAATGGTCCACCTTTGGGTATGCATAACCAGATACTGCGGGGAAGCTTTCGGGGTGGCTGAAACCGTCGATCCTTGACATCATTCTTTTGGCTTTTCTTCGGTTCCCTTCTTTGCCACCTTTATTATGTTGCTGTCTAGTATTTGTATGTTATTCTAGACGTCATTTCTAGGCTATTTTAGCCTATAAATATGTCCTTCTTTTCTAGCAGAAAGAATCAAGTCAGTTCTACTTTCCAAAAGTCATCTCTACCTTCTTCCTTTGATCCTCAGGACTGTGGTTCTGCCTTCGTTTAGGCTATATCTGCTTATAGTCTATCCTACGACCTTTGACCTTCTACCTTTGTCTGGCACCGACTGACCCAGCCGGACTAAGGTTGATCCCACGGACTTAAGGGGCCACGATCTGCTTCGTGGTAGCTTTCCCCTTATATCCCAACACATACTAATCTTACTAAAGGACTATATGCTATAACTAATCGGAGTAGTATTTAAATTTAACTTCGCCTAGTAATTTAGGAGTAAGTTATTTTATCTTTAGTATTTCTTAGTAACTAATAGTAGCTTCTAGGTCTCACTAATTAGATCTTCGGTCTTTTAAGGATCTCTATCGCTATTCTCGCTTTAGTATATGTCTAACTTATATAGTTATAATACTAACTTCTCGCTCTGCGACTCGTCCGCGATAAGGTATAACTAGCTACTATTATATATTTCTGATATTAACTAATAGTGACTAGTCACGCTACTAGAGAATCTTAAGATTAATACTTAAACCTTACTACAGATATTAGTTTTAGTAAGACCTATAACTACTACTTTACGGAAGAGAAAGATAAATTAGTTATCACTTAAAGGTATTTTATCCTTTAGGGAGCCTCCAGATATATCTATTACTTACCGGTAATAACTAGGATATTATCTTCTAAATAATATAGATAGTCCTCTAAGCAGAGCTAATATTACTAGTAACGATTACTTTTTACTATATAAGATCGATTTAGGGACTCACTAGTTAAGTCTATAGACTTAGTCTAGCTTACCGCCTCTTCCTTTGCCTTTATAATTACGCTAGGTTAGCTTAATATTAGTGCCTAGTGACTATTAGTTAAGATTAGTTTTATAGGCTTTTACTAGCGATATAATAACCCTTTAAGCTTATTCCTAGGGTAGCTTACTATTAGTATCTAGTAATTATTAGTTATTAGCTACCCCAGAGAACGATAATCTAGACACCTTTATAGGTATAATTAATAAGAGGTTAAGCTAGATAAGAAGTGAGCTAGGTTATGTTATAAAGGAATTTTTCCGATCTCGCAGAAGATAAAGCTAATTCTACTTAGCGGAACTAGTTCTCTGTGAAAAGAACCTAGTAATATAAGGAGCTTTAAGTAACTACTTTCACTTTATTATATATTTCTACTAGTTATACTTACTTCCTTTCTTAATATATTTAAGATTCTTACCCCCTTACTAGCCTTATATTTATCCTTTAGGTAATTATTAGTAGTCTGATATATTAGTCGCTACTAGGAGTTACCAGTGACTACCTATTATCCTTATAAGTAATAAGAAGAATCTAGAATAAAACTTTTACTAATTATATTATAACTAGATTTAGAGACATTAATATTAAGATATATATTATTCAGAATAGGGTATATACGATAAAAGATAGATTTTAAAATTTCAATCTAAACTAGTAGCTTTAAGATAGTACCGAGATTTCCAGGCTATGTCTGCTTCTATCCTCTTACTACCAGTCATACCCAGTAATAGGTTATTAGGTCATTAGGTCACTCACATTTTTGATAAATTATAAAAATATCTATTTATCTAGTCACTACTGGTAGTGACTACGAAAAGCTCATCAGGTCAAAAAAGTGGGTCCAATTTCGACCTGATAAGCTTTTCGTGATCACATAACAAAAGTGGGAGTTTCAAAATTTTCAATTTACGGTGTAAACTACCAGTAATTACTGGTAATTACTGGGCATAACCAAATTGACCTGATGAGCTACACGCCTCTCGATTAGCTTAAGGTGTTGCGTAAAAGGAAGGGCACAGCTACAAAGACGACTATCACAGATTCGTCCGGCTATGCCAGGCATGTATGGTAAGTATATAACAGTCTGATCAATTTCCCTTCAAGTCTGAGGCCGAAGGTCTTCCCTGTATCTTGAGGCTCTCTGACCGAACCTGGGAGCCTTGGAGCCTTGAAACCTAAGATTTCAGGGTCTTTCGGCCAAGTACCTGCCCCCGCATTTACGCCAATGCCCCTAGACCGAGCTAATTTGGCCAAGAACAGTCTGCAGCTGATTAGAACTCAATTGTTTTTACCAGCTCAGCATAACTTAATCAGTTATGGGAAGGATTGAAGGAATCATCACAATATTCTAAGCAAGGAAGGCAATTCATAGCCCTGTGTGAAAACCACAGAGAGGTCAAGACTCTCTTGGTCGGCAAAATGCTCCCATTGACTAGGTCAATGGGAACGCCCAACGCGAACAGACGGGCGTTGAAGCGTATCTGCTGTCCACTCGGACTTTCAAGAGGGTCGCGGCGCTTCCCCCGCTTTGATCCAGCAACAGCCACGGCCAAATGAGGAAACATCTCCAGTGATTCTGGTCCGTCAATTGGCCATATTCCCCTAAGCGACAGCCAGCCATCAATGACAGGACGATATGAAGATATTTAAGCGACTGAAACCCCAGAAGTCGCTTCAAGCCCTCTCCGCCATCCATTTCCACCACAGTATTCAAGATGCGGTTTCAGCGAGCAGCAATACTTTCATTCGCTGGATCTGCTCTTGGATCACCAACGAAACACAGTGTACCCTGTATCAACACTCTCGGTAGTGTGCAGGTCTTACACTATAACAACCTGGGCCCCCAGAACAATGGCACGTCAGCTGTTCTCGTGTATGATGAGTTGAGCCACAAGGATGCCGCAGCACGATGTGCAGAAATCGGCGAGAAACTTCACCCATGGTCATCTACCGTGTCTCTTCAGCAGACACAGCTTCTTTATGAGCTTGATTATTTGACTTTCTCCAATGCACTAGGTGCCGATGCTCTCATTTGGGTATCAACTGAGCCAGACCACGGCAAGCAGTGTCAGGCGCTTTCAATTCCACACAGGAAGCTACTGAACATTCCTTGCAATGTTCGACTCCACTCGCTGTGTTCCTCAACACCTCCCCCGTCGACAGATCTTGACAGACGCCCGAGAGAGTCGAGCAAGCTCACCGTTGAGTCGCAAGGCTACAGCATGACTGGCTATCGCGATGCCCGCTCTTTCCGATTCCTCGGAATTCCATTCGCAAATCCACCGATCGGTCATCTACGCTTTGCACCTCCACAAGCTTACTCGGGCCCAGAGATCATCGATGCGACCAGATTAAGCGATTCTTGCATTCAATCAATGTCCAGTTACGGGACAGACGGCAGCGTGGGTATTTCTGAGGATTGCCTCTATCTCAACGTATATACACCTGTTTTACCCTCTTCAAGAGGCCAAAGAACCGCACTACGTCCGGTCGCGGTCTATCTATATGGTGGCGCCTTCACCAAGGGGAGTGCAGCCATGATTGACTATGACGGTGGTAATTTTGCCAGTCGTAGCGATGTTATTATCGTCACTCTCAATTACCGTGTCGGTGCACTGGGGTATCTTTCTACTGGGGACTTGACCACGGGAAGCTATGGGACTCGTGACCAGATCATGGCATTAGAATGGGTTCAAAGACACATTGAGGATTTCGGAGGCGATCCATCTCATGTTACACTTTTCGGACAGTCCGCTGGTGGTCAGAGTACTGTGGCTCTGCTGTCATCTTCTGCTGCAAAGGGTCTTTTCTCCGGCGCGCTCATTCAATCTGCGCCACTGGATTCCCCCTGGTTCCCTCGAAAGCTTTACTCGAAATACATCGCACCGGCAGTTGCCCAAGCAGTTGGGTGCAATGATACGAGCTCGGAGCAAGCTCTTCTCAAATGTCTTCGGGCTGTTCCCGCTACGAATTATCTCGATAACTCCACTGCATTTGGAGAAGCTACTGCTAGCATTACCGCAAGCATCGCAGATCACTACTATCACAACACAAAAATGCTCTCAGGAACTGAACCATTCATGCCCATGGTTGACGATTCAGGATCTGGCGTGATTGACGATCAATTCTTTGAGCTGCTGGCCAAAAACAAGCTTCCCATTCATGTTCCAACAATTTTCACCAACGTGCACGATGAAGCAGCTCTGTACACTGATGGGGAAGTCTCAAACCTTGGATCCTCACAGCTTGCACTGGATGCCTTGCTTCAATTGGCATTTGGCGCTGAGCTAGCCCCTAAGATGATTTCCTCTGGTGCATTTCAAGTCAATACCTCAGATCCAGATGGTGTTCGTAACGCTGCTTCTGATGCCGTCACGGCCAGCGAGTGGACCTGTGCCCAAGGATATCTTCTCAATAAGACACACTCTGCCTTCCCTGCCCTTTATGAGATGGTCATTACCGACGGACATATCCAAACCAACGTGGGCGTTCCAGCGATCTGTTCTCCGAACAATGACTATAACGCGTCTTGTCACTCTTCTGACGTGTTGCTCGCGTGGGGCACCTTGAACTCCAAGACCAAGTACGTCGCTCCTTACTACGATGATCAGGATATTCGACACTCTCAGCTCTTACACGATATATTTGGCGCTTTCTTCCGCACCCGCAATCCTAATCCCAATCTTGACTTCTTGAAAGTTCGCGGGCCTGCATATGCGACTACCCTTGCTATTTTTGCCGGTGGACAAGTGATAAACCCCTCGCATGGGGAACAGCACAATGGCCTTTCAATTGAGCAGTATCAACCTCAAGATCGGAATTTGACCTTGCTAGGCTTCCCGCCGTCTCATATTGCCAACTTCGAATATTCAAATAAGTGTGCTGTCTTCCACGACTATGGGTTTACTTTCCAACGCGCAGAGCTCACAGACTAAGGGCGTTTCCGAGGCTTTGCAGGCAATATTGTACAAACTGACAGAGTTTACTTTGCACTCAAATAGATTCAATTCGACTGAGATTATCTGTACATGGTCGCTGACTCGAGTCTAAATTAATATGCTGTTTTCGGTTATAGATTCCAGCTGATAGCCACATTCCTTCGCAGGGAGCTGCAAAAGTCGCAATATCCTTGGATCAGGATGGTGCTCCAAAAACATGCATATAGCCATGCACTCGCCTCGAATCCTTCCTTCGATCCATGGCTGTAAATCTGCTAAAGAGCACATGAGCCCCATCCACTGCGCCAATATGACCAGAGCAGGTGGATCCCTTTTTCGTAAAAGCGAAAGAAACTCGCATTCCAATCGACCCATGAAAGAGGTACAATGTCCAGCATTTGGCACCGTTCTTTCCAATTCGAAAAGTCGGGTCAAAATTCTAAGAGGGCTGTAATAAACATTCGTGTTCTCTGTAGAGAGCTCGTCAATGCCACAGACATCTGCCAGATCAGGATCGAGGCCTTCCCGTCCCTGTTTCACGCCTTCGAAGATTTGGCGCTCCTCGTTGTTCAAATACGCGAATGCATTCCCCCAGATGCTGCCGGGTATGTATGGCTTGGCGAGATTCAAAATACATTGAAGACCGCTTTGTAGGGCGAGCCAATTCATGGCCTCGGGTTGATTGGTGAGGACCCATGATTCTGCGGGGTGGAAATGCTCGGGACATATTGTCATCGATCCCATCAACATGCATGACGATAACAAGGCGTCCACGTTAGCTTGGTTAACCTTCGAGGATAATTCCGCTTGATAGAGCTGTAGAGCGCGCTGCCAGAAATAGGACTCGGCGATCGATCGCTCTTTGGTCGGGAGAGACTCGATTCAGGTGAAGCATGGCTACACCGAGGATCGTGTACATAAGATATGGTGTCTGCATTTTGATCAACAGGAAGTCGTTAACTCAAAAGTGATTTTTGGGAAAGTTACAGTGAATGACACGCGTATCATGTCCGTTCTCATTACGTCTTGGATAACAGGTTGGGCGATGGTCTCTGTTGAACATCGGACAAAATGTTGAAACGCAATACTACTTATTGGATGTGTTGAGCCCGGTTCGGTGAAGGCGTAAGGCGACCATTTGGGGTCAAGGCTCAAGGTCCTCTCGACATTATTCATGACATTGTCAAGTGAGAAGGAGAAACACGTGGTACTCGGATCGCTCGGGGTCAATGAGATTGCAACACTCTTCTCGGTGCTCTTATTGAGGAAGCCATCCGACTCTGAGGGGTAGTGACATAGCACCCTTCTCTTTTGACATCTCTCACAATGTGGCTTTTGTTCATCGCACTATCCTAGACGTTAGTCTTACTCCGGTTAAATGCAGGCGTCACCATTTAGACCTTGACTCTTCGTTTCTTGCATATTAGACAGCCAGCTCGAGATTTTTGGTGTGCTCGCCTTGCATGAAATACATGCTCTTGATTTTTTCCAGGCAAGGCTATCCGGAACACACTTTGAAGGTGGCGGCTCGTCAAGCCGGCTTCAGCAAGAGGACTGTCAAAAGGCGTGTGTCCGGAGGCTCCACTTTTCGGATGACATCGATTCAAGCGTCAGTCCTGGACTTTGCGATGATTTTTGGCACGTATTCTCAATCCGATGATTGTTTACATGTCATCAAAGTTGAAGGTGCAATCCGTAGACGATCATGTGCCCGGGTACGAAGTGGGTCACGTGCTGGCCCCGTGTCTCATCATGGCCATGATGTGGACAAGGATTGATGTTTTCAGCACTATTCATAATATTCGTATTGATTGGGATGTAGGGTAACATTCACGCAGTATCTCAATTTCGCCGATGAGAGTTTTCAACGTCTCTCGACGTGCACACGTGAGTTTTATTTATACACAGGGACTTCATGTATTCAACGCCCAGCTAGATCTAACGTATTCCACGGCAACTTAATAAGGCGCTTTGCTAATACTTTATGCTTCGAAAGCTATTTGATATTACTTAGTGTTTTAGGGCAATAGATACTTAATCGGCTTAATAGTCGGTCTGGTGATATAGGCGGACGAAGCTAAATATTAAGCCTATTAATAACTTCTGCTATATTTAGAGGAATTAAACCGGTCGCTTTAAATACATTTTAAATGCTTCTAGCCTGAAATACGTCTTCGCGTGCGCGTGGGTAGGCTACAAGGAAATCAAGCTTATCGATATAGTTTATACCTATACGCGTCTGTTAGTCTACTAGGCGACCGTATAACCGCTTAAGAACTGCGAAACAGCCTATATCTAGCGGTTATAATAGATGCGAGCTATACGGTGGTATATATATTGGGATAACGTTATACTCAGTGCATACGCGGTCGAATTTAGGCGTAAGGTAGCTTCTATAACTATTAAGAATTAATAGCCTATACCGACTACGTATCCGGCTTACGGTTAAGGGAATAAAAAGCTTTTAAAGCTATCGAAGCCTAATATCATCAGATATCTATCTATTCGGAGAAACCTTAAAGCGTTAGTCCCTTAGGGTATCGTGGAACTATAATTTAATATAGCGCTTGCCTTTAAATATAATTAATAGCGGTAAAGCCTAGCCTAAAGTATTAACTGCTTTCACTGCCGTTACCTATTCACGATTACCTAGCTATAAGACAGATCTACGGCTATAGTATTTAGCCCTAGTAACTACCTTTGCGGTAGAAACGAGGCCTATTACGAAGCCTATTTTATCGAAATTATAGATATTATTAGGCGGAATACTATAGCGCGTAATAGTGTCCCTAATAAGCTTAAACCACTTATTTAATACCCTTAGATCCTCCTGCTCTGCGCGTGAATAGTTATATCGACGCGAGAAACGTATTTAAATATTAGGTGTGCGCTTAATATAGCTTCTAACCCAATTCACGCTGACCGTATTAGATCCGGTTGCCGCGAGGAGAATATTAGCCATTCTGCGTACCATAGTATGCCTCGGGGCTGCACCGCGGTCGTCCATAGACAGAATCCACTAGGTAAGCGTATCCTCGTCTAAATAGGTTATCTTATAGGTATAGGCGCGTGTGGTAGCCTTTGAACTGCAGCCATTGATCCGGTCGCGTACGGTCGACCGCGGCACATTATAGACGCGTGCAGCGGCAGCAATAGAGGGAAGATCTTTATTCTGAGTAGCCTGAATTGCAAGCTCAATCCTACCTTCTCGTTGGATAGAATCCTGCTTCTTTTCAGACCGTATTAGTGGCATAGTGGGGGATTCAAAGTGGTGGGTGGTGCATGGGGACGCGAATATTGATGGGGTGGCGGGTTTGCAGTGGTGGCGGGTTTGCCGTGGAATACGTTATAAGATTTTTGAATGTCGGTATCCGAGCTAACGATTGAATTTCAAACTGATATACAGGGCGTTTTGAGTTGCTCATTTGAAATGAAAAGCACCTACCCAAACGCTAGTCTTCCAAGTTGCGCAGCTCTCCCTCAATGACATCCCAAGCCCGAGGCAGCAGTGTTCCCATGAACCAATAGTTCTCCGCGTGATCTTTTCCGAGCATCACAAAGATGTTCAGCCCCTCGAAATTATTGTCGAGAGTTTCGTTGAAATAGTTCACCATTGTCCCGAGGGCGTTTGTTCGGTTTTCTGTCGTCTCACCCTGGGTAATAACCGCCGGAGCAAAGTTGGCTGCCTTCATCAACTCCGCTTTGATGACATTGTTGAAAACCACGGCAACGCTATCCGAGTTTCCAAATAGGACCCTTGGGCCCTACCTGCCTCGATATCTGTCATCGCAGCTTTCAAGAATTTGCGAAGTTGTTGTTCTGTTCCTTGTTCCGCAACATGTTGGCGATGACCAAGTGCAATTGGCCCAAGTGGACCTTTGGCAATCGGTGAAGAAAAGAATGCGTATGTCCCCAATACCATGTTCTGGAGGAAGACTCCCGTTGATTGAAGCAGCAATGGGATTCGGAAGCGAAGGTTGAGAAGACTCATAACAACAACGGAACGCGAGTGTGGCTCAGATAATGCGATGGCACGTGTCGCCCAGGCTGTGAGTATGTCGCTCTCGCTCATAAAAGGAGCGGGATCCGCTCCTGAAGCGAGTGTAGCGACTTCTTGCCGTGTACGGGTTTTGAGTTTCTCGTACGAAGTTTTGGGAAGGAAAATGACTCGGCGTTCTCGAGAGCCATTGCGAATCATGTCCCATAATGACCGTAATTGGAAGACAATCAGGCTGAGGCCCGTCAATCGGCTCTTTTCCAGAATAAACTCATCATCGTCATCGGCCGTGACCGCTGGATGTTGTAGAATATCTTCGCGTGCGCCCAGAACAGTTGGTACCTCGTCTTCGCGACCGGCTAAAACTGATGACCATGCAGCCAGAAGCGCTCGACCGCTCATGACATCCATCAAGACATGTGGCCATACTAAAGCGGCGATGGTGGCATCACGAAATGAAGTGACATGAAGAAATATCGGGGCGATGTCTCTCTGACTAACTTCCTCGAATGTGGGAAAGGCGGCCCGAGCAATGAATGGTCGGAAAGTGCTCGGAATCGGGTGAATGGATGGGCGATCTGTTTCCTTCGGGAAATTCTTAGCAACAGGATGGTCTTGTATTCTCATATCATACGTCGCATGCGAGAACGACACATTCTCTCTTTTCGCGGCAGACGAATTTTGGACGTGGATCTCCCAGGTTTTCTTGCTCTGTTACGCATTAGCAGGCTTAGGCCCCTAGCGGCCTTGGGATTTGCTCATCTTGCACCTTGCGGCGTATACGCCCACCAAGCTTTCTCCAGTCTCCTATATCGAGCAATCTGGAAAGGGAATCATGCAATTTTTGAGCATCAAGGGCGTCATTAAATCGCATTACCCAGTTCACCCAAGTGGGGTTGTTGTCCAGCGCGTGTAAAGGGTAAACATCTTCATCTGCGAAGGCGGACTGTTTCTCATTCTCAGTATCCATTTTGACGAGTATAATAATGGATTCTCCAAATCAGAGAAGGTGGGAGGGCTCAGGGGTTATTTTGTAAAGCAGAAAACTTAGCTTCGAGGCTGATCCGGACGATCGCTGGGGCCATTATTGGGTAATTTTAAATTGGAGACCAGGACGTTGAATGTGCTTCTGATACTATTGGGCTGTCAAAGTTCGACACGTTCGACTGCGGACCCATTATTGAGTCTATTGCCAGGATCACGTCACAGTGGATCTGCACCGGCCGAGCTTCAGTCGCTGAGTTGGTTAAGGGCCAATCTGGGTGGAGATCTACATTTTGTGAAGTCTGTTCCAACGGTCAAGTCTATCTGAACCGGTCGCGGCTTGCAGCCAATGTGTGAGATTTTGTCCGCGTTTAACATAGAAATCCTCAGTCCCAGACCCCTGCTATCCTGACACCATTTTCGAAGTGATATGAAACACCTCAATTTTGGACCGTTGGCCCACGGATTCATGTCGGAGAGGCTGATAACGCCAAAAGCCGACCAGCTCGGCCAGGGTTTCCCACCCTGAAAAATGAACCCCGACTGGGAGCTACTGTACTCTACCTTTATTCAGGGGAAATATTCTCACAACAAGACGTGGGGAAAAAGTCCGCAAGAATATTTGACAGTCGGTTGGTGTTCATTTTTTGTTATGGAGTAGATAAACTGTCCTCTCTATGGTAATCGTGACTAGCTAAGAAAATTGCCGGTCGCTTGCGATAAGTAAACAGAACTAGAAATCGTACAGATCTGTGCAGCAGTACCGCAAGTTACCCGGGAAGACGAGATAGTGGTCATCCTAGCCTTAAATTTTAAGCTCCGATAGCATTGAGTCGGAACTATCATGTGATTGTCCCCTTTTTCGTCGATATAGCAATGACTCATGCAATTTTGAAGATTCACTGTGTATCCTGATCTCCTAGAAAAATTGCTCAGAAATACAATCAGATTGTACTTAGCAATCATTCTACGGTACAAAGAAGATTATTAGACAGGAAAAATTTACCAATATTGACATGACAGCGTCCTGGCGATTGTTGCTCGCTGATAGCGCCACGAAAACCCTTGTATTCCGATGAAGGGGAAACTTCACAGTTTTGCCTAAGCCTTTTTCACTAGCATCACACAAAAATCATCTGAGTGTCCATACAAATTAAGTTAGTGTAGTTGGACAGCTAAGGCATCACACAGAATAGGCGATCTGGTGCAGCGTGGTCCACTTGGGCCGTTCAAATGGGCTTTACATAATATGTCTAATCTGTCTCGACCGCGAAACCACCCTCAATGTTGCGAATTTTGTCCCTCAGAAACTGCCGTTTGTCACCTCCACTGAAACAATGTATTACTGTAACGTTCGTTGGCAATTCTCAAGGGGTTTGAGTTTCAAATCACCGCTCCCACTTAAGCACGCATGAACCGCATCGCGCATCCTTCTCTTGGGGGGCTCATTGACGTGCGCTTACCATCTTTGGCTCTCTATTGAGAACATCAAAGTTTCACCTTCTTGAAGGATGAATCGAAAAGCCGAATAGTTATCTGGCGAAGAGTTCTCGAAAGTCGCATAGGAAGTCTCGTCTTGGCTGTGGGAACTGTAAAGGTCGCAGAATAAAAGTATGTTTAGATTCCAACCAGAGGGGATCTGGCCCTTGAAGACGGATCTTCATATTCGTACAAACTTGGCATACATGAGTCAAATTCAACTAACGGCCTTGCAGTGTGATGAGGTAAAGCCTCAATGTGGACATTGTCTCCGCCACTCCATCATATGCGATTGCAGTTTGCAGCAGCAACCTCTATTGCAAAAACAATCAGAAGCTTCACGCGAGGACTTACAAGAAAAGCATTGCATCAAACAGTGCCCTCGGAGTTGGAGTATCAGTACCGCTTTATATCCTCCTCTACGGCGAATTTCACACCCCCTAAGAGGAAACATGAAAGACAGCCTCGACAAAATGATACTACAAGTCCGACTTCGACCGTCTGTGAATCTCCATGTACCGCCATATCGGAACGGCCTTTTCAGTTTAGCGGGGAGGACATGAAATTGTTTCATCACTACATGACCACCACATCTATGACATTTGCGGACGACGAAGCAAGTCGTCACATGATGCAATCAACGCTTCCATAGCTGGGGTTCAAATTTAATTATGTTTTTCGCTTGCTTCTAGCTTTCTCTGGCTATCAACATTGCTCACCTGAAACGAAAGCAACAACAGCAGCGAGAGCAGGAGCTTGTGTCCGGCGCAGAGTCTCCGGAAATTCTCGATTAACACCCAAGCAGACTATCATTACACGATTGCTCTTTCCAAACTTAGTGCTGCGATTCCTACGCTCAACGAGACGACTTGTCATGCCGTCTATACATGTGCGGTATTTATTTGCTTCTGTTCGTTCGGGAAAGGGCCGCAAGCGGGGCAATATCTCGGCTTCAGCGATGATGGCACTGCAGAATGGTTGAACTTATTAGGAGGAGTCCGGTCCATTGTCCAGTATTCACAAGATGCGCTCTCTGTGAATCCAGTTGTATCTGAGGATTCCGTTGCAAGTTTAGATCAGCATCTTTGCGAGCCTCTTGAAAATCAGGAGTATGGCCACAACGGGTGGAGAAGTTGCCTTAATCAGCTCCAGAAACTGGTTCTCGGGGAATTCAGCGTTGGCGACCCTAAATATCAAATCTATTCAGAGGCACTAGATGGCCTTGTGGTGACATTTGACAAAGTCTATGACAGGAAAGATATCAGCAGAGGGGACAAATGGGCGCAATCTTTCCGCTGGCTTTACGCGCTCCCAGATGTATTTGTATCGGATCTCCAAGAACGGATGTCGCTTGCTCTACTTCTGTTCTCCCCTTTCGTGGTATTGTTCAGGGAACTGGACTCTTATTGGTTTGTATGCGGATGGCCAGAACACATAGTGGGTGGCATCTATCGTCATCTGAACGTGGAGCAACGCAAATGGATACAGTGGCAGATGGAGCAGGTCGGATGGAAACCGCCGGACAAATTTGATTGAGCGTAGATTGTGCCTAAGATGAATTTTGATCCGACCCATGGCTCATCGTCACGTTCAGACAGCATGGATCTATTTTTTACCGCCGTAACTAGTGCAACGTAACGACGATCTATGATTCCCTGTTTCTGACTGCAAAGTGTGCTTGAATTGCACCTCATCACTAGGCTGTGCGAGGTACAATCTTGGAAAGGAGGTTCTTCGCAACTTGTGGTCCATTTCTTCATAACCATATATGAATTGTGTAGACTGTATCATGTGCGTGCAGACAAGCTAGCTGATATCCGAGTTCCATTCAACAAAATTTTCATCAGTCGTCGGGCTTGAGCGCAGACATTACAAGGAGGATAGAGAGTGTGCCCTGGGCTCTGCAAGAGCATCCAACTGTATGCCTTTGAAGACGGCAACCTAAAATGTCATTTTTCGATGCCCATTGAGATGTCGCAGGGGTCCCTCTGAAATTGCGAGTCTGTCAAAATGGGAGAGGTAACTCTGCAGGTGAAGCTAAACTTGAGCCAGTAGGCTTTCTCTCGTAACTACTCCTAGTTACTGCTATAGCTAGTCGTGTTGCACGAATCTTTTGGTTTAATCAAGATTTCCCAGTTCGCGTTTTTTTTTTTGTTCTCTGTATTTGATCTCACATATGTCTAGGTAAGTTTTTTACGTGGATCCTCGCAGGTGGGATAGTCGCTCGACGTAGGGCTACAAGATCAAGAGCCGCCCTGAGTCTAAGATATTTACAATTGAAGATGCCATGAATCACTCGATTGTCATCAGCGTCATCGGATTCGCCGCCGACGGCCACGCTCTGATTGAAAAGTTCGACAACATCGTCACAGTGTAGAAGTATCAACATAGGAGGAATATCAGCCTACGCGCCTGTGCACATCGTGTCTTAACTCTACTCTATAAGAAGCGCTTCTTCCCTTACCAACTACAAACTATGGTCCCGGAACTGGATGCGAATAAGACTGAAGTGGTCTAATACTATTACTCTGCAGGGTGTATTAAAACAAGATTACATTGTACAGCTGGGGAGGCAAGTAGCCTGGTGCTGCCATAGTTTGACAGTCAAGTGCCGAGATTGCAGCCGCTCGACCGGCAGGTTGCGGAAGGGTTGGTCAGGGATGCACATCAAAGTCCGACGGAGAGGCATATTGAAGTCGATGATTATTTACAGATAATGGTTGTTACAAAAGGAGGTGTTGAAGAGCGCGTTCTTGATTCGAGAAGGACTAGCCCGATTTGTTTTGATGAGCTTTCGTTCCGCATTCGTTATTTCTCCAAATTGCAATTATTAGGTTGTGATCTTCACATTGCCAGATCTCAGACACATCTCTTCCGCCTTTCATTATTTATGAGTAGCCAAGACCTATCTACACTTTAGAACAGGGGCTTCTTCCAGGGGAGAGTTTTATGTTCAAACATAGATGTTCAGGGCTGTCGTGCTGGTTTAAATGCCATATAGATAAAATTAATCTGCAAATTAGTACATACGACCATAGGGTGTGGAGAACAGGGCTTCCCGTCCGCTCAGCCGTACTTAAGCCACACGCCGGCAGGTTAGTAGTTGGGTGGGTGACCACCAGCGAATCCCTGCTGTTGTATGTTTTTGTTTTGTGTTTTGTGTTTCCTGGTTCATTGAATTATTCATTGAATTTTTTCCATTCGTTTCTAGCCATTGTCAGTGTCTGACTCAGGGGCAGACTTGATTATAGATTTAGCCCAAGGTTCAGATACCGAACCTTGACAGTCCAAACTTCCGTCGAACTCTCAAATTCCGGTATTGTTGAGACCCTGTAATTGAGGGGAAACCACAAGGGCCTTGACATCTGCGAAGGCCCAGTTCTCGATCCTTACCCTCCTTAGTATGGTCTTTTTCTATGGGTGATCCAGACTGGCAGACTGCAGGACTCCACCTTGGCATCATCAATAGTCTTGCCTTCATTTGTGGACCACTTCTCAGTAGCGGAATCATTATGGGTATGACCTGGAGATGTTGAAGCTTCCCTCTATTGCCATTGGTGACGATGTGAACTGACTGCATCAACCCAATTATGTCTGTCCCCACCTTCATCAGCCTCTTCATGGCCAGACGAAAGCCACCGAAAACATCTGAGACAACTTGGAAGGAGAATGTGGCACGACTGGACTTGCCTGCTTTCATTTTTTTCACCTCGATCCTGTGTTTGATCCTGGCCCTGCTTTGGGTGGCAAGAAATACTCATGGGAGAACGCCCGGATCATAGTTCTTTCCATTCTCTTTGGGGCTTTCACCAGCTTTTATGATGATGCAAGCCAGAAAGGAAGACGATGCTTTAGTTCCCATGATTATTCTGAGGAGAAGAAGTATCGCCTTTCGCAACCCGTTCATTATTCAAACCTCCAATGTTGTCCAAAGCTAGTGATTCAGATTTCGAATAAGTTTTATCAATACGGTGGGAAACATCCATATTTTTTCATACCGCTTTACTCAAAAATATACTTGCGGTATCAACAAATACATTATCCTCTAAGAGCGCAGAGTGATTAATTCATCGCAAGAAACATTATTTCGTAAGTGAGACACAGTATACCGCTGTAAAAATGCGCTAAATTTATGGGATTGGTGAGAGATGAGAGTTTCATGTATTTTCTGTACGGTGTTCGTGGGGGTGTGGGCCGGTATCACGTTACCAGAACGCTCGATTTGAACCGACCAATACGCCAAAATTACCGATAGTCTCCTTACTGTATGCATCCATGTTTCATACCTGTATGAGCAAACCAGTGGACTGGAACGGGCAAATGAATTCAATTTCCTCACAAGGCCTTCGAGAGACTCGATTATCTCGCAAAGTTTTCTTTTCTTTGCCACTCACATGGTCCACTGATGCAATACGGTAATGCTGCTTTCACGACTTTGCTAAAGACGCGAACTCCCGTGTTATAGCAATGCTGTATATTGCTCACTCCATTCATGATGTGCTCATGAATCGATTGTTCAAACAATACCATTAGTATCTCAAGATGGCAGAATGGTGATCGGTTCTTCTATTCTTCAGGTAAAAGTCTGTCTTCTAAAAAGACGCATCTGTTCCTTGGGTCTTCAGACCATGGTAAAGTGATCTGTGATGGATTGAAAGTCACAATGACATCTTCATCCTCTGTCGAGACATTGATCCACGATTGACTGAATGATTCTGCGATGATTTCAATTCTTTGTCATATGCCTCTTAGAAATCATGATATAAAATGTCGAGCGTTGCTGGGATCGATTTCACTATAGAATGATCTATTGCCGATTGATATCCTCAGAATTCGACTAGTGATTTCTCGATATTGATCTCATCATGTCAACAGGACAGAGACAGCCCACACCACTCCGTCGGATCATAACCACACATGATCCTAAAAGCGGCCGAGCTGTCTTTAGCGACGCAGTTGGGGGCTCGGTATCGTTCACTGGATTTCCAGTTCCCCCGGCAAACCCCCCAACGTCGGATTATGCACTAGCCTATAACACAACTACATTTCCTGTGCAAGGGTTGTCCCCTCCAACTTCTGCAACCCCGGAATCCAAAGCCAATCTTGATATCAAGCACTATCAATCTCAGCTTTCGGATCCGTCGCCTTTGAATCCGCCAAACGGCACCTCCTGCACGATTATTGAGGTACCTCCGGGAGCAACGGTTCCGATGCACCGAACCACTACCCTGGACTATGGCGTCATAATTGATGGGTCTACAGAATTGATCCTTGATTCTGGGGAAAAAACATTGATGGGAAAGGGTGATGTATTCGTTCAACGAGGCACAGCTCATTCCTGGCGGAATACGACCGAAAAGCATGACAACTCTGGTATTCTACGCGTCTTTTTCGTGTTTCAACCTATCGAACAAGTGCGATTAGAAGGCGGAAAGGCCATCGGTCAGGACTTGACTTTGTCTCTGCATCAGGCCTAAAAGTTACGGCAGGGGCGTAACGCTTGAACCGCTCCACAAAAGTTAGCTACTTCTAAATCCAAAGCTCTTGAGAGATACAATTTCTCTGATTCCAACGTCCCCAAAATTTTCTTAAGTACATCTAATTCTCTTATTACATTGGGGAAGCAACGCATATCTCTCCTTGGGCATGGAACTTTGTTCTTGTGGGTTAATACCATGACAAACCTTCTCAGAAGCGAGACATAAGAAGGGAGACCAGATTCATGATGTATAAATGCTATATAGAAATCTTGAATAAGTGTGGAATGGTATCTCATGTGAAGTTATTATTGAATAAGACGAAACTCATACGTGATGTTTCATGGCACGCCACGTCAATTACAGGCAAATATTTCAGATAATTTTCATGTCATCTTTCACTGCCATATGACTTGGACAAGTATAATCTTTTCTCAATTTTGTTGCTTGAGCGGCGACATCAGTTTGATACTTCAAATATTAAAACAACGTGAAACATTAAGATTTTTGGGGAACTTTTCGCCCTGAACGAAGCTCAGAGTACTGTCAACGCAGGAGCACCTGGCGATGGAGGCGCTGAAAACTTTGTCTCGATAAAAACCTTCTGCATACCCGGGTTGCGCTTATTGAACAAGTCATAGACTGTCTCCATGTCCTCGAGCTTATATCTATGAGTGACCATATGCAGGGGGTGGATCTTGTCCTGCTGAATGTATTCCAGGAGCTGCTTCCAGTATTTTTGCACAGGAGCTTGTCCATTGCCAGCGAGATGAATTCCGGTCTCCATCAGGGAACCGATATTGAAATGATTGCACTGTATTGCCTCGTCAGTGGAATTGTCTCGTCGTGGGAAAGGCATCACACACATAACCAGCATATACACCCGTAACACCACAACGCCCGAACCCACGAACAGAGACAATCATCTCGTTCAGTAGCTCGGATGTATCCGTTTCCAAACCGAGTAATCTTTCGAAGTAATGAGCCCATCCTTTCGAGTACTCGCCTGCAGCGCACTCCAGAGCCACATCAGGGCCACGGCCGCCGCACATTTTCTTCAGAGTTGTGGCAACAGACTCGCCCTTAGCGAGATTTGTATACTCAATTGTCTCGAGATTCGGTAAAATCTTCCTGACAAAGTCTAGTCGCCATTTTCCAAGCCCTCCATCAATAAGTATGACCCTCTTAGCACCATTGAAGAAGCTAAATTCAGCTGCCATTTGCCCAATTGGGCCAGCTCCCCAGATTGCGACAGTGTCACCCTCTTCAACCCCAGTGTCAACAACAGCGTTCCAAGATGTTCCCAGCACGTCAGAAAGATAAAGGCCCTTTTCATCCGGAACGTCGTCAGGCAGATGAAGGAGGTTTACGTCACCGTATGGGACGCGAACAAATTCCGCTTGACCACCGGCAAAGCCTCCAGTGAAGTGGGAGTATCCAAACATGCCTAAGACAAGCTTTAGCATAGTACACCCATTACCATCAATATAACCGATTAGAGAAGAGACATACCAGCTGTGCGACGCCCATATAGCTGACATGCAGCTTCGCTCGAATTTGTCCTCTCACACATTGAGGACAATTTCTTCTTGCAATAATAACAATCCCCACAGGCAATTTGAAAGGACGCCACGACGCGATCACCTACTTTAACTTTCTTTACCGCTGGCCCCACGCTTGCGACCACACCGCAGAACTCGTGACCAAGAATATCACCTTTCTGAAGATCTGGGATAGCCTCTAGAAATTGAGAAAGACACCGCATTAGCAGATCCGCGAAGATCTAATGCGATGTTAAATAATCATGACATACCATGGAATAGGTGCAAGTCACTCCCACAAATGGTGCTGCCCGTCACTTTAAGGATGACATCGCCTTCATCGATGATCTTAGGGCGAGCCGTCTCCACTAATTATTCATGTATGAGCAGCAATCTTCAATAATCTTGAGACGGTCAAAGTGAAGTAAAGGTCGTGGGTTGCAGCTTTACTGACCAACTTTCACCGAATTCTTTGCTTGCCAGGTTAAGGCTTTCATTGTGTGGCTTAAGTCTCCGTATCCCCGAGCCTCATAGTTACTGACATCTGTGGTGATCGAGGCAGACATACTTTGTTTTTTCAATGTAATGTTTTATCTTCGTTTTGGTACTTGATTTTCAGCGGGATTCGTTCTTGACAGAATTGAAAGTGGAAGGATATATACCGCTCATCAGGCAGCGACGTATCTCTGGGCTTTCTTGACATCATGCTTTTGTCCCGGGGTCTCCGTATTTACATCACCATGATCGTATCTCGGCCAAGCCGGTGAAACAAAGCCGTGAGTCGAGATTACGAATCTCATGCTGGCGTCATTCACGTCGCAAGCCACTCAGATGTAAGTGAAATGCTTCGCCTTTTGCGTGGTTTTGGACTGGTGGGGCCCCCATGACTAACGTAATTCACAAGCCATACGCCGCCCCCGAATACCATAGTAATTGCGATAAATTACATCTTTGAAAATCACCACCCTAGATAATTATTTAGAGGCCTCGATATAACATTCTAATCGAATCCACTTACCTTGAAGTAATTTTTCTATATTAAGAAACATCACCTTAAGTTAAAAGCTCGCTACTGACACCGCTAGTATAATTTCCGGTTTTTTCGGTAATTTACGGTAAAGCGGCGTAAAATTTGATCGTTCCTTATAAGATTGATTTGGCTTACTATGATACCGATATTACAGCTGTATAGATTTAAGTCAGTCCTGAATAATTAATGGTCTTTGAGATATAGATACGTGATTTATCGCAATTACTATAGTGTTTGGGTGGCGGATGGCTTATGATGGCGGATGGCTTGTGGATTACGTTACCATACTTTGAATTCATAGGTGTGACTAGACTTATGAAGGCCCATGGGACTGAAACACCTCCTGCTATTCCGGTAAGCTCACTTGTGGTTGACTTTCAATAACGTTAGTACCAAAGATGTTTTCAAAGGTGGGTGCGTAGAGATTTACTTGTATTAATCCTTCTGGTAATACCCAATCAGATGCAATTTGATCACTCTGTGTACAATCGAAAGCAACTTGAAGAAGCACGAATGGGTGACGAGGTCCAAGAGCGGACAAATTGCATGTTGATAAATAGGGTTCGGGAAAGATCGGACAGCTTTCGGTAGTGATATTTGCTCCGAGATACTCGATACGAAGCTAAGTGCTTCAATCTTTTCGGTATCACTCTTTTGACACACTAGAGCGGGTCTAGGAATAAAAGGCTGCCTTTTCGTTTCATTTTCTTTGCAATCACTCTGCAAATCTGACAAATATGGTTCAACATTCGCTTACGGCACAAATCGCAATACGGGTGGTTGCTGCAACCGCATCCGCAACTGTAATTTTGCAGCTTCGATTTTCACTTCCACTTTTCTGCCCGTAACGGTAGTACGAGTGCTAACTCACTCATCGTGATCGGCTCCCCTCGAACTGATTGTATCTGAAATGTTTGTAACATACCAAGCCGCATGATCATTCTTAGCGTTCACCAACAATTCTTGATAGGTTTCAATACCTGAAGCATAGCCCGTTCATCGTAAGCATCGCTGAAATAATCTAGTTCTTTGTCGGGAATTATGAAGACCAAATAAGTCTATAATAAAATTGTGGGGGAGAGAAATAAGGTTCAGCAGTCGAAATTTCGCAGGCTTGGTTTGGAGTAATGGGAAACCTCTCACTCTGCGTAGCTGCCAAGGGTAATTATTGTATGTAGCTAGACTCACAAGCGGAATTTGATCTGTGCCAAGGTTCATATTGGCTATGAAGACTCAGCACAGTATTGGCCACATTACAGCAATAAGTGCACCATTTTGACTAGGCTAGCCTGGTAGTATTCATAGACACCGTGATTTAAAGGTCCTCAGATGGCTACTTTCACCGAAGTGAAAGATCCTGTCTACGGAATCTATAGTGTGCCCATCTTCCTCACGCCGTTAACGCGACGCCAAAGCGGCGCTCGCCCAATCCTCACCCGATCAACCGTCATAGGTAGTACGCCGGCGAGTTTGTTTCTTTCTTAATCTTTCATCTTACATTGCGGTCATATATGACGCTTGCAATTTCCACTAATTGATGAGACATCCCAGTTTAGCACCTTCTATTACATCTTGCCACGACCCAATCGTACCTAATTCATCACAAACAGAAGTACCATCAACTTGTCAATATGAACCATCAACAATGCATCTCTTGGTCAGCTCACCTTCACTATCGTGAATAACATAAGTGATGCTCCTTTACCAGTCTTCTGTGACTTCGTAAGCCCACTGGACGTCAAGATAGTTGTTTCTTCCGTCCGCAAATGAAGAAGTCACATCATATCTTCCGAAAACCCCCATACCAGAAGGAGCTTCTTCACCACCAACTAGTAGACAGGTATTAGTTCCATTGGAGGTCAGAACTAACATTTTTGATCACTCACATGTCACTTCAAAGTCGGGCTGGCCTTCTAAGACAGGTGCGTAAGAGCCCTGTTGGCCTTGTCAGTCGCGTCCCAGCTAGACAATACCTTTGCTACTCACCATCAAAGTGTCGCTTTTTTCGATCAACACACCCCGACGCTTCTTTTCCTCCAGATATTTCAGGCCAGTGATAACATCGAATCGCACTCTAAAGACAATTTTCATTTGGTAGATGGCACCCTCCTTGATCTTGATGGGGTGTTCTGATAGCTTCTTGCGCGAGTCTGGAGTAGACACATCAAGAGTGATATCTTCGCGCCCCTCAATCTCAAGGACGATAGCTGAGATGACGACGTTCCTTTTGTCGACTGCCATCTTTATTCGTTCAGGTGAAGAGGGGACAAGTAGTGAATTTTGATAGTGAATTTTGCCGAAGGTTGAATCGTTGAAAGCTCATTTGGTGTGGCTCTAGTAGTTAGGCGGTGTATCCTTGGTGGAGCACTTTGCCATCTTGCGTGGAGAGTCATGTGACCGTATCTGCTAGGCGGTGTAGTTTCAGCCAAACCTGTAGGATCCACTTCGATTCTCCTAACATCGACCCATGAGCATCCCGCGCTATTTGCAGCTATGCGATATCCGATATCCAGCCTGTGTTACCACAATGCTTCATAAAGATAGAACTTTTAATTTGGCATATAGCCTGCTTTTTGTGCTAGAACAAATTCCTCGAAAAGATCTTCAAACTGAGCAACATGAGAATCAGCAATAACAGACACAGCGTTGTCGACAAGTTGCCGGACACCGTCCAAATAGACTGACCCTACCTACCAAGGGGGCCAGTAGATTGTCAGCTGTGACTACATTCATAGATCGTGAAAGAATCTGTGTAGTAGATAAGCAGGTGTAACCCAGACTTATCATGGATTCAACTCTTTGCACAGGGGGCGGTTAATATTGATTCGTATTTTGGACTACTGAGAAGGCTTGACATTCAACTCCTTCAAAATCTCAACAGGGACATCAACAAATTTATCCCGGACATAATCCAAGAAGCCCTTCCCAAAACCATCGAGGCGGCTAGAACTGCTCACACCACGGCCCAAAATCCCGTAAATAACAAAGTGCACTGCCTGGATATGAGGAAACTCAACCCGCTCGATGAAGAAGCTCTCATGCCAGACTTTACCAAGGAGCTGGCGCATACAGTCTCTGGTCATGTAATTTCGAAGCCAGGGCCAGTGGTCAGGATTATTGGGGAAGAAACCCACGTTAAGATTCCCTCCCTTGTCACCCGACCGACCTAGAGCGATATCCCCCAGCCGTACTTTTTTAGTGTCACCGGAGAATTTCTGGGAATCTTCTGGGTCATAGTTGCGCCGGACGCCGAATTCTTCGTATCGGGGTGGGTGTCCGGTTCGGAACGAGGAGATCTTATCAAGTTCGTCGATGAAGTTGATTGTCTCATTGATCTCTGATTGTTTGATCATTGCAGGATAGTAGGCAAGGAATGGCCGGGAATGGCAGTTCGCATATCCAACGACGCGTGGAAACCTTTGGTACAAAACCCGTTGTAAGTCTTCGTTATCTCTTGGAGGATAAAGGATGTAGGAATGCAATGAATTTCGCGCATACCAGAGAAATGTTTCAATGAGATGTTTCCCATTGCTTTTGCCACGGCAGCTACTGCCCCTTCATTTCGAGAAGTAATGAAAACTCGGAGATAGGTAGTGCTTTCTAGCTGAGAGCTCGGGTTTTGAGCGGGGACTCCAACTCTAATTTGTGTCAACATTTCGCTTAGGTCTATTTAAATAATTTCAAATGTGCTCAGCTGCTTACCTTTGGAACTCCAATGTTTCCAGATCGTCCATGGTCTCTGCTGGAATAAAGTGCCTGAGTTGCCTTTCTAGAAGATCCCACTTCGTGGAAGTACCATATCCAGTCGCATTGAGAAGAAGCTGGGCTTCATATCCTCCTTGATAGAAGACCGCACACTTTGTAGTTGACGGCGGTGGTGATCCTCTAATGCCGGATACGGATACGCTGTAGATTTACTTAGTCAGTCCAATTGGCCTAGCACGGAGGAAATTTCTGAAAAGCTTGCAAAGGACCAGATCTTCCCTTCAGAAATCACCTACCGATCTTCTCCCGCTTGTTCCACACGCGCGTCAGCGATATGGGCGCTAACGTCGCTGTTGAGGTACACGTCACCCTGCAACTCGTACAAGAATTGACAGCGAATGGTATCCACGTTGATAAATCCATCTGTCCCTGGATGTTTAGCTATCACACATGTGCCATCGGAAGCGATCTCAGCGATTGGAAAGCCGGGGGCAACAAGCTTGTCCAGGTCATATTTATCGAAGCCCGCAAAATTGCCCCCAGTCGCATAAGCTGAGCATTCAATGAGATGCCCTGCGATCAAAGATCCTGCGAGTTCATCATAATTCATTTCAGACCAGTTATGCCAGAACCAAGCGGCAGCAATAACGGGGCTGGCATCAGCCACGCGGCCACAGATGATAATGTCAGCTCCTCGTCGTAGACCATCGACAATCCCTCGAGCTCCGAGATATGCATGTGCAGAGACCATGGGGACAGGGTCTCCACCATTATTGAGAAACGCATAAGTGAGCTCCGCTGGCATCGTGGCGGTGTTGTTGGAATCGAAGTGGCGCAGTTCCTCTTTTGTGGTGGGCATATTGGGACCAAGAGTTGGATATAGATCATCGCCGGAGAGATACGCAACGCGAATATTGAGCTTCTTTTCTGAGATCTGATCGACTTAGAGATTCAGTCAGTGGAAATTGGGTTGTCATCGAATGTCGATCAAGAAAGGACCATTCACTGACCAATCCCTCCACCTTGAACGCAAGGGCCTTGGGATCCAGAGCACCGCCATTAATCACCACTCTGATGCCCTTTTGTGCAATAACATCGATCGTTTGTCGAAGGCCATCCCAGGCAGTAGGCTCATAACCTGGGTGTTTTCCATTCCTCCATGCCTCGGCGTTATTGGCCAGATTGACCTCTAAATGGGTCTTGATCAGCCTTTAGTTCAACATGAGATATAGAGGGCGAATTGAAATTACCGGCAAGATAATCGCCAGTGATGAAATCAACATCGCCCAGGGTAGCCTGGCGGTACATTTCGAACGCTGGATCGCCTGTCATGAAGGTTGAATGAGCATCCCAGAGCCATAGATCGTAAGTTTTCGCTACATACCATGATAGCCGGAGCAGTTGGCGACTTTCACAGGTCGTGTCATTATGGGGCGTGGCATTTTTATGATGGAGAGTCCGATTGCGGTTTGAAGTAGGATATAAAAAATCCAATGATGAGTATAACAGCTGGATTGGTAAAGTAATATCCTTGAAAAAGCCTTGGAAACTGCCCAGATAATGTCCAAAACAAATTGCATGAGCTAACTTAGTCTTATACGTTTATATGTACACGATTCGGATCGAAGAATCCCGTGGGCAGGGACCACGGACGTCTTTCCAAGCGGGGTCGTGGCGCTTCAATGTGGCTCTCCACCCGAGAAATCCGCCGAGGTTGGCTAAACTACTTTAGCGTGAGATCAGAAGGCTCTATGACGATGACCCGAATAAACTCGTCAAGCAACTCAAGAGATAGAATGAAACGATAGGAAATAAAGAGAAGAAGTTCTAAGGTTATGAGAAAGACTGAGACTGAGCTTGGTATCACGTGAGACAGAAATTTCAGCAAAGCTTGCCTTAGAAGGATAAAAACTCGTAAGCATTAATACTTTCCGTGCTAGCTGATTGATCGGGTTTCTCGGATGCCCAATTCATCAGACCGAGGCGTAAGCAAGGCTTATTTTGAGGTCTCTGCGTGGGGAAATCGGGAGGTGAACAGGTGAATCCGTGGCCCACGGAAAAGTTGGCTCCACGGGCCGTGGGGGCCAAAAGTGAATGAAGATCCCAATTGTAAACATTCCTCTTCTTGAGTTCTTTTCATCCGCACCTTGGAATCTTGGTTGGTCCGAGATATACATTTAACACGAGGATCTGATCCACATTCTTGCTCTCGCTCGCGCTCTCGCCCCAGTCGCAATCCGTTCGGTTCACCATGTCCGTTCCCCACGAAACGATTCCCGGCACAGATGTGTACGGCCCAGGCACATTTGTCGACAAAGAAGTTCTACCGGTACCTGAAGACGCCAAACGAGTCTTTGAGTTCCTCGCCTCGCAAACACCTGGTTTTACCAAAAACAAGGCCGCATGGGACACAGTTCATTTCGAAGGACAAGCCAAGCCCATGATCCCCGGCCCTATCAAGTCCGGAGTGACAGCATCGGCTCTTCATGGCATGGCTGGTCTAGTCGCCAACGAGCTGCTCGAGCTTCGTGATGGAAAGCCCGCCACGGAGAGCAGTGTCACGGTAGATACTGACCACGCCGGAATTTGGCTGGGCTCGGTGTTCACCACGTATATCAAAGGCAAAGACATGTCTGAATGGGCACGATCGGGAAAGATGGAGTCCTTGTTTCCCACGGATTATGAGCATGGCGTCTTCCACGGTATCGCGGGCCGGACCACAGCGATCTACCAGACAAAAGATCCCAAAGTTTGGTATCAGTTGCATGGCTCATTAGATGCCAAGAGAACTCTTGAATCCATGGGAATTGACACGAGTGTGACTTTCGAAAAGCCGAGCCAGTATTATGACTATATCCAATGGCATATCATTCAGTGGAGTCCGGACGAGCTGGAGATGCACAACGTGCGCCATGGCTTGTGTGGAAGTATTTGCTACTCGCCAGAAGGGTGGAGAAAGACGGAGATGGGAAAGAGACTGAACAGCCACCCCTTGGTCAATGTCGCCGAGCAGACATATACCAAATCGACACCTGCGGTACCTCTTGCTAAGAATACGTCTGACTGTCGGCCTCTTGCTGGCATCAAAGTCTTGGAGATGGTTCGAATTATTGCCGGTCCGCAGATCGGCGTTTCGCTGGCCTCTTACGGAGCCGATGTCATTCGTGTGAACTGCAGCAGACTGGTCGACCTGAATGTAAGTTGCACCCTGCCCGGTCTACTACATGATTATATCAGATGTCTGACTCTGCACCGATCCAGGTCCTGCAGCTCGTCTTGAATGCAGGAAAGCGCACTATTGATCTTGACATAACTAAGCCGGAAGATATGGCTCGTCTTCACGAGCTTCTTGCCGATGTCGATATCTTTATCCAGGGATTCCGAATGGAATCTTTGAAAAGAAAGGGCCTCGGCCTACACGACCTTCTGGAAATGGCTGCCAAGAGAAACAAGGGAATAATCTATGTGGACGAAAACGCTTACGGACCGGATGGACCTTTCCATACACGCCCTGGCTGGCAGCAGATTGGAGATGCTGCATCTGGTAGTTCCTATGTCATGGGTAGATCCCAGGGACTTCCAGAAGGAAAGAGTGTGTTGCCACCTCTCCCGGTTTCCGACATGATTACTGGCATTGTTGGCGCGTTGGCAGCCATGATGGCTGTACGCGACCGCGCGATAAAGGGTGGCTCATACCATGTGACTAGTTCCCTCGTTGCTGCGGACACTATTTCGCTACAGCAAGAGATTGGATTGTACCCGCTGCATGTAGTTGAAGACACTGCCAAGCGTCTTGCTTTCCCAGACACTACCCCGGATCAGTATGTCTCGGAGGTTCTGGTCTCGGTCGTAAATGGATGGAAAAAAGCGCTCCCTGGTTATTTGGACGAAGATTCAAAATTCATGATGACCTTTGAAGGGGGATTCTGGGGACGTCAATCAATACTGAAGCCAGTTGCCCGACTTGGCGATGAGAAATCAACAGCGAAGTGGACAACGCCTCCTGTGCCACACTGCTATCATGATCGCTCAACGACCTGGCTGTAAATATACAAGCCATGCGAGATGCAGGGCGACGTGAGTCGCCAGGGCTAGACCAATGGAAATTTGTGTTGATAGAGATATCTAGTCGTGACGTGAATGGAAGAAGTTTGCTTATCATTTCCTAGACATTTCCGAGACCTTGATGGGAACGTCGTCGTTGAGAGAATTATTCAGATGATGTAAAGACCTTTCATGGAGATTTGTTCCTTCATCCTCTGTTCGTTTCGGGAGAGACAGGCAGGCCAATAAAAATATCCTGCCAATTCCAAAATGGAGGAATTGACCATTGCGTGTTAACAGCATCCGGATCAATGTCAGTGAGAAGGTCAACTTCGTTGTGCAAAATGGTATTATCACCGTGGTCAGTAGGCAATTGCTGTTCAGACAGCCCGGTATCTGGGCTAGAGACATTTCTATGGACACCAGTAGCCGATCTGAGACCATCGCTCCGTGTTTGGTGGATGGCGCGCCTGGCAGAGCTCTCTAGATCGGAACACACGCTCAGAATAAAATCGACAAACGTGCCTGGTTCTCCGGATGAAACATCTTTGAGGAATGATGTGACTTCATGAGCCATGGAAAGATCATGATTGGAATTGTGATGGGTAGAATTGAGGCGTATTTCAGATGTCAATGCCACAGATGCGGTGGCGAAGAAATACAGCACGTTCCTTGTGAGATACATGTTAGCGGACATCTCTGGAAGTAGCCACTCTTTCTTGACTCACCACTTGTAATTCAATCCCAGCAGGCGAACATATGGCAGCAAAGCCAGCGCAGAGCGGGCCGAATCAATACAGCGTAAGCGAAGCGCTACTATCTCCTTGTCAACCTCTGACTGACTGTCACCAGATGCGTTAGCGGAAGAAGTAACCAAAGATAATTGGCGGAGATTTGCGTAGCAACAATGGTATGCAAGGTTCAGTCGAAAGAGATGTTGCCTAGAATGAAAGGGTTCTGAAGCAAATATATTCTTCGGTCGGAAAAGATCGGGAATTGAGCTTCTCCATAGCAAAAGGGCGTCTTCGCAGGCCTTGGCCGATTTGAAGGCTATCTCTTTGGGTTGCTGGGTAACAGCCACGGTTTGAAGATGACGATATACAAGCCTTTGCACTGTTGCAAACTGAGCCCACGCGCGAAAGAAGTTCATTCTGGTCCCGTTGATGGAGATGATACCTTTACCATCGTGAGGTGACTCGGATGGCAATGGTGTGTTGTAGTCCTCCATGTCCTGAACTGGTGGGCGTCCAACTCGGAGGGAAATATCAGCATCCAGAATGAATGAAATCCAGAATACTCTTCTTCGTTCTTCAATCTCGGCTTTGGTGAAGCCAGAGGTCGTGTTTCTGTGCAGTCCAATGGAGTGCGACAGCCGCATTGCTGATGCTGCGAGCATAAACAGGGCTTGTGCATTAGGAGTCCCCTGAAAGTAAAGAGCCAGCCCTAGTAGTCCTTGTACAGCAAGTAGATCTGCATTACGCAAGAAAAGGTCTACGAGCACGTTCAAGGCGTTTTTGATATGACCCAGTGACTTCTGTAGATCGGTGCTCGCGTCAGATGATGCTTGTGCCCTCTCTCTGTAAGACAATGCGAGCACGACGTTGAGCAAGACCCATGATGAAGGACTCTCATCTGGATTCCAAGAAAAGTGCCTCTCTACCAGGCGCATGAGAGATGTATCGTCGACTAGCGGAATCGTGCGATTGAAGTTATCAAGAAAGAAAGCCACCAGGCTCAGTGTAGCTTCCTTTGATGGTAAGGCCTGAGTTATACGCTGTTCATAAGCATTCTGGAGAATTCGAGGAACCCAGTTCGTCAACGGCCATTGTATAGCACTGCGTCGGGCCGCGTGTACCCAGCCGAGCCTTGGGTGTTTCGCTTCCGATCGGTTTACTTCTTGAGAACAAGGCACACCAAATCCAGAAGACGCTCCTGCATTGCCAAGTTACAATTTGAATGTCATGTTTCATTTCTAGAAACTTACCGAAGAAGCGCATTTTCCCGTCCCGCGCTCGAAGAACATAAGATGGCTGGTCGGAAGTGTCCTGGCCTGCCTGGGAAGCTTCATCATCAGGCGGCTGAGCATACACAAGATTAGTCTCATCTTCACCAGGTTCAGAATTATTAATTTCGGTGTCTCTAAGTGGACCTGTGCCAGGAGACTGAAAGTCCTGAACACTTTGTCGAGGAAATTTTTCTCCCCGGCTCAGCCGCTGCAATTGATCGTCCATGAATTTGACGCGTTGCTCCAGTTCCTCCACATATGCCCTAAGTAAGAACCACTTGGTCTCAGCTTTCTTAAAGAACAATTGTAGAGTCACATAAAAAGAAAGCGAAGTTCAAAATTGACACACCTATTGGTCCGCCTAGATGTTGTCCCACTGTTGTCAAAGCCGCACGGGAGCTTGAATATCATACACGATGAGCAAATCGGCCGTTTTCCATCACATTTGACTTTCTTTCGTCGGCAGGTATTGCATGCCTGAACTGGGTTTAAATCACGACGCACAACGATAATCCTCTGCTGGGTTCTCACTGACCTTAGCCGGACGCGATTTTTCGACACGGGAACATGGTTGTTCCTCCATGTCAAAGTTGTTCTTTTTTCTGATGCAACGAAAGTAATTTGTGCCAAGTCTGAAGGGCTATTAATTATGCGTGGACCGATAAAGGCGGAGGTACGCGGCAAGCCTGGCTTCTTCATAAAATCCCGATTGGTAGGGGCCGCCGGCTTTCAAAAAAGGGAGATTGGTTTCGGAGGACCGTTGCTTGGGACGACGGCCACATTGAATATAGCCAACCGCTGAAAGCGATGGATCGCCCGACAATCGCGTGGATCAACGCGACATCCGCCAGGAGAAGAGACATCACGTGAAGATGTCCGCATCGGATCAGCCAATCAGATGTCCTTTCGAGGGTTCCATTATAATGCCCTCTTCAGTAGAAGTAGGAGTAGTAATCTTAGATATCGTTCTCCTAGAAAAAGCTCGCTTTAAAAACAAGCTGCTATGCGGGGGAAGGCCTCTGCAGTAGCCATCTTTCAAGATATATCTCAGAAGACCAACACAAAGGAGTTAGCAAATGGTCAATGAAACCAGGGTTCCGCTACATATTTTGACAAAAATATGCTCGTCGTGCTCAAACTCATGTCAAACTAGAATAGCCTGTGAGAAATTTTTAAGGTGTGGCAACACTGGGCACAAATTCAGTCCTTAATAACACATCCAGTTTGTGAAGTCATCCCAAGATGATCCGAACGCACTTCAGTTACCTAGATACTACAGCGTTCTGCTTTCAAGCCCTTAAGGACAATTAAAAGCCATTTGGAGATAAAGATATTTCAATATTAATCTCCAGGGCGATTTTGGTAATCGTGAAATTCGGTGTATGACGCCAAATAATCAATTGGTTGGTATTTTAGAACTGCGTGACATAGACGCCATGAGCTAAAGTTGGTTCGCTCGATACTAGTCCGTACGTGTTACGGCATACGTATACAGGGTGGATCGAAATCAGTTTCACCACTTGCACACCGAGATTCTTTCTCGAACCCTCTTTCGAAATACGCTATACCTATTACAGTTAGCCCTCTTCTTGGCAGTATTCCAGTACAATTGTAAATAACAGGACCAAAATAGCTTCCGTCTTAGGCTTGTATGGCCTTCGGGGCTTCTAGGATGTTGAAATTGCAAACAAGGCAAGTTTTGACTGACAGGTCAAAAGGGATGCATAGCTTCTACAACGACAGAATTTCAGTATTTGCATCCTATTAGGCCAAACTCAAGGTTTGGAATGAAAGAAGACCCAGCAACTTCTTATCTCAAGCATCCCTTTCCTGACAACTTTGTAGAAATACTCGCTGAAGTACGTCACTCAGTATTTCTCTTTCTGAACCTTGATATGAATGGGCCTCCATCGTAAAACTCTCAAAGACTTTATAAACCCTAATCAACCAGGATGGATACTCTGACCAAGTTCCCATGTCTTTCACGTATACCCCTGAAGAGATATGTTCAATGCGAACTTGGCAGGGATGACTTTTTAATAATGAAAAGTTCTCTAGGCGACGGTAAATATTGGAATGTGAAGGACCTCATCTTTGATCATCTTTCACTTCCACTTACTCTCAATCAATTGAATCCACTGCAAGATTTCGCCCGCTACATCCTGGCGTAAGCTTTGATTCGAGAACATTGAACCTAGTATAATGTCGTGAAGAGCGTCGTACCTTGTGCCCCAATCCTCTCTCTTATTTGAGCCGGAGAATCGGCGATCGTTTCACTGATATCCATTCCGAGGGCGAAGACGTTTGCCAGACTAGTAAATATTGGAAGTTCAAAAAAGTCAAGTTGCTTTCAAGATTGCTCCGGGTTTTACTTGACATAGGTAAGCAAAAGGATCTCAGTGATGCGCCGCATTCCATCAAATCGTCACCGAGGAATGCATGGCTACCCAACGAGCTTACTGTCTTAGGCAATCCTAGCACATGTTCAAGCGTCATTGGCAATGACCCCTGACCCTTGTTAATGCCAGCGCACGCAATTGCATCTTGCATAGAATCGGATGCGCCACTGATACCCGCTCTGAAGACCATAAGCCAATAATGCTTGGTCGAGTAGATGCAATGACTGTGACCCTCTTACTCCGCTTGCTACTTCCCGCGGAAATGGAGGAAACATTCGACGATCTACGCGTCTGAAAATTCTGTCGACCAAACAAGGTTGCTTGTAAGTTAGAGAGTACAGTTAGATACATTGAGACGGATGGATAATATGCCTGGTTAGTTGGCAGAATTCTCGGGCGCTTCGAAGGGCACATGTGTCGATAGATGATTGTTCAGCCGTGATCGCTTGTGCTTTAATCCGCCTGCAAGTGCGAATCATAGAGGCGGTGTTAAGAGGCAGACAGAAAAAGTATAGGGGGAGATTTTTGCATTTCAGCGGCTTCGGCCATTCAATATGTAGTGAGGCAGTTGGCAGGCCTCACGGCTTGTATCACGGCCTAATGGAGAGTTTTTGCAGCATGATGAAAACAGTCCGTGGGAGCGTCAAAATGCTGATGATACAGCCTGCTTACGGGAGCAAGCGTTAAAAAGGAGGTTATAGGTTTCGATTGTATTGCTATTTCATCTAGTTTACAGAGTAAGCTATCATGTGATACCTCCTTACAATACAATTCGATAACCTGAAACACGCTAAAGCAAATAGAGACCGGTGTATCTCGAAATATGGTTTTAGAAAGAACCTATGTGTGTAAAGTGGTGATACTAATTCCGATCCATCCTGTACAATGCTACTGTCCGGATTTCTAATCCGGCCGCAATTCGGCGCGGGTTTTTCTCTGGAATTCTTGCGACATGCACATGCCACGTGAGGATGACTGCACTTATAACGAGGGGATTCCGTTTGTGCGTTCCCGACAAGCTTAATCCACTCCATGTCACGAGATGAAATGCATCAACGATGGTAGAGCGTGATATAGAAAGACGATCATCTCGAACGCTATCACATGATCAATTCGAGCGTTTCAAGACGGCGTCGGTCACCGCTATTTGATGTCAGGCAATGTATTTGAGGTTGCGAACATTGTCATCAAGGCTTACTCTGTATATTCATCCATCACTGAGGTTGTACCGTGGCTCTGTGTAAATGCTGGGAAGTTGGTTAAGCGGTCACGTTCAATTATCGTTCACCTTAGCCGGGCTGAGCAACCTATGCAGTCTACGCGCTGCCCCCGAAAGATTTTCACCCCGATTGTCACTTTAATAACTGAGCACTCTCCCTTTTCAATTCTAGACGTGCGATGTCCAAAAATTCTCGTCCAGTTTTTACCCGGGCGGCACCCATCTATTACTGGATCCGAATAAGCCACACCGCCAGCAGGTTAAGTAGTTAGCTGGGTGATCACAAGCGAACCTCTGCTTTGGTGTGTTTTTTTTCTTATTCAAGCTTTCTATCTTCAAGTTTTGCCGTTTGCCATCTGCCCTTCAGGCCGCTGTGGGTAACAGCCGTGACTGGGCCCCAGCTCGCACCTGCACCCTCCTCCTCACCCCAGTCCGTCGCCACCTAACTAGGTCCATGCCAAGTGGCGCCGACCTTTTCGTTTAATAAATTATTCTTCCCGTAATGATCATTCCACTTTGGTGTTAGTACCAGTAATCATGTGTCTTGCCAATGTGAAATGGCCTGCGTGATGTTGCTCATCCATGACCTTCTCAGTCCTAGAGAGTATTGCTACTCACAAAAATGTTCTTTGTGAAATGCGCTTCTCTCACTAAGTGGAGCTGAGCCTCGGTAGAGTCTTTGATCAGGTAAATCCGGGGAAGCGAGCTCTCATGTGAGGCTAGCGTCGAAATACGGGGTCTCGGTCCCCAGGGGGCCCCGCTAGCGTACAAGGACGGGTTTCGGTCCAAGACACCGAGCCTTCTTACTGGCTACCCGCAACAAGGTCGTAGGAATGACAAGGAAGAGTCTCTGAACCTGCCGTGTCATTCCCGAACTCTGCTTGAGAGCCAATCGCCTCTAGATGCCATTCCACTCGAATCCCTGTCGCTCATGTCTTGTGTACTCTCTAGCCTCACCAAGGATCAGAAGTCACCGCCGCCACTAACACTTATTTCGTTGCGTTTTCGCAGTACTGGTGATATGGTATGTTTAGGCTAAATATGTCCTGCCAGAGTAAGTACTCGTGCCAATTCAAAATGGAAGAACTCTATCCCCGGACTTGGCTCCTTGTCGCACTAGGCGGGAGAGAGCTTAGTGAAGCCATCTGTAGTCCTACTCCCCGCCTTCCCCATTCAATGGATCGGGGTAATTGGCAAACACTGGGGTTCAATTTATCCAATTTTGCCGCCAAAGATAGACGAGTCTGTCAAACTGGCTGTCCATGGGCTTAGCTTTAATGTTCAAATACCTCTCATTCCCGGCACCAAAGGCCTCCAACTCATGAAGGATCGAAGCATTTTGACTTGTCCTTGATCTTGAATTTGGTAAGCTGCTACTATCCCAGAACGATCGCCTCACGATGGGTAAAGACACCTTCGAACTCGGTGGCCAGCAATGGCCGAAGGTGACTTGGTGGAAGATGAAGGGGATGCGTTTCGTGTATCTCACATTATGGGCGGCAATGATCACTTCTGCGACCAACGGTGAGCTTCTTGCGTCTCCGATCGATGATTTGAAGTCACTCGCTCATATATCACAGGATATGACGGTTCCCTGATGAACGGCTTGGAAGCCATGGATTCTTGGAATGAATGTAAGCGTTGTATTTTCACCAATTTCTGTGCTATTCTAATGTTGTACCGGACTAGCCTACAACCACCCGACCGGATCTACACTTGGTCTTCTCGCCGCTGCCATGTCGATCGGATCTATGCTTTCCATTCCCGTCGTGCCCTATGTGGCCGATGTCTTTGGTAGACGCGCTGGAGTGGTGACTGGATGCGTGATCATGCTGTGCGGTGTAGCCCTCATATCTATCGGCTATCATATTGCCCTTTTTGTGGTTGGACGTATCATCCTTGGGTTTGGTTTGGGCATTGCACAGGTGAGTCAAGATGCAGCTGCCAATACCGATTTTCAGAAGCTAACGGAAATCCACGAATAGGAATGTTCACCATTATTGGTCACTGAGCTGGTTCACCCTCAGCACCGAGCCGTTTACTCCTCAATTTATAACTCACTCTGGTATGTGGGTTCGTTGATTGGCGCTTGTGTCGCGCTGGGTAAGTTTCTTCGAACGATCATTTCATTTACCAACATCTGATGGATTATACTAGGAACGAATCACATTCACAATAGCGAGTGGTCTTGGAGAGTCCCTTGTCTTCTACAGGGCATTCCTTCTATCTGTCAATTGGTTTTCATCTGGTAGGTAGCCTTTGGCCCACTAAATTATTGAATCTTCGCTAAATCATGATGTTTCACTCGGACAGGAGTGTACCCGAGTCGCCTCGATGGTTGATCTCAAAGGGAAGACACGAAGAAGCCAAGAAGATTCTGGCTTATGTTCACGCTCAGGGTGATGAGGATGACGCTTTGGTAAATGTCGAGTACGATGAGATTCAGCAGACTATTGCACTCGAGAAAGAATTCGAAGGAAACAACTGGTCCGAGTTCTGGTCGACTCCCGGTAATCGCCACCGCTTGATTATTCTCGTTTCGATTGGTTTCTTCTCCCAGTGGTCTGGCAACGGAATCGTCTCCTACTTCTTACCTCAGGTGAGTTTGGGGAATTTTTGATTGGGTATCAAATAAATGCTAACAAGTCTAGGTTCTGAAACTCATTGGTATCACAAACAGCAACACCGTGCTCACCATCAATCTGGTTTTGAGTGCTGTCAATGTCGTTTCAGCTACAGGCATCTGTTTCTTCGTTGATAAACTCGGTCGCCGAAAGCTATTCCTTACTAGCAGTGTCGCTATGCTGGCTTGCTACACTTCGACCACCATCGCCTTGGCTCGCTTTACCGAGACCACAAGTGGTAAAAACAGCGCAGCAGCTAACGCCTTCCTCGTTTTCATGTTCCTCTACTACATTTCCTACAATATCGGATACTCTGGTTTGTTGGTGTCCTATTCTTCTGAAATTCTGCCTTATCGTCTACGTGCCAAAGGATTGACTATCATGTTCTTGTGTGTGGACATGTCCTTGTGGTTCAACCAATACGTCAACCCTATTGCACTTCTGAAGATCGGCTGGAAGTACTACATTGTGTACTGTGTCTTCCTCGTCTTTGAAATCTTCATTGTTTGGAAGTTCTACCCTGAGACTAAGCAGATCCCTCTTGAAGAGATTGTGAAGATGTTTGATGGAGATAAGGCTATCCTTGGTGGAGCTGCCGCATCAGAGAAAGTCAACCAGCTTACCACGCGCAATGACTCTGTGGCATATGATGGAGAGAAGGCTATCACTACACAGGTTGAACTGTGATAATGGAGGCTCTAGACGTCACTGTTGACACCTCTCACTGGGCAGGAATGGGGGCGTTCCGATGGATGCATGCAATTCAAATTTTGCAACGATAATTTTGATTCTAAATTAGGATGACAGGCTGTTTGATAATTTTAATTGAGCTCAGTTCGAATGCTCTCTGTCCAAATCCAAGGATGACACAGCATCTGAGTGCTGATAATATAGTCTGTAAACAAATGGCACCTTGACTACCTTATTCTTAACTGATCACAACCCTGTCGGAATATTGCAATACCGAGATCGACCTGATGACTGATCCTTATGAGTACAATGATAGGATATTGTCAGAGGAGAAGAGGGCTATCTATGTTATAAACACTCTCCGCGACCATAGCATGGTGTTCAAATGCGTGTAGAAGATATCCCTCTAAAGACTTCTTGGTCCTGTTAATATTGCTGACTCTTTCTTTTACGGTGGCGAAATTGCCACTGGACACATTCACATTTGTATAGCTTATATAGGAGTGGTGTGGAAAGAGTCTTATAGGCAAAAGAACTGAGTCATCATGGATCAGAGTTGGGTGACGTCGGTTCACAAGACATACCGGTAATTTATTGGATGCTGTCAATTAGCATAGTGCTGGCGAATTGTACGAGATAGGCGCAAGGCTGTTTGTAGTCAAATCCGGCGCTCGAACAATTGGTTTTTGGTAGAACCAAAGAAGAGGCTAGCAGGGTCGTGCGGGCAGTGAGACTTCGATACGCCTGTCCATGTCTTTCGGATCCAACCGGTATTCTTCTTCGCTGCGTATTTGATAGCAGGCGGAGGTGTGTTAAATCCAGAATTCAGCGCGATTCACGCAATCAAAAAGGGCGGGCGCGTAATCTCGACAACTGGGTGGTCAACACAGCAGTCATACGATCGGGCTTCGCAATATCAAGTTAGATGTGAGCTTCAGGTGAACCGGTAGCTTCTTCGGGGGACCAGCAGAACAAATAGGTAGTCGAAGATTGTGACGGGATCTTTTAAAGCTTCAAGGGGCGAGGCAGTGATAGGCGTTGTAAGTCACCATGCATGTGAGTTAGCCCAGTCAGGTCGGATTCATTATGATAGAAAAATATAACACCAAATCATCGTCATAAATTAGAGTTTATGCCCAGGGCGCTCTATTTCACTGGAGTATGAGGCACGTGGTTTAAAGCAACGCAACAGATTGGTTGAAATTCAAATTGTGGATACGATAGCAAAGAAGAACAGAAAGCTATGGAGATGATAGACCAAGCAGTCACAAAAGAACGAACGGCCGTCTGGCAGCGAATTTGCACCTTAAATATGTGCTCCTTGGAAAACCACCACGTCTAGGAGACGGTAATGGCTGCAGATCCGCTGCTCTCGTATCCTTCGGTAGACACAATCTGGTAATTGAAGCTACCCAAGTTCATGCCAAGCGCAGCCCAAGCTTTGAAGTGGTTGGCAGTGGTCACAGTACCGCTGGATCTCTTGTTTCGGCGAATGGACCAGTACTGGTTGAAAGTTGCCGTGCCGGAGATAGAGGGCTGGTTGACCTGCTGGTGCTCGTAGATATCATACACTGAGCCATCACTGGTGACAGTACCCTTGTAGGTCATAGAGCTGCCTGGGTTGTACGTGCCGTAGTTTTCCATGATGTAGTACTCGACGAGTGGACCAGTAGTCCAGCCGTAGACGGAGAGATATGCGTTTCCAGATGGGTTGAATGAACCGGAGAAGTTGATGTTCCTGGATTTCAAACGAGTTTAATTGGGTCATGGAAGAATCTCGGGCGTAAGTTTCTTACCGGGCGCTTCCAGTGCTCCAGCCTTTGCCGGAAGTAAAGTCTCCGCAGTTGGTCCAGCTCACGCTATACTCACCACCCGCACCATTGGTATAATCAACGGTACCACCACCGTTGGTCCAGAAAGAGTAGTAGTAGCCATTGTTGGTTCCTGTTTGGCTGGTGGTAATGGTTTGGCGTTTGTCGTGGTAGTCGCCTGGCAGCGCCAGAACACCGGCAATGGTGGACAAAGCCAGGAAGATGCTCTTTGAAAAGATCATAATCAAAGTTCAGGTGCTTTGGCAGATAATGCTTGAGTGATGGTTGTCTTGGATGCTCGAAGAAGCTTTAGCACTGACCTGGGAGGAAATATGAAGGCATATTTATATCGATGAGCTACTTCGGCGACATTACCTTGTTGCATCTATTGAGCCGAAAGACCCAGAAGGGACTGTCACGCACTGAGTGGATTTAACCGATGTTTCATGTTAGGTTGGTGTTAGGCCCCGCAATTGTCTTAATTCGGGTAGATGTGTGATCAAGCGTATGGGAAGGAAAGCTTGGAGTTTCGGCGTGTATCAGAGATCAGCCAATTCGAGTCGGCTCAAGAGAAGACATTTGGAGGTGGACTTGATGTTCGATGGGTAAATAAAGCTTGATGAAGTTTAGCGCATAGCCTGAAATGGCTAAATATGATGAGCCTGAAGAATCCTGCAGAGTTCAGCCAAAATGCGGGGAACTTCGTCCTAAACAATGTCAAGTCAGGAAAAATGATCAGACTTGATGTGGTCCTGAGCTCAGCTCACTATACGGGCTACCTTGAGGGCTTGAAGGACTTCTTCTGACAGTGACGGGAGTGCCTCGAGGAGGGTCGCACCCTGAATCCACATCACCATCAGGGTCAAGTGGAGTTGCGCTATGCTCTACGGCACACTATGTTTCAGGTTTCAGGGCTGTAACAAAGTGGACTACTCCTCAAAGCTGCAATATCGAGACTTCGTACAATTGTCTAAACTATTTGTGCTACCCGGTGCTTATTCCGTGCAGTGTTCTGGGTCTGCCCATTAACCGCCGAGTGCCTTGTATGTTTGTTCAACGTCATTACCCATCTGAGATTCAAGATGCTCAATCTGCCGGCGATAGAATTCCTCGTCCCCTCCCGCCGCCGCCACCATGCTTTTAGGCACTTCTTCGAGATATTCTTGTTTGGACATAGAGACGTGCGCATTGACAGCGGCTCGTTTGGCCGACCACATGGCGTGATATGCATTGGTGGAGCCGTCGTTGTTGGCATCACCGACCACGTAGAGACCACCAACACTGGACTCCATGCTGGGCTTGACCTTGACAGACTTTCCATCCATCTCCAAGCGCAACTGCTTGTGAAGGCTGGATGTCTGGGCAGTAGGTACAGAAATGAGCATTCCATTAGTGACCAGCGGGTTCGGGCTGCCGCCGTTCAAGTGCACGCGGTACTCGTCATCCTTCGGCTCCATGTTCGCCGTAGTACGTTCGATCTTGGTGATTTCGTTTTCTCGGATGGGGATCTTGTAAGTGTTCTTGATGACTGTCTCCCAGCCTGGCCAGCGTGCTTCCGCTTCATCTCTGTCCTCTTTTGTAAGGGGTCCCCCGGTCACGATGGTTATATCGGTCGTCAACTTCCTGATATTCAGAGCGGATCCAATGGCACTGGCAAGCTTGCCATACACAACCATTTTGCGGTTCTTGTAGTCGTGGCCATCACACCAGGGACACCAGAAGACACCTCTACCAAAGGCCTCTGCAAAGCCGGGCTTATTGGGTATGACGTCCTTGATACCAGTGGCCAGAATAACTCTCTTGGCTGTGACCTTGCCGCCTTTGTCGTCATATACGCGGAATCCTTTTTCAAGAGGAATGATCCCGGTAACCTTCTTCTTGCGAGTTGCCCAAAATGAATAATCGGGGTAGAGCTCGTCTATTTGCTGTCGGACAGCCGTTCGAAACTTCAAAGGTACTTGGCCTAGACGGAGTCAGCTCATCAAACCTTATCACGTTATCGGATCATGTACTTACCATCTTGGCCTAGGACGTCGTGCATGTATCGCGTCTGCTCATTTCGATACTCTTGCGAATCATACAGAAGGGATGTGCGGGCAACCCTGGCGAGAGACATCGACGCAGCCAGACCACCCGGGCCACCTCCAACGATGACAACGTCGTAATCCCATTCTATAGGATTCCACTCGTCTAGCGCGGTATAATCTGTCATGTTGAACCCGACATCATCGGCAGCAAGATCCTCAGTCTGCTCAGCGACAGAACTCTCAGGGTATTGCGCAATGGGCTTCTGAGGGACCGTCAAAGCGGAAACAATAGGAAGGGAAAGAAGGCAGAAATGCCGGACAGAAAAGCTGAGCTGCACCATCTCGCCAAAGGAGCACACGAATAACCCACAGCTTCTGTGTCGATCGACTGCGGGTGCAGCATCGCTATTTATGTTGCCAAAGAGCCAGAGCTTGTTGATCAATCACATTTTTAGACTGTTGATCTTTTACCTCGTCGCTTCATTTTGGGAAGGGCATCGTCATACGCCACGACGAATCCTCCTGTGATCGCCACTGCCATGGAGCCCAACAATGCCTCTACCCCTCTTGTCGGACAGCTTCAATTCGTGGGTCGAAAGGGCCGCGACCCACATGTTCGACTTGTTTTGCAGATCTGTGCAAACTCCTGCAGCTCGTGCAGTTCAGGCCAATAGTGGTGCGCGGATACAATAGCTCGGGTCACTTCAGCCAGCCACGCTCTCATGGTGATCCGACGAAAGTGGAGCTGGAGCTGATTTTCACAGTGATCTTCTGATGATTTTCACGCTAACTCGTCCTTCATGTACCATCAGGGACGGCAAAAGTCCAATAGTGATTCGAGTCATGAATTGATTGATGATGGAATTTTAAACAGAACAGCGAAGGAAATGAAATGCTTATATGTACGTACAGACGCAATAATTGCCGAAGAGACCTCTAAATCAAGTCCATGTCATACCTCTTTTAGCGAAATGAGGTGGGTTTGTCGTTCCCCGTCAAATTACGCTCATCGGTTTCCGGATATTTGAGTGTCGCCTGAGAGCTTTGGTAAGACGGGAGCTCATAGAGATCGTCAAACGCGTCAACCTTCGTCGGCCCCAGCTCGTGCCCCGCAGAAGAGGCTCCGCGTGCATACGGACCATCGTTCATGGGTGGCCGATGCTCGTACGGGCTGTCCATTGTTCGGTGGGTCTGTGCTGGCGCAAAATTCCGCTGCCTTGACGATATGGGTATATCGTTGGGGTCATCACGCAGCAGCCTTTTCCGGCCTCTGAAATGAAGAAAAATACAGACGGAAACAGCGACCACCACGATGCTGCGATCGAGTCAGAACACATCTGGCTCCGAGGCTCCTTCGTCGATAGTCAATGTTCACTTACACGCATGTAATGGCGGCTGGCACACCGTAAGTCAGCACGTTACTAGTGGGCTTGTTGTCGTCGTCTCTCGTCACTAATGACCAGGCCTCGGCAAGCTTCATCTTCTTTTTTTTGTCGTTTCGATTTGCGCGGAGTGGTCACGATCAAAATGTTCCCCGGATGGTTCAAGGGGTTGCGTTTCTGGCAACAAAAGAAGCTAACAATCACGCGTCAAAATACCGGTCGGGCGCGTTGCGAGTACACAAGGGATCGCGGGCAATTCACAGAGATGTTTCAGAACGAGAAATCGGGATGAAAATGATGATCTCTACCCGTGCAAGATATTGGAGATGGATCGTGAATGCTCTTCGATTGCGAGGTAATCTAATGTCCGTTTTCTTCTGCCTAGCTAAAAGGGGGCGTCCCAGGAGACCTGGGGGCGTCAGGAAATCCGTATCCAGGAGTAGTAAGCGGTATTCTGCTTTCTAGCTATAAATGGCCCCCCTCTATCCCAGGATCGGTTAGACATTGAGTGGATTGTGAACTCCACAGTCATCTCCTTCGCGAAGTGCGAATAATCTGACTTGTCGAAATCCACTCGAATTCACCATCTTTGAGGGCTAGCAAGTGGAAATCAAGCAATCACTATTCTCAAGGACCCCTAGCAGAGCAATCGTGCTATATAGGAGACTTGATTGGTATGATGAAAGTTTCATTGCGATACTGTGCTGTACTTGATGGCAAATTTTGATTCACCAGAGTTTCAGAGCCTCGCGCTTCACTCTTGAGATCTACAGTCTTCTAAGTGGGGCGCTCTTGCTTCGTCTTTTCAACTTTTATTCTTCTGTCTTGAGTATGTACAAAGTATGCTTCTCAACCTGACGCACTCCTTCATTTGCTGTCTTCTGGTGGGTAAAGTTCACATTGTGGGGAGTGAAGGTGGACCATCATCCCAGGTCTCTCTTGGCGTGGTACCTGTGTGGTTTCAGATCCTTACCGCGGGGGAAATTTCAGGGACAGCATCATCCCGTTTCCCCCTTTCTTCGGACCCAAATTAATATTGTCACGTGAATAAACATCACCTGACCGTCATGCGCGGGAGTGGCATCACATGACCACACTGGATAAACATGGGATGCAGAAGTGGCTGTCTTCCTACCGTAGTTCTCTCTCCAGACTTTGCTTGACACCAGACCCACACACCTGTGGATTCTTTGCCTTGCCCCGGGAGCCACTCTATCTTCTCCTCTCTAGGCTTCGTGAATTTGAGCGGTCCAGTGGATCTCACCTCCCGCTACCTTTATCTTATTTCGACCTCGAGTCGGTTGGCGTCTCCGTGGAGTAGATTGGAGTGGAAGTTGCTCAGTATTTCATCCGACTTGAAGGAATCCTGCCACTTGTGCTTAAATGGACCATACTTGAACCGAGAAAAAGAAGACTATGAATAAGCGTTAGTGAGTGAAGCCTGGAGATCGTGTATGGCAGATAAGAGATGATAAGCAGAACGATATCGATTGCATTGTTCTGTATGTAAGCCTCATGACAGTCACATACGGTAACTGATTTGACCTAGACAGCTTCGGTCCCACAGATTGCTAATGCAACCCATTGAATCTCAGCTGGTCACTAAGTCGATAGAGGAGCTCGTATAACCCAAGCTGATGAATGTCTCGTAATTCCAGTAGTCAGCCTGTGTGCCCTGTCCATTCACAGTCGCATTGCCAAAGAATTTAGCCGTCCAGTACGAGCTGCCTCGAGTGTACTTCTTCCATGCCGCGAGTCCGGTCTGTAAATTTTTCTTTCGGCTCGCGAATGTGTTGTCAAACTGCGCTTGAAAGGACCCATTCTCCGATATAAACAGGAATTTTACCATCTCCGGGCGCGGCCAGGGCACCCTCGCAAATATTGAGTCAGATATGCCGCGCTTGCTCCACGGCCCGCAAAATAGTAATGGTGTACATCAAAGACCAAGTTCGTTCCAGCAGTGAAATCGGGCGACCAATATGCTTCACATTTGAAGCTTCCTTGGAAAATGACAGGTATCTGAGGATTGTTTGGTTTTCCCGACGACTTGATTTATGTATTTCTGCACCCATTAGGCGCCGCTATCGGTAAGGTAGTAGGGGCTACCGAAGGGCGTGATGTCTGGCACATTGACAGGCTCATTGAATGACTCGATGATAAAAGATTCTGGAAATTATAATTTTTGACGAATCTGATAACTGCTACGCTGGGCTGGTAGGCGTGGTTACCACTGCTACTGTAGCCCCGACCATCGTCTCCCAGCCGCCATATCTCTGGGAATACAATGCTGGCTTGATCATGACCTGTGGAGTTATCGGTGCATTACTGGGACTTATTGCAACAAATCTAACCGCTGACCGGATCATTGCCACCAAAAAGACGCTGCGTGGTAAAGTCTTCGCTGGACCAGAGGCACGTCTTCCTGTTGCGATTCCAGGCTTGATACTAGCTACAAGTGGTATTTGAAATTTTGGGTTCTGTGCACATATTCCTGGCCCGCCACATACGTAGGTTTGGATGTAATTTGGGATTGGCATGCTTCGTTTTGCTCTGATGCAAGCACCATCCATTGGCTTGAATTACGTGAGTGAAAAATCGCGTTCTGTTTCCAGAAATCAAATTTGCTAATAGTTTGACCCGCTTCTACTAGCCTAGCTCATTGACGCTTAGATCACGCTTTCAGCGTACTGCTTCGAAGCAGTGACTTGCATGAGAGCTATAATGAGCTTTTCGTAGACGTTCTTTGCAGGCGAATGAGTCGTAAGTTCTGGCTCAGCTTTTCCATTTGATGTATTCGGACCGCTTGTGTGAACTTCTTCCTTGCTCGTCGCCCCTGTCTGGTTTTGGCGAAGAAAAATCAGGAATACTACGGCAGCATGGGTCGCAGTGCCTCTCTTTTAAACTACGAATGGTTTTCATAAGTTCTCATCTGTCTACGGAATGAGTTTCCTCGGGCATAGTTGGTTCATATGTTGTATCCACAGACCAAGTCCTTTCAAGTAGTTCAAACATTTTTATCCCTCTGCCAGCACTTGTGAGTACAATCCATCTCGAAGGGCTTTCACATTCATGGAACAAAAGTCATTGGGCTGCATCCAGCGCCATCATCTCCGCCAGAACCGTCGCAGCACATGGCATCTTTGAATTCACTTGCACATATTCCAAGGAAGTTGCTTGCATCAGTGGGCTCGTGTTTGGCTGTCGCGTTAGGGGTTGTTAGCTTTGCTGACTAGAACTAGGCGAGAGAATAGAAGGAAAGTAGGAACGGGAAAGAATGCTGTTCCAATGTGGCAACAAGGAAGGACAGAACGTACGAGCTGTACAGTCGAGCTTTCCTCCCAATTTGGCAAGAAGGTTCAAGGAACAACATTGGGGCTTGCCATCTGTGCAGATACTGGCAGCCAAAGTAGAGCCGGCGAAGAGAGCGACGACGGCGTTGATTAATCTCATCTTGTGATGGTTAATCGTGGTAAAGTGGAAGCAATGCCTGATGGAGAGGAGTTGGTGAGGCTGTGTAGACATAGGCTACTTTATATCACTGGTTGTTGTTTTGCTTAATCTTGGGAGCGTCCCATTTACGCAAGGGGGCGTACAAAAAGGGGGCTCCGTCTACCACCTCAATTTGTGCCGTTTCCAGCTCAATGAAACTCTGGGCTGCTGATTCGTCCATTGCTACTGTAATTAGCCTTGCAGACGAAGCACACTAGGTGGCTAAGTTGGGACAAGGTGGTTAAGTTGGGACAAGGTGGCCTTGGGTTCATTTGTCCAAACATCACGATACATATTAGCGGGGTGGGGACACGAATTAAAGGCTATCTAGGTTTTTGAAAAGCATTGCAAGAGACGAACAGACAAGTAAGCAACTAGAAATGACAAGGGAATCAATTTCACTGCAATTTGATCCAACTCAAGGTACAACATGGATCTGTTCCCTTGTGGGTCCTCTTTGGCTGGACCCAGATAGTAGATGATATCCCCAATCTTGCAAGTAGCCTAGGAGAAACAATCTCAAGAAAAAAAAAAAGGATTGACTACTTAGAGAGGCCAGGATCTAGTGGGACTGGTCAAGGAGAAAGCTATCACTAGTCCTCTACCTAGAACAGCATCCTGTTGTTGACAGCCTGAAAAGTCAGGCCTCAATAAATTCCAACCACTGACATTATAAAAAGCAAACTGATGAAACATGATCGACCACGCAGTAGCCATTCCAATAAGGCCCAGTCCCATAATAGTACCCCCGTAGCCGCCTGCATCAGATCCGACGATGGCTTGGGATCGTTAGGTCGAGAGACGCCCGGGGGGTTTTAAAGGCCCCTCCAAGCGCCGGAGTGGGTCCTCAACGCCGCCATACATCTCGCCTACAATCATTGACCACTACTTCGGAAAGCTCTCAGAGCTTCGTGCATCTAAGCTGTCGCATCTACAGATAGTTTTATGGAGGGGCTCAGGTATTTCAACTGACTTGATTCGTGGCACGGGGCGGTTAGAGTCTAGACATTCCCTGACAACGGGATGAATGAGGCTGAGATGGCGTTTGGGGTGGTCTAGACTTGGTGCTGCTAATTTGGTATGATCTAGAACTGCTATTTTCTTTGTTTGTTGGCGGTTATAGTCTTTGTCTATATAAAGGTGAACTGTGTTTTTGATGGTTCTGCAGGATTTCACCACGGTTACTACTTGTTTACTTTCATTCAGACCTTTTCTTTAAGTTTTTCTTTCAGTTTTCTTATCTACTCCCCTTCACTGAAATTGAACCACTGGACTATATTCTAAGGCATCATTCACTTGCACTCAATTCATTTAGCGACTTTCGGCTTTCGTCACTCACGTTCATTCTACTCACGACATTGTCCACACAACATGCCTCGCTACGGAGCTCTCGGTGCGACTTTTCAACTGGCGCGGCTGTTCCAGGCTGTCTCGCTTATTGCCGTCATCGGCATGACAGCCAAATTCATCGCATCGATCGTCTCGAACAACGCCACACCACCGAATATTCTCATCGGGACAATCAGCGTTGTGAGTTCACATCATCCACTTATTTATCTCACTTCTAATGAACATAGACTTGCATCGCAGTCATCTACTGTATCATCACAATTATTCTCTTTATGGATAACATCCTCCCTTTCCTCGCCTGCGCCGCCCTTGACCTGCTCCTCCTAATTGGATTCATCGTCGTCGCTGTGGTAATGGGAAAGCCCTTATCCTACCTGACGTGCACACCTTTGGCCAATTTAGGATACAAAGATGCCACGGCTTATGCATTCTCGTCCCATCTGGATAGTTACATCGCCACTATCAGCAGGAAGATTGATTACGAGGCCTGGATCGGGGCGTCCAAGGCTATTTGTCTGGAGACGAAGGCTATTTGGGGGCTTAGTATTGCCCTTTGGTGAGTCCCATCTTTGTCACTTCCTAGGATGAGCGAAAGCTAATATGTACAAAAGTATTCTGTTTTTCTTCTCTACGATCTGCAGTATCTGTCTGTGGCGCCAGAAGAAGGCTCTCGCTGCTTCCGAGGAGAAGTGATCGGCGTTATTCTTTGGAAATACAATTTATTAGCGCGCCTTGTATGATTGGGAAACAATGTCCTTTTGAAAAGGTGGAGGATTTAATGAATATTGGATATGGGTGACATGGGCGAGAATGGCAGAGGCTATTTGGTCACCCCTCAGCACACCAATGGTCTGATTTCGGCGTTCGGCGTCTTGATCAAGAAAAAGTAAAACTCCCAAAATATATCGAGAATGGTATACAATCATTTGCGTCATGGGCAAGTTTTCCCCATTTGAAACAGTAAGGAAATGACATTGACTCTGGTCGGAGGACATGATCACCCCGAGCTGACAGGCGGGATGATGGCGACCTCCGCTCCAGACTGGATTAATCGGTTGGGCTCATCGTCGAGGTCAACATATTCTCCATCGACGCTGATACCAGAGCTACGCAAGATAGCATCGTTGATGCCGGGGTATCGCTTTTCAAGAAGTGGGAATAAATCCGAGAATGTGGTTGGTGCGGGCAGACGCTCTGTGTTCTTGGCGGTGTATTGGGACGCCGAGGCGAAATAGAGAATTGTGAAGGACTCCGAGCTAACTGCACCTCCTGTGGTTGATGCGGAGGTCATTTTTGGGACGGTAATGAGGTCTGAAGGGGGTTGAGGATCAAGTTGATTTTCAGCGAGGTTCGAATTGTGTCGAGGGCGGGGTTCGCCGATATGATTTGGCGGCTTATACTTGCCTTTTATAACTAACACACGATGCATAGCCAAATAAACAAGGATCACAATTCATCATATGTTAAATATTCCACAATTTCAATTACATTGACTAGCTTCGTTATTACGAAATCGCAAAAACGCTTTCTTGTATTTCAATCTAATTCTACACTGACTCTATACCTACTGATTAAGTCTCTCACAGCCCAGCCAACTCTTTGAAAGCCTGAACGAAATCACCCTTCAGATCCTCCCAATTCTCTAACCCAATACTAACCCTCAACAACCTCCGATCAACAGTCATATCAGATAATGTCCTCCACTCAATCAAGCTCTCCACCCCACCCAGGCTAGTAGCATGCTGGAACAAATGCAATTTACTCGGCAAAGTCCTAGCCACCATCTCTTCCTTCATCGTGATGGAAAACACAGGCCCAAATCCATTAGGCATCTGCGTCTTCAACCACTCTTCCTGCGGCTGCAAACTCGCGTGAAATACTTCGTCCAAAACAGCCTGGACGGCTGCTTCGTCGGATGCTGGTGCTGGAGAGGGAGTGTGCAGTGCATTGTGAAGCCAAGAGACTAGCCGTGCGGTATTATCGCTCTGTCGGGTGACGCGCACTTCGAGAGTTCGGAGACTGCGAACGCCGAGCCAGGATTCCATGTTTCCCATTACTGACCCGAGGAAGACGCGGTCGGAGAGGAGTTGTTTGTACCATTCCTTGGACTGGGTGGCCAAGACACCACAGAGAATATCACTGTGTCCGCCGAAGTATTTGGAGCCAGAGTGCATGACGAGATCGGCGCCGTGGAGGAATGGGTCTTGGAGAGTTGGTGGGGCGAAGGTTGAGTCGACGATGAGGAAGGCGCCGCGCGCGTGGGCTTTCTCAGCGTATGCGGATATATTGAATGCAGTTCCTTTGGGGTTGATGGGTGTTTCGAGAAGAATTACATCGCCTTTTGAGAGGTCCGAGGCGGCGCAGTCTAGAGGGAGTTTTTGTAGACCGGTGCAGCGGGTGAAGAGGGCAATGACGCCGTGGCAGCCATGGTAGCCTTCGCCGATGGAGATACGTCGCGGGTTGAGGAGAGTGAGAGCTGCGTGAAGGGCGGATAGGCCTGAGGAGTAGCTTACTGCGTCGCCGTGGAGGATGGAAGAGAGGATGGCTTCGAAGCGTGATGGGTTGGGTGCGGAGGCGCGGGAATATATGTGGGATGATGGGTTGGAGGCGGCCAGGGTGCCGGACTACAGAGATCAGAGAAGGCTCGCACGGAATACAGAGAGGCATACAGGTGCATCAGCCGCGGGGATTAAGGCAGCTGGATCATCGGGATATCGAAAGGTGGTGGCCAAGTGCATGGGTGGAGCAACGTCGGTGACAACGTTCAACGCGTCATCCGCGTGAAGTGAAAGTGTAGAAATACCGTTGGACATAATTGAGGTATCGCTATGTTCTCTAAATTGTATGCACAAAGGTTGGAACTTATAGTACAACCAGAAGTTGAGTGAAGTTTGGAAGAGAAAAAGGGGGCACGTAACGGGTCACGTGGTGTGGGGAAGCCGATCTCGCTTGGGTAATATTGGGGAGATGAAAGTGAAGATTGGGGTGGATGAGAATATCGATAAGATGGATGAGAATGATGAAATGGGGCATGACATGAGAATCGGGGATGGGATGGGATGGAGTGAGAGGTGAGAAGGAAGAGGTGAGAAGGGGGAAGGGGGAAGAAGAGGTTGTTTTTATCGGCGGAGAGATGCCATTCTGGATGGTTCTCGCACAGATCCAGGCAAAGCCACCTTGAAACTTGAACGGTCTGTACAACGATTAGCCAGATATCGCCAGATATGATCGGATAGGACTTACCAGCTTCCGTATCAAAGGCAATAGCGATGTCGTCGTGTTCAATCGGATACTCGGGCATATCCAGACACACGAAATCGGATGATGGGTCATCATCTTTCTTCGGGAGGGCAAATTTGGCATCAACAATACGAATACCGAATTTGCCAGAGCGATTAAAAGTCTCAACATGGTCGGTACCTTTGAGCACAAAGTTCATGCATGTGCCATGATGGAAGTCTGCGAAGAAGGCGAGTATCTGGGTGACCTTTTCATGACGCACGATCTGGATGCGGGCCAGACTGGCTTCCCACTTCTTGTAGATAGGTACCACCATGCGGCGGCGGGATATTGTGAATGAAGAGGCGATGCCATCGTAGATAACCCGGAAGCCGGTGACAGCCTGTTCGAACGCATGAAGATCTATACTGGTCAGTAGGGTTCACCTATGCAATGAGAGACAAGGTACTAACGCTCCATCGATGCGAAGTCTAACCGGCGAACCATCGGTTTAGCTGTGATTTTCTGCAAGAAGCCAGTGACCTGCTCGGGCATCTCCGAAGGAACCAGATTGTCCGCCAACGAAACGGTCAGATCCTGCTGTGGCGAACGGAATAGGCTCATGCCAGTCTTCTTATGAACATCCAATGCGATTTTGAGTTCCCCAGGCCCTGCAATGGTTAACAAAAACTCGACCATGATCAAAGTTACGGAACGGGGCAACTCACCTAAATTGATGCGATCGGTAACAGAACCCCACTCAGTAGCAACGAACGCTCTCAAGCTTTCAGACAAGATGGTCGGACCGTAGCCATGCTCCACATAGGCATGTTCCTGGTCGATGACGGACACGTTGCCGGCTGGGAACTGCAACTGCGTTGTTGCTGTCCGGCCACTGCCGGAATCGCCGGGCTGCTCGATGGTATACGACCGGAGAGGAATCTCAGGGGTTTTTGTTTCTCCCTCCCGTGGCAGCATCCCGAGAAGCACAGAGTGCATCTGTGTGCGCTCATCTACTTCATGGAAGGTCATCAACATCGACCGTGTACGACCGTCCTCGGTGACCTTGAGAAGAAGAGCTGGGGCCCCGTCCTCTCCTCGCAAAAGACCGAACACAATAGGCGTACCGCAGCCCAGGGTATGGCGGACATTACTGAGAGTCTTCACTTTGGGACTTGTCAGTACGGTCAAGCGGAACCCACGATGGGCATTCCGAGTGCCAGTACCTTCGGTAATGCTCACTGTTCGCTCGAACAAACGAATGCGACAACGTTCCAAAGCTTCCGCGGGGAATGCCTTTGGCGTGCCTGGGTCCATGTATTGGAAGACTTTCAAAGTGTTCTCAAAAATCACCGACTCACCAGCTTCGGGCTCAAGGCTTGCTTCAGACTTTTGGGTATACTTCACGATATTCCACAGAGTCTTGAAGTCCTCATCTTTGAACTTGACATCCAACTCAAATCCACGTGGCAACTTGACCCGCATGGAATTCGATCGGACCCCCCACTCGACGTCCTCCCAGGTAGGTCCCTGTTTGCGATCGGACTGAATGAGGACATTCACGAGCTGACTTTGACTCGTAATCGCCGCATGAACGTACCAGTCTGATCGCTCTCGAATGATTGTCAATGCACACGGCATGGCATACTGCTCGCCTTCGTCGTCGCCGGAACTTACACTCGCCTGAACGAACAATGTTCCGTAGCTAAAGTTCCGACTGGTGTCACCAAGAGGCATCATGGACACCATGCTTGGTGATTTAGAAGGTTTGCCCGCCAGCATTGATCTCGTTGCACTGCCAGACAACACCGCAGAGACATCAGGTGCAAAGAAGGGGTATCGAATCCAGACACTGGTGTCAAGCTGGCTGGGAGAGTTTTCGTCGCGGAGAATAATGGAGAGAATGTTATTTCGTTTGATAGACATTGAGAGTGAGCGGAGGTGGTTCATAGTGACCTGATGCAAGCTGAGAAGGTCCACCATCTCCTTGTCACCGGTTGTGCTGGCAACTGCCAACACAGCATCCACACTCATGGATCCATATTTCGCCACTTCGTAATGTGTAGGTACAATATTCTCGTTGATCCACAGGGCTTTTCCAAGATCAATAACAGCCTGCTTGGCGTACGCGGGTGGTGCTGTTGACCGAGAGCGAGCAAACCCCTCCAAACGCGTCTTGCCCCTCAAGTACCACCATATCGCGGCTCGAATCCATTCCATCAAAGCAGTTTCAATTAACGGCTTGACACTCTCGGCAGACATTTGAAGAAGACCGTCGTATCGAGCGATATAGTCTTTAAACTCGGCAAACGCGGTATCTCCAACCTGATTGGCAATTTTGCGCAATGAGAACTTGGGCGGCTGCGGGCTTCGGGATGGCTCTCGACTCGTTTGGGTGGACGGTGTCGGTAGCTGGCTGATCGGTAGAGTTTCACGGCTGGCCTGGCTGACCTGGCTCCCCGAAGAAGCCAGTTGATTTCTTGACTGAGGTTCATGGGTGGGAACCGGCGGTCCTGCTGATGTCTTGGCCGGACTGCCTGGTGTAAGGCTGGGAGGCATGCGAGGGTCGATGGGACTCAGACTGGCATTAGCTGGGGCGTGGCGTACGGCCGGGCTCGTGGGTTTGCGAAGCGATTGCACAATCGACGTAACTGATGGTGCATCTTGTGAAGCGGGTGTCTCATAGACCGAGTTTTGAAGACTTCGCGGACTGCGAGGGCTATGCGACGGCAGGGGTTCAGGGCTGGAGATACTGTCGTCGTCATCGGTCGGAGATGCGCCATCCTCGTAGCGATTGTGTAACGCACGCGCTTCCTCCACCTGCATCTGCTTGCGCACCCTCTCTGCAAATGAATGGGAGTCAGGAGACTCTCGAAAGGATATACGAGATCCAGGTTTGCTGATGTGTCGGGTATTGAGGAAGTCTGCTTCTTGCGGGTCTTGGACAAGCGGGGGCCGGTGCGCACTGGGGCTCACACGTTGGTCCGCGCGCCCAGATCGTCCATCACCATCGGCCAGCGAGGTGTTGACTCGGAGTGTTGGTAGTTGCTCCCGAGACGGGTTGGGTGAGCGCATCGAGGGTAGTCGTCGTGGTTGTGAGGATTGTGTAGCTTGTTTCTCGCGCGTGCGCTGCAGGGATCGTGAGATCTCAACCGTGGGGACCTCCGACTCGTCGCCTCCTTCTCCGATCGTCTCGGGCGCACGATCTGAGAAGCCGACCCGCAGTCCTTTGCCTTTGCGGGGCTTGAGAATTGTACGCGCACGCTTGACTTGGACATTGTCGTCGGCGAAGTTGAAAGCGGAGTAGTTCTCGTCCGATGGCGGGTTCACTGGTAAAGCGGGCTGCGGGGCAGAGATAGGGGTTGGAGCAGGAGCCGGAGCAGGGCAGGGAGATCCGTAACGTCCTGCGACGAAGGAATACGCTGTGTGGACACGGTTGGAGGGGCATCTCTAGGGTCAGCCTTTTGAGCTGTTGCGGTCGCAAGGAAGTCCTGAATCTGTTTGTCGGGGGTGGAGCGACTGGACTTGTCTTTGTTGAAGAACTTCTCTTTCCACAGTGATTTCTTTTCTTTCAGGGACTTGACGTGCTTGATCTGTTGAGGCTGGGACTGAGGCTGCTCAGCCAAAAATGCGAAGGGGTCATCGGGAGGCATGTCGAAGGTGGGATGTGAGGGTCGTCAACATCGCACGTCCACAGTTCAGATGGACACTAGTTCCAAAGTTCCAGCTCCGTGGAATAGATCCCCCTCCCCCGGTGGTGAAAGGGTTCAGATCGACAGGGGGTTCAGAAAGTTGTAGGCGGGGAAGGGGATGTGTAGATAAGGAGGCGGTTAGTGCAAATGCTACTTTCAAAGTAGGTGAGGCGCGATTGCCTATTGTCAAGAATGAGATCGACTCAGGAGAAAGCGGCCAGCACAAGAGTCGTAATGTAAACTCTAACGATTAAACAGAGCCGTCTGGGGATGTGTGGATCAAGGAGAATGCCTCAAATTGCGTTTGGTATAAGGGGGGGGGAGGTGGATGTGGAGCAGAGTCCTGTCACTTTGTCACTGTAACACGGTATCACGAGAATAGTATGGGGACTAACCATCCTAGGTCCTTGTCTATCGTGTCCCGAAGCTAGTCCCCTGTCTACTTTGACCTCGAATTTCCGCTTAGAGTACCACTCGGTGATCTCCTTGCAGCAGCATCTAAGCCACCCTGTCACCAAACTCACCCAACTTCCCCCACTGCAGATGCTCCACCTCTACTGCCTTCACCAATAATCAGCTGCAACAAGGCGGGTCGCATTATGAAACTCCGCTAAACTAAACTCGTTCAACACAGAGGGGCAGTGGGTCGTCGCTGACGAGGTCCCTGGGTCTTGATTTGGTCTCAGACTTGCCTGGAGTATTATGAGCTTTTGCCAATCCAGATGGACACCAGTTTTACACGTGTACTGTGGCTGTATAAGGCGCCTGTGCACACTGCCTACGTCTATAGGCTTAACGACACGGAATATACAATTTCCACCGGGGTCTCTAGCTCAAACCCGAGCCTAAGAAAAAAGCCCGCGCTAATCTGGCAGTTGATCGGATGTCCCATTCTTACGGCTTCCCCTTTCCGTCCATCCGACGCAGGGGATGTCGGCATGTAATCCCTATGAAGGCATATCCCATGTCCTATCTGAGCATGAGATTGACTTGTTTCCAACGTTACCGCCACATTGCCGAATACCCGGGGAGCTTACTCTCCGCCTCAGGACAGGCGTCGTACACCAAGAGGAGATCCTAGTATGATCTTCAGCTAAGGCCACCTGGCGCTCCATGCTCGTTATATCCACTGTTCGTCGGGGATATTTCATCGATTCCAGTCGGATGTGGTCTTAATTACGCGCCAGACAGTCTATAATTAATCATCCAGCTGAGACAAAGCGAACCACCCCCACCTGCCCACCCTCTAAATTTATCCTTTTGAAATTATAGGCGCATCTATTGGGACCGCACGAACAGTGCGCCTCCATGCAGGTCATAATCTGCCAGTGTAATCTCTGCATGCTAGCCCTACCCATTTAAACTTGCGAACACCACCACATAGATTTCGTACAAGAGTTACGCCCATACACGGGTTCGCCTTGCCACAGCGGATATAAACCCAGGATGTATCCACCATGACCCGAGTCTAGCATCGCTAAGCGTCTCCTACAGCGCCCAGGATATATTTCCAAATCGCATGGAAGGCATTGCAGACCAAGTCATTGTAGAGACTCGTGGAGACTCGTATTGACTCGCAGCGAAATGGGACAATGCTTTCCACTATAGCCACAGAGATGCACTGTATATTCATCCCGCATCTTCAAGACAATCACAATTCTAAACTACCACCAGGTGAATGTACCCGCCTGAACTCGACGTTACAATTCACGCTGCATCTTTGCCACCGTTCTAAGGGCAGCGATACCATCTCACTTTTCAAGTTATAGCCGTCAACGTACATAGAGCAACACTGGGCCCAATACCCACACTCATCACAGCGGTAGACCGAAAGTAATATGAATCATCTGGCCCACGATATGCCCGAGACCTGCATTTCGGAACCATGCGAGACCCATGCCGAAGTCGCGCATCCAGTGTCTTTGTTCTCCCAACATAAGAATATACACCCGCACCAACCAGAGCTCGAAACTTCACATCTCCGACCTTACATCTTACGTCCCAACTAAACCACAAGGGTCAAACACATAAATATACAAATATTACCTTATGTTTTTACCTTGACTGCACTCTAGAATTATGCCAAACCTCCACTAACATCGCCCTGACCTGATATGCACCACAAACCACGGAACAAGCCCACAAACCCGCCGCCTCGAACCATACAGCCGCTTGCCAAGTTATAGATACAGGGTCCTTCCGAAATCGACGCCGCACGGTTTGTTTCACAAGTGATGAGACTCACGCTATAGCGATTGCGCAATAGCCGGACCAAGCATCTCGAATAATTGTCTCTCGCCTCGGCATAGACGACCTTCGGATCTCATCGCGTACTTAGTCCGAAGCAGCGGGCGACGTATACACGCGCAGGAGAGGGGGGTGTATCACATGTTCGTGCGTCGTTGAATTGGTTAGAATACCGGTGTCTGGGTCTGGAGCTGCATAGGGAAGACGCTCTGGCGGCCATGAAAGCAGAGAACCTGAGAGATAGATCTGTTCACCATGTCCAGCTTCATGAACCAGATTCTGCATAGGAATCACGAGAGTGTGAGGGACGAGCCGTTCAATCCCCTTCGGTTCACATTTGTTGAGATGTGATGGGGAAGAGAAGGGGAGGTGATGAGGGTCTTGGATCCAAGGAAGACGGTTTGATTTAAGGAAGAAGGTAGTATACAGGACGGCTATGATCGTGGCTCAGATGTGCCGGGCGCTGATCCGGCCAAGTGGATGCGTCCCATCCATAGCGCCAACGGGATTCTGTAAGAAGACGATGGCTGGTCCAGGTCTAAATAGTGCTAAAATGCGTGAACACACCCAGAGATTTCCCATGAATAAGGCACGTCATATCTCAATATGGAGAATGCCCTTATGTTGGTGCCAAGTTGAAACCGCCGTCTTGTACAGCAGTAGCCCTCTGTGGCTTGCCCTAGCAGGACCCTGCGTACCGGTATAGCCGTGTTCGGAGGGGTCCCAGCCACATCCCCCACAGTGAGACACTGAAAGACAGAAAAGGCTCTTAGCCTTGCTATTGGGTTGAACCATGGTTATTTTCTCGGGCCGTGTCTCAAGAACAAGTTGTTATCCTGATCGGCGAGCTTTCAGGTGGAATCCCGTGGATAAGGGAACACCGAGTGAGACAGCGTTGGCGTGAAACAGAATTGAAGATTTTATTCAGCTACTGAGCACCTAGGTGTCGTCAATTTTCAATTGCTAGGGTCAGGGCCAAGGTTGGGATATAATTGAAACGATTGCAGAGCGCAGAGCGCAGATGTAGCAAGGGAGAAAGTATGAGGTTGATCGGTTACTATTTCCGGATACTCTCGACGGTACGATTCGTTCCTTGCTTTGAAGATTAATTGCACATAGCATAATTATGATTAAACCATTCTTTGATTTTAGGTCATTCAAGTATGCAATTACTAGTCTCTTCATTGCACAATGTCCCTAGGTGTGTCTGTATAGCTGCAGTTCCTAAGTAGCGCTAATAATAACAACTCCACCGGGGCGCAGCAAAAACACTCCTTGTGCCTAACTCACCCGACACTTGTCACTCTAGCACCGACACGAACCTAGTCTCCCCTCCCTATTCGACTTGCGTACCTCACGTTTCTCTCCCCTCTTCCAACCTGCCGACTCGGATCTGCTCTTCCTCCCACCCACCCTCCAGTCCCCTATCCGCTCCTCGGACGCGACCTGGGCCGAACAATATTGACATCTACACAACGTGGATTCGATTACTCGCTACGGGGGCTGACCTCCCCCAGGAGGTCATCCCGGATACCCGAGACAGACGAGATGCGTCACAACTCGACGTGTACGCCTGGGAAACAGGCCCAAGCGAACTCGTATTGTCCGCGCGGCCTCTCTGTTTCCCACCGGCCGCGAAAAGCCTCCACCACACGGTTGACGCTGGGATGGTGGATTGCTCTGGTTTGTTTGCTCTGGACGGCGCCAGCAGCAGCGGTGCTGCTAGAATTTGACAACTGCCTGAGCAAATCGATCCTCGACTCCAACCCTGCGTCTCTCCAATACGTGCCTCTCGATGTCGCCGTTAGATACAACCTGAGCGACCCTTTACATCCGTTGAATGTAACAGTTTATGGGAATGTGACCGGCACGGCCGACCAAACATCGGACTATCCCTCATGGAACTCCTCGTCATGGAGTAATCCGAACGACACCCTCGGCAAGATCGTGGATTTAAGCGCTTCAAACAACAAGTACAGCACGCTACTAACCTCGTTGGACGTGCTGAGCTTTTCGGCTTTTTCTAATGCCTCGCGATTTTGCGAGTCTGTCACCCAGGGCGAGTGCCCGCTGGGCCCAGTCTTCAACTACAATTTGTGAGTGGAATCATGCCTTGCACTTGATCTCTACCTAACGCGATTTTTCTGTAGGACTGATTTGAGCACCTTGCGCGCCTTCTCTGTCCAGCATGACATGCTTTCGACATATCGCTTTTCTACCATCACCCCGACGCTAGTCATCCGATCTGGCGACGCCGATGCTGCTGAGATAGGTTGCATAACGATACCGATCACACCGGACTTTGGCGCAACCCTCAGAAATGCCTTGACTTTTGTGCCACTGGTTATCTTGATTTTGGTTGGAGTCGCAACGGTGACTGCTGCTATGTATAGTCCTTGGGGAACCACAGATCCCTTCCGGTGGACGAGCAACTACGGGCGCGACGAGGATGTTCTTCGACTGGTGACCCCCGGATTTGCGGATTGCCTGCAGTATTTGCAGTACGTCGTGCTGACAGGGGCTCTGTCCTTGGACTACCCTGGGTACTTCCAACCAGCCGTGAGCCAGGGTTCTTGGTCTGTCCTCATGTTCAATCAGAGCTTTGTCCATCCCGGTGCAGGGTATAATCCAGTCGTGGATGGTGTCTATGCGGTCAACGCGACCTACGGACTCGAGCGCATGAATCAATTGGTGGGAATGGCCACCGCGCGCGACATTTGGCCGGGCATGATGGTCTGGCTACTTGTTATTTTGATCTGCATCACGGTCCTAACCCAGATTGGATTTGGGATACGCTGGCTCCTACGCGAGCTGGCGCATAGTACAGAACAGGATCTGCGCTCGAAGAACATGCCTTTCACCGTTGGCAACATCATTCGCGTTGTGTTTAACTACCTGCTTCTCCCAATTATCTCGCTCTCTTTCTTCCAGTTGGTCATTGCTAGTGGGTCTCCAGCTTACAGCGTTGCTTTGGCGGCACTCGTCATCGTGATCTTAATATGCTTCTCCATCTGGATGGTTCGTATCATTGCATCGACTCGTCCCAAGTCTCATCTCTTCGACGACTTACCAACAGTGCTCTTATATGGGCCGTTATACAACACCTACTGCGACGATGCAGCGGCATTCGCCATGGTTCCGATCCTCCTAAACTTTGCCCGTGGCGTGGCCATCGGAGCTTTACAGCCTTCTGGAATTGCTCAGGTTGTCTTGTTGGCAGTTTGTGAGGTTGTCTCCGTGCTCACTCTCGTAGCATTCCGCCCATTTCCCACACCAACGCACATGAACCTTTATCATGGCGTGTTCTCCATCATCCGATTCCTGACCATCATTCTGAGTATTGTGTTTGTTCCATCTCTCGCGGTCTCGACCGCCACCCGTGGATGGGTTGGTTATGTGATTCTCGTGCTGCATGCCTTGGTCTTAATCTTTGGATTCTTCCTAAACGCTCTCCAAACATTGATTGAAGTTTTGGCGAGACTCGCTGGTGCCGGTGGTGCCACTCGTGGTGGCTTGGTCAAGGTTCTTGGCATGCGGCAGCTGTCAAGACGGGCTCCGAATCGCGATATTACCCGCCAGAGCCTTGGATCAGAGGCAGCCATGCTCGCACACGTTGACGATCGTATGTCATCTCAGTTTGACGGGTCCCGTCCGCGCAGTCTATCGGGCAGCTCTGCCTTGCTGCTGAACCGTGCTACGGCTAGCGAAGGGCGTGCCAGTGCAGTGCTGGAGTATGCCAGCTCTCAAGGTGGAACACACAGCCGAGCAGCTAGTGGCGGACTATATACGCCGTCACCCACCGCGTATACCGGAGCTGGCTTCCCTGGTGACTCACCGAATAGCAGCACCTTCATCGGTGCGCATCCTCGGGATCCGTACTATAGACCGCCCCGACCAGGGCGTCGAGCGTCATCCCAGCTGAATTCCCCGATCGAGCCTTCATCTAAGGGGAAGAGAAGCTCAAGGAGTTTCATGAAGTCTAGTCGGGCTAACACGAACGAGGACGTGGAAAGTGCACCGCCAATGTCGGGTCGAGGTACGCCGACGCCGGCTTATTTGCCTGCTCCCAAGGATGATCTTGAATTGGAGGATCCTCGGAAGCGCAAGGACTACGCCGTACGCGAGGTGGACTTCTATTATCGTGTGCGTGGTCCTCCACTCTCGCATACCGGCACTCGCAAGCTGAAAACGGGTCCCGCAGACCCCACAGGTCCTGTTTCTTCTGCCACAGGCTGGTTCCGCAATATGTTCCAAGGCAAAACCAAGGATAAAGGAAAGGGATTCGAGGTCGTCCGAAGTGCTCGGGCACCACCTCCCGGTCTTTTCCCGGAGGGCGACTACAACGAGGAGCCATATCACGACGATCCCGAAGATGCAGCGGCTGGTGGCCACTCTCGTCAGAATTCCAGCGGAGAGGAGCCATACAGATACTCCGAAGAGGACGTGGAAGGCCCACGGTCCAGCGACGCCCGTGCCCCTGTTCTACCCCAAGTGAACTCGGTCGGAAGCATCGAGCTCCCCAGCCGAGTTGGGTCGCGCCGCACTCAAGCACAAGAGGGCTCAGAAGAGCTCGCCGCACCCCTTCCAATCGTCACCGAAACAACCTCTCCCCAAGCAAAGTCCGGCTCTGATCCTATCTCCCCAGACGAAGACCACCTCCGACCTTCCTCCCCCGCCACAGCCCGCCTCCCATTCAGTGGCAGCAGCTCAACATCCCGCGAACGAGGCCAATCCCTCGCCTCAACATCTGGCTCCCAGAGTTCTTCACACCGAGTTGGCCGCGAGACTCGAACAGACCACCCAGATCGCCCTTCAAGCATGGGCTATGTCCCATCCCATCGGACACAAGACAAGATCATCCACGGCAGTCGAGAATCCTCTTGGATCGGCAGTGCCGCCGAACTAGTCGACGATGCAGAGCACGGGAACGGGCACGAGCACGAGATTGGACAGGGGAACACAGAGCAACCCGACTCCTAAATGTATCTTCGCCCTGACCCAAACGTCTTCTCTACCTCCTATCTCCTCTACCACCGGTAGTGTACATTCAATATATCGTGTTTCACCACTCGCACATGCAACAAGTATCTTTCGATCGGATCGACGCCGTAACGAATCTCTTTGGTACTTGTTGTGTCTAAAAATTTGCTTGGCGTTCATTTTCTTGAATGTCCCAGCGTTGTTTGCTTGGTACTTGATGATACCGGTTTCTACTTACGCTGGTCTCAATGGAGTGGTTAATAATTTCTTGCTATTATTTGAACCAGGATTGCAGATGCCTCTTCTGTGTTGGAGATGTGTTATGGTATCTTAATAGTATGCGTAATATAGCTTGGTGGATATATTCTGGTCAAATCATGAATTGAGAGCTGGGTTTGAAATGATCAACGACCTTGTGAACAGATACTACACATAATTATCATGATCCTGGAAACGTGAAAGCCAAAAAGGCAAACAATCTCGGCCAGGGATTTTGCCACTCCCGACTGAGATTACGCCTCACACCGCCTTCAAGGCCCAAGGCCCCACTGATAAGGCGAACCGGACCCAAACTTCACCTTCTTACATGACCCCGGCCTTGGTGACGGCTGTCTCTCCAGTCAGTTGCCCCTGTCAAGCGCTCACCGAAAACGTATAGAATTTTGATCGAATCACTGCGTGATTTGTCGTCGTCGCGCCAGCAGCTTTTTGTTTCTACCTCTTTCTCCAGCCGATAAGCGGTCACGAGACCCTCCAGCATCTTCTGCCTCTGAGCGATCTCTCCCTTAATCGTCACTTTCGTGTCCGATACGCTATATATCCGCCATATACCCCTGTCACACATCGCCGAAGGACCGCAAATATATCGCCACCGCGTATGAAGATCATAACCGCCGAAGACTTCATGACAAATTAGACACTGGATGCTCGGGACCGGTTCTCGATGCCAATAAAAGAACAAGGAGATCGGATCGCATCGACGGCATATACACAGGGATCCATGATGTCTGGCTCCAATTCTGCATCATTACCGACCCACACGACAGGTCCCTTCTCCGCCGACGAGAGTGTTGGTTCCCAAATTCGTGAATATAATGAAGACTTGAGCGCTGGACGCCAGTCGGATCTTGAAGTTGCAGACGATCGAAACTTTCAAGGTGGGGAAAATTCAGGGGCTGTAAATCTCCGTGGAGGCACACAGGATATGGAGGAAGAGTCGGAATTTTCCAGACCAACGGGCCACCCCGATGTGGCGTCATCAAGGGCAGGACCCATGATTGATCTCACCAGACCGATGCCTTCACACCCAGCAAGACACCGTAAGCGACGGATGGTAAGTCTTGGCGAGAATCCACGTCTGCAACGTACTCGCTCCGGAGAAGCACCCTCTCGCGAGGGCAATCCTCAAGAGGCGATCCCACATCGATCAATATCAATGATTGTCCCGTCCTCAAGGGCTGCCTCTTCCACCGTTGGGTCCTCTTATGCCACAGCAATCGACATAACATCTTCTCCGCCTGATCAAGGCCACGATGCTTCGCTCTCGCGCGAGGAACCAGGTCACCCACACCATTCAGCTGAAGGGACTCCTCTTGGCGCGGGAAATGCAGGGTCACCAATGTCTTCGAGGCGGGCATCAAGACAGTCTGTCTTGACAAACCGGGATATGTCTGATTTCTTCGGACATGGTCCAGAGTTGTCAGCAGGGCAAAGGAGCACCAGTCAATACGATGAGAACCTTGAAAGGGAAACAGAGTTACCCAGGTGGCAGCCTGATTCAGAAGTCACGGAGTGCCCGATATGCGGCACAGTATTTAAGCTCTGGTATCGGAAACATCATTGCCGGAAGTGCGGGCGCGTCGTTTGTGCTGCTTGCTCTCCACATCGGATTACCATCCCCAGGCAGTACATTGTGCGTCCACCCGACTCTTCTTCAATGCCCACGTCTCCGCCAATACCTCTACCCCGCCAAATTGTTGATCTTACTGGAGAAGAGCCTGTGTCTTCATCACTTATAAATCCTGCTCTGGGGGGTGGTGAGGAAGTACGACTCTGCAACCCCTGCGTCCCCGACCCAAATCCTCATCCATTAAATTACACGCCTGTACGGCCTCACGGTCACCGGTCGACCCAGTCACTCTCTTCTACGATGCTTCCGCTCTCTGCGCATCATTTTGCTATACGTCCAGTAAGTCGGTGTTGTTTCTTCGAGCCGATACATCAAGCTCACAATCCTTGCAGGACGACACTCGCCAGGAACGACGCCCGAGTGAATCGTACCGCCGTCTATCGCTGCGCCAGGAACTTGTTCACGATAGCCGTCATCCCTACCCCTACGATCAGGGTCGAGTTCATGAGGATGAGATTCGCCGGGGCAGTCGTCGATTCACCGGCCCCCCCTGCCATGCACGTTTCTGGTGCCGCTCGGCCTGCACCAGCACAAAGCACCTCCACCAGGAGAGCCCCTCCTCCTGTAAGCGAGCGCGACCTATGCCCGATATGCGGCGCCCTCTTCCCTCCTCTCAGCGCCGACGCACCACCTGCGTCTCGAGAGGCCCATATTGTGCAATGTATCGAAAGCCGTGTCTCACCCGCCCCACAGGATTCCTCGGCATTGAGTCCTTCGGTGTTGAGTCCGTCCCCCGCCTCTGCAGTCGCCCGTATGGTCACATTCATAGCCACGGAGAAGGATTGTCTTAGCGGACCCAGTGAACCGGCAGAGTGCTCGATCTGTATGGAGGACTATGAGGTTGGCCAGGACCTTGTCCGTCTTGAGTGCCTGTGCAAATTTCACAGGGGATGTATCGTTGACTGGTTCAAGCGGAAGCCGGAGTGCCCATTGCATAAGGTGTCCTCCTAATCTGACATAGTATTTGATCAAATCTTGTTTGTCATCTTGTACCCCACAAGTGCATTCACTTGGAGAGATTCTATTTCTTTTGTTCCATACGCCGAGCGGCGCTGGTGAGGAAATTTCTTTTGCTCTGTGCACTACTTGCTTATGATGTAATGATGAAATGAACCTAGCATAATTAATTGAAATCCGTCTTTACATTCTGACTCGGCGTTAATTCGAAAAGAGGCCAAAGTGAAGAAATAGAAAGACGTTACAGAACTCATTTCGACATCTCCCCGCTTGGAACCAAAATGTTGCGATATCACCTTTGTTGCGGCAGATCACGTGCTGTGCTGACGAGACCCATCGTCGCCCGCCTCAAACGAACTGCGACGTCAAAGAATATCGAATTTCCAGGGACTAGTCGATTCCCTTAGCCAAGAGCTTGATTAAATCTGGCTCGCGTGTTGTCTGAGTGCCGCTTACGATCAGACTGCAGCAGCCACGCGCAGTACAACTAAACACAACTTCACATCGGCAGTCGGTGCTTGCAACCACCGTGCTCCGTTCGGGCTTGCGAAGCACACACCATCACTTCGAAGGTCTCATTTACACGTTAGGTACAGCCTCTCCGCTATGGAATATCTGCATCCAATGGCTCCAATACCCAAGAAATTAACATTCCGCAGCCCAGCGACCGGTCCTGCTGGAGTTTTGACGTGACCGGCGATTGCATTTGCCGATCCGACCGCAATGTCCGACTACCCGGAGCCACCATCGCACATGGCCATGCATTCCCAACGGGATGATTCCCCGGTAATCGGGCCGAGTTCTCCATGGGGTCACATCCTACTGCCACCTCCACCGAACCTGAAGATCATCACGTGGATCTCAAACGGTCTCGGGCTTGTGAGCCTTGTCGTCAGCTCAAGGTACGGTGTGATCCCGACCTAAGTAACCTTGATGCACCATGTAAGCGATGCGCCAAGGCGCGTCGCACATGTATTGTGACGGCGCCGACTCGAAAACGCCAGAAAAAGACGGATAGCCGGGTCACGGAGCTCGAGCGCAAGATTGATGCCCTGACTGCGACACTACAGCAATCACATAATAATGCATTCGCCATGGCACCCCCGGTGCAACAGTCCCGATCTCCTCGGGAAGAGCCTGTCCCAGGGCGATGGCTCTCGGGAGAATTCCACGTGGCGGGCAATAAGCGCAGCCACGATGAGCTCTTGGCGTCGCAGTATATCCGTTCTGATAGTCCATCTACAGAGCAAATACACAAGCCTTCGGCCTCTAAATGGCGTGGTCCTTTTTCTGGCGAGACTGCACCGCCGAAAAGTTGAGGCAGCGAATGAATTCGCGGATATAGTTGACAAGGGACTCATTGATATTCAAACGGCCAATCTTGCCTTCGATTACTACGTCAATAAACTCGCAGTAGAGATGCCCATGGTGGTCTTTCGTCCTGGAACAACAATGGAAGATGTGCGCCGCGACAGACCTATTTTGTTCCTGGCGATCATTGCTACTGCGGTTGGCAAATTCAACAAAGATGCCCAGCTCCCACTCTTGACTGAGACTTACAAAGTGATGGCGGATCGCGTCATTGTCAAGGGTGAGAAGTCTCTCGAACTAATCCAGGCAATCTTGGTCTCCGCAATCTGGTACATGCCACCGGACAATCTTGAGGAACTCAAATTTTATCAGCTCATCCACCTAGCCGTGGTCTTAGCTATGGACATTGGCCTAAATCGTCGGACTCAGGGTGATCTTAAACCCTTCGTGCGTCTCAGAGAACTTCTAATCAAGAAGCCCCAGGGTCCGAATGTCGATCTTAGTGGACCTGAGGCGAGACGAACCTGGGTGGGGTGTTATTTCCTGGCCGTTCAGTGAGTCTTTTGTGTTGGGTTTTCTGGAAGTTTCTAACGTGATAAGGGTGACCACCGCTTTGAGGAGAACCCATCTGGTCAGGTGGCATCCATATATGGACGATTGTCTTCATATTTTGGAAAACCACCCCGACGCCTTGCCATCGGACCGGCAAGTTATCTGGTGGGCCAAACTTGGGTTCATCATGGAGGAGGCAGGAGTGCAGCTATCGAGCGATGATCCTGACTCCACGACCTCCTTCTCAGACAGCAAAACAAGATACACAATCAAGGCTTTCAATAATCAGCTGACACAATGGAAGAAGGACATCCCAGTGGAGCTGTTCACCAGTAAGTCATCTTTTCGTCGACTTTGCCTCATTTCCTGACATGTACAGTCCCTCTGGCACATACGTACTATGTTATCAATCTTTTTGTCCACGAAAGTGCCATGAGTATCGACTGCAAGGACAGTGTCATTTCCAATTCCCCGGAGAATGGTGACTTGCCTGCCTCGGCTATGGCCCCGCTTATCGATGCTCTCACTACATGCATCAAATCAATCCATCAAAGCTTGGACGCCATACTTTCAGTCGACCCGCAGCGCCTCATTTGTCTGCCGACTGTATCTTTGGCCCGAACATCGTACCCGGTTGTCAGCTTGATTAAGATTTACTCACTCTTGACCGCGAGTGAAACGCGGATTGGACAAGTCATCGACATGCAAAGCCTGAAGCTCGAATGGTACCTTGAAAAAGTTATCAACCATTATCGCGCTGCTGCCGCTCTTGACGGCGGCCGGGCCCCAGCCAAATTCGGAAATATCATCATGATGCTGCGAAACTGGTTTGTCAAGAAGAAGGAGAACGGACCGGCACTGCGCGAGATCTTCGGAACCGAGATGCGCTCGGACACACCAAGCGATAAGCCAACACCGCAGCAAACCCAGTTGAAACAAGGCGCAACACCCCTCGATCTTCTCAGCGAAGTTGCAACAGGGAACCGATCCGGTCGAGCTCAATTGAACGGCTCATTCACGCATCGTCCACCTTCCGGTCAGGGATCATTCTACTCACCAGCGACGCTGAATCAGAACATCTCAAATTCAACGACACCAAGAGGCACCACCTACGGCCAAGCGGAAGTACCCACAACGTCCTGGTCAACACCGTCCTTCACATCCTCCATTACTGGGCCCACCGATCCAAACATCGGAAGCCACGCCTACTATCAGCCCTTCACAACAGACCGCGGAACACCCAATACAGCGCCGCCAATGGTGGGCGGTCCTTACGCAGACGTGTCAGTCAACATGCCCTCGACCAGATGAGTGTACAGAACGGACTAGGCATGGAAGAAACATTTGATCCAGACAACCTATTTGCATTGGGAACCATGATGGACGAGGGATTGTTTACATTCCCCCCGGCTTTTGATGGGAATACCTGGTTCTAGACGGTCGGTAAATTGGCTTTTGTTACTCTTTCTTCTCTTTCTTATTATACCCCTGACATCAATTATGTCAGTCGTGCATTCAAAAACCTTCCTCCATTACATCCATCAAGTTCCATCTCATGATGCAATCTAATCTCGAAGTCTCGATATCTCACACAACCCTCTAAAATAAACATCTAGATCAATCGAAAATTCTTTGAGTTCTTCCTCTATCCAATCGAAGAGGGTAACACTCAGTCTGCTCTGCACTCCCAGGCTCTTTGAGCTCCTACATACAAGCCAAAGAAGAATTCTCTCCGTCGTGCATTTCAAGATATTCGGCTACTATCAAGTAAAGAAGCCCCTGGGGCGGCGAAAGCTGATGGGCACATCTGCTCTGCGTTCTGCATATTAGATACATTTGGCGCATGGTCAGTATGTCCAGGCAATAAAAAGCGTTCAGGCGCAATCCAATTAAATTGCTCAAGTCTTTCAATCTTTCGATGCAAGGTTTTCAGTGTCCATGAATCTTTGAAAAAATCCAAAAAACAATGGAACAGTCTAAGAGCGGTCCACGGGTATCACATGCAGGAGATCAATTGCCAAAGCTGTTGAGGGCCTGACATCCACTTCCCGATCATAGCCACCGCGAGAAGACCAGTGGACGCCTTCAGTCCACTTCTGTAGGTTTTGTAGGAGTCACCGGGGAGGGTGTAATGATCATTCCGATATTCAATGGAGCAGACTATGTTTCCGCGATGGTCAATGGGTTATGTACACGAGTATTTGATAAGAGTGGGCTTGAGAGTGGGCTTTTGAACCGTAGAAATGTCCGAGATCAGTCAGCCCTGGAAGGTCTTGAGATCCTCCGGACATATATCAAAACAGCGACAAACATTGATCTCGATATTACCGGCAGAATAATAGTGGAGAATGACATTTATTCCTTGGTCACCCTGTATCTCCCCGAGAGCTGTCACTCTTCTTCTCTAATTGGATCATGAAAAATCTCTGGTCTGTCTGCCCAATGCCTGTACCGTTGCCCCACATGTAAGCACTGAGATTTTATCCCGCGATGGCGCTAACGGGCGGGCCAGGTCCACTTATGAGAATACATCCACCTTTCAGTACTTTTTTTGGGCGAAGGCAAGGGGGCTAACCCTGGGCGTGCCGTTTTGCCGTAACAAGTGAGTCTGGGCTCCTCAAAAATCATCCTCAGTCGGCCTACCGAGAAAAGTTACCCTTCTACTCTGATCAAATCTGAGCGCCGGGACTATGACAACTCCACTGCCCAAGCATAGCTTCTTGCCCATCGGGGTTGTTCGCTGTACCGATTTTCGCGTGAAATCCAATGGCGTGATACTTCAGTTTTCTACTGTCGAGTATGGGAAAACCGTTGGGGTACTTATCAGACGAAGGTGAAGATGCGATATCTCAGAGAAAGGTTAAACTTTCGGTATTCGAGGATATAGAAGTGCTCATCTGTATTGATGCCGGGCTATTGGGCATGAGATAGCTTCAGACCGTGAGGACTATCAGCGCAGGAGTTTTCTAGATAGATAACAGATACCGTATTGCTTGTTTGAAAGTCAGTGGGAGTTCAGAACTCTCCAGTCGACACTGCGAACACACATTTGGATCTGGGAATTAGTGGACTGTCGTGACAAAGACCAGAAACCATCCAAGTAACCAAGGAAGTCGAGGTACTGGTAGAAAGCAAAGACGAAAGGAGAGTTCTTAAGAATAACATCATGCTCTCAGCCCTATGAATGACCATCAATCACCCTGATGAATGTGAATTGAAATCGACCATGGTTCGACCCCTAGTTGGCCGAAATCACCGAATAACTCATGAACAGGACAAGACTTTCAAATAAAAAGACATCAAACGACCTTGGAAACTTTTGATTGAATTATTGTATTCTTGTCTCTATTGATTGAAACATGGGTATATTCTATTCACCTGGGACTTCTCTGCCACGTTTGCAAAATCCGTTGCTCTACATAAGCCCACGGCCATCCATTATCTCGTTCTGTGCGGCGAAGGAGGTCGAAAAGTAAGTTTTGTGCCTGGGGATCATCCACCCACGAGCTACCTGTAAATCAAAGGATTAGTATAGATCGAGGAAAGTCAAGCATACTGACTTACAAGCACATAATGCATGACAAGCCATAATGCGTAAAGATGGTTCATCATCTGCCGAAAGTGCAATGCCCCATAGATAATTCAAATTATCTGTAATCCGCTCCTTGACACTCATATGATGCTCCGCGGCCATTAATCTCCGATCGTATACTTCGAACTCGCGAATCAGCAATAACGCCTTCGCAAGGCAAATGTTCTGCATAGCCGTAGCTGATCAAAGCTCTCATTAGTACCACTCCTATTTTTCCGAAACCCCCCCCCCTCTCCTCCCAAGAAGCGAAGAAAACTCACAATGCCATAGAGTAGTATACCAAACTACAGGAAACGGCTTCCCTCTTCGAGGCTCAGGCGGCGAAACATGCAACGGCGTAAAAGTCTCTGGCCTCGTCGCCTCCCATTCCACGATTCTTTGCTTCAGTGCATTCTCCCTTGCACCAATGTCCGGACCATACCGACCAGAAACATTGTAGCAGAATTCCACAGTCTCAGCGAGAAGCCAGATAGCGCGATTGACCCAGTCGCGCTCGGTGCACGGCTTGGCGACCCACCAATGGCGGAGTCGGTCGTCAAATGGCGCGAAAGTCAGCCGAAGACATTTCTGGTACGTAAGTGCGAATTGGATGTCTTGGATGACAAAGACCCAGAATGATGCCGATGCGAGGCCACTAGATATAGCGCAGTCCACGTGCGAACTGATGTATACGGAGCCGGCGAGGAGATGGCGCTGTGGGTCGTTGGAGGGAGTGTGGGCTATTTTGTTATGTCAGCGGAGAACTGGGGCTGAGCTGGGCTGGACTGCGCTACGCACAGGAGATCTGTTCGAAAAAGCGGAGAATGACGGTGGAGCTTAGGAGGATGTCGATGCCGATTTCGAACTCGGGCCTGTCGAGCACCGGGAGCATGATTGAGACGCAGCGCTCATGATAACTATCTGCAACGTCAGGAGGGATGGTGTTTGTCGTTCTGGAAAGATGGCATGCTGATACGGCCAGGCAGGCGTATAACAGTAGAGGGGACGAACTGGCTCGTCCCGCGACATCTGCACAAAAGTGTCGTTCGGGATCGCCCGCGTCAAGCTGGGCTATTGTTAGGCGCGCGGTCTGTTCGCAGGAAGAATACTTACCCAGGGTGCTATGTGGATTTGAAAATGTCGGAGGAGATAAGCTTCAGTTGCGCTCGCGAGGCGAGGCTGGCCCGGTGTGGTGCTAGATGATTGAGGTGAGTTTGCCGAGTTAGACCGGGTCCCGGTCTGAGCGTCTGCGACATAAAGTGGGAGTTTGGTGCTTGAGCTAGTTAGAGAAGGGTCCATGGTCGACGAGGCTGTCGAACGAGCTTCCGACGGTGACCTGGAGAGAGATTTGAGGCTTGTAGCCGATACGACATGATACTCTGATGCGGTCTGGTCGGTTTCATCTTTGAAAGAATCTGGCAAGGGTGAGCTGATATGAATTTTTTCATCTTCACGCCCTGGGGTCGCCTACATTCGGAGGATGTTTCAACCCAGACCTGGTCATTCGGAAAGGTCAAGTCGCTCTCCCCGTACCTCGGGGGCCCTTGCCCCGTAGAGACGGATTCTGGCCATGCCGAAAGGAGACTTCCTCAGATTTGCCCGGGGCGGGTACGCACTCGCGACCAGATCGCTGGCAGCGTAGACATCTTGTTCCTGATTTGTCACCTACAGGATGAAGGTTAGACCCGAATGTTGTCAGACGATGAGCACTCTCCTACATTTCAGATGGCGCAAACGACATGTAAGGCTAAACAGGGTCAGTTTCTTCTTAAAGCTTTTCAGGCCTCAAGATTAAATCAGAAGCCCGATGATATGGGAGAAATACGAACCATCCCCTCATTACGCAGTCTGGCGAGCAAAACAACTAAGTCAAGAACAAAGTCGGCATCCCAGGCCCGAGCATGCTAGATATAGGCAATAACGATTCATAAAGCTCGAGGAGTAATCAACAAGAGGCGGAGACTCAGTGAAGTGGGGTCTGCGTATGGATCACGATTGGTACACGGCAGATCATCATGAGGCCAACGCAGAGTTTTTGGGGTACCAGGCCATCGCAATTTGGAGATTTAGCACAGTGGAGCGGGTGAGCGAGTGTCGAATGTACTGGAACGTCATTTGGTATTGGCCAATGCTGATACCTGGACAGGCTAAACGGCCTGAGAGGGCTCCTCATATTTTCTCGACGCCAGGTGCAACGCTCCCCACAAGCCCCGTTTTGACAGTGTCTTGCTGGATTTGGTTGGATGGCACGTACCCCCACGCGCGCACAACAGAGTTTGGCTTCCACACTACCCTGATCAAAACCGATCTTTGCCCGAAGGAGCCAGATCTGGGATGTGTTCTGGCCGAGATGTTGCGGCTTCCTCCGGATATTCGGCAGGCAAGAACAAGCGAGTAATACTGGAACAGCGGGCTATACGGTCAAGAACGAGAACTGGCTTCTGTTGTCCGACAAGAGCCTCACCCCTTCTTTTTCCTCCTCCTAGCGTCCCTTGGTATTTCGGTGAGCGTAGTGATAATCTGTGGTATGGGATTCCCCAGCAATCCTGCGTGTATGCATAAAGCATATTTAGAACCTGGGCCCAATAATGCAGGAGTGGGACGGCAGGAGTCCCCACGGGTGTTAAGCCGGACATATCCGCTAGCGAGATCCGAGGGCTGTCGTTCAGTCTCTAAACTTTCAAACAAATTAAAGTACAAACACTAGCGTTAGCATCCCTCAGCATCCACCGTACCTGAAGCCGTCACGGCTGCCGTTATTTGAGCCATGTGGCGGAGACGCTCATCAAACTCAAAAGGAGCTTGAAACCCGGCATAAGGGAAATCTTCATGACTGGATAGGACTATAGGATCGGCGACACCGGGATCTGCTCCGTCCCTGACAAATCCCGCACGGAGGGTGGAGTGCATAGAAGGGAAAAAAAAAAAATTCGGCACTGTCCGCGATTTCGGATCTCATTTCACTGGACCCGTGGATGGCGTTTGGATCCGTCGAACCCTGCAGATCTTGGAGAGCCGTGCTCACGATGCCGACGCCGTGATTCGTAAGTCGGCAGACAAGACGCGTCTGCGGATCCTCAGCCGGGTAGACCACCGGAGCAAATGCCAGACCTGTGTGTGTTCGTCCGTGGTTGATGTGGGGAGACTAGATGCCGAGGATTCCAGCTGCCTGTTTGAGCGAAGTCTACCGAGTAGGTTTCGCAAAATGCCTCCCAATTCGGATGACACAGGGGTATCAGGGGCATCCGAACCAGGAACTTAAATGACATGAAGATCACCAGCCAGAACGAGGAGATTGCATTTTGCCGGTGGTGATCGGATATAGAGGAAGATAGATCCAGGCACCTTTCCTTGTTCGGTTAAGCAGCTAAACTCGGCTCCGAGGTGATCGGGTTACATAATCATCCCAGCGGGAGCTCGCATCATGTGACCTGCTTATCGCATTTGTAATGACGTGACGAGATAAGAAACAGGGATTCGGATAGCACTTGACTGACCCCGTCTTAGTGCAAAGAGTGCTCGAACAGCTTCTGTTGTGGACAGCGCGCAGGTATCGTGATATCTTCATCATGTGCTGATCTTGATATTGAGATGTCTCTTCCTCGTATCTCCTTCCTGGAAGGTTGGGATCGTTACCCAGGCCCCATCGGTGGTCGAGACGCCTCAGCTCCATCAGATACTGAATCAGAGTACGATCTGCCAGAACCATCTCCGCAGTCCTCCTCGTTCCCTTCAACGTATAGCCGGCTTAATTTCAATCCGTATGCGGGGCCAGGCTGGAACGAGAGCGCTGACGATCGAGATGATCACCCCTCCTTGCTTGGATCCCTTCTCTCTCCAACGGCGACGCGGGAGAGTCGAGTGGAGCCCCCAAGTGCCGACCTTGGCTCTGGCTCTGGTCCAGGGTCCAAAATTTCCTGGTCGGTTGCGAGACCTGCTTATGAAGTGAGCCCCGCTAAGCGCATCGGTATGCCGAACTTTTTTTTTTGATTTGTTCTAATGTCTTTTGGTTTGGTTGTGTGGGTCTTCGGGGGAGCTAACGTCTTGCAGTCCAGGTGTGTCTTGCTGTAATCTATTGTTTTCTAGCTGCGGGAATTGTCTTTGGATTTGCAGCCATTAAGCCCGTTTTGATTCGCGAGAATGTATATCGCAACCTCTGCTCGCAGGCCGAGCTCGAGGAGGATGTGGATGTCTGCTATGGTCAGGAGATTAGGTAAGTCTATCCACGTCTCGGACGAGAATCACCACTGACAAGACGATAGGTTGAACCTCATGTTCACCATTGCCGCTGTGGCAACCAATGTCTCTGCCCTTCCCGTAGGAACCATTCTAGATGCGTATGGTCCTCGCGTATGTGGCCTCATTGGCAGTTTGTGTCTCGCTCTTGGAGCTGTACTTTTTGCGTTCGCCGGCCAATTGCCCTTTGATGGGTACATTCCGGGATATCTACTACTTTCTCTCGGTGGCCCATTTGTGTTTATCTCATCATTCCAACTGTCGAACACATTCCCCACGCGATCAGGACTGATCCTCTCCATGCTTACGGGGGCCTTTGATGCCTCTAGCGCTTTGTTCTTGGGATTCAGACTTCTGAGTGAACACACCGAGGGCTACATATCAAGCCAGAAGTTCTTCATCGCCTACCTAATCGTTCCGATATTCATTGCCACCGTCCAGATTACAGTGATGCCCAAGAAATCCTACAAAACAGCCGGCGAGCTAGTTCAAGAAGCTTCAGCACATGTCGCCGACGAAATGGCTGATCGCGTAGATGGTACAAATGAAGATGCCGAGCGCGAACGGATTGACCGTCGCGCCCAGCGCCAGAGCATCGTAAACCAGATCCAAGGCCTTCTAGATGATGGCACAGCATCAACCCGATCTGGCGGGATCAACGACTCTGCCTTCCAATCCCCAAATATTCAATCACCGCGCCTCGAGCCCACTGAACCATCTCAGCCTGCATCTATACCCGCTAACACACCGAACACCCACACAAGCGGCGTCTGGGGTGTTCTCCACGGCAGAAGCGCCCTTCAACAACTCTGCACGCCCTGGTTCCTACTGATCACCCTATTTACTGTCCTCATGATGCTCCGAATAAACTACTTCGTCGCTTCTCTCCGCCAACAATATAATTATCTCCTTGACCCACTCTTGGCCCGCCAAATCAATACAGCCTTTGACATCCTCCTCCCCGTTGGCGGCCTCCTCTCAATCCCATTTATCGGCACGTTCCTTGACACCTTCAAAACCCGCACCGTCCTCACTATCCTCGTGGTAACGGCTACCGCAATCGGTGTTTTGGGGTGTATACCGAATAGCGCGGGAGCTGCATATGGAAATATTATGCTTTTCGTTCTCTATCGGCCATTCTATTATACCGCTGTGTCAGATTACTCGGCGAAAGTCTTTGGTTTCCAGACGTTTGGCAAGGTATATGGACTGATCATCTGTCTTGCTGGTGTTGGAAACTTTGCGCAGGCTGGTTTGGACACGTTGACACTGAAGGTTTTCGGTGGTGATCCTGTACCGGTCAATGTTGTTTTGACTCTCTCGGTCACTGCTGTGGGTGGTGCGTTGGTTGCCTTTGTCTCTTGGAAGACGGCTGTTTTGGCGAAGATGGGAAGTGGGCCAGAAATGAGGCCAAGTTTGATTGGGAACGGGAATGGGAACGGGGTTCATCCAGAGGGTGTGATGGCGAGAGACTGGGAGACGAGACCGCTTCTTTCGAATGAGAATGAACGGAGAGCTTATGGGTCCTGAGTTTGGGCAAGCTGGGTGGAAGGGGGATCCTGGTGATGAGTATATTAACATGTTATGACTAAACAAGAATTGCAAAGAAGCTGTGGCATGACAGAACTTGCTGTTGATAACGAATTCAACGCCCCTCAGAGATTGCCTCCTTGAAGACCCAACCGCTCTGCCCGAAAACTCTCGTTCATACTCCAGCAGTATGAAGTTGAGAAGAGGAGAGAAATAGACAAGAAAGCGATGGATTGCACCTATGAAGAAGGTAGAAGAGAAGAAGGTGTAATCTATGTTGAAAGGAAGCCAAAAGGCAAAGGGAGTGAAACTAAACAGGAAATACGAAAAAGTCATTATCCTCAAAAAGCTCGGGGTGCATGTTTAGGCGGACAATGTGTATTTCCAGGTCTTTTCCTTGGTATCTCCTCATCTAATCTACCCGTCCCGATTACCTCCTCATGTTTGTATCTCCTCGGAATACGTGGCTTGTATCTTAGCCTGATCAACTAACAGTAGAGGCTTCGCTAGTATTCTAAAGAGCTAACCTGGCACATGAGGGTCTACTCTATACCATGGCATTCGATATCGATCATGGAAAGAATGTTCGTTTCTGGCAGTATTCGGCGCAAGTGTTGAGCTGAACTGAGGCCAGATCTACTAGACACTAATCAAACACCAACCTTCAAGTTTGACCCGAGGCATCATGAAGTATGTCGAGCTAATCTTGATCAAGCTCCAAACTTTGCCTGCGCGTTTTCATTCTATAGAAAATAGTGACGCACCCTTGCCCTATCTGCAGTATGTAGCAAGTTCAAGTCTCATGCTACGCTGTTACCCTGATCCTGGCACGTGTTTACAGCTTTCTCTGGCACTCCTAAATTGGGGAAATGAAAGTAGGTTAATGTTCAAATTAGAGCACCATTGAAGTCCGAAAAGAGCATATGCAAGAGGAAATTAGAGACCTTTAGATTGAAAATGGCAAAGGTGTGAGCTACGACAAGAGAAGCAAAAGCTTCGAGCGGAGGCTGACAGGATCGACAAAGGACGGCAGGTCCCAACCATCCACATTTGGCCGATATCCCCGGTGCTACTGGGGCCCTGTCCTGGCCTATCCACTTCGGTGGGGACGGCGGCTTAAGTTCCCCCTCACATGTTTGAGTAAATAGTCTAGAGAAAAGTCTTGTTAATTCATAGGCTTCGTTCTGTTCCTGTGGTTCGACGTCCCTACAAATCAATTTTTGAGAGCTCACAGGCTGTGTAATATACTGCATGCTATGGCAGTTATCCGAACATGTTCAATATCAAAATGATGAGCCGCCTCGCTGCCCCACCAAAAAGGGGGCGGAAATTAATACACCTGAAGTAGCAAAGCAGCGCGTGTCCCGAGCCGAGATTGCCAATACATCTAAATGCGGCTCTGGTGATGGGAGCAGGCTGAGTACGCGTCGCGCAGCTCGTCGTACTTGTATCCATTTAGTCTAATTGTTCATTGGCCTTCCGCAATTCCTGATTTTTCCCTTCATTGCTTCTAGCAATGCAAGCAACTTGAATGATGGAATTGTATGCGGTGAGGTGGCTTGTTAAAATATAGCATGTAAAGGGCGGTCCTCCGGAATCTTATTTTTTGAAGAGATCCATTTATGCTATGCTACATTTCTCATGTTTATTTGGTTGGTAGCACATCTTCCTGACTTCTTCTCTGCGCCCTTTCAAAAGCTAAAACGGCTGTCTCTATCACTAGTCTCCTTGAAAGTCGGAAAGCCGCCTTAGGCTATATCTAACTCAATTAAGACGAAAAAAAAAAGCCGGTATTCAGAACAGCCGATGTCTGAGAAATGTTTCGAAGCGTGCATTGAGGGCTAGGCACATTATTCACTTTGGTCAGAGCCCTTGATGGTTCGACGCGTATCGCAAACCATTTCCACATGGCGACGACTGAGTTTAACCATTCATACTTTCCACGGCTTCATAAATAGGCCAAATATTACTGTTTTCAATTAAGCGCGCCTGCCCGTGTCACAACTTCCTGAACTTACAGAAATAAAGGCTATCGCTGAACTGGAATATAGCGGCAAATCACATTTGAAAACGAATCTGTTCACATCAAATTGGGGACATTACCCATCTTCACCGCATCCTTGCTTCAGCCTCCATAATCTCTAGGCCCATAGCTTCATCTCTCTCGTCATTCATCTTCCATCCTCAGAGAATCAATAACTGCGCTCGCGATGATGCCCGACCCCTCAATTGCCACAAGAGGCGTCAGACTGTAATTGAAGACTTTTCAAGAGACATAAAGCACAGATTGGGGCTGAAAACCCGAGGTACGTGATATCTACATGCAGTTCAAAATTTGTAGAGAGTATTTGATCGACCCTCGATTGTACAAAGAAGCAGAAACGGAGTTTGTGCCAACATGACAGCCAGGAAAGGGCGTGTAAAGAAAGAGAAACTGAAAAATGAGTCTAAGTTGTTGTGTATGCTTGTAACCTGTGTAGAGCCCTCTAAATCAGAGCAGAATGTGACTTCGATTGACCGTACAACATTAGATGTCGGAAACATGGGGCTAGACGCAAATATACGATCAACAATTTGTCGCCAGCTACACAAAGGCTATGTGCTATGCCCTGTCTATCCCCGAGATACTATATCCCAGTCTATCTGCCCAACCTTTGCACCATCGGAAAAATTGCGACCAAGAACATCATGCTCGGTTCTTTTAACTAGAAAAATCTGAATGGCGTCTCTTACCTTGGCCAACTCTGTGGTGAGATCGCACATGTTGCTGAAGATTATCCGTTCGACAATATGCCACATTGCAGCTGTGACATTTTATTTTCCTGGGAAAAGATGTGTCGACTTAATGTGTCTCCAGAGAGACATTCGTGGTGAACCCACCATCGTAAGGGCATCCAACCCAACCACACCTCAATTGAGTGGGAGAACCACTATACAGGAGCATTAAATCAATTGAATATGCAATAGAGCGTCAGTTTTATTAGACTTACTTCAGTCCATTCCTTGGAGATTGTTCAAAAGTCCCATGATCCTCACGTTGCTTTTGATCAACGAAATGTCCGGCGAAATGGCCACCGCATGCTTGATGTATTCTATCTGAGGAAAGCCAGTGGAGAGGCGTTTTGGGTCAAGACCATTTTTGACGAAGGCAACGCACAGACTGTTGTGACCGAATGTCTCGTTCACGACTGAATATCCAACAGTATTATGCTCATCGCCCAATAAGGTAGACGGCTGGATAGGGCATGGAAATATAATGAAGGGCCTCTTTAACGTGATTGTGGAGAGTAGTTGATGTCCGATTGGACTTTGAGGCGAGGTAACATCGTCAATTGTGGCCAAAATACTGGTATCTGGCGTGTAGTAGGAGGCACACAATGAGTCTGAAGAATGAATCTCCTCTGCATGTGGATGAAAGGCCGGATCGATGTGATTCCATTGAGGCCAACTCATTCCAACTACTTCGTCTACTTCACTGTAAACAGATGGTAGAGAGAGCGAACAAGTTGTGTAAAAGAATGGTGACAATGACTGATGCTTGGCTCCGGATTGGAAACGGAATGGACGGAGGGAACTTGAAAGATATCTATACTTCAGAGTCCCCTATAAATCTAAATGATCTCATTTGAGAGGATTCCAGGTGGCGGTCAGCATCAAGGCTATTATGAAGGGCGAGGAAATTCCGATCGGTCTCTCAAAATTCATCCTGTATGGCAGGGATCACTTCCATCGAAATGAGGACCGCCAAAGGGATCGCTGGACCGTGCTTTCCATCAAAATGGAATCAAAAACAAAGGTTCAAGACCTTGATGGATATAGGAGACTTCTATTGGTGCAATTGGTCTCTTTAGAGAGGTGACGTTGAAGAATAAGGCAAACTAGGGAAGCCGGTCGCCGTTGGACAGGTCTGGACTAGGGCCATCAACTCTCGCAATACTTGTGTCCAGGTCCACTTTGACGGAGTCCGTAGCTCAGAGGCATCACACGATCGTCCAAGCAATCAGAGGCATGAATTTATGACCGGTGGGGACTTTGCAGCTTGTTCGTTGACTAGCCCGCGGATGTCGCAGAAACTAGCAGATCTTTTCCCTGACATAGTAAATCGCTAACGTCTCCGGCTCCATCGTTTCCTTCTATCGTTTCCCTCTATCGTTTCTATTTCCCTCAATTGTGTGCCTCTATTTTTTCCTCCATCATTTCTCTCTACCGTTTGCCTCCATTCAGAATGTGTTTAGAGGACAGGATTTTTAGGTATGGTAAACTACGGGAGGTAGGTGCGTTGCCTGCGGAAATACACACTCTATAGATACCTGCCCCACACGGATTTTTTGTACACATCTTGAGCTGTATAGGTAGCAATGAATTTCATATGCTTCACACACTCATATCTGATGTTGGGAACTCGTAAAGCCACTCAAAATAGCATGAATTGGACCAGAGACCACGGCAAAACTCGCAATCATGAACAATCCATGGTAGGGAGGAAGCAATATCGTCTAGCAGACGTTCGCGCTTGAAATGAAGATAGTATTCTTGTTAGAGACGCTCCAGACTCCAGATCTACGTAAATTTTGTGCAGATATGCCGATACTTGCATAGATTATTCGCTGAGCAAGGTGAGTGAACCAGAATCCTAACATATGAAATAAATTCGCATGATCTTTTAAATATAAAATATCAAAGGACTATTCATAATAGCTTTTTGTGACTGTAAGTTTAAATGATGTGAGGAATCAATGCACTGAAGCATCCCATTATATTAACGCGGGGGACGCCCACTGGCGGTCCTTTGGATTTCTATTTAATACCGCTCACACAGTAGATAAATATTCATCCTTGAGACCCCGATCAACAGCAAATCACGGTCAGAATGGCTTGGAAGGTATAGCCAGCGGAGATACACTTAGGCAGCTATTGAGTCTTACGAACCTAACTCTGACAAGCCCAACTCTGACAAAGTCAACAGCAGAAAACTAGACGAATTGGATACCCAGCCAATCGAATACTGATGTCTCATGACCCATCATCGAATATAGATATGCTTGTCAACATCCCTTCTTATTCAGCGATATTCTTACACAACATTCTATACCACCGGCCGGATATTACTACCTTTCATAATTCGACTACGACTTGGTGATAAATGCTCTAAGATAGACAATCAATTGCAACTAGACATCAATAGGTAATTATGTTTTCCGAGTTCATATATGCATTAAATCTAATGTATTTAAGCAACCTATACCCTTCAATATTTGGGGTGGCCTGGTTTGCATCACATAGATTGGAGGTTATGTACCGAGAGTAAATCCAAATACTAATCGTAGTCCAAGTGCTTTAGAGTTAGGATCAAGATCCAGATCAAATCAAGATTCGATCAAGCTCGGAATGGTAGAAAGACTTCGTTGGGAAGTCAGAGATCTGCAGCGCACGAATGTGCGACGCGTCTCTTTCGGCGTCTTTCAGAGCTGGGATGTGCCAAGAAAATACTATTGATGTGCGCAGGCCTCGCGATCGCTGTAGTCGCGCGGCGCTTGTGGTGGGTTGAGACATGATCTTGTGGACCGTCATTTTGTCGGGTCATTCGATAGGTCTCAATGTCGGGCTTGTGCTCGCTTCAAGCCATAGGATTTGACCGGCTTCGTCGCAGGCCATATCATACCAGAGCATCATGTCCAGAGTACTTCTGATTTGGGACCAGGTGCTTAGCCCGCTTCGTCGAGCGGTTTCAGCGAGTGCCGAGACGAAGAATGGTCGTTCGGGTGTATCTGTTGCCGCAATACCACCTAGTGTCAGCGCCCAAACTAGGGGGGATTCGGTTGCGCGGGGCGGACCACATGGCAGAAGCGGTGGGTAGACAAAGTTGAGCCTGGATTTGCTTTGCCAAATTTCCGAGAGGCGTGTTTTGCGCGGGAATTGGGAATATGACACCGACGCCGAAAATTAATGCGGTAAGTCGGCAGATCTCGTACGTAGTTGCTTCAGTGGGATGTGGGAATGAGTTGAGAATGTCGGAGGCTGGTAGGAGAGATAGGAGAGTGTGCTGGGTGAGATTTCGCTGGTCGACAAGCAATGGGTGGTCATAGCCGTTGACTAGACTGGCTCGGACGATGTTGATATATGTGAAGGCGGCTTGGAAGGCTTCTGCCATACTAGGGGTGATGCCGATATCTTGGAGTCGGCCGAAGCCATGCTCAATGTCTGACGGTCCGAACCCTAATAATTCCTGTAGAGTGATGCCGTTGCGAGACACGTCGAGAGGCCAGAAGGCGAATCCTGGGTGAGTGCAGAAGACCGAGGCAGTGAAAATGTCCGAGCTATGAATGTCAGGAGGTGCTCCCAGGAGGTGCTCCCATCAGAGAGATGATAGAACGTACAAGGTGATTGTAGGGGGTAGCCCCGTGAACTGGATATTCTCCAAGCCACCACGAAGCTTGATCATCTGGACCAGGCCACTAATGTGGATCAAGTTCGGCGGCAGACACCCATATACGTCAATCCATTGCAAGCGTTGAAAAGGCGGATTGAACGGCGTCTTCTGATGTCGCTGGCGTCTAGTGTTTTCGGGCTGATGATGCGCCATACAGATAACGCTCAAGAGCACGGCGTCACTCGCGGCCCGCGAAGGATCCCTTACGGCTTGATTGATTAACTTGATCGCCTCCATTTCACACAGCTGTAGTATGCGCTCATGTTTCGGGCCCCAGGCGTTCCTCGGCACCCAATTATTTAACCATTGGACACGCTGATGGCATAAAGAGCCGAACATGAACGCTGTAAACAGAGCGGGGTCGGATAGCGAAAGCGGGAACCAAGACTCTCCCGCTTCTTTCAAATTTGCGCGGGTCGGCACAAGGCCTGGCCAGAGGACTGTTAAGCCTAAGAAGAAAAAGATAATCTGTCAGTTCCAACTGTATGCACAGACCCGGGTGGGTTTCCGGTATTCCTCACAGTATTGCTCGCTGAGATTGACGACCTCGGGCGAGAAAGAAGACGGATATGTGCTGAAAGGATCCATGACGCCAGTGATGGGAGGCTCAATGCGGACCGTTTCCCAAGAATGGGCGGGCTCGCTCGGGGTCGCGGTCACGGAGCTATTGTCATCACTACTATCGCTACTGTCGCTCGCGTGCGACGGAGGGAAGGGCGAGCTCTCCCATTGACGCCGACGGTCTTGGAAGCGGGGAAGACCTGGCCCGATGGTATCTGCGCAATGGGGAGAATAGGTTGGACGCGACACGAGGGTGTAGGATGAGGGGCCGGCATGATCACTGGATAGCGGCGAGATAGAGTCGCGGACGGGGCGAGGAGTGCGACGAGTGGCTTCGAGGGCAGTTGAACGGTCCTTGGTCTGGTCGGAGATCCAGCGGCCGACGTGGGCTCGTACGAGGCGTTGCGCTTTCAGGCGTTCGGTCTCCGAGGCGGGGCGGGCGTTGACAAAGTGGATGCCGTCCTTTTTGCGGGAGGTGTTCGGTTTCTTGCGGGACGCCATGCTCCCAAGTGATTATCACCGAGGCAGGTGCAACATCCTTGGAGGGGGGGGGGGGGAGAAGAGATGGGGTATGGGTTCGTTTCAGGACCACGGATAAGCGTTAGGGTGAAGGCCGGAAGGTTAAGCAATAGATGGAGATAAAAAAAAAAAGTACCAAGTTCCAGAAGAAAGGCCAAGGGAGGATGAATGAACGCAACCAAAAAAAGCCCCGTGACTGGAGCTAAGAGTTAAAATGACTTGCAGTTGGTGGAGTTCCCTTTTTGCGCTTGGCACCTTTTGGACTTGGCTTGGACCTCTCGCTCTGACGAGACACGTCCCATCCCCCGTCTCCAACTCTCCAAGCGAGCTACGAGCTACGAGTTTACGAGCTACGCGCTAACCCCCAGTGATCAGCGTCCCGACATACTGGGAGCTGACAGTTCATTCGCGACCAAAGGATTCCCTGAAACAGGATCCCAAGAAGCTCAGGCCCCAGAGGAAAAGTTCAGGCTGGCACTGGTGGACCACTAACCTAACATGCCATGACACTGCCGATCGCTGGGCCAGACACTAGGTAATGTCATTGACTCGGTTCGTAATTTTGCAGGGCCCCGCCCTCGAGTAACTCAACATTCCGACTGGAGAATGTTCTAGATCGAGTTGAAGAATTACGATGGTGCTAACGGTAAATTTCAGTACTAGGCCTCTTTAAACTCACTAGCCTGGGAATGATAAACACTAGGGGGGAAAAAATGATCAGTCAATCTCCAAAAGGCTGTACTTGGCGGTCTCCCCAGTCTGCGGATCTCGGTACGCCTCCAGCGCCTTCTCCACCACAGCCATGTATCCAAGAACCTGTTCCTCCTGCCACCGGCGCCCAACAATCTGCACGGCAGTAGGCAGACCCGCCATTTTGGACGAGTCGTAATGTTTCCACGCCCCACGAGCGATCGCATGGTTAGCACCAAGCCGCTGAAGTGTCGTCTTATACGGAGACACGAGCGCGTCACGGATGCGATCTACGTGGCCAACGGGCATGACGCCAGCGGAGTAATCAAGCAGGTTCCAGAGGAAAGTATACCCGCACGAAGAAACAGCGTCATGCATGGCTTTATGGGGGAGGGCTGGGGTGGCATTGGCCGGACAGAGGATGAAGTCGAATTGTTGCGGTTTCGCGTCCCACCATTCGTGCCAGGTTGCGCGGTAAGATTCGCGCTGCGCTGTCAGGGGCCAGAGTTGGGCGGCGGTTTTGGGGCCGAAGGAGCGGATGAGTGTTGCGAGGATGGTGTCGCGCTTGATGTAGCGGACGTAAAGGTAGTAGAGGTAGCGGAGTGGGCCGGGAAGATGGGCGAGGCGGGAGAGCTGGATGGCGCCTGGGTCTGAGGGCTCGAAGCTACGGAGATTGGCATTAAAGTGATGGCAGCCGTCCGAATTGAGGAGCTGGGAGGCCAGGTCGAGGCCTTTGAAGGGGTCGGCGTTGGCGGGAGGTGTGATCTCAGTCACGGTATGGCCGGCTTCGGTGAGTGCGGCGACGGTAGTGGACAATGCCCGTTCGATGGCCGGAGTGGGAGGAACGACACCTGAAGATGTTAGTCAAGGTCCTGAGATGAGTGGAGATCAGACGTACCATCGTTGCTCATCAGACCGATACGGAGAGGCTTGCTCTGCGCCTCAACCTCAAGATCGTCTCTCCAGGAGATGGGATGAACCGTATAATCATACTTCCAAGGCTGCATGCCGATAATGACCTTGGTGAAATACGTGAGGTCATTCAGCGTACGAGCCATAGGACTAAACACGCTGGGAATGCCTTCCTGGCCAGCCATACTAGTACTGACGCCGACCTTGGGCCATCGACCGGTACTGCAACGAAGCGAGTAAACCCCGCTCCAAGCAGCAGGAACACGAACAGAGCCAGCAACATCGGACCCAATACCAATGCGACCACCCTGAGCAAGTAAAGCGCCTTCCCCACCAGTCGAGCCACCTGGAGAATACTCAGGGACATGAGGATTGAGACAGTGTCCCCAGAGCCCATTAGCAGACTCAAACGAAAGCAGCGTGATAGGCAACGCGGTCTTTGCATAAGGAACAGCCCCTGTACTAATTCAGCAACGAACACAACTCCGAGCCAAGTATAAGAGTGAACAAACCAGCATCCTTCAACATCCGAACCATCGGACCATCTTCTGCAAATGGCTTCCCGGCAAGCTTCGAATATCCGAGTGTTGTGTCAAAGCCCTTCACCTGCACTGAATCTTTCAAAGAAACCGGGATGCCCGCTAATGGGCCCCTGAGGTTGACTTCACTTTCCAACCACTTCTCCGCCTCCGGTAACAACAGTTCAGTAATACAATTGGTACGCTCCTGGGCGCGCTTAGCGACCTTTCCATACGTGCGCAGCACGGTCAGTGGTGAGATCCTCTCATTCTGAATATCAAAGACGAGCTCTTCGATGGGCTGGTCGATGATCTTCTTATCGGCTTCTGTTATGGCGAGGTGGTAGGGGTCTGGAAGGCTGGCGAATCGGGCGACGCGCTCGGCCTGTTTCTGGGCGCTTTTCTTTGATTAGTTGATCTAGGACCACAAGGAGGGAAGTAAGTACCGTGCGCGCCGGTAGGCGAAGTAGTCAAATGGAGGAAACATGATTGTTTGTTGGAGAGATGGGAGTACGGGGTAGAAGCCTTTTATCTGTGCGGGGATGTGGAGAATGCGATAAACTGGGTCCGAGGCTACCCTTAAGTGGTTGGAGCGGTGTTTAGTCCGCCTGTTATCTCCAATTCTTCGCCTCTAGGATGAGACCGCGATTAGTCTGTACTATAATTTGAGATATCGCGTGGCCCTCGCATTCTGTCTGTGTATCTAGGCCCTTGCACGACAGATTGCTGGCCTTGGGGCCCAGTTGGCCAATACGAACCCATTCAGCAGGTCAACCCGTCGATAACCTGATACAACCGAAGTGCGGTCGGATGCCTGATAGGTACTTAAATGAAGAAATGAATGTTTGAGAAGAGAACAATCGACCGTAGCATAACAGACTACCCAGAATCAAGCCAAATCGACGTACGAAGCTTTACCTTTGAGGTAGAAGAATGAACATGCCAATGCGTGAGCAAGGCTGTCAAAGCTAAGTAAAATTCTAGCGAACATCATCACTCTCATTTCAATTTGCAAGTTTCAATCCTGAAACAGATGACTCCACTGACTCTCTTTTGCTTTGATAGAGCTTCCATAGCAGTTAAACCAAATCAAGATCAGATAGATGGTCCGCTCCGGGGGTAATCGCCCTTGAAAATCCAGGATCGTACGTGAGTCGCTACAGCATGTACCGTGTAGCCTATATTTGGCTAAAATGAAGTCATGTAATGAATGTATGTTTGATTCTTGTATGTTTGATTCTTGTCTTGCCAGCTACATAGACTATCTACTAACGCTGATAAAGCCGCCCTGGAGGCGCGGCGGGTATATCTCCAGATTTTCAAAAGCTCATGAACGCCACATAACCCCCATCGAATGCAATGACACGCCGAAGAGCCTGGCGCTGACTCACGGTTCAGGAGTCTGAAGCCAGTTGTGCTTGGCGAGCCACCAGACGATCACACCGCCGACGACAATCAGGATGATGAATATGAAAATGACAAAGCCCCAGATGAGCGAGCGTTTGCTTTTTTGGCGTTCTCGCTCGAGCCAGTTGTCGGCTTGTCTGTATACTGTTAGATGATGTGTGTGAAGTGAAGAGCGATGCGTTTACCTTTTCTGCATCGATTCCAGGTCGAGTGTGCTTGCGCTCTTGGCTACCTCATCTAAATGAACTGCTGTGCTGAAGCGTTTCCAGAAATATGGATCGCGGACGAGAGCCATGTCGGATCGATGTTTTGATGATGTGCAAGGGGCGACAAAAATAGATCTGATGCCCCTTGGGAGGTAGACGCGTGTGCGGCGAGGAAGGCGGGTAGGCCGCGAGGGGGCCTTCGAAGAGGACTGTTGAGGAGAGCAGGCGACAACGACGAGCGAGAGAGATTGTATGAGTTTAAGTCTGCGAGGGAACCAGCGTAAAAGGATTTGCGGAAGTCGACTTGCACTTAACTGACCAGATATGAGGCGCGCTTGATCAGATGCCGCGTAAGGAATTCCACTTCACCAGACGACCGGGAGCTGGGCGGATAATGCAGCCCATAGTTGACAATACCTTGTTTTTCCAGCCGGACTGTGATATGCGAAGGGGGCCATGGACCAATGCCTTGCGTGGGTAAAATGGATTGTCCTCATGGATTGATTGCCCTGGCGACGGGGCGACCAATGATGGAGGATGAAACACCGTTGAATTGTCTTTCGAGTTACAGGCATGTCAATTCGGAATGCAGGGATGAGACTGTGGATGTTCTATGTGGCCGAGGGTCCATGCCGGCTGGATTGGGGCCGATGTGAATGCTCGATGGTGTGGAATGTCGATCGTGATATCCGCAGATAGGACTCGGGACAGGCACTGGAGATGATCGCGCATCATTACTAGTCTAGATGCGTGGGATGCAAATATGGACTCGAGATTGAGTTCACAGATCTTGCTTTGGTGGTGAATCGATTTTTGGTATATAAGATCACTGGGACCTGAGTGGTAGATACTTGCTCGAGCATCAACTTTTTGGACATGATGGAGTGAAGTGAAGTTTCTGAAAAGGACAATGAGGATTTGTTTGCTCTCCTCCATCTTCCCTTAAAAACTGCTCGAATGAGGGAACAAGGGCATCAAATCACTCGTGGGCTCAGAGCCACTCCATACACCGCTTTTCCAGAAGTTGACATATTCCTTTTCGATTGACTTGATCGCCGCGCAATACCTGGGGGGCATGGCTTCCGGCGCGGTAAGTTTCATGGGTGGCCACGAGAATGAAATGTGCCAGCACCATCGGGAAGTGTCCGCAACTGCATACTCAGGCTGTTAGCAACTTTGTGCTTGCTAATAGACCGGAGCTTACTGCCCAATGTGACCGGTGTCTCATATAGGAAGGCAATAACTGGATGTATTTGCACTGGTCTAACACAAGTGTCATGAGGAAATTGTAATTTTTCATTTGATGCGCTGCTCAATGATTATGATAGGAAATTGTCAACAATTATCTCGACTTCAGTTCCAACGAATGATAGTCTCTAGATTGAGTATTATACAAAAGCTTGTTCACGACATTTGACCCAGATTATAAGGCACATATCTGCAGTGGCGCAGCCAAGGGGAGACTGATACCCCTGCTAGCGTTCCTATGCATACTCAAGAAAAGAGCCGCCTTTAACACGTAAACCCTTGAGATAAAGCAAGAATGGAAAGTCGGCGGGTACAGACGGCTACTCACTAACTCTGCCACGAGATCAGCCGAGGCCGTATAGATCACACGACCGTGATTGATCTGAAACGACCATTCTAGCTCCAGTTCCATTGAAGATAGGGGCACAGTAGCCGACCAGAGTGCCTGCCGAGGGCTCCACGTTGAAGCATCCTGTAGATCGGGGAATTCATGCCAAGGCTCGAGTCCGTAAAAGGTCAATGCTTTCAGTTTGAATTCAGTTGATAGATGGGTGGGTGGTAATTGGCCTTTGTGCGTGGGCACAAACCGCAAGTTGATCTTGAGTGGAGTCGATGCGTCTTTTGGTTGGAGGCTGTCCAACTGGATCGCAGGCGGCTGGACTGCCGATGCGACCAATGCACCAAGACTCGAACGAAGCATGCCTCTATTTGTATCCTTTTTTACTTGAAGTTGATAATGTCTGCTTTGTGAAATGAGGAGCGCCGCGCTTTCTTGTCGCACGGGGAGGATATGAACAGGGTAGATTGCTTCTCGTGCCTTTATCGCTTGGCGCCCCTTTAGAGCATCGCTATCCCATACTTCAAACTTGATGGCATAAGTGACTTTGGCTGCTTCAGGTGACATATCATCACCGACATTCACTACTCGAGAGACATGTCCAAGACTCGCAGGTAGTTGAAGGTGTTCATGCTGGATCTGAACATTGGCACAGTCATGGTGACACATTTGAACTGGCAGCTGTCGAGGAACGACAGTTAAATGGTACCTCGTACGTTCTTTCTGGCTCGAGCGTGTCTGAAAGACTATCGAACACTGGAAAGTCCATCCGAAGGAATGGTTTTTCGAGTACATTTGTCGATACGGGTACGTGAGTGTACATCGGCAAGATAAAATTTCGCCGATGTGCCGACCATCTCCCCACCCTCGTCAAGTGAACCGAGCACATCATCTGTAAATATTCCAGACTCTCGCCAAAATGAAGGCATTCACATCGAAAGTGCCGAGCGAGTCGGTAATCAAGCGACAGAAAAAAAAAGTCCATCGCGTGCGTATCCGGCCCACTCGCTAGTGCTCTACTAATGTCGTCAGTTGTCGCCGATGTCATACCCACAAAATCAAATGCTCCGGAGGCCAGCCCTGCTCCAAATGTCGGAGTGTAGGGTGTGCTGCCGAGTGTATATATGTCAATCGGGACCGACAGATTAAGGTCCATGAAAGGTAGGCGCATTGCCGCGGTATGCAGTCCTTGGCTCACAAGACCCAAGCTACCTCCAGGAACTTGCCGCTGAAAATGAACGGTTGCGCGAACAATTATCTCAATCACCGGGATTAGTGACTGTGGAAGATACTTGCCATCCTGAAGGTAATTTTCATTTTGCCACATATGCGATCAGTATGCTAAACACATGCACAGGTGTTCCAGACGCTGTACCAGATACAGACACGTACGTTCAAAATCCTATGCTTGGACAGCGCGGATGGTTCCAACCATATGATCCATCTAGGCCCCCAATTCATCTTGGCGAAGCCGCATGCACAGCGTTCGCAACGCGACTCCGACAGGTACTTACTAAAAGCAAGTCCACCTCTCACATGCCTCGCGTGCAGTATACGCCCGAGGCAACGCTGATGAAGATCCGCAATCCAGCAATACAATGGCCCACTTTACCACAGGCTGACTACTCATCCAAGTTGTCTTCAATCAAGTGAGCCGGGTTTATCATGTGATGCTCCGCAAATCGACGGTGGAGGAGCTGGAGAATGCCTATCGGCAGGCTGATTTTGATGATCCCGTGTTCACCTACAAATTCTTCGCTTTATTTGCACTAGGAGAGGTGTACTCGGCCCGTTCAAATTCTAGTCTTGAGTGTGACGTTCCTGGTGCTGCGTATTATGTAAATGCGCTGATGTTGATTCCTATCTTGCCTGAGCGACCGAGTTTGACACATATTGAAGCTTTGCTGTTGCTGGTAAGAGTCTCCCATGTAAAGCACAATTCTTGAAGCTAACATCACAGTCACTGTACTCCTACTTCTTGAATCGTCGATATTCTGGCTTCTTACTCGTTGGTAGTGCTATGCGCCTCGGCTTGACCCTGGGGCTGCACCACGATATTCCAGAATCTCAATGTCCTGATCCAGTCGATCGTCAGCACCGAATTCGACTCTGGTGGGGAATCTATGTCTTCGATCGCATGTTCGGCTCCAAGGTTGGCCATCCGATCCAGATCGCTGATGATGATATCTTCGTCGAGATGCCCTCTGATGTCCCAACCGAGGATCGAGATGAACCATTTTCCGACACTCAATTTCTCGTTGCAAGCATTAATCTTGCGAGAATGACAGGACATGTGATTGAGAAATTATACAGCCGCAAGAAACAGCCTGACTCGTTTCTCCAGCGGGAGCAAAAGTTGCTCATCGCCTTGAAGGAATGGTCACAAGGTCTACCGCCACATATCCGATTGAATCGGGAGGGACATACCCCAAAGAATGTAGTATCCTTGCACCTTCAATTGAACCAGTGCATCATGTTGGCGACTCGACCTATCCTCCTCCACACACTAATGCTACATCGATCCTCCAAGCCCAACGGTGACAAAGATACTCCGCAGACAAATACCCAGACGCTCAAGACACTTGGCGATGCATGCATCCACGCTGCAAGGCACACGCACTCGCTTATTGTGGAAGAATGGACCAACGGGTCCATGCCCATCTACGGCTACTTCTATGCGCACTATCTCTTTTCCAGCGCCCTCATCATGGTAATCTCCAGCGAGATTCATGCCGACAACTGCAGCGACTTTGCCCTCTTTGAAACTGCGACCGAAATTCTGCGTTCGATGAGCGACCATGGAAACCTAGCAGCCACCGAGTTTCACGATAACCTTGAATGCGTGCGACAGTGTATCAACAAAGAACGAGGCTCACAAGCCCGCAACTCCCTTCCCAGTAGGGTCTATTTGAATTCCACCGAATCGTTATCCCTTTTGACCGAACCAGCTGCAAGATCGAGTGAGATCGGGCTTCCAGAAGGTTTTTTACCGCCCGATGACATGGGATTCCTGGGACAGAACATGGAGGAGTTCCTGACGTTACCGGACGTGGATTTTGGGCCACTGGACCCGGGGATGCCGATCAATGCAGATACAGCGTACCTGTGGCCAAAATACTCGTTGTGGACTGCATAGTACATGTGCATGAGGGTGGGGTGGTACTGTGTGCTGGTATCATGATGTAGTGTCAGCCTAGCGCTCGTACCAGCTGGTACCTGATGACGAGTCCAACATCAGAGGGTGGTGCCACGCGCGAGTGCACCACTTGCGATCGAGGTCACTTGAAATGAGTCCGGTAGCCATCAGAATTGTATATAGGTCATCTTATCACCATTTTTTTGTTTCCATTTATCCTCATATTCTATTTCAGTTCTGCTTCAAAAAGAAAAAGTTCCAAAGTCAGCTGTGAATAAACTTGTTGCGAACCCGTGGATCAAACTCCCCCGCAGTGGGTCAACGTGTGCCTGACCGCCCCCCGATTTGCCTGACGCTGCCTGTTCGTCGATCAGGTTTGACTTGCGATTCTTTGCATCCTGCACATCTTGCACCTCAGGACTGTGACCCCATGGTGCCATGGCATCTACTTCAACCCACTGGGGAACCCTCATCAACCCAGACAAGAGCCCTGCACCTCTACTTGAGCAGCTATGTTTGGGCATCGCACAGCTGATGGTAAGCACGTAACATATTCGCATGTCTCACACAACTGACTTTTGACCCTGAATAGCCTTCTTTTGATTCAAATGGCACCTCAGATTTGACACCCGATCGGTTAGCCGCATTCTACCGTAAGGTTGGCGGCAATTATGACCCACTATTCCTCGCAACTAAGGCCCAGTCGCTATCCTTCATCTACCAGTCACTGGGATGCTTTCATAGCCTTCAACCTTCGACAAACCCGTATGAACCGCCATCTATCCCGTCACTTCTACCGAATGGCTTTGTGCGGTGGCAGACAATTCAGATTTTAATGGACCCGGACGAGCACTCGCGGTTCCTGCAAGAAGCAGTCAAACAGTGGGATATTGTCGACGCCCAAGGACAAATCTTTCCTAAAGAGATACCCCGAGACGCCTTTCCCTCAGAACCCGACCCGGAGATGACGCAGTGGCATGAGGGCGTGTGTCGACGACTAGAGTACGACTATGTCAAACGGAATGTCCAACATCATTCACCTCCGAATTTTGGGGCTTACCCTCACTACCATTTCAGCGGCAAGGATCCGCTTCCCGACGAGGAGGATTACTTCGCGCGGAATCCCCGCAGGTCGAACACTCGGCGCCAAAGTCATTATGATGCAGAACGATCTAGTGGTCGGCGTCATCATCACAGGCGGCTCAGCGCAGAGTATCCTGCGTCCAGCTCCCGCAGGCATGAGCCAGCATATGCTCCACGTCCTGATGGCGGTAGATCAGGCGGGACATCACCAAGAGAACTTTCACCCACTGGGTTTGCCGAACATTCACGCCATTCTCAAGGCCGAGACCGGCCATCTGGGTACACACGGGACACAGAGGATGTACCCGATGACCTGGACTTTTCAGATAATTCAACGCGCCACGAAGATAACGACCTAAGACCCCGAGCCAGGCACAGCTCTCGCCATCACAATCTTTCACCTCCAACAGACTCCCGGGCACGCCGCCATTCACACGACGCCTACATACGCAAACCGGCGCGAGAACTCTCCCCATCCTCGAAAAGACGCTATGAAAGCTACGACAGACGCTCCACAAAACCCAGCAAAATGACCTCCGACAGACACCGCGAGGTCCGCTCACAATCCCGGCCCCCAGGTGTCCAATTCCGTAACTACATTTTCGATCCAGCCCAAGCCCCAGCTCCAGCTACAGCTCCAGCCCCAGACCCACCACAATACGCCGTGCCCCCACCTCCGCCACGAGGCCCACCCCGCCACCGGTACGATGCCTATTTAGCCGAAGACGGCAGAAGAGGTAGTTATAGCGGCGGCAGCACAGGCGGAAGTCGACCTAATAGTGGAGGAAGCGGATCTGAGAAACCAAGATCGTATAGTAGTGCAGGGCTTTATCCTCGCACCGGTAGATGGACTAGTCCGCAACGTAGCTCGGCCGCGAAAAGGTACATTCCGACAAGGGTGGCAGAGGATCCGGGATATATACCTTCCCCGCGGAGGGCGATATGATTGATGATTTACGAAAGCGTTCAATTCTTTGCTTTTCTTCATAGTTTCCCTTTCAGGCGTTCACTCGCATGTGAGCATTTCTACTTTTCATTCTCCTGTGATGCTTGGAGATTTTGGATTGTACTTTTTTTTTTTGCACTGGGCTTGGTACTAGCGAGTATATTACGATTTTATGATCAATGAACCATGTCGGGAAAAAGCTATTGCCTATCTAGCCCGACAATTACAAGATGACTCTGTATCTTTATAGCCTGATGATCAAACTTTTCAAGATCTCGAGGAAGTAGTTTGGAAGTATCGCTAAGGGCCAGCGGTACATGACGCTGAAGTCGGGGTGATGTTTGGTAGCTATCTCCGGGGTGACCTTGAATATATGAATGGGATCTCAGATTTTGAAATGTGCTCCTTAGCTTTTTGTCATGTTTGAATCAACAGATCAGAAACAAGTCTTTGGTATTAAATATCAATCGTTGACTTAAAGGAAGGATCCAATATCAATAAAACATCTTGTCCACTGCTGCCATAAAGGCCGGCGACCCTTCACGATAAGCGACCAAGTCATCATTAATAATCAACTCCTCCAATCTCTTTTTCTTGTAACCTTTAATCTCCCAGACGTCGGACCCAATCAACTCCTGTATCTTTCCAGCTCCCCAGATCCTGCGACAATACCATGCATTCGCAAGGGGCTGTCCTTTCTCCAGGCGGTCTTGCATTTGCCGAGCTACTTCTTCTAAGCTGTGTCGAAAGATGGTCGGGGCAGTGTTGTATCGTTTTACCAGAGCGTTTGCAACATCGCTACCCGTGGCCTGGATCTCGGATAGACCGAAGACCTTATTCTCTAGCTCAGAGATGGGTGTCGTGGCGAAGATGGCTGCGTATGCGGCTGCGACGTATTCTCTCGTGCTGCAAGTCCAGATATTAGAGAACATTCTTACTGGAAGGTTGTATGAACTTGGAATAGCATATGACCTACCAAATATTCACGATTTGGTGTTCGCTGTCCCCACTGAATACAATTCGATTGTTGAGTACATCGACTCCAAGCATACTGAAATTCATAAATGTTAGTTTTGATTTCCATGGTAGACTTGGCACGATAAACGATATTTACCCAGTATTTAGGAATGACTCTGCGAAGAGGCCGGGAAGAATAATGGTTGTCGCGATGCCTGCCTTTTTTGCCGCTTGCTCCACTTCGAATTTCTGTTGATTGATGGGAACTCGCAGGCCTTGTTCATCGCAACGGAAAGCAAGGTCTGAAGGGACGAATAGCTTGACGGTGGTTTGAGGAATGGCTTTCACGAGCCCATGTTGCCGAGGAACACCTTCTTGGCCGACCAGTGAGCTTTTGGGTGGTCAGCAATCAGAATTTCCCAACAGTTCCGGGGTAAGTAGGATGGCGAAAGGCTTACATGACGATATCAACATCTTGTAATGCGGCCTCCACAGCCTGTTGGTCTTCCACATCTACAGCGACTGACTTGACACCTTCAGGAAGATCACTGACGTCGGAGCTCGGACGATAAAGGACCTTGACCGGGGCACCGGACTGCACCAGGGCGGCAAAGATAGCAGAGCTGGCCCAGCCCCGATGTCCGTAAATAGCGATTCGATTATAGGTCATTTCGTATGTTGATCTATGCGCGCAAGCGATGATGATATTTGCTGTCTGATTGTAATGGGTCTAACTTCCATGGGGGGGGCGCTCATCTCTTATACTTAAAACGAAGAAGATGCAAAAGGGCGCTGCGGTGTTTGCCTAGATTGTAAAAGCGCCGTTCAAAACAGATAAAAGATGTCACCCGCCACTATTTCTAGATTTTAATCGTTTCAACGAGATCTTCGCCAATGAAAATGAGCGGTATCGATACAAGCCTTGCTAAGACACTGTGTTTGAATAATTTGGGCTGTTTGGATACTGTTTGTTGTGTTTGAAACGCCACAGTTGAAGTGTCTCCGTTTATGGTTGACTCCAGCCCAGTGACCCACGACGGGTGCCCGTTCGGCGTTCGGCGTATATCACCGTTTCTAGATTCCCCAGGCTACCCCTAGGTCCGTGCTGATAATCTTACATGTCCGTGTCCTCTCAGCTTTACCTTTCGTCCACAATGAACTAGGTGCTAGCCTGCTATCATTGGCCACATTTAGGATCCACAGATCATCTTTTACGGGTGAGCCCGTAGTGTTCCACCGGATCCGTGCCTCTGACAACTGCTACTACAGTCCTTAAAGGCTTAAAGTCTCCAGTGAGTATCATCAAATCGGAGGTGAAAGAATTCTCCCACTTTCCGTGTGATCTCCGATTCTGGTCGCGGTTATCTATTATTGGAAGGCTTTATTCTACTCAAGATGCAAGTATTGGCACATAAAGGCCAGCTCTACTGATTTGAAAGGTCTTTAATTCTTACATATACATACACTGGCTAGACTGGAGAGAACCTCTATATTCTAGTCTAGATAAGAAAAATCGTCTAATTTCCCGGCGACACCTTATCTGGGACGACAACAACATACAGGAGAAAGAAAGAATCAAACTGGAAGGAAAGGCTTAAAAGAAAAGACAAAAAGACTGTTGACACCCGAGTGTCCACCTAAGGAAGAAGATACCTAGTAGATTAGAGTTTGTTTGCTGCCGTTCTAAGGATATCCTCGAACTCCTTGGTGGCATCTTGTGGTACCTCAAACGTCTGAATCACAGCATGCAACCCATTCTTCTTAATCCAGTCTTTAATTGACTTGGCCTCGGCTTGCGCAGCCGCCTGCCAGTGGGAGACATTGGCGGTTCGGGTAGCGCCTGGTTTCCCATCGGGTCTGGTATCGGGCACCTGACGGGTGTCATCGCTAGGGCGAAATGAAACCCGATGTTTTTCAAATCCCGTTGAGAAGTCAGGAATTTAGACTTGTCGACCATCAGAGGCTCGGTTCGGACTACATAAGCCTCTGTCCTTCCAAACAGACATCTGGTCACTTGGATGCTCTTTATGGAATATCGTAGGACCAAAACTCACTTTTTGACGGCCTGTTGCGACCGAAGATAGCATTACTTGTGAGCAAGTTGATGGACTTGGTATACAGCCCCCAGAATGGTGGTTTCAATGGGAGGGGCGAAACAGTAGATTCACCGAAATTGGGAACCCAAAAAATCGGGACCCTTTTCGGTCGTGGGATGACAGGTTCGAACAAGATATGCAGGAGCCTCGGCAGAGGGAAGTAAGGTCGCGTATTGAACCAGCCGAGACGGATGCTATCTCCAAGATGCTAAAGTCGATGCTTACATTCAGGCCTGAGGAACGCCCTACTGCGAAGCAGATTCTCGAGTGTGAATGGGTGGTCAAATGGGCTTTGCCTGAGTACGAGAAGAGTGGAAAGATATGATTACAGCTATTTGTGGCCTTATTTGACCTACTTCTCCCATGGCATTCTCCATCTTCAGTCATTCTCTCTGACAACAGCAAAGCACTTCCTTTGTAAGAGTTATCTGGGTACTGCCTCATGCTTCTATCGTCTATATGCGAATTGACAATCAAGATCGATTATCTCGTAAGTCCGACTTTCTTGGACCATTGAGATGGTGACGATAGAGTTATACTTACTTCCGTATCTTGAGCTTGTTTGCTACTGAGAATCTAAAAGTTTTTGGGAACGTGGAATAATTTCCTTGGGGACAGGAGGCCAAATGACTAGAAAACCATACCACGTTCGAGAGGGTACGATTTTTGAAGCGAATCAATATAGATACACATGTATTACATGTATAACCTTTAGATATACGCAAATTCGTCTTGTGTCCTTCTGTTATATGCGATATATTATACCCTCGATCGATGCGAGTTTGCTAAATACAATGTATCCACTCACTCTGGGCTGCCACACTGCCCATGATGAAAGTTCCAAGCCAAATTCCACCCAAAACAGACAGGAAGTATCCGAGGTTCATCGTCATTACCGCGATCATCCTGTGGTACGTTAGTGTCGATAATTTTTCTCAAAGATATAGTCAAACTCACAGTAGATATGCAACTCCAGCAATGACCATCTCACACGTAGCTCGCCCAGCGGCAGGGTTAACCCGCCACCTGGACCAACGATTGCCGAGCTCTTGCATACTCAGGTGAACACCAGACATGTGCTTTGTCTGAGTATCAGGCTTTCCATCAATTGTGGCGTGTTGCAAGCCGTCCGTCCATAATCGCCCCTCGAGAACAGGTCGAATGGCAATGAGAACGCGGAGAATCACGGCGAGAACAATCAAGAAGATACAGGTGCCAGCGTATTGACCTTTTGAGGTTGGTGTCCAGTCTTCCGAGAAAAGGGGTGTCTTGAATGAGGTGAAGAAGGTCATGATCATCTCAGACATGGACATTGTCATTGATGAGTCGGACATGCCAGACATGCCAGACATGCCAGACATGCTGGAAGTGGCAGTTGAGGAGGCCATGGACATTGTCATGGACATGGTGCCCGTTGACGTCGCTGTCGCCATTGACATTGATGTTGTCATATCACTCATGTCCATTTTGGCGGGTGAAAAGGGGAAGACTTGGAATTGCCCCTATTCGTTCAGCTGAGATGCGCAAATCGAGTAATTACTGCGTCCAGCCAAGTCGAGGTATCACCCCATAAATATGCCGCAATGGAAACAAAAGAAAGACGGTCACACGAGAAGAAGAGCCTGACCATAAAGTATTCTATCAATTCACGACAAAGGCCCCCACCCTATGAACAGGGAAGTGATGACTACATTCACCACTGGAACATGCGGGTCGGTTTCGGCAATCCCCACATCTAGCAAACCAATTTACCAGCACACCACCCAGCCTGCTCATATTAGCTCTCTCGGGCATACTATACCTTATTCTACCTGGCTTTGCGCTGATTTCTGACTCGAGCTATGGGGCCGAATGGGCTGATATCCCACGCAAGGCCACGATGCGTCCAGTTTCGATGCTCGGATCGCGTGTGCATATCCAGAGTTGGCGATTCGGGATCTTGATTGGTAACACGCGGGAGGGGCCGACACGGGAAGATCCACTGGCAAATGCACGCAAATGTGCTCACCTTAAACCCGCGTGGACCGCGCGTGGCTTTTGTATCTTGGACCAACTGTCATGACTTCGCCCTGACTATCATGAACAGAATAATAGAGGCTACTGAGTCATCTGTGACACATGAGGATAATTGGATCCAGATCAAAGAGCTGTATCGCGAGGATGAGGATGAAATCTGCAACGCAGACTACAGATCGTGCGAGTTTCTTAGACAAGAGTAAAGAAAGAAGTATGAGGCCGGAGCTTTGACACGCCCAGAACTGATGGCTCTAAGAAGCTACATGGGTCGAAATGAGCGCGTTGGAGCAAGATAAAAGCGGCTGGATTTGCGCAATTTCAGAGTGGATCTTTTCCGATCAAGGAAGCTCAAGCGCGTTGCTGCCCCGGGTATATGGCTGCTATTTATTAATACTGCCCATCTCGGTGGTCTGCAATTGATATCACTAGACTTGACTTCTGCATCTTTCTGTACACAACCCTGTCGTGAGAGGACTCCGACACCGTCTACTTCACCATGGGAATGTTACCATGGCTGGACCAGCCGGTCATGCTGCACTCTAACCGCAACCCGGGGACGTGCACGATGACTGCCGAGCAATGTGCTTACAAGACTGCATACTGGAGGTTTTGGTACCAAGCAGACCATCGCTTCTCGTTGCCAACCGTGGCATTTTTCATGGTGGCCATTGGCATCTTCACGATCGCCCACATCTTGACCCTCATCTTTCCAAAAAGTTTTCAAAAAAACCCACTCTGGTCACGTCTGGTTGCGTTGGCTCGATTCCTGTCTTACAAAAGCTGGAGGATAGCAGGATGGAACACAAATTCACTTGGTGTGATCCTCCTCGGAGGTGCAGGTCTCGTCTACTTCCTGTCAATGACTCTCGGACCAAAGCCTTATTACTGGCCTAATACCAAGGAGATCAGCTATGGTAGCTCTCCTCCTATCGCTACCCGCACTGGCTTCTTGGCTCTTGCCTGTATGCCATTCTTGATCGTCCTCGGTGCCAAGGCTAACCCGATCACTGCGTTGACGGGGGTCTCTCACGAGAAGCTGAATGTCTGGCACAACTGGGTTGCTTGGGCTATGTTTGTTCTTGCCTTGATCCACACCTTTCCTTTCATTGTGGTGCATATTCGCAAGGGTGACATTCGCGCGCAGTGGAATGATGGCGGTGTCTGGGTCACTGGAGTCGTTGCCATCATTGCGCAAGCTTGGCTGACGTTCATGTCTATCCCGTGGATTCGGTACGTACCTACTGACCTACTGATTTTACGGGTTGTCAAGCGGCATTCTGACTATGGATTTTAGCAATCGCTACTACGAATTCTTCAAATCGACCCACCTCTTCATGGCCCTCGTTTTCGTCATCTTTTTCTTCTTCCACTGCGACTTCCGTATGTCTTCATGGGACTACTTTATCGCCACCGCGGTGTTGTATACTCTTTGTTGGCTATACGCCCAGTGCAAGACCTACTTTGAGCACGGGATTCGAAACAAAGCTCGACTTACCGCCGAATCGAACGATACCCTTCGCATTACCATTGATACAACCATGGAATGGGGACCTGGACAACACATCTTCCTTCGATTCTTGACGTGTGGTGCGCACGCTCTTACCGCGCACCCGTTCACCATCTGCTCTGTCCCCCAGCTCGGACGGAAGAACACACTGGTCTTCTATGTCAAGGCACGTGGTGGAGTCACGGGTCGGCTTATGGCCATGGCTAGGAAGACCCCCAACGTGCAGGTCCCAGTTCTGATGGACGGTCCGTACGGTGGCATCCCAGCTGGAAAGCTGGATGATTTTGACAAGAATCTCATCATTGGCGGAGGTGCTGGTGCGGGTCTGACATTGTCCATGGTGGAAGATTTTGTTCGATTTCCAAACACAGGCGAAAAGAGACAGTTGAAGGTCATTGTTGCGACCCGTGATCCTGGCATGCGTGCTTGGTATATGCGTGCCTTGGAAAATATCGCCGAGCGGCAGTCCTGCGAATCAGTTGTTTCGGGACTATCAATCCACATTCACGAGACCTTTACTATAAACGCTCGCTCGGAGACTGAGACTAAGGAACTGGAGGTCAAAAATCAAAGTGTTGAGTCTCAGGAATGCAATCCACTTACAGCGGAGATCTTTGGAATTCAGGTTTACACTGGGCGCCCCGATTTACCAGCATCCATGCGCCAGATGGCAAGTCAAGAGGGTATCTCTGTTGGCGTTGTCGTATGTGGACCTTCGTCTATGACTCACGATGTTAATCATGCTGCTTCAGAAGTACAAAGCCAGATTCTTGGGAGGAAGGCAGGCATTGCTCGGGAGTTGTGGCTTCATACCGAGAGCTTTTCTTATTAAGTAGTATATACCCCATTGTAGATCTCAAATCAGATTCTCAAAGTGCTGTTTTATCAAAACCAAGCGTATGGGATGATCAGAAGTTCGGTGGGCGCTTTCCTTGAGTCAGCGCCGCTCCGATCCAGAGACTAGTGCCGCACATACTATTTTGGTTTGGCTACAGGATCGACCGGGACAATTCTGCTTAATTTTATCAAACTGGGCTGGATGAACAATTGGCGAACTCGAAATACCGTAGGACAAGCACAGTCGCAATCAACTTTTTTTTCTTTCCTCGAGCGCTATTGCTGAGTTCGTCCCTTTCCATGGCGGCAAGGGTCCAGTAAGATGCCGTTGGAAGATGTCTACAAATCGGCAGGTTCGCCTCTAGAATTGCTGCCGGGACTTGATGCCGATTTATCGGAGCACTATTATACTACGACTGCGATGTCTTATGTTAATTCCCCCCCAAATATGACTTGATATGTACGAATGAGATGACAACCTGGCAAAATTGCAATCATTCATTTTATTAGACATTGAATTATGATAAGTATGTACCAGAAACGATATTCACGAAGCAAGTCATGTGTCTGCTTTGATGCCTCCCTACTCCTCGAGACGCCACCCACCACTAGTCCGCTTCTGGAAGAATCCATCAGGATCATAGCGCAAGCGAGCTTCAAGCGCATACTGCTTAGACTCGGGCTTGATACGGCCCCAGTAGTCCTGTCGGAAGTAGGCATCATTCATGAAAATCGGTCGGTAGACGTCCGGAAGAAGACCCTCGTCAATGTTTTTTTGTACCAGATTGCCCATGCCACCGTACAAGTTTTGGTTGGCTTGATCGATCTTCTCGTCGTCTGCGGCAAAGGTATATGAAAAGTCTAGCTCGATGAAAATGTAGTTTGTGTCGGTTGGGACGGAGAGAAGATCCTATGCTTTGTTAGTTTTGGGGGGGTTTTTTTCTGGCTAATCGGTAATAGAGCAACTTACACCACCGCGCTCAACGGCTTTCTGAGAGAAAATCTTCGGCACTGGCTGGAAGGCGATCGACCCAAGCACTCCAGGGACTTCGAGGATAGACCCGGTCACATTGTACCAGTGGTCGTAATAGTCCTGCAGCACGGAGGAGCCAACAGCTTTGCAGGGACGGGAGTGGTTTCGGTGGCAATTGTGTAGCGTTGGCCACTATTGAGGTTAGCATTGCTCGGGACAAATGTGTTGGATAATCTTACTGGAGGATGAAGAAATCATTGTTCTTCAATAGGTCATAGTAGCTATTCCAGGTCTTGGCCGTGGAGGTGTGAGCAATCGCAGTGAATTCATCGAACACACCCACCGGAGGCTCAGGCCCATCGTAGAAGAGGAACATGATCCAGAAGTCGATGATTGCCCCACGCTCGGAGGTCAAAATAATGGCAGCCTTCTCATCCGGATAGTCGTCAACAAAGTTTCGCAGAGCCTCCAACACCTTGGGAGTCTTGTCGGCAGTGAAGACGTAGTTGCCGCCCCAGACCTGACCGATAGGATGTGTCTGCATAGTGTATGCGGTGACAACACCGAGGTTGTTGCCACCACCTTTCAATGAGTGGTAAAGATCTATATGGGATTAACTCTGTCACATTTGGCTGGCCCTCTCAAGTATCACTTACCGACATTCTCTTTCTCATTAGCATCAACAATTGTGCCGTTGGCCAGAACGACCTGGTAGTTGGCCACATTATTCGCAGCCCATCCGTACTGGGTACTCAAGAAGCTCATCCCGCCTGGCCACGTTAGAATCAGACAAAAGCCTTCTTTGGGGTTGACATACATCCGAGCATGTATCCTCCAATACCAACACCGCCAAGCCGGCCACCGACAACAGCACGGCCGGTACCATCCAAACCCTTCTGCGCATCCTCCCAGGACAGACCGGGTCCAATGACCGCAGTTTCATCGTCGGGGTTGTAGAAAACCTGGTCAAGGTTCTTCGTCGAAACAAGCAGACCATCCTGAATACTGGCGAAACCATTGTTAGGCATGTGTCCCCCAGACTTGACGGCAAAGAGCGTATCGAAATTATGCAACTCGGTGATGACATGCGACATTTCTTCGGCACTAGCTGGGGCCGCAATGCACGTTGGCTTCAGATCGCCGCATGCTGCTGACCAGTACTTGGTCAGATCACTCGAATAATCCAGCGTTAGGGGGTACTCGATATCAATCCCAGCTTGCTCGAGCGTCGAGCAAATATTAGCGTGGGTCGCAGGCGCGAGCGTAGCAATGACTAGCGCCAGGGCGCGCCAGCTAGGGCTGGGAATCATGGTAGAGGAAGAGCGACTGGTATAGGATGCAAGAAAGAAAAGAAGAGATGAACCAACCCAAATCCTTAGTATGAGACTCGAACCTATGATAAAAAAAAAACCGATTGGACTGGAACAGAATGCCTCAATTCAGGATCACTTTAAGAAGAGGAACCACAAGAGATTTATATAGTCATGCTGAAGGCGCTTTTGAAAGAATCGGACAATATCCATCAAGCCACTGCCTCTCCTGGTGGAGCCGGAAGGATGGAGCTGGACAAGCCACTACTGTATCGGGCTTCTGCAAAGACCTTCTTAATGCACATACCGCAATTCCCCGCGCGGCTATGGAGCATCTGGCAGTCTATTTCCGTAGCTTAGCTGCCAATCAAGCAATGCAGGATTGATGGCTCTCCCCATCTCGTCTTTTTCTAAGCATTAGTGGGGTCGTTAGGCTCTGATGTGAGGGGCACATGGCGAGGCGGATGGTTTACTGGAGACCTCGGGTTCCTTGTCGGGGGGAATCCCTACTCGAGTGGAACCACTCGGACAAAATTCTGTTCTAACCGAGAGAGTTTGTTTGCTGTCGATCTTAGGAATATGCATTACAGAAAGCAAGCTCTTGGTGGCATGGGAGCTTCTCTACCCGAACCGAGAGACAGTTACCGGGCGATCGCCATTTTGGGCAATAGCGCAGATGGTATCTTTGCGCCAGGAAAGGGGCTTGGAATTGGCATGTCACTGGGCACAACGAAGAATCGTGGTGAAGGATCCGCAGGAAGTCCAAGCACTTTGATCGCGATGTTCATGCTATGGCGTCTTCTTGAGTGAGCCTTATTCGGGCAAAGGCTTGACGCACATGAATCATTGTGAAGGAATATAAGGAACAAAATCAGGGCAATCGTTGAAAAGGTCGTCGCACCAGATGCAGCATTAAACACACTGGACTCTTGTTGTGATCGAGAGCGGAGAGACATAGATTGACAGGGTCCCACGCTCTGGTAAGCTTACACAGTGGGCCGTGCGGGGATGCCCCTGAACAGTTCCTGGAAGAGGGCAAGCCACCGCCGCGCCTAGACAAATGCCTTCGCTTAGACCAGTTCAGCAATGATGTGCGCTGAACATCAACTTATTAGGCTCTTGGGCCGGTATCTCCGGCATGATCGCCCTGCCGGAGCAAACTAGAGAAAGAATACTCCGGACAGGCAGATCCGAGTGTGGGGTTTCTTCTCACATGAAGCCGTGTACGGTACCGAGGTGACCGATCGCTTTTCCAGACGAGAACGCGAGCACTACCTAGGATGAGACGCTCATAGAAGAAGGGTCCGAAGAGGTAGTCAATGGGAAAACTCCTCAGATCTGAGATATTGACGGGGCAGTGGGCCCGCGAATTGGAGATTGTCTTGGCTTGCCCATATTTGAAAATCTTACGACGGGTGGAAACCATGGATGTATGTGATGCCTAGGCAAAAGTACTCAATGGAAGTACGAAAGAAAATGTAGTAGATGTGTCGACTGATGGGGCTTCGCAAACCAGCACCAGTCACGAGACAATCGAGCTAAGAGCTAAAACGACACAAATACAGCAACGATCGCTGCTCGGAAGAGCTGCGAGAGATGGCACTTTGGTCTGCCACATCAGCGAAGTCTCCTACTGTACATGGATCAAGGGCCAAATGTAAGCCACTGGATCTCGGGGCTTATTGAATCTTGGCGTATACCGTGTGATCCGAAACGTATTCCAAAAACCTCACTGCGACCTGAAAATTGAGACTCGCTTGAGCTATGGCCATCAAGCATGCACCCATCTCAGGCTTCGCAAGGAGGTAAATCAAATGAAACAAACGTCTTCCTCCGGATCTGGTCGCGTGAGGACAAGTCACGAGACCGAGCTGAGCTGAGACCGCCTTAGGCGGTGTGTGGTTGTGCCAGTCAAATGATCCAAGTTTCGCGATGTTCGCCAGTCGTGGTTTAACTGACAACCACGAGTATGGTATTTCCGAGGACGGGGTTGCTTCGAAGCCTGTCCATTGCGAGACAGCTTTGCGTGCGATGTGCTGTACGGCAGAGACAAGCAAAATGCCTGCTTCCCGCTCCTGTGGCTCGCATGCCACAGCTTGCACGGCGCTCGCTATCCACCACGAGAACTCTGAGGTCACTTATCGCCCATGAAATGGAAATTGAGGTATGTTTTGCCGTCAATGAAGCTATTGGGGCTATCTGATGAGGTTTTTTTAGGATCCCGCCGCTAGAGACCCGCCGACTGCGGAAGAGCTGGAGTTGGCTCGCCTGAACGCCGAGTATGAGAAGACCCAGGACATACGACAATACCTGAGGCAATGGCAAGCAACTGTTCCTCAGATCCTGGATTCGGTTCAAGACCCAGGGCTTAACACTCCTGTCAACGTTCTTTCTGGCACCATGAACGGCCGTAACTCCGAGGAAGGCTACCGAACTTCTCAATTAATGGAGCAAACCGATCTTGACGTATCGGAGGAATTTGAGGGTGACCATCTGGAACCTGGTGATATGCTTTGCTTGATGAAGGGAGATGGCACATCTTCCTTGGCCATATACGTGCAGTCTGTCAACAGACAGAGGCAATTCTATACCGATCGTGGATTGTGGCGTATTTGCCCTGCCGGTGAATTGGATTATGTCGTGAAGGGATTTGCTCCCCTTGAGTTGCTTGAGCCTCTTAAAACGTATCTACCAACTGAACTCGTTCGTCCCATTTCCGACCTCCAACTTGTTGCGGAGGGTGGCATCCCGAGACCAATCGGGGCGCCACTCCTGGAAATGATGGGCAATTTCTCTGATCATGTGGCGGATTTCACATTGGAGAACGCCCAACGTTTGGACAAAATATACGAAATTGTGGCCGATGACCAGGAATTCCAACGACTGACCCTTGATGAATTGACGACGAGGGCTTTGGACATCGATGAAACGGAACTGACAGCCGTCAATCTCTACGCCGTTCATCAAGCGGTACGCAATCACCCTTTTCTCATGGAAAAGGACTCAACCTCCTTGTTCTGCAGCCTGTACATGGTGGAGCCGAAAAGAATCGCCAGAATTGTTGGGACAGTCACGACATGGGTCCACGAACACCAAAACATTCTGATTGAGGAGCTCGCATCATCTAAGACCGCATCTAAGTTTGGTCATCCGCTGCAGTTGTTCATCCAAAAGGCACAGCGACTTATTCGCTCGAGCCGAAAACTTCGTTCGCCAACAATCATGTCTAGCGTGGGACCCACAACTCAGCAATTTGAGCCCGGCGAGGATGGCAAGCCGATGCTGTACCGTGAAGTCTTAACAGAAAAATTTACGGACAATGATCGCATCATTCTAGAGTACTTGCAATTGTTTGCGATTCCATCGGTGATTATGCCGTCGGGGACCTTGCGATCTGCAGCATCGCACATTATGCGCGCAACGGGCATGTACAATACCCTCGGCCTCAGTGAGGCATCAAGCCGCCTCTTCCTGCAGGAGATTGGTGTCATTTCTCCGTGGGAGAACCTCGGCCTTCTCGATCAGAGTCTGCTCCTTCCGGGTCACGGCATGTCCCTTTTTGAGGATATGAGATGGGAAGAGATCGAGGAGACTTGCCAGAATCTTTCTCTCACAGACTCGATGCAAAGCCTTCGGAAGGACTGGGGTGGTTTGCCAGTCTACTGTATAGACGATGTTCATGCTCAAGAAATTGACGATGGCGTTTCTTTGGAACGGATCTCCGGCTCGAATGACACTTTCTGGATTCGCATCCATGTCGCTAATCCAACAGCTTTCCTGCGCCACGACGACCCTATCATGGAGTATGCGGGCTCTCGGTGGTTCACCACCTATGCTCCAGAGCGTACCTACCCCATCTTCCCGAGCTCTTTTACACAAAAAAACTTCAGTCTGTCAGCTGGCCGGCCGACCTTGACATTCAGCGCGAAAATGAACCTACAAGGCGAGATTCTCGACACCGAAGTGACAAACGGAATTGTCCGTAATGTGATCAATATTACACACAACAAACTACGTGAGCTCTTCAAACCTGACGGAAAGGAGTCACAAAAATCATTACAAGTCGGCGGTACTCCCATCGAACAGCCTCTAGCTGCCGATCGAGTCATACGCGATACCCTTACACCAGAAGATCAAGACACTTTCTCGACTCTTCGCAACCTAATGCTAGGCTTCCGGACCCAGCGCCAGAAGAACGGCGCGATGGATATGCAACGCTTAAAACCCAACCCGTCCGTTTCCGTCCAAATGGGCACAATTCCTGCAAAGCCATATGAGATGCAGATCACAGCGGGCAAGACCTTCATCGGTGACCCTAGGATTCAACTTCGTATTCAAAACTTTGACTCCCACGAAGTCCCGGACGAATCTAAAGAAAATCTCGTCTCTCTACTCATGAATCTAGCTGGCCACATCGCGGGTCAATTCTGCGCTACTCGCAATATCCCTGCTGTCTTCGATGGAACTTGGTATGACCCGGAATACAGACGTGTTACACGCGACAACATCGCTGAGTTCGGCGGCAAGAAATTCTTCCAGTACGCCATGCCAAAGGCTCTGTCCAAGTCTAGTCCCGTCAAGCACCATTTCCTGGGCATAGATGCATATGTCAAGAGCACGAGTCCGTTACGTCGTTTCACCGATGTGATTTCCCATTACCAAATCGAGGCGGCTTTGCGTTTTGAGCATGAGAACGGTCGCCAGTTTAATGCTGCCATCGACTTGCCAGATGAGCCCGAGCTTTCAGCCGAACTTGAAGATGAATCTGAACTTGTGCAGTCAGAGTCGCAAGCCGAACCAGCCGCTCGAAAACAATCTTCTCAGCCACTCCCTTACACGCAAACCGATTTGGACAACATCATCCACTTCGCTCAGCCCTTAAAAACACGTCTCAATGAAATCTCCTCCTTCTCACACCAACACTGGGCCTGCATGCTCCTCTTCCGCGCCTTCTACTTCGCCGAATGCGAACTCCCACCTTCATTCCCTGTCGTCTTGCGCACGCCGCGACTTACCAGGCTCACGCCTGACGACGGCCTTGTCTACTCGGGCTTCATCACAAATTTGGGTGTTAGATGTACGGTCACCATTCCGGATCATTGTCCGGGTCGAGAAGAAATGGACGTCTTCGGTGTGGTTGAGGCTACTCTTTTGGCAGTTGACATGGCGAGACTGGAGGTGAAGATGGAGGCGACTAAGTTAATCAGTCCTTTCGAAAGAAGGGGCGAGTGGGCTTAGGCTTGTCTCGTGATATGGCTCTGCCTTTTGTACTATATGTATTATAAACGATATATCGAAAGATCTTCACCGAATACCTTATGCCAGGCGTGAGATCACTTTACACCCAAGTCTACATTGAAATGTCTCGGATCGTACCCTTCAATCCGAATCACGGGGTCAAAGAATCTTCAGCCCTGGAGCTAGGCCTTGTTTTATTAATTGTCGTAGTATCTTCAAGCTGATCTTCTTACAGATTCTTCGAACTATGCTCTGCTTAAATCCAATGTATGAGACTCATTCCTGGTCTTCGCTGGACAAGAAGTCATGCCTGATTACACCATCCGTTTCTCCTCTAGTAATCAGAGGTGGTCACGAATGACAAATTTCCACTCCTTCGCCACCATGTATACCACTAGCAGGCTGGAGGCGAAAAGAAGACCGCATGTTGCTACTATAAATACGACACTGATCCAGAGTGACATGTTCATTGTCCAATTATTACTTCCAGCATCATTTCCCACCGATGTGACGATCTGCAATCCGCTCAAAATCACAGACACAAACAGCTAAAACAAACAAATTTGGCGCATAGAATCGTGCAAAGTGTGCTGCGTACTGGTAGTCGACTCTTTAAAAATGTGACCTGCCCAGAAGTATTGGGGCATAACGGTTCAATCGGATCAGTCGTATTTCGCCATAGGCATAGTCAAAGCTGCTAGTTTGTCTCCTCGATACTGGTACTGTCCATATCAATTCAAGAGATGACTTCGGCGCCACATCGCTATCCAATGCCGCCCGAGGTGGACACGAGACCGTAGTTCGGATTCTTCTCGACACTGGCAAGGTAGAGGTTGACTCAAGAGACGACGGGGGCTTAACACCACTATCGTGGGCCGCCTGGTGTGGACGCAAGTCCGTAGTGAAAACAGGCAAGGTGAATGTCAACTCTCTGACCAAGGGGGGCCAGACTCCGCTAATGATTGCCGTATGATACAACCACAGAAACATTTTAAAGATGCTCCTCAATACGGGCAAGGTTATTGTGAATTCTGACGTTGTTCTCACTTCTTATGATCTATCTGTACTCGACGGGACCGATGAGTAAACGAATGAAACTACCTAGAGTCCATACTTCAGCTTCTTAGAATATCCAACTTGGGTTATCCCCTGTCTCTTGCTGCATTTGCTGCATTTGTTCTCGTTGATTTTGTTTTTAGCTCTTCTGGGCCGATGATCGTGGATATGAACCATGCAAATTTTTGTTACATTTGTTTTTATCATGATACAAGATTTTGATTTCTGAAGAAAACTTGGGAGCCAGGTTCTGTAGGAGAATGACCCAACATAAGCTGGTTTCTAAAAATCGAATACCTGCTTGACAAGAGCCTTCTTGTTCACTGTTCAACATTAGCAAGGCAAATCCCTAACGCAAAGCAAATCCAGGTAGAAAATAGAAACTAGAATTATAACTCACCCTTGCCCATTGCATTCCTTGGAATCGCATCCAAAACCTTCATTTCCTGTGGAATCTTGTACGAAGCCAATCGATCCTTCAATGCACGTCGCATATCCATCGGTCCCCATACCTTGCCATTTCGTCCCGTACTCGCCGCATCAGGACTAAGGACGACCACCGCAGCGACCTTTTGACCCCATTGTTCCGAGGGAAGACCCACGACAGCAGCTTCTGTGATCTGAGGTCTGGTAACAAGTCAGTAAGTCTCGATGACCCCTAAGCTCAGGAAAACATACAGAGAAAGCATCTCCCTCTCAACCTCCAACGCGCTGACCTTCTCTCCGCCCGTCTTGATAATATCTACACTCTTCCGACCCTGAATGAAATACATGGGACCCTTCGCCCACTCACCACTAGATCCAGATCCGGCTCCCTCGACGACCCGTCTAGTCGCGACATCGCCAGTCTTGAACCACGGTTTCCCGCCGTCGTCGGCCGGGACAAAGCTCTCAGCCGTGGCTTTCGCATTGCCCCAGTAGCTGTGGAAGATCGTTTCACCGCGGAGTTGGATCTCGCCTTCGCGAGTGCTGTCTAGTGGGATGACTTCGTCTGTTTCTGTGTCGACTAGTCGCGCTTGTACACCTGGTAAGGGCCAGCCTACGCTGCCATCAATGCGGTCCTTCGGGTCGAGGCCACAGCTTATGGCCATTCCTACTTCGGTCATACCGAAGCGTTCGAGGAGGACGTTGCCGGTGCTAAGAGTGGTCCATTTTGTTTTGGTGGGGGTTGGGAGGGCTGCAGAGCCGGAGATGTTAAGGCGGAGATTTGATGGGGAGATTCCTTGTTTGGCGCCTTGTTGAATGTCTGGTGGCAGGGTGGTGAAGGATGTCATTAAGCGGTTGTAGACTGTTGGAACGGCCGTGAAGAAGGTGATTTTTGGTTTGGATTCGCTTGTGAACGGGGCGGCGAGGCGGCGCCAGACTTGATCTGGGTTGAATGGGTACATGAATTCAACGGAAGAACCAGCGAATATCGGGGTTAGAACTGCGTTGACCACGCCATGGATGTGGTGGAGTGGAAGTAGGTGGAGTAGTCGGTCTTGGGGTGTGTAGTTCCATGCTTTGAGGAGAGAACTTGCTTGTGCCGTAATTGCAGAGTCGGGGATGAGTACTCCTTTCTGTGGAGTGTTAGCACAGTTTCTTATTATCTGATTCATTTTGCACCTACCGGTCGATTTGTAGTCCCGGATGTGTACAGCATCAATCCCCCAGAGACAGGCTGCTTCAAGTCCTCTAATTGAACAGACTCATTCTCAGCACCTTCCTTGAGCTTATGTCGGATATCAAACAATGGTTCCCTCTGCAGCCCAGCCTTGAGGACCTGTTCTGCCTTGTTGGCATATTTCTCCGTCGCGAGGAGCAACTTCGCCTCCGAGTTATCCAGAATATACTGGAGTTCACCAGTTGGAAATGACGGCGACAAAGGCAAAGCAATGGCGTTGCTTGCGAAAATAGCCAGCATAGTCACTTTAGCCCATTAGACTCTATCTGACAGGTCCAGCGACGCGAGGACACATACCTACGTAGTCATAGCTATTCTCCGCTAGGAACGCGACCCGCTCCCCAGCCAGCTTGCCCGTAGTCTTGTGTTCAAGCTGCTCCTTCGCGCAGAGAATATCGCCGATGAGATTCCCGTATGTGAACGAGCGCTTGCTTAAGCTGTGAACAACAGCTAGACTGGCCGGGTCGTGGTTTTGCAAAGCTCGGAAGATCGGGATATTCGGAAGCGTCGAGAGGAGTCTCGCGCGCGCAGCCAGGCGTGGAAGCTGCAGGCGCGGTCGCAGCCGCCAAATCAAACCGGACATTTGGATAAATTTGAAGCTTTGGGTTATGGCGAATGTCTCATAGCTCGAATGGAGGCGCAATGGGTCGATGTCATGCGGATGAAGTTCCGCGGAAAGCTCGACTTTGCGACTCCGCTTTTCTCCAACGCTTATTCTCCTCTATACCCTATACTCTCTATACCCTCGTTCTATACTCCTCGTCCTCTTTTCGAAAATCCTACTCCGGCCGCATCTCGGCATCTCCAATGCTCACTCGCGCTCTCCCCGGCCTCCTCCCGCGCCGCCTGTTCTCCGTCTCCGCGAAAATGGCCTCCGCAACCCCGATGGAAGATCTGATGCGCGACAAGGTCCGTCTAAACCGAGACCACACTCCTACCGCTTGAAATGTCTCTCACATCTTTTACTTTCAATAGCTCGCTACCGCTTTCCACCCCTCTACCCTCATCATCCGCAATGACTCCCACAAGCACGCGCACCACAAAGCAATGGAGGGTGTCGCATCGAAGGAGACCCATTTCCAGTGCGTCTTCGTCCGAGATTCACGAGTCCAGAACTGATTACTACCAGTGTCACGATAACCTCCGATGCCTTTGAGAAGAAGATGCAGCCCGCGAGACACCGTATGGTCTATGCCTTGTTGAAGGAGGAGATGAGTCAAGAGGGGGGGCATCCACGCGCTGCAGCTGAAGACTCAGACGCCCGCGGAAGAAACGAGGCAAAAGGAGAGGGAGTCGCAAGCTTGACTGCATTACACGAAATGTTCCTTTTAGGACTTGGACTTGAGGCTGGAGTGGTGGGGACATGTCCACATGCGATGTGGATGTAGGATACATGATTAGAAATGCCCGACTTGCGAAGTCGGGATTGGATACCCTATTCAAAATAAATGTTCAATTGCTGAACAAATTATACCCATGACTATACGATACACGATATGTCTGACTATCCAGGGATACCATGACTCCAAGGTGAAAGCTGCACTTGTATAGCAGGCAGAAAGAATCGATTATTAGACAAATTACATAGATTCAGTGCCCGGGCATCAGCTATTGCCGAGAACAACAGGTCACCCCCAAAAAACCAAACAATCTAGTATATACATCCATGCACGATCGCGCATGGAGGCACAGCACAGCGAGCAGAATCATCATGACCGGAGGTCGTGGATGCTGTACACAATCCCGGACAAGTTGAGACAAAGGAGATAGCGGATCGAGCACTGCTTTTACACGAAAGAGAAAGAGAGAGAGAAAAAAATTATGACATGCGAGAGGGTGGTATAGAAACGAGGGGGGAAACGGGGAAAGGTACAGGAATATGAGAAGGTCGTACAAAAGGGAACGGGGGGTAATGGGGGTGCAGTGCTTATTTCTTGTTGCCTTCCGTGACTCCGACGGCGACACCGACAACGATAGCGATGATAATGACTGGCGTTGGTTAGTTCGGAACGCTCGGATAGGAGGGGGAAAGGATGTTGCCACGTACTGACGATGATCAACGCATACCACTTCCACCGCCGCGCGTTGCGGGCGCTGGTGATGGCACTGTCCAGCTTGCTGTTGGCCTGTTGCACGTTGCGGTGTGTCTCCTCGGCGCCCTGGTTGATCTGTTGAACGGCGGGTTCTTGCTGGTGGATCAACTCGGCGACCTCTTGGTAGAGCTGACCAAGCTGGACCATGTCCTGTTCGATCTTGCGGATTGCAGCGGATCGCTGCATAGTAGCCTGGCGAGCATCGTTGGCCTGGCGGGATCGAGTACCGGGAACCTATTTCGAATGATTAGCCTAGCCCGCGTAGTGAAGTCCTAGAACCAAAGCATACCATGAAGGCCTGCTCTTGACCAGCCAAAACGTTCTGCACACCCTGCTCGAGCTCCTCGGGGGTAGCCTCGGGGTTGGCGATCGCATAACGACGACGGACCTGCTCCTCCAGCTTCTTGCGGAAGTCGGACTGGGTGCGCTGGTACTGCTCAATCTCACGGCGGAGGTTGCGGTTGACGTTCTCGACCTGGCCCGAGACACGAGAGGGTCACCGGAGCCGGGAGTCTCCTTAATGCGCTTGAACTGGTCGCGCAGGTAGCGCAGAGCGGTGTTGATCTCGTCCTCGATGTAGTCGACGGTCTGGCGCGTTTGCTGGTCCTCCTTGCCGGTGGCAGACTCCAAAAGCGCGTTCTGCGCGGATGCCAACTGGCCCTCGCGCTTGGTGCGCAGCTCGTTGATCGCATCGTTCATCTCCTTGCACTTGTTGAGGATCGCGGTCGGGCCGCCGGATTCCTGCATGTTGGACATTTCTGAGAGGGCAAGAGTCAGCGCGTATTCCCAGGGGTCACATCGGCGGGATTGATGGGAATAGACTCACCATATCCGCCATTGCCCTGCTCAGCATCTCCAGATTGCTCATACCCACCGCCATAGCCATACGGCTGCTGTTGCGACGGTTGTTGCTGGGCGTAGGGGTTTTGCTGGGCGCCATAAGGGTTGTACTGGCCGTAGCCGCCTGAAGCATTATCCCCCAAGGCCTGATACTGGGTGTGGTTAGAAGAATACTAGACATGTCATCGAGGGCAAGAACTCACACTCATGATGAAGATTGGGTTTCGAGATTATTGAAAGGGGTCAGTTGAAGAGGATTGAAGGGTGAGACGGGAAAGGTGGAGTGAACGGAAAGCGCTGGCGGTGGCAGGGGCAGAATGTTCCAACTGTCACAATACGAGATAGTCAGGGGGGGGGGGGAAACACCAAAATTAGGAATCTAGTAGTAAATAAGGAGAGATCAATTTGAAACCTAGTTTCGAGTTGCTAGGGTTAAACTATTTTCTCCCAGCCTCCTTGCAAGGTGGACCTTTGAGTAGGGTCAAATTGTGGCTGATACTGCGACCGTTACTATTTATTGAGCGTTGCGATCGGCGAGGGTGGAGTGCGTGGAAGGGTTCAGCCTGGTATCGGTACTTCAGCAAGTGTGCAAGTCTCCATGTCTAAACAAGTAGTGGTACTAGTGGCGATTGCAGTCTGCACGTCATGATTGCAGGTTACAATGGAAAACATCTGCTGTGAGTAAACTCAATTGATGGAATAGATCTGCCTAAAACCTTGGTCCTCGCTTTTATTCTCCGCTGTCAAAAAAGTCTCCTGCCTGTTCACTTGTAAGTACCCCGTGAGTTCACCATGAGCTCACTACTCTATTAGCGCTGCTAAGATTACAGACTGGGCCTGTGCTGTCGATCAGAGCCAATCAGTCTGCTCAATGTGCGATCGCGGTGTCCTTGGCACAAATCCTCACGATGTACCTATAGTACTAGGGACTATGGATGTGATGATCCAGTGGTAGATGGATTAGAGCTACTCAGCTCAATCCCACAATCAAATAAGTATTCAAACGGAAGTATACGAACACAAAGCAGATAGTCACCCTAATCTCAAGACCTTTCTCAATACAATGTAGCATTCTAGTCTAAAGCCTTTGCCTCACACGTCTTGCAATACATCCCAACCCCTGCAATCCACTCCCGATGCGACCCAATCTCTTATGTGCGCCCTTGATTAAAGACAAAAATAGCATCAGCATCTTTCACAGTACTGAGCCGATGCGCCACAGCGATAGTATTCCGATTTCTATCTATGGCCGCAGCTAGCGCATCATGCACAACCCACTCACTCTTCGGATCAAGTGTGCTAGTAGCCCCACCTAGTCACAGTTTGGGACTTCGAACCAGTGCTCTCACAACCGCGATACGCAGTCTTTGGCCACCGGGTAACTGAGATCCTTCAAAATCTAACGGATGCCAATACGCCGTCGGGAAACGAGGAGACGAAATCCCATGTATTAGCTGCGCGAAGAGCGGACTCGATCCTGTCATCGAATAACGTGGAGTCCTGGTGTGGTGTCGTTTTTGTCTAGACCAGAAGTAACATCCTTGCGACTCAAGATGGGGAACTAGATTCGTTCCTTTAGGGACGAGGGCGATGACGTTGCGGTAGAGACGTGGTTTGAGGGTTGATAGAGTCGAGGGAGCCGCTTGAGGAATCGCAGAATTGCTCGAAAAGGGCTACCACTGTACCATATTCTGATGCACTGACAAGGGCCATGAGTTGTGCCTTACATAACTCAGAGCCACCAGTTCCGAAATGGTAATATGCGACCCCTTGGCTCAGCGCCGGCTTGAGCTAGTCGCAACAAACGTTGCGAATGATGAGACGGTGGTCGTAGGTGGGGAGTGTATTGTAGTAAATGTATGAAAGAATGAAAGGACCGAGTCCAAGGAGGAAAGAGCACAGAGCTAGTATGGAGACGTCTGAGCGAAGGGTAGCTGCAGAGGATTTCGATGTTGTGAAGCCGGTGATAGCTGTGACGAACGAGCCTAGGATAGCTGGAAAGCTATGCCAGCACCAAACGCGATGGATGCTAGAAATGCGACGGCTTTCAGTGAGAGTTCCCAAGGTCCGGCGAATTTGGAGATTCGTCTGTTGGCGGCAAAAGAGCCTTCAGATACGTCTGATGCTGGCGCTGCGGCTGTCTCTTTGTTTTTTCTAATTCCATCCTCCATGCTCGTGGTTGCCGGTTGATTGTAGTCAAATTATTGTATTGTGACGACAGCGAAGGATCATTTTCTTGAGTAAACTACTCCTTTTTTAACGAGACTGGCGTGATACAGCACACGGAAATAAGACTAGGTCATATTGTGCAGAGCAGCTCTAATTCATATGCCTGAGACCAGTTCCATAGTCTCGGACCGCCGTGCGATATCTGTATCATCTTCAAGCCTATTGTAGGCCCCTAGAGGACAATGCCAATACCGCGACACTCGGCTCCAGAACAGCAGGTCCCTCGGCTTCCGTTATTGATCATGAAGCTATGAACGGGACGAAGATCTAGTTGGTGAACCCTAGGGGATGCGAAGCGACAATTAGCAAAGCTTGTCTTGAGACCATTGGGGGATGGTGACGGATAGCTTGGCATCAAGCTGCTGTGTCTGCGGACTCCGGGACTTCTACAGCTCTAACCCTGTTTTGCCCACCATGCATCACGTGTTGTGTTCTTCATAAGTCATGAAATATCACGTCTCTGCTTGTTCAGAAACATGTCAACTGGTTCGAAGTGGGCAAAAACGGTAAATGGCTTCCCACATCAAACAGAGCAAACCAAATTTCCAGAAGCACGTGAATTTTTCAAATGCCTACGTTCGTAGTCTGATACGTTGCTATCAATCCTTGTGTTCTTGTTAGGCTTAGTGTCACCGTCTCGTCAGAGTGCATTCCATATACTTTTTTTGATCAGGCTATGAAACTTTGAGATGGAAGACATCGGGATATTGGAATGAAGAATATAGAATAAAGATAATAATCTATTCACAGGTAATAAATATATACATACTAGAGATTAATTACTCGTAATCTCGTCTCACATCTGCTCCGTCACAGGAAGATCCTGCTCCCTTATGCAGTACATGTATCAATACAAATCATGGCCTAATGCAATGTTGTCTAATGCACACGATCTAATGCTTATGCTGCGCATGGTCAACAGCATCAACGGGCTCAGTAGCATGAGGCGCGACGGTCTCAGCGACGAGATCGTCATCCGCATCCAACGCATTCATATCATCCTCGACGGCGTTGAGATGGTGGAAGACGAGCCAGAAGATGATACCGCATGCGAAGGACGCACAGGCCAGACCGACGAACATCCAGAGGATGGCAGGGTCGAACGCGGCGGGGGTGAGGGCTTCGGCGAGGGCGGAGCCGAACGCGTTGGTGAGGAGGTACATCGACTGGACGAAGGACTTCATCGACGGGGGAGCCTTGGTGTAGGCGTATTCGAGACCGGAGACGGAGGCGAAAATCTCAGAGATACCAATGAAAACGTAGCCGGGGTCTGGATGGCGATGTGCACTCTGTTGCCACTGGCTGAGCCATCGACGAGGAGGGCATCACAGCCGGGGTGGTCGTAGCAGGGTCCGGCGGAGTAGATGAGATGCTGCACGATAGCGGCGTACATCATTGCGAGCGAGGCGACAACGAAACCGAGGGAAATACGGGTAATGGGGCGGAAGGGAATCCTCAAACGGCGCATCAGGGGGTAGACCACGCTCTCAAGCAGGGGAATGAAGACGATGATGGAGATCGGGTCAAAGTTCTGCATGAGATCGTTGGGAATGCCGTGGCCTTCCATTTGACCGGCCTGAGTGACGAAGTTGCCAGAGAACTGGCCGTAGACGACCCAGTAGATAGGGTAGAAGGCGAAGACGCGGCAGGCGATGAGGGCGCGCTTGAGCTCGTCAATGAAGTGGTCGTCCCAGGGCAGAGTGACTTGGTTGCCGCTGCGCTCGGCTTGCCAGCTGGGCTTGGCAGCGTCCATGTTACGATTCTTGACCATAATCCAGAGGGCCTTGAAGGCATCTGTGATGATGGAACCCTGCGGGGACGGACGACGTAGTACTTGCGGCCGATGATGAGAACACCAGTACCGGCGGCGAACATGCAGAGACACAGCAGGTAGCCAGACCAGAAGCCGATGTACAACTCCATATAGGGAGTGGCCAGCAGAGAGAGAGAACCGATGTTGATACAGCCGTAGAAGATCATGTAGATGCGCTGAATGGTCAGGGCCGGATCAATGATCACGCGCTCGCCCTTGGGAAGAGTCTTGAGGGCCATCTTCTTGCGCTTGTACTGGTCGGCGATCAAAGGAGCCACGTTGGACTTGATACCACCAGTTCCCAGACCAATGACCAGAATAGCCACGACGAAGCCACCCAGACCGGCTCCGTGCTCCAGAGCAGTAGGAATGGAAGTGCAGACCAGGATCAAAAGACCAACCAGGTAGATACAGCAGAACCAAACGATAGTCTTGTACTTGCCAAGGTACTGATCGGCCACAATGGCACCAAGGATGGGAGTCACTGCGGATCACTGTCAATGTCGGTCGAGAGGCATACTTTGGTGTGAGTTAAGCTTACCATAGCACCAGAATTGGAAGAAAGTGGTCAGACCAGTCGCACCCTGGTGGCCCATGCCCAGAGCACCACGGCCCTGGCTGCCGTCCAGCGGGCGCAGGACGTAGTTTTGGAACAGACCAGACATACCGTAGTAGGTGAACCGCTCGCACAACTCGACCACGGCCACCAGCCAGGCGGAGAGGGGCAGGTTCTCGGCGATGTGACGCAGAGTACGCTTCTCATCCTCGGTGGGCTCCCCTCCGTCGGGGGTGACGGAGCCATACTCCTTGTCAATGAAATGTCGTCCTTCTCGTGGTTCACGACGATGTGTTCGACAGGGGATTCATTGTGGGGCCTGGATGAATGTCAGCATAATTGACCAGATGGCTGTGCACTGCATCAACAGCGGCTGCATCATGATCTTGTGGAGCGCATACTGGGTAAGCTCAACCTCGCGATCGGCCGACATGATTCAGATTCTCTTGTGGACGGAGAGAAAGAGAAAGAGCGGGCTGGGCTAACACTATATAGGGCAAGGAATATTACCACACACCCGAGGTCCGGTGGAGATTCTTATCGGAGCGTGGACCGAAAAAAAAAAACCGGAGGCCTTCTCGGTACAAAACAAACTAGACCGAATGACTGAGATACGAATCCACTCGAGATAAAAGAAGAAAAGCCGAAATAACGACTGTTCGCGGCTTGTCCCAGCCGTGGATGCGATCGGCGCTGTCTGCCTCGCCACGCCAAATCAGCGCGTGCACATTGGAAAAGAGACCCAATGTAACCCCAGAACGGGAGACGGCAGCGACGAAGCGCATGGCAAGCTAAGGATGCCAAGCGAAAGATGCCAAGACGCATTGATATGGTTGCTCACGCGAGGGACGAGGGACTAGAGACTAGAAGCTCGCGATGGATCAATCAGAGGCCGTTCCCGCCGTCGATTGTGGAGAGAAATCTGGAGACCCGCGGCTCTCCACCCAGATCCAGCGAATCAGGCCACCAGGGCCCGTCGGTGAATGCCGTGTTGAGATTGAAAAAAAAATTTCCCAAGTTGTATAACTGCAGTCGGACTGAGCGCCGGAGACGGTTCGCCACGAGGAAATCCGCTGCGTGTCCACCATGCTGACAGGTGCCGGAGTTCCCCCTCCGGACTCCGTCTTTCGCGAGTCGGGATCTTGGTTCCTGGCCGGGCTTTGGTGTTTGTTGTTTCCCTGTATGCCAAGGGAACACAATAGAGACGAACGAAAAGTCAGAACATTGTGGTGGCGATAGATTCGTGCCTGGTTCGAACACGGAATCGAACTCGGAATCGAAATCGACGGGTGCGCATTCCCCGACCACTCACGCCTCAACCGCGTTCGGTGTTACTGGTGTCTGGAATCTGCCATCTGCAATCTGTCGCAGTCCGATCATAAGATTAATTTGTCATGAACCTCATCCCGTATTTTCACGATCCTGATTCGTAGTCCACACACTCCCCAGACTCATCCATAATGTGATCAGGTAATTCCGCTGATAGCACCCCAGTCTCCCCTTTCGCCCCCATTGCAACGTTGGGGAATGTCCCCGCGATGCTTATCAGTGCTTCGTGCTTTGACTTTCGGCAATGTCTCAAGGGCTCCATGTCTCATGAGAGATGAGACTCAGGAGTCCGGTCTGATTCCTCGGGGTCTTTCTGTTTCGTCCAGTGCCCTGGTTGGATCCTTCACTTCGCGGGGAAGACGATCATTGTGTACATATCCTGCAGCAGCCGGGGATACCCAACCAAGGCGAACGATCATACATGTCCAGCGTGTGTATTACCGCGCATCACCGCGCATCGCGATCCGGGGTAATTATTCTCTCGTAACAGCGTGGCGGGAAATTGCTTTGTAGACAGGGAAGGTGGAGTCTGGCGCTGGCGCGCCCGGGTGCCAAGACTGAGCCAGCGATAAGCTGGTTTGGACTTGTCGTGTGAATTGGTCATGGAGGTCGAAGATGAAGATGAGTCACATCTCGAGGATATCAGTCCTGTGTGGAGGGAGAAAAAAACAAAGAGCCCATGATCCAGGCAGGAAGAGAAGCAGAAAACACCGAAAATCAAGATAACCAAGACCCGGCCGCGTCTGCTGGGGGGAAACGCCCATAAATAAAGAGCCTCGTCGTATCGGGCTCCGACTTCGCTTGCCCTATGTCCATCGTGGTCAGGGCTGTGTGGACAAATGAGGATGGAGGCCGAGAGTTCCACCAAATCCCCGACGTATCCTGTGCTGTTCCCCGCGCTGCTCGGGGCCTATTCGGGTCGCTAGTCCCAACCAAGGGCGCGAGCCCAAGCCCTTGGCTGCTCCTGCCAGCAACTCATACTTTTTATCGTGAGGCTAACCAAGAAGTTCCAAGAGATTGGCATTTCGTGGCATCTTGTGGCATCTCGTTTACGAATGCGTTGATACTTCCGACACCGGGACTGCGCGGATTGTGGCTCGAGAGTACGCGCGTACCGAATCCATCCCCAACTAAGCCTTTTATTAAAGTTGCCTGAAGCTCTTGGCACTCGACCAACGCTCAGGCAACACTCAGACAACACTCAGGCACTTGAACTGTCGGCTATCCCTCGTAAGCCGAAGTCGCCCATCTCTACATCTGTTATTGCGACATCGTCGTCCACTCATGATCTTCGCGGTGGATCTGCAATTCCGGGGGCTGTTCGGTTGTTCCCCGAGTCTGGAGCCACTCACGCATCCGCCATTACTGTCAGGCACTGGTTGAACCATCTTCTCCGAGGCGCACTTGGTCCGTCGGAGAACGGATTTATTGCCTTTTCGAGAGTTAGTGTTCGCATTCGACTCCTATCGTGACCCGTTCTAGGTACAGGCTTCACCTTTCGCCCTTATACCCTTCACCCTTCACTTTCCAGTGCAGTCATCTTGATCGGCCAGGCCCGGTCATCTGGCTCCGTCCATCCGTATTCCATCACTCGGGAGACGTGTGTCGCTATCTCGGTGTTGAGGAGGTGGTAGACCAGGAAGAAGGCTGCGTCTAGGCTGCAGCTAATTTCCCCAAAACTTATTGCTTGTAGGCGGGTTCCATGCACATACCCACCGTCCACGAAGCGTCGAGACAGGATGTGTGTCGGTGGTTTAGTCTCCGTGGACTCGGAAACAGAGATCTCGTAGGTGGTCCAGTACGTGGTGGTGTGTCGTCACGGTGACTCCGGGGAGAATCCCGGCTGCAGCGAGTAGGATGGCACCCGTACAGATCGAGAAGAGAATCGTGAACCGCTCGAGCTTGCGAATGTGCGGGTCAGCTCTATCTCGGGGTCTTCATTATCCACGAGCGTCTCAACGATGGGCACTGCTCTTCTCAGGTATGACGAGGATATCGTCTTCCGTGGTTCGATTCAGCGCATCTGCTAGAAGGAGATCCGCCTTGATTGCGAGTCAGCTCGCTGCTTGAATCAAAACGTTCTCGGCTACTATTTTCAATTGTAAACACCTAATCCGGGTCATCTTTGACTCTAATTGTGCGAAATATGGGAGAGTTTATCTCCATAGGCTCCGTAAAAACGAAAAGATCAAACCCCTCAAAAAGAAGAACGGTCCACCTTATAGTACTTTACTTGAACCATCATCAAGGGTTCCAGTCCCCTCTTGAGCCGTCTACCGAGTATTGTGACTTAGCGGGGACAATTGATGCCCGGTCAATATAGAGACATCTCTGCACGTACGCATATGAAATAGTGGAATGCATATGAAATAGTGGAATGGATGGAGGAATGATGAAAAAAGCAGCTGGACGAGCTATTGACGATCCTCTAATTTTGGTTCTGGAAGCTATTGGCCTTGGAAACAACCGTGGGCCTGTATTAGGGGTGGAGCAAACAGATCATATTAGAACTAAGCACAAGATCACAAGCATCTAATTTGGAGTGAGGTCAAAAGTATTTGAGCTTGCTATGACACACTCGAAGAATAAGCAACACTATAGCAATGTAGATCATAAATTATAGAACATGAAAAGGGGGTATTATTATAAGATCAGAGCAAATATCAAGCCAGCAGACATATGCCCATAATCGAGGAAACGAGGTCAAGAAATTACCACATTCAAAGTGAACGCCATTTAAAAATAAGAACTATTAGAGAAGAGTATTAAAGCATCAAACATGTGTGACCCCGCAACCCACCTTCACCCGCCGAGGAAAGAATGTCAATCTCCCCCTCTGGAAAGCCATCGTCAGAGATGATCGGTTACACATTTTCAAGCTGGAATACACTCCGTTGCCCACGGAGGAAATCTCGCTCCAACCTTATTCCTTCACCGGTCCCTGGTCGGTCTCTATACCCTCATGCGCTCGAAGAACAGCCCTGAGACCCAGCGGAGCCATGATGCCGCCCTGTGTCATGTCAGTCGATCTCTTCAACGCATTCAGACTCATTCCCATCCAGGGAACAAATTTGAGCTAAACTCACCGAAGTCAACTTCAACTCATACTCGGGATGTACATCCCACTCAACCCTCCTAACAAGCTCAAACAATAATACCTTCATCTGCAACATTGCAAACCCCTGTCCCAAACACTTCCTCGAATGCGCATTAAAGGCTATAAAATAACACGCCGTCGTCTTACTCCTTACCGCAGCTTGAATACTCTTCACATCTGTTCCCCACCGCTCAGGTCTGAATTCCCTTGCGTCGGGTCCCCAGATCTCGGTATCCGTGTGCACGCCGTATGCATTCCATCCTACCCAGGTGTGGCTTGGGATGGGGATAGTACCGCCCAGAGTACTTGGGGATGTGGTGACACGGTTGATGAGTTGGGAGACGGGGGGAAACAGACGGAGAAGTTCGAGGATGGTGGATGTTAGGTAGGGAAGGGAGTTGAGGAGGTCGGGGGTGGGGAGGTCATGTTTGTAGAGAGGATTTCGGAGCGGAGGGTTGATTGAACTGTTTTGTGGGTGCCCAGGACGTAGATGGTTGAGTTGAGGAGTTGTTGCGCGTTTTCGTGGGCGGTTAGGAAGGTTACTTTTAGATTGGCGCGGTATTGCTCGAATGTGATTTTATTTTCTTTGAGCGCTCGGTCGAGGAGGTCGACTACTTGTTCGCCGTCGGTGGAGGTGGTGTGGGTTCGGCGCTGGACGGTTGAGACCAAGAGGTCGCCAAATTCTTGCATGATGGCGAATGCTGCACGGCGTTGGGGAAAGATGGTCGGGTATTTGTCTAGGTCGGGAAAGTTGAAGAACAAGGGCTTGAAGAGGGACTTTTTAATGATTGTTTGAAGACTTTCGAGACGTTGCCCTGGTCTTTCCAATGCCTGTGCTTGTTAGTCTCCATGTGGCAATCATGATCAGTGACAAGACATACCTCAAGGTCAACATTCATGAAACTGATGCCCATGCAGCTGAGTGCCCATCGCTGTATAATTGGATTCACCAAAACACCCTTCTCCCCCTGCTTCTCCTGCTCCTCCAGCAGAATATCCACAAAAAGTTTTGATTTCTGCAACAATGGCCCTGACTTCGTAATCCGCCTCTGTAATCCAGGCTTCATAATGGAAGTATAAAGTTTCCAGTTCTCCCCATGCGCATTGATAATGTTATCGCCCACTAGCGCAGCAATAACACTCCAGGGAATCTTCTTCTGACTTCCAGCTTTGGCGTACACGTCCTCATGTCGGAACATGTCCACTAAAAACTGTGGTCGTGTGGCGAGGACGTTCCAGCGTCCCGCGAACCAAATTCTCACAGCCCCGTGTTTTTCGAGGGGAGTGCGCAGCCATCGGTCGAAAATGGCGTCTTGGCCCATGTCGCTCCATAGGCCTAGAAGTGAGATATAGATTGGGACGATTGGGATGTTCTTGGGCAGGTCGGATGGGATTCGGATGTACCAGTATAGTACCAGAAGGGCTGTGAGGAGGAGTGCGGGGATGCCGCGGGCCCAGGTGAAGATTGTGGTCCATTCGATCATTGTGATGATGCTGGTGATGTACCTTGAGATGTGACGAAGCTCTCCGGGACCTTGATTCAGTGGTTGATCTAGCGGTATGGTCAAAAATAGCTCAGTAGCGGGGACCATGGCATTTAGATTCCACCGCGAATAATCGCTAACATCAGCATGAGCTTGTTTGATGACAATGCTGACTATCACTACTTGCCCCCCGAGTGAATCACAAGGCGACCTGGTTCCCGCTGGAGACACAGACTGGTCAGCACGCGACTGAGAACGTGTACTACCGGTAGTGTGTACACTCAGATTTGTCCACGTGAATGAAGTTTCCTATGTATATCATTGATCATTGATGTAAAAGCTCGAGACTAGGTCGATGTCAATCCCGTTGGGGTGTTAGATGATGATTTCTCGACATAAGACGACTTTGGGTTCGGAGTAGAAAAACGATCTGCAAATTAACATAGATCTGGTCTTGTACTTGGGTTGGATGATGATGGATGCTTCCGAGGCTGTAAGCATCACAATTCTAAGTATAAATACTTTGTTTGCACAGGTAAAGTGTCAGATGGCTGGCAACTATTCATGGAACAGGGCATTAGAAGATATTAATCGAGGCTCAGGCTCCTTGACATCCTTCATATGTATGAATGTATCTAAAAGTACATAAATGATAAGTCTTGTGGCAATGCGTGGGGGCTAAAGTCCGGACGTCTCTATGATCATGGAGTGTCCCATCTGGGTGCAACTTCTAGAAATATATCATGCCGATCTCGCGTCAAAATACCAACCATTAATCGCACGTCGTTCCTTGACTCAACTCAAGAAAATCACACATTTGGACCATTCGATATATAAAATACAAAGCAGAAATGAACCCAACTTTTATCTACTCAGGGGTGACACATCTGAACTTCCTCCAGGCTGGACCCAGGATCGCATCTTTCTCAGCCCTCAAGGTTCCAGGTTATTGGTTTCATAAATCGTCGGTAATATGATGTACCTCTAAAAATGAAAATACCATACAGACAAGACCAGGCAAAGCCCGGTGCCACGACATGCCTCATAAAATGCGTTGTTGGGTAAGATACATGTCGCAAGCAATCAGGTCGTCACTGCAAATGCAGCAAAGCTAAGGGACTGGGAATCAACTTTTCTCCCACGACCGCACGGGTCTCTCCTCCATCATTCCATGCTCCATTCTTCGTTACTCTAGACGGTGTACTTGGCCTTGGCGCGAGTGCTGCCGCTGTGTGCGCTGTCTGTGTGGCCCGAGAACTCCACCACGTCCGCCTCGTTGAGTCGGAGCACTTCCTTGAATCGCGCGCCAATTGCCTCCAAGATTTCCTTGCCCTGCGCCGGTGTGCGAGTGTTCTTGTCGCCTGGGATGCTCTTGCCCACAGTACGTGTCCACAGGCCCACACGGTAGAAGCCCTTGCGCACGTTCACCACAACACCCATGACTTCGTTGTCATCGTCGGTCTCGAGCGTCTCTCCGATGGCGGCGAGTTGTGCGTGCAGCCAGAGGTCGTCGATCGGGACGGAGCGCTTGTCCTTGAATTGGTACGACCATTTGCCGCCGTGCTTGTTTTGAGGGTCCTCCCACTCTGGTCGTACGCCCTTCTTGAAGAGGTGATAGTCGGCTTTGAGGCCCAGTTCGGAGGTGGGTGTGATGTTGTTCTAGATGAGAAATGTGTTAGCTGGGTAGATGCGATTGGTGGTGGGGTGGAGTTTCGTACGTAGATGCCCCAGAATTCTTCGACGGAGCTGAAAGTCACCACTTCCTTGAGGAGATCATTCCAGTTGTCACCCTGTAGAGCCTTATTGTCAGCGCTGAATCTACGCATACCACCTGGTTACAGCGACACTCACCTTTCCGCTGGGGGGCTTGGTGAACCACAGTGTCCACTCGTGCATGAGCGGGTGCTTCACATTGAAGTTCTCGGGGTTGTGGAAGACGGTGACAGCCTCGTCGGAGGCGGGCGCGGTGTTCTCATCAGTCACAGGGTGACCGTTCTCTGCCACAGCCGCCATTGTGGGTGTTGATGGGAGAGGATGAAAGGGGAAGAAGGGTGAGTTGAAGGCGGTGTTGAAGATGATCGGAGGGGAAAACTTTCGGGGCGGTAGGCGCGCGGGTCCGAAGTGCGAACAAAGAGAGATTCTCTGAATGAGAGTGAGAAATGGGTGATATCTGCTCCAGGCAGAAGACAGGTGAAAGGGTTGACTCGAGAAAAAGACCCGAGATCGAGTTGTTCGAGTTGAGATTTGACGTTATTGCGGGAGCGCAAAAAACTGCTTTGCCTCATTTGGGTCGGGCCGATTCCAGCCCTAACACTACAAGGTATGTCTTATGAGTGGAAGTACCCTTTCTATGCACCATTGTCTTGAATTTGAAGTCGTTGAAAAGAAAATTTCTTGATTCATACCACGCGTCTTTAATGATATGTCGAAAAATCTTCAGAATTTGAAGTTTAGAAAAAAAAAAACCCAGGAACCCGAAATAACAGAGAGGATTCAGAACAACCAGTGTATAATCCAGGAATCAAACCAAAGCGACCGAAAATCTAAGAGAAATGCCAATGGTATCGCAAAACGCACAGATGACTATAGTGACAATGATCATCTATTACTTATTCTTCACCGCTGTTCATCAAGCTAAGGAAGCAGTTCCAACCTATTTAACGTTAGTGATTAAATGGGATATTGAAGAAATGAAGCGAAACTCACCCAAGCTGACCACGTTCACAACTAGAACACGCAGCTCCAGGGGGACAAAGGCAAAGTTGGCACCCTGCACGAACGGCCAAACGAACAAGTTCGCCTTGTAGGCAGGGCCAAACGAAGACTTCAACTTCTCCGTTGGGCTGGTACCCTCCATAATCGCCATAGAAGACAAGAAGCAGGTCAGCTGCACAGGTGCGAACAGAAACTGGTCGCATGCGACTCGGGCGATCGTGGTTGTCGCGGTGCTATTGAGGACAACGTGTCGCTGGAGGATACCGAACCACTTAGTGGCTACGGGGCCAAAGACAGCTGGAACGTGAGGGTTAGTACTGAATAGGTGACTGCAGTTATTGAATGCAATTCTGCATACCTCCGCCGTATAAGGCCATGCGCCCAGTGCGGCTAAAGTCGTGCTTCTCAAGACCCCGGCGATCGACCGCCTGCTGAGCAAGGACATCACCACTGCCAAATAGCACCTTTAATGTGTTAGATCGGAGAGATATTTGATATCACGGGAGGAGAACATACGGCACTGGTGATGCTCGCGGTGAGGATGGGCCGCTTGGCCAACTTGCTCTGGTACCTGAGTCGCGGTCAGTGTTTTGATTCCCCCTGGATAACCTGGACGGTCCTGCGAATGGAGAAAAATGGGCCCACTTACCAGCGCAACATGATAAAAAAATGACTGAATAGGAACCGCAGAAAGGAGGGAAGGAACTGCAAGGTCAGAGCTGAGGTCCGCTCATCTTTAAATTGCGGAGTCGAAATGCCAGAGGGCGCTTCCCTGCTAGGAAATGCACCCGCCGAGCGGAAAACCCCATCAGGCTTGAATTGGATGTGACATCATAGGTCGATCTATTCGAATCAAGCGGGGGAGGTAGTGAATTAAAAAACGGCATTGTACGGATCAAGAAATATGTTGAAACTCAAGAGATGATGATCTTGTATTTAGAATGTAAAGGTACTGAAGTACTGTCCCTGTAGAACTAAAGCTACGACATGATGATCCGGTGGAGAAATCACGTGATCAGAACACCGAGTCGTGGGCACGTGCCGTCCCAATCTGGTAGTTAGGGCAAAGGGCAGCCACTAGGGCTGGTCACTCGCTTAGCCCACCCGAATTTTCGGCCCAAACAAGTGTATCGAAGGCAGTCTCCGACGACATCGACACATCCCTAACGACAACTCAACCCCGTCGCCCTACAACATCCAAAATGGCTGACGCTGCTCCCCGTGGACGTGGAGGTTTCGGTTCCCGCGGTGACCGCGGTGGTGACCGCCGTGGTCGTGGCCGTGGCCGTGGCCGCCGTGGTGGAAAGCAGGAGGAGAAGGAGTGGCAGCCCGTCACCAAGCTCGGTCGTCTTGTGAAGGCCGGCAAGATCACCAGCATGGAGCAGATCTACCTCCACTCTCTGCCCGTCAAGGAGTACCAGATTGTGGACTTCTTCCTGCCCAAGCTCAAGGATGAGGTTATGAAGGTACGACTTTGCAAAGGAATCGTCAATTGGGATTGGAATCGAACTTCGGATTGCGATTGGCGAACCCAATGCGCACAATTGCGCATGAAATTGAATACAGGATGAGTCGCTGACTCGCTTTCAACCTACAGATCAAGCCCGTCCAGAAGCAGACCCGTGCCGGTCAGCGTACCCGCTTCAAGGCCATTGTCCTCATCGGTGACTCTGAGGGCCACATCGGTCTCGGTATCAAGACCTCCAAGGAAGTCGCCACTGCCATCCGTGCCGCTATCACCATTGCCAAGCTCGCTGTTCTGCCCGTCCGTCGCGGTTACTGGGGTACCAACCTTGGTGAGCCTCACTCTCTGCCCGTTAAGCAGTCCGGAAAGTGTGGTTCCGTCTCCGTCCGTGTATGTATACCTTGAGAAAACAGAGCCGACGACCTTCCCGCTAATTTTTGGATTTAGCTCATCCCCGCTCCCCGCGGTACCGGCCTTGTCGCCTCCCCCGCCGTCAAGCGTCTCCTCCAGCTCGCTGGTGTCCAGGACGCCTACACCTCCTCTTCCGGCTCCACCAAGACCCTCGAGAACACCCTCAAGGCCACCTTCGTCGCTGTTGTCAACACCTACGGCTTCCTCACCCCCAACCTCTGGCAGGAGACTAAGCTCATCCGCAGCCCTCTGGAGGAGTTCGGTGATGTCCTGCGCCAGGGCAAGAAGTACTAGGTTTTTTGACGCACGCATGATTTAGTTCCGAGTTTCTTTACCCCTTCAATGTCTGCTGGGAGTGACAGTGGCTGTTGATTCCCCATTCGGTCGACGTGGGTGTCCATGGATGTATTTTCGGGAAGGGAAAACAAAAATAGCGAATCCGCTCCTACCAGCCACATGTGCTCTGGAATCTGCGTAGTATGTATTCATTGTAGTTTGGGCTGGGATTTGTGATTTGTGATCAGCCGCATAGACGACCCACGGCTGTACGAGATGGCAGTCTCTACTATACGAAGCATACCAGTACAATCTTCAAGTTACTGAAACGTCATACCAGATTCAATTTGATCTCCGTTCTGAACACTCATGGACTATACAGCCTAGGAGCGACCTGTGTGTCGAGGCAGCTCCTGCCTAGAAAGGCAAGCACGAGCTGCTTCGACTTTATGCTCTTGTTGCTCTCCTACTCAACGAGCGACATTGGTGATATCTGTCTACTTTCATCACACAGCTCTCACTCAACTTTCTTGTCGATACTCTACGATGGACCAGTTCCCAGAGCACTGGAAAACCGCACTCATGGGACAGGAATTCTGGGCAACAGCGTGTCTGAACGATGTGATAGTCGAACCTCAGCCCCGACCTCAACCTCGATCTCGGGGTATTCGCTCTGCCCTTCACATCGCAATCGGTGCGCCACCGTTGCTTGGAATTAGCTTACTATTCTTGTCATTGACACCTTTTCAGATCCCCGGATCCAGGACCTATCCAAACGCTTCCCATTCAACCAAGATCTAGTCATGGATCAAACTCCCCACGCCCCAGAAAAGGAATCATTCAAAGAACTTCCGGCGGTTCCAACAAGTCCATTCATGGAAGCTTCGCCGGGTTCTTCCATCACTCCAAGGAAAGAACATCATCGCAGCATGAGCGCCGAATCCTCAACTCCAACCCTAGTCCCAAGTACACCTCGCCGCTTCGGGTCATTGACTCATTCGCCACGTCTACGTGATCTGGCTCGTCGGGCACGCTTACTGGAGAAGAAGTCTGCGCCCGTTACTCCTGTCGGTCCGCGGTTCTGGTCCGTTAAGACGTCTACGCCTAGTACTCCAGCTCCGAGATGGATGCTACCTTTACCGCGGAAGGTCCCCGAGACTCCGATGACGAGCGTGAAGACTGTGGAGGTTCCTGAGTCACCGACGCCTTCGCCTCGGCTGCCTTGTCGAGTTAGTTCTTCTTTTGATGCTAATGTCGGGACACCAAAAAAGCCACTCGTTAACTTTCGGGGTGGTGCATCCTGGCTTTCTCTTCCACGGGACAAGTCGAAGTTGGGCTTGGATTTGTTTTCCCCTTGTGCACAGGGTCAAGAGGATATCAACTGTCTTGATCTGATGGAGTTGAAACCGCTTTGTCACTTTCGTTGGTTACGGTCGCTGAAGCTTGTTGGGATGATGCAGTCTTATCAGACATACATCTGGCAGGCTGCTTGGTTGAACTTGGGTCTTGATGAGCTGGAGCTCGGGATGGTGCTAAAGCCGGAGATACTGAGTGTGACTCACGGTCGTCAGTGGGATCTCGTCGAAGAAGGATGGACAATGAATGAGAAGCAGACTGGTGATCCTGTGTACCAGTAGGTTGACTCTACCAAGGTATGATAATGCTAACAGTGTTAGCGGGCATCTCGGTAACGGTGAACTCCACCCAAGAATTGGCTACGGCGAATATCTCGACAAACACAGTATTGAAAAAGCCAAGTTGCTCGCCTTGACGTTGGACCGTACCAGTCACCGCCTCACGATTAAGAGCCTCACTCTTTCCGGATTTGTCGTCGACGCTGACCCTTTCCTGCAATGGTTCGATCCCCAGCGTTTGCGCAGCATTTACTTCAAAGGTGAGTGCATCGATGCTGGATTCTGGCTACCCCCTGCTATGCAGAGGGTGATTGTTCGATGCCCGCGCAATGTCGATCTCGAACCTATGCCTGTTGGGATCCTCACGCTGAATTTGCGGAAGGACCTGATGGTTGTGGAAATGAAAGATGGAAAGAAGGTCTATGAGATAGTGTTAGGTGACTCGGAAATTGTGATGGGTCGGCAGTGATTCGACACTTATATAAGACATATGACATTAGTCATTACCAGTCTTGCTTGATGGACACCGTGACAGAACCGAGAATCGGACTAATGATGATACGTTTTTTTTTTATTGAGATGAGATACGATAGCACCAGTTGATTAATGAATATGCTACATGCAAAAGGAAAGTTCAGTGCCCGGCTTCGTGCATTCTGGGGCACGCGATAACGAAGAAATTCAAATTGCAACCGAAAGTGAGAAGGAGTGAGGGTTGGGGTCAGAGATTGTAGATCAGGGAAGAAAAAATATCTCGAGATCGAAGTTCGAATGCCGAGAACGAGAAAGACGCGGATCCAGATACCCAGATATCCAGGATGAGCAATCGATTCGGGTATGCCATTTTGTCCATACAGGCAGGAGGCTCGCCGAATCCATGATCCGACTACGCGCCCTCTTCATCTGCCAGACGAATGTTACCCTCGCCGCCGATGCCGTGGGCCCAGAAGCCAGTCAAGGCAGTACTGTATCCAGTTAGTCTCGCATCATGAATAGAGAGGAACGGGGTCACGTACAGTCCAGACGAAGTGTCATGGGTCAGCAACAGCCAATAGCCCACGATACCTTGGGTGAAGATATCCAGGATGGCGAACAGAACCGTCTCGGTATCGACGCTAACCTTCAGAGCGAGGGATCCAGCCGCAATAGTGCTGTGATGGGTTAGTATTGGTATACTTCACACACCGTGTAAGGAAGGCAAGGAATAGAGACATACATCGGGAATAAGGCAAACATCACCAACGAAGCACCCGAGAAAGCACCAAAGAACCGTCTGAAGGGCGCATCCTTGGTCTGCGCTGCGCGCTGAGCCTGGAATCCGGCATGATTCAGAACAGTCAGGTATCCAATACACGAAAGGGTCAACCAGGCCCATCTCGCCTTGGTGTGTCCGGCGAACGTGCCCAGGAGTCCGGCAGCCAGCATAACATAGTTAGCTGCGATGGCGGCGAGGAGGTTCGCACCGGGCAGACCTGAGATCAAGGCGAAGTTGGTGAAGAGCAGGGGGGGTGCTAATTGCCCAGTTAATGTAGCGGAGCCAGAGAACTTGGCGGAGAGTGGTGGTATGGGTATTTGGGACGTGTTTGTTGTGATGGTGGATCACATCTTCTTTGAACGCAATGCCCTGGCCCGTGGAGAGGGCAAGGTAGGTGATGAAGGAGATGGTGGTGATCAAAGCGCTGGTGGTGTGAAGGACCCGCTTGGGCTATTTAAGGTTAGCTCCGGCCGCAGATCGCGGGGTTGACTGCACTTACCAAGGGGGCTCGGGCGGCGAGGAAGTAGAAGACGACGGAGGAGATGGCCATGAGAGCCGTGACTACCCTGTGCAAGGTGTGAGACTTGATCTGGATGCCTTTTGAGATGGCTTCTTACCACAGAGTACGCTTCCCGGTGTCGCCGAGCTCCTGGACCAGTGGAGATCCGGGGACCACCGTGGGGATGGGCGCGATGCCCGTGCTGGTCGGCAGAGCCGGGAAATTGTCGAAGTCTGGAACCATCATGATGATTTTTTTTGATGGAGATAAGAAGAGGGAGAGTTGAGGAATGAGAAGCTCGGAAGTTCAGAAACTGGAAGCTTAAAGAGGTGTCAAAGTGTGTGTTTTTGGAAATCAGGATTTGGGCGGGATGACGATGCGTCATCGCCACAACAGGAAGCAACCGATTACTTGTTTGGATGAAACACCAAATGGTACGATCTCGTGCGAGGGTGATTGGCTTGGACAAATTGAAAGATGAACAAGATGAGAGATGAGAGATCGGAGATCAGCAAAATAGTTCAAAATATTGGTATGGTACAGAAGTGTGAGGATATAGTATGGTTACAGATAGAATACAGCTACACCGACAGTGGTTGAGAATCAAGCTCCGACACCACTTCTTCGCATCGTTGGCAAATATCCGCCTCGCTTCCTACCGGAACTGCATACCGCCAGCATCGCCCACATTTGGATGCCTGTGGCGCGTACACATACACAGTGCCTGTGCCATCCGGGAGCTCGCACTCTTGCTCGTACTGCCATTCCGCCTCGTCGATCTGCGGGACGGACGCGCCGGGTGCGCCGATAGTTACGGAGGACACGACAAACAAGTCCGGTAGCTCAGAAAGGTGCTCGTGGAAGGTGGTAGAGGTCCTTGTGTCGCCAGGAAGAATCAAGTGCACAAAGGATTGCAGCGATGAGCCAAGTTGCTTCTTTCGCCGAGCTTGTTCTTGCAGGTTCTTGATGACCGAGTGTACGGCAGTGATCTCAAGGTGTCTGGTGTCAAGCGAAGGATCGTGCCATTCGGGAGCGGGGGTGGAGACAACTCGTTGCAAGGGGTGGGGTTGGTGCGAGCGGATGGCCTCAGGCGTGTGTTCCCAGGTTTCCTCCACAAGAAGCGGGGTGATGGGGGCGAGAACTTCCTGGAGGTGTGTAAAGATGTAGAACAGGGTGGTTTGAACGGCTCGTCGACTGATGCTGTTCTCGCCCAGTGTGTAAAGTCGATCCTTGATGGCTTCCATGTAAAATGCCGAGAACTGGAGATTGGCCCACTGGTTCAGAGTGCTGACGGCCTTGTAGAACTCGAAATTGTCACAAGTCTTCTGCGTCGTCTGCACCAGGTCTGACAGGTGCTTCAGTGCAATTCGGTCCACCAACTGCAGCTCCTGGTACGGCACAGCATGTCTGGGCTGGAAGTCCCCTAGGGAGCCAAGAAGCAGCTTGAATGTCACTCGTAGCTTGTGGAGACTGGTGTGGACGGTCTGGAGAACTTGCTTTCCAATCACCACATCGCGCGTGTAGTCACTGCTAGCAGCCCACAGCCGAAGTACATCCGGGCCCAGGGCGTCGTAGGTCGGTCCCTCGGTTTCGGCTTGTTTCTTAGCTTTGCCCTTGCGAGGCGGGAGAGGAGGTAGTAGATTGCCGTCCATGATAGTCTGCGGAGCAATAGTGTTGCCAATCGACTTGCTCATCTTGCGCCCATTCTCGTCAAGGGTAAAGCCGTGGGTAATGAGGTTTTTGAAAGGAGCACTGACACCGTCAGTCTTCCCAGAGGCAAGCTGGTGGGCAATATAGGTCAGGAGGCCAGACTGGAACCAGCCGCGGTGCTGGTCACTTCCCTCCAGGTACACGTCGGCCAGGTGGGTTCGGCCTTCCTGGGCAATGTCAATCTCCGCCCAGCTGGTGCCACTGTCAAACCAGACGTCCATAGTGTCTGTTCCGCGTCGGTATCCGGCAGAGTCATCACGAAGAGATGGAAGGACCCAAGCGGAATCATCGGCACTATCAGTCCACCAGGCATCGATGCCCCGCTCTTCAATTGTAGACATGATATGTGACACACTTTCCTTGGTGAGAACCGCCTCACCTGTCGTCCGATGATAGATGGCGGGAATCGGGACACCCCAAGCGCGCTGTCGCGAGATGCACCATTCACTGCGGTTTTTGACAAAGTTCTCCAATCGGGTCTTGCCCGCCTCCGGAACAAAGCGAACATTCTCCAGAGATTTAAGGGCTTCAGCCCGGATATCACCCACATCGGCAAACCATTGTTCGGTGGCGCGGACGATGATCGGCTGCTTGGAGCGCCAGTCATAGGGATACTTGTGCTCATATGTGTGCTGGGCAAGGAGTTGACCGCGAGCCTCAGCATATTCAAGGACAGCTTTGTTGCCATCTCCTAATACAGACTTGCCAGTCAAGCGGGTAGGGTCATGTGGCATCGCCTTTTCTGTGAACTTGCCATCGTCGTTCACGGGTGCAAAGACATCGATGCCACGCTTCAGACATGCTTCGTAGTCCTCCATACCATGACCGGGCGCACAGTGAACCAATCCAGTTCCCGAGTCTGCGGTCACAAAACCCGCACCAATGATCGGCTGGGGCTTGGCTTCTGGGCCCTTGAAGAGGGCTCGGTAGGTGGTCTTTTCGGCCAGTTCCGATCCTAGGATTGAGGGAATGATGACGGAAAGCTCCTCCCCTCCCAACTGGGACTGAAGATATTCGAGCCGAGACTGGGAGACAAGCAAAAGTCCGTGTGTCTCCGACTGCACGATGGCATACTCGAGCGAGTCACTCACCGCGATGGCGGCATTGGCAGGCAAAGTCCACGGCGTGGTGGTCCAAATAACCACGCTCACCTCCTGCCCCGCGATCAATGGATCCTGAGCTAAGTGCGCCGGAATATCAACAAGTGGAAACTTCACCAGGGCCGCCGTCGACACATGATTCTCCTTGTATTCCAACTCCGCCTCCGCAAGCGCAGTCCCCGACGACGGCGACCAGTACACAGGCTTGAATTTACGATAGATGAGACCGTGGTCAACCATCTCCCGAAACACTCCAAGCTGCCGCATCTCAAACGCCTTGTCCATCGTCTTCCAATGGCCCTCCCAATCCGCCATCACGCCGAACCCTTTGAATTCCTTCATCTGCCCCTTCACCGTCTGGCGCGCGAGCTGCCTCGCAGACTTCCGAATAACCGCCGGACTCATTGAATCCTCTGCGACGCCGGTCTTTTGTAACCCCTGCAGCGCCTTCAGCTCGATCGGCAGCCCATGACAATCCCATCCCGGCACATAACGCACGCGCTTTCCTCGACCCAATTGGATGCGATTGATAATATCCTTGAGAATCTTGTTCAGCGCATGGCCGACGTGCAGTTCACCGTTTGCATAGGGTGGTCCATCGTGTAGGACGAAGGGCTTTGAGGCGGGTCGTTCGCGCTGTTGCCAGGCGTAGAGCTCGTCGGTGCTGCGCCTAAGATATTTGGTTCGGTCTGCCAGCGACACGCGCGGCGGGAATGTGGACTTTGGGAGCTTGAGAGTTGGCGTCCAACTTCGGGACAGCAGTTGCGTCTGTCGCATTATTCCTGCATATCCTCTATGGTTGAGGTCAGATTGTTAATTTTAAGAACTGCCGCTGTTGCCGTTTTACCAAATTTACGCGGTGGGGCCGTGCGATATTGGTAAGATTTCGTTTCACGCGGTAATCAGCTTTGAGCTCACCGTTTGAAAGAAAGTATTACTTTGTAAGACAAGCGCAGGGTTTCAAGGCAGAAACTTGGCATTCCTCTCTCTATTTCTTAGTCAATAGTCTTGCAATGAAACTGGGTGAGATGTACATATAAGAGGTGGCAGACATATATTCGACTAGTGGAGACATAACACAGCCTTGTCAATCTTGAAGGCTTTCGACCAATGACCACTAAAGCATGTAAAACATGGGAAAAAACCATATGCTTGTCGTGCGAGTTGAGCCAACATCCTCAGGAGTGCTAATAATTATTGAGAGAGAGCCCAGAACAAGATTAAAGAACCCGGAGAAAAAAAGCCTTGTACCACTTAGATGATGGTTTGTTGTGTAGATTACTCATCATATTGTAGCCCTGTTCTAACCCAAAAATCATGAGATGCATGTGAAATGTATACCGAAACTCCAAATCGCTCATGTCGCAGGTAAATGAACCCAGAATCTCCAGATGCCCCTATGGCCCCTTACATTAATAGACGGTCAAGCAGCTCACAGCGCCATTCTTCAGCACCTCGAACAGCAGTCCCGGAAACCCGAAGAGCTCGGTATTTCCTAACCCGCCATCGTGACCATCACCACCCGCTCGCGGTCCTTTGGACGTGGTCTCTTCCCAGCCGCCGAGGAACTCCACGCTACTCTCGGGACTATCGCCCCAGCCGCGGTTGAGAACCATCGGCCGTTGCATAGCGCGTTCTTCACTCGCATTTGCGTATGACCCTTTCCACATGCTACGTAGTTGTGAGGATATCTCGTCGTACGGTGACTCGGAAGTCAGACCGTTGCCGGACTGGTCAAGGTGGATAGCCCAGCGGCTTCGGCGATGACGGTTGAACGGGTAAGACCCGGGCACGTTGCCATGCAAGATAATCTTGGTTACGGTCAGTGGTGATACTGATGGCTGGGGCGATGAGTCTGGTAGTTCAGAGGTTGGAAACGCCGGACCCGGCGCGGTGGGATGTGAGATGAAGGCGTCAAAGCCGTGGTGGAAGTAGTTGAAGAAGCATTCTGAGGGCAATGAAGCCGGGTCACTGATGCTCGACGACAAGGTTTCTTCGTCCGAATCATCTGTCACGCTGTTGTTGGAGGAGTGATCAGTGTCTGTGATGTCCATACCTCGACCGGGCGATGGGCTTAGGTGCAGTGCGTCGCCACCTGCGGCTCGATGGATGGAAATGCGTCGGTCATTCTTACGATATATGGCATCCGGAGGGCCGAATTCTGCAATTAAATCCTGGGGCGTAGTCTCTCCTAGGTTGATCTGCAACGGCGCACTCATCCGTCTGGTTACTTCTAGTTTTCCGGATCCGAAGATGTGGAACTCTTCAATCTCGTCGGCAAATGAGTCGCGTGCTTTGCTCACCACTGCCAGAGAGCGTGGGTATTGAGGCTGTTGAGTGAATAGCTTTGCTCGGGCCTCTGGCCATGAGGATCCTTGGAAGATGGCCATGGAGGTAGCTGACAAAGCAGCGGAGGATGAGAGCAGTGCTACAAAGTCGCAATGCTCGGACCAGGCGGAGTGTTGAAGAGGGAAGGAAAAAGCTATTCCCGGGTAGGACAGGACGTAGGTGCCGTATGGTGACTGTTCCGCCGGCGGGACGTATTCACCTGGGTACGACGGACCAAATAGGCGGTTGTAGACATGTCGGAAACTAGGTCCTTGGGAAGACATGGTTGGCTCGGTGGACTTGCCACTCTTGAGAACATCCTGGTTCTTATAGACTAGGTCCGCCTTGGAAAAGTCCAGTACCTCAATCAGACGGAGTCTCTGGTCTGGACCATCAAATCGTAGCCGTAAGCCGTTGGACGGTAAGTTCAACACCACAGGTTTGCGGAGCGGATCACAGGAGGAGTATGCGAGATCGATGGAAGGATATGTTTGGGGATGAGATTTGACTCTTGTCAAGATATTGTGCAGCGACGCGCCCAGTGCTAAAGCAGCTGTTAGCTAACCCCGCGCGAAGATCATCGATGACATACTGATATTGCCTAGGCCTTTGCCTGGGGATATCTGAACTGGTGCAGCTCGGCCAGTCATCTTGAGTTCACCTTCATGCGATATAATGTATGTCGCAAGCGGGTTGGAAAGGCCTTCGAGGAATAGAGGGAAATAGAAGGCAAGATAAGGAGATCACACGCGGGGAAACTATGACGCTGAGTCAGGTGCGAGGGGAAGCGTGACGGGTCACGTGCGATTTGTTTTTGTTTTGCCCGATCCACTTATCGCTCACCTTTACTTGCATGCACGGATCTGCTTTCCACCTTACCTGTCTTCAAATTGCACATCATGGCTGGCCCACCTCGGCCTGCCTCTGCTATTCCAGCAGCTGCAAGAAGGACGACTTTGCGCCAACCAACCCGACGCGCCGGCTCTACTATTTCCGAAAGAGTTGCCTCGCCCGCAGTTACCGGGAGACCGACTACCACTGCTGCGACACGTGCGATCAAACCAAGTCCGGAGCAATCCGCGATCGCAAAGCGAAAGGAGAGAGATTATGAGCGCGAGATCAACGAAGACACCAGCATCCATGTCGTCGTTCGATGCCGTGGTCGCAACCAGCGTGAAATCAAGGAGAACAGTGGCGTGGTGCTATCTACTGAGGGTGTTGCCGGAAAAAGTGTTGACTTGTCAATGGGACCAAATGCGATCTCCAACAAGACCTACGCATTCGATAAGGTTTTCTCTCCAGGGGCCGATCAAGTAATTGTTTACGACGAGGTGGTTGTACCCATATTGAACGAGGTGAGTTGGTTATTTGTCATCTACTCCGGAGCGTGAGAACTAACAAATCATAGATGCTCGCTGGATTTAATTGTACGATCTTCGCATATGGACAGACCGGAACTGGAAAGACCTATACCATGTCGGGAGACATGACCGACACCCTAGGAATATTGTCCGACGACGCTGGTATCATTCCGCGCACGCTATACTCCCTATTCCACAAACTCGAAGACACCGAAAGCACAGTCAAGTGCTCCTTCATCGAACTTTACAACGAAGAGCTGCGCGATCTGCTGTCCGCTGACGACAACACGAAACTCAAGATCTTCGAGAACGAAAAGAAGGGCCATGCGGCTACCATGGTTCAAGGAATGGAGGAAACATACATTGATTCGGCTTCGTCTGGTATTAAGTTGTTGCAGCTGGGCAGTCACCGACGCCAGGTCGCCGCAACCAAGTGCAACGACCTCAGTTCCCGCAGCCACACCATTTTCACCATTACTGTCCTTACGAAACGCCTTACCGATTCCGGCGAGGAATATGTCAGCTCTGGGAAGTTAAACTTGGTGGATTTGGCTGGTAGCGAGAACATCGGTCGAAGTGGCGCAGAGAACAAGCGAGCCGCCGAGGCGGGCCTGATCAACAAGAGTTTGTTGACATTGGGACGTGTGATTAACGCGCTGGTGGACAAAAGCGCTCACATCCCGTACCGGGAGTCGAAGCTCACTCGTCTCCTGCAAGACTCACTAGGTGGCCGAACGAAGACGTGCATCATCGCCACAGTCTCGCCATCAAAGAGCAACTTGGAGGAGACAATTTCGACCCTTGACTATGCATTCCGGGCCAAAAACATCCGCAACAAGCCTCAGATCAACTCTCTTGTATCGAAGAACAAGCTTCTTCGCGATATCGGCATGGAAATTGAGAAGTTGAAGAGTGATCTCATTGCTACCCGCCAACGCAATGGTGTCTACTTGACCCCGCATGCTTATGAGGAGATGACCATGGAGAGTGAGTCCCGGCGTATCGTCAGCGAGGAACAGCGAGCCAAGATCGAGTCCATGGAGGCAAGTCTTCGCCACAAAGTGCAAGAGTTGTTCACCCTCACTAGCAATTTCAACACCTTGAAGCAGGACAACGAGGACACCAGGCATAAGCTGACAGATACCCGTGGTGTGCTGGAGAAAACGGAGAAGAACCTCAAGAATACAACTGAACAACTCGACGAGGAGACACTTGTACGGAAAGCCCATCAAGAAACCGAAAGCAGACTGCGTGAAATTGGAGCAGAGATTTTGACCACTCTGGATCACACCGTCGCTGATGTTAATGGCCTGCATGCTAAGATTGATCGTAAGGACAACTTGGACTTGGATAATCTCGAAACATGGCAGTCATCCACGGGAGAAGTGAGTGAAGTCACTCAGCAGATTGATGCACGCCTGGCGACTTTCCAGGCTCAGCACGCTAAGCTGCTGGAGAGCATGTCGGGCCGCATTGGTCGGTTCGTTGACTCTGAGCTCAGCACAGTTCAGTCTGCTCGATCTCAGCTGCAAGAATTTGGCTCTTCCTTTGATAGGGTCGAATCCGAGGCCAAGTCTCAAACTTCGGGTGCTCACGATGAAATGAATGAAGTTCTAGAAGAGATCAAGGTACTCCGTGAGGTTGTCAAGGCCAAGGTTGGCGAGGGTCTCAATGGTCTCTCCGCCGCCGCCGCTCGCATCTCTAAGGAGGTCATTGGCGAATTCTCCGAATTCCACTCCCAGCTGCACACATCTTATAGCACCCTTGGCAAAGATTTCAAGGGCATGTTCGAAAACATGGTGTCACATCTGGACCAGCAGAAATCAGAAATCCACAAGCTGCGTCTTGAGCTGCAGGAAGCCAACCGTCAGTCAGTCGAGGCTAACCGCAAGGCTTCTCAAAACCTTGCCCAGGTTATGGAAGAGGAGCATGCGAATGCTCAATCCGAGCGTGACAACCTGATGTCTCAGATTCGCACCCTGCTAGATGAGTCGAGCTCTCGGCAGTCGAGTCGGCTCAAAGGCAAGGTCGATAATCTTCGACAAGATATCATCGCGTCTGGTGACTCCCTTGAACATGCGACTGTGCAGTACGATCGACATATCGATGAATGGATCTTCAAGGAGGAGCAGTTTGCCAAGGATGTCACTGCATCCCGGGATGAGATAAGCACCAAGATGCAAAATGACTGGGAGGTAGGACTTTCCTGTTCTCTATTTTGAAAGCCAAAGCTGACAGCAACAGACCTTCGATCAACGCAATGCTTCCATCCAGCGAGTTACGGAATCGGTACACCAAGAGACTGTGCTTATCGTGGATGCTCAAGTGGACGACATGAGCAAGCAAATGGAGGCCCTTGACGATTTCGTTGCAAAGGCCCGGTCTCACAATGGCCACTTCCACGAATCAAGTATGGGCAACCTGGACACCATTTCAAAGACCGTTCGTGAGTCTCGCCTCGCCATGCAAGCCCAGCTGGATGGCTTTGGTGAGCGCATTGGCCGACTCCAAAATGAAACCAGCATTCACACCGAGGAGCTTGATCAGTCGACTGCACTCCTTGAGGAGGAAGTCCGCCGGCCGCTTATCGGTCTCCGTGCCCATATTCAAAATCACCCCATGAAAGAGTACCTTCCGACTGGCGTCACTCCTCAGAAGCGCCGATATGAATATCCCTCAGATCTTCCTCGAACCGAATCTCACGAGGGTCTCCGAAAAAGGCACCGGGTTTCCAAGCAGTTCACAGCTCTCCCATTCAGTGAAGAACCCCTGCCACCCCCTCTCCCTGAAACCCCCCGCTGGCGCCTCTCCCTCAAAATCCTATGTTTACAGCGATGCCGCGGAAGAGGTAACTCACCCCTCGTCCTCATCCGCGCCCACCCCCAACACAGGTCTTAGGGAAGTCGATGTAAACGTCGCCAGACCAGTCGGATGTGATGACGACGGTGATACGTCTTCCAAACCCGAAACCCCTGCCGCGCCCCCAATCCTAGCCCTCAACGAGACCCCTGGGAAAGATGAGCCCGAGCAGCCCCCTCTCAAGCGACGCCGCTCCGCATCCATCAACCCCATCGAGAGCAAACTACCTCAGAAGATGCTCTCCAAGAAGATGGCCGGCATGATGGAGGGCCGTGAGAACGTGCCCCCTCCCACTGGCCGTCGATACCTTCGCACCCGTCCTTCGGACTAAACACACCATTTTGTTTTTGAAAAATTTCCCCGTGTCATTTGATACCCAATATCGCTGGTCTTTCCCCCCTGTCGACCGGAGTTTCTGGTGAAACCCGTGTGGGATTGTCATTCCCTTCTATTTTTCTTGTGTTGGAGTCTTGGACTTGGTCTTTGGCGTTGAGATCGACGTGGTAGATAAACTTATTCTTACGGCCTTAGGTCTTAATTTGATTGCATCGCATCTGACATAGAATGTTGGGAAACAAAAGTAAAATAAGCCGTGGTATCCCGGAAGAGTGTCAAATATTGACTGAACGCCATGCATCGAATCTCAAAATCGCTTCATAAGTCATAGAGCCATCAGGCAGACTTGGGATGAAACTCAAGTCTCCTGGTTTCCTTTCTCGTCCTCTTCGTCTTCATTCGCCTCACCAGCTTCCTCTTTCGCCCTCTGATCATAATGGATATCCGCAGCTTCAATGACCATCTGCAACTCCTGCATCCTTTTCGCAAATTGATCCATCATATCCTCCAACCTCTGCGTCCCCCTCTCCCGTCCAATTTCCCCAGCCAACCCCCCCTGTCCCACGGATCTTCAACATCAACCCATGTCCCGCATCCCCGGGATTCCCATTCCCATTCTCGAAAGTCGGCGCAGCTACCACCTCGCTACTGAGTACCTGCCACCCAGGTGAAAAACTCTTGGCACTAGTTACCCGAAATTGCGGATTTGACCCTGGTGGTTGGCCTGATGATCTAGAGTGTGTTTTCTGCTCGCCGATCCCCAGACTTGCGATAGAGGCCGGATTTTGGGTTACTGCTGCAGAATTTAGGTCTGAGCTTGGGGTCGTGCTAGGCACGCGCTCGACGTCTAGAACGATGTAGTTCTCGCGGACGCCTGGGACAGGCGGGGGAAGGAGTGTTGAACCTTCGGGATCGTTTGACTTGGGACCATCTTTGTGCAGGTGTGCCTGTGCCCCTTCTAGACTGCGGAGTGCGGCTTCCGTTACGATGTCTGTGTCGTCGTCCGAGAAGATATAGTGCACTGTTGGGTGGTGGTAGTCTGATGTGTGGGCGTCTTCGACTAGGGTGAAGAATGGTTGGAATGAGTTTCGCGCGTGTTGCGAGCTGGAGGCGTCTGAGGAAGCTGGGTTGATGGGGTTGTCGTGTGGAGGTGAGGCGTGTACTTCCCCCGGATGCAGCTCTGAAGCTGTTGGTGGCTCCTCGGATCCACCATACTGATCGGAAGGTTGTGGGACGCCCCCGGCCTGGTCGCGCAGGTTTCGAAGAGAGGGTTTAGGCGAGAGGGGTGTATTGGTCGACATCTCCGCTGCATCATTGTTGAGGTCAATCAGGTCAACGGTTATGTCGACCTTAGCTCTTATCGATAAGACTGGACCACGTGATGCTTGCTATGTTGGGGTATAGTCTCGACAAAGAATCGAAGCCAACCGCTTGTGTCGTTTAGATATGGCATTCGATAATGATTTAAGTGGTAGAGATTGGGTGACGTGATTTTAGATGGACATTGAGCAATGTGGTGGTGCATATTCGCCATCGCTCCACAGCATTTACTAAGTAGATTGTGTACCTGACTTGGAAGTCTTTCCCGAATTGGGAGCTTTCTAAGCTGAAGATGGGCGAAACCTTGTGATGATGGTAACGACGGAAGGGCTGACTAGAGCATTGCAATAATTAATCACAGGTGCTTCCTAATGTCGAGGTTTGACCATCATAGCTCTAGTGCTGAAGACGTGTATATTCCAGTACTGAATAACGAAGTGCTCTGGATCTAGAAACAGACAAGAGCAAAGCGGAGTATGTCCGCCAAAACAAAAACGCTATTGTTGGCCCATTAAATGCGGCTTTTGAGCAATACTGCAGGGGTATCCTTGAACCAATCCATTGAACGCCAAAATATGCAAGATGGGAGCATCACTCTCCTCCGTCTGTTTCCACTCAAATTCTGAAAAACGGACACTTTCGTAAGCAATGGTCATACAACCCGTATAATCCAAAAGGAAGTGGTTATCATACTCTGGCGACACATCGGACACAGTCCTTTGGAAGATTCTTGTTGGATCCAGGTCATAAGACAATGCTTTCCACTGTTAGTCCCGAGCACTAGTCGGTACGCGTCGATCTCACCATATGAAATGAGTGGCCGCATTTGCCCAGTACTGTATGTAATTAGTCCGGAGCTCGGGGATCGGAAACGCGTCGACTCACGGAGCGCGCAGTCATCACCGGGGAATTTGCAGGTTGGACAGGTGCCGTCGAACTGAACGCGACAAATACCACAGACCTCATCCTCGGGCATATCCCAGTGCCAGGTAGCGATGGCGTTCCATTCTTTTAGCGTGACCTTCATCTTGTCGTCTTAAAGGATAAAAAGTGGAAAGTGGAAGGTTGAGCGGTGACTGATAAGCCTTTTGTTTATCGTTTATCACATGAGCTTCTCCGCACCCTCATCGGTGTCTCTTGCACTACAATCCGGCTGCGAATATGGCTTCCATGGCTTTTCGCTCAGTGGCTTTGCCTACTCGAGTGTTCCGTGCCAATATGTCCAAGTTTCCTGGCCACCGCAATATCTCCTTCTCCTCGTACTTGGTGACCCCTAACCAGCTTAATGAGGCTCTCAAGAAGAACCCCCCCGAGCAAGATCTCTACTTCGCCCCGGGTGATTCCCCTCTGTGCCGCCTGGTTTATGCCTAATGACCCGGAAGGTCGTACGGGAATGGACTCTTTCCGCAAGTCCCGCATCCCCCAGTCTCGCTTCTTCGACATTGATGCCGTCAAAGATCATGACTCGCCTTATCCGCATATGCTGCCCACATGCGAAGCATTTGCGGAAGCCATGAGTGATTTGGGTATTCGTCGTGATGACGAAGTTGTCGTCTACGATACCGCCGAGCTGGGTATCTTCAGTGCTCCACGCGTGGGCTGGACCTTGCGCGTGTTCGGCCACCCCAACGTGCACATTCTTAACAACTATCGTCTTTGGGTGAAAGAAGGTCTTCCGACCGAGAGTGGTGAGCCGCCATCTATTGAAAAGTGCAAGTACCCGGTCCCCACCTACGATGCGAGGTTGGTCATTTCCTTCCGTGAGATGAAGGAGCTCGCGATGGACTACGGCAAGGAGGGCGCCGAAGAGATCGAAATCCTGGATGCTCGCTCATACGGTCGCTGGGCTGGTACTGATCCTGAACCTCGACCTGGTCTTTCGTCGGGCCATTTGCCGGGCTCCAAGAGCATGCCGTTCCAGGAATTGCTCGACCCGGAGACAAAGACTTATCGCTCCCCGGAGGAACTGCGCAAAATATTCGAGGATCGGAAGATCAACCCGGAGCTCTCGATTATCAGCTCCTGCGGTACTGGTGTGACTGCCACTATCATTGAGACAGCCCTGGGTGAGGCGGAGTATGGAAGCCCAAACCTGCGTCGAGTATATGACGGCAGCTGGACGTGAGTGATACCAATTCGAGACCATTTGACACCTTGATGAATAAATGGAACTAACTATTCTTTAGTGAGTGGGCACAGCGGGTCAAGGAATCCGATGGTCTCATCAAGAAGGTGAAGCAATAAAGAACGCAGAGTTGGATACCCAATACCACGATGGCAGGCAGATCGACACCACTATTCTCTTCCCCCTTTTGTCTCGTATCTCTCTTAGCTAGATACGCATAGAAGTATCTGTATATCTCATATATCATCTCTGACTCCCGGTCCGTACCTGGCGAGGCCCAGGGTACCCGCTTAGTCAGACCTCAGAACGACTTCAATTTCGACATCCAACGTTGTACGCTGTGCGCAACAAAGATGCTTATATTATTTCATTGTTCTCTGGCTCTTTTCTGTGAGTGCTCCGCGTTATACCGAGCGCCGGCTCGCCCCCACATTCCCGTCAAATCTCCTTCGCTCCCTGCTGACCTCACCTCCTCCAGTGGTTCACACATCATCCCCGGTCTAGGGCATCCAGGCCCTCCGACTCCCTCTGCGAGACACTCTTTTACTCGTCATGTCGACTGGACGTAAAACCTTCCACTGCGCCGTGGACGAGACGGCTTTGACCACCAATATCAGCGAAATCAAGAAATGGACCACTAGCGGGGCCATCGATCTTATTGTCCCTCTTTACAGTAGGTGCACACTTGGGCAGAAAGAGAGAGAAGGGGGAGAGAAATATTGTCCCTTCGTCTGAAAAATCTAACCGTTTCTCTTTTCAGCCCTTGAACGCCTCCATGCCTTGAAGCGGGCGGGGTCGCAAATCGCCATCAATGCTCGCGAGGCCGTCCGCTTCCTTGACCGCGTCACCTCTGGAAAAGACCACATCGTCGCCGACCGTGTCTCCCTTCAAGGCCCGATGGAACAGTACGAACGCTGGGAGGAAGCCGAGAAATTCTTTCTGCCGGAATTCGAAGAGGAGCCCGAGGTGCTCGAAGAGACCGCTTCTCCCGATCCCGCGACCGAATCTCCCAATCACCGCGCCTCCGAATCAGATGATCTGTCGCAGATGCTGCTGAGCAAACTGAATTTCAAGAAAGAAACCGAGGCGGCTTCTATCACCTCGGTCGGCTCTCCCAGCGGGCCCAGATCGCGCACGTCCTCCCGCAGTTCGCGCACCAGCCCTGAATGCGCCCAGCATGAGAACGGCAGTACTGGCAAGTCTGAGAAGAAGGGACACCAGCGTAATTCCTCTGCTTCTACGATTCCTGTGGTTCCTCCTGTGCTGCGCCCGTTGCTGAGTGCGCTGCTGTGGCGGTTGCACAGCGGCCCGGATGGGGAGAATTCTGCCAAAAGCTGTATCCTGGTGACGAACGATCGCGCGACCCAGGTATGGGCTCAGAAGTTCGGTATCGGTGTGAAGAACATCGTCCAGCTGCGTACAGCGATTCAATACGAAGAGCGCGAATATAAGAACCGCTGTAAATACGTTGAGAAGACTCAGACTCAGACCCAGACCCAGGCTACCGAGCCCAAGACTCTGTTGGCCTACGAGGATGAGAGTGACGAGGATGAGCTGGTGTTTGTCCCCCGCGGCCGTGGCAGCGGAGGTGGAAACAACAGAGGCTCTTCTCGTGGTGCACGGGGTGGATCTTCTCGCAAGACCGCTGTTCCGAAGGCTACAAAGACTACAAAGGCTCCTAAAGCTACCAAAGCTATTCCCGCGATTCCCGAGACCAAGACCCAGGTCCCGATCGAGGTCCCCACGCAGCCCATCGACCCAGATTCCTTCAGCCGTTCCCTCGGCGCAAACAAGACCCCCACGGTGGATTTGAGTTCGCCGCAAGGTGCTGGCCGCGGTATGTCGTCGGCCTCGCGTCGCCCGGCTAGCTCCCGCCGTGGAGGATCTACTCGTGGTGCGTCGCGTGGCAGCGGCCGAGGGCGAGGCAAGCTTTGGGTTCCCTGATATGGCGTGGAGGTCTGCTAGTACCGTCTAAGGACATGGCGCTTGGCAGACCAGTGTAACTCCATGCATCCAGAACCCGGATTCGTCTCTTTTCCTTCTTCAGGACGAGCATTGCGCGAGGGGAAGTGCTGCGACAGGGTGTTTCCTCTCTCTCCCCTTACCCCGAACCCCACTGAGCCCCCGGCATCAACCCCAGACCGCGGCTGACCGATTCCCGGCGATGAATCTATCACGATTCCATTTGATCGCGGCTGGTGGTTACTCCTACTCTACTTCGGGCTACCCCTCGGTACCTGGACAAAGTAGATGCTCTGGGACCCCGTGAGAAAGTTGCTTTTGGCGCGGCCCCGTGTCTGGTAGATTTCTCATCTACTTAATTCATCTGATATTATCTATTGAACTTTGTTTAAATGAATGAAATGAAGTAAATGTAAAACACGAGTTCGTGTCAAGTGTTTCAAGAGTTCCTCGCGTGACCTCCCGCGGGACGTCATTTGACTTTCACGTAACTGATCTTCCACCTCTGAACTTCCCAACTCCAGAATTGCAAGACTACAGCACGACACAGTTCAAGTACTGCCCATATCATTCCTTTAACCCTAGATTCAACATTGAAACATCAATCTTTCACCATGGCCGTCGACGAAAGCCCCATCGCCGCCCACCCCGAGCGCCGCAACTCGCTAGAGAAGCACCTCCAGACCCGCCCGGATGTGCAGGATCTCAAAGACCGCAACATCCTACTCGACACGAACGTCGCTCCGTACGTTCTTTGATTTTCCAGCTTGTCCGTCTACGGTTCCGAACTAACCGCCACAGTGGCATCCAAGCTGCGCGCCAGGAACTCGCCCGCCAACGAGCTACCGACGACCTGAAGAACAAATTGGACAAGCGGCCCGATCGGGACGAGCTCATTGAGCGTGAGCCTTACAGGAACTCCCATTTCTACACCGCTACCTCTACGCCTTTCGCGTGCTAGATCCCCACACGTGCTAGATCCCCAGCTGACATTCTTAAGGCAACATCCTTCCGGCAACCAACGCTGCCCCGGCGATTCAAGCTCAAGCTCGAGACCTCGAGCGCCATATGCTGGCTGATAACCTCGAACACAAGATTCAGAACCGGCCTGAGCCCGAAAAACTCATTTCACAGGGCATCTTGTCCGAGGATGAGGACCCCCGCTCGTCCTGATCGGGCTCGGAATTGTGATTGTGATGAGTCAGTCGAGGCCTGTCTTTTCGAGCCCTTTACCTTGATTACGACCGAATCGAATGATATAATGAAGGCGTTTCGACTGCGTTGCTTATTGATACTCATTGATTCTCAATGTCACTCTTTCAATGTGGACTTTTGACGTTTGGGCCAATGCGGGGTGGTGATGTCACTGTGACGCTTTGTCTGTTAGTATGCCTAGGAAACGGATGCTTTCTAAACTTTTTCTAGATCTGGTGCATGAAGAGTATATATGTAAAATTGTAGAATACTGTACATGGTACATTGTACATTGTACATTGTAGACGGGAGAAGGCAGATGGGGTTGATCTACGTGGGGGTCTTCCCCGCAAGATGAGGCTATCGGTGGATTGTGGATTGTGGATAGGCATAGATACACGCTGTTCAAGTCTACTTGAAGACGTCGCACCTTGACAATTACCCTGCAAGAGACTATACAAGAGAGTGTGCAAGAGAGTGCAATAAGACAACAAGCTCCACAATTTCAAAACAATATACCGTTTCTGTGTGCGAAACATGTAATTGATTCGTGGGACAAAATTAGAGGCCGTCATCAGCGTCGGACATCCCCCAAATAACGTATCTGCTCACGTTTTCGTTCCTGGCAAGTTCGTTATGTGAAGAGATGAATAGAGGGTTGCCAAAAAAGAACAGCCTTAGTGACTGAGCAGTAAAATTCCAGTTCAAGCAAGATGTCGAGATCCTCGTCAAGTCCTCCAACCACTCGAGTATAGGCTTACCTCATGAGCTAACCTCCCCACCATCGGATATCTGGACCTTCGCTGGTAGCATTCAGGAGATTTCCGGCCAAAGAGCTTCCATTGAAGCGTTTCCCCCCCCACTTGACGGACCGTGTCACCATGGCGCGTGTCGAGGGGTGGAATTGAATTGAAGTTCGTTAAGATACAAGGGAGAATGAAAGACAGAAATGATTGATCTTTTGAACATCGATAGGATCGCAGATGCGATATGCATTTATAGATATTGTTAAACCGGAATCGGCCCGGGAGACTCAAACCGCTTTTGCTGAGTTCGGCAATTTGCGCGCCCGAGCCTCACCCTCAAATTCGAAAGCTTAGCTCGTGTGCTCGACGAAAAATCGACCACAAGAAAGTTACAAGATGGTAAACCACTCTTCCAACAAACTCGAAATAATATCAACTTACAAAATCTCAGTCGAGACCAAACGCCGGCGCCCTAGCCGTCACCCTTTTCCTCACCACAGCCGCGATCGCCTACGCGCGAACAGGAACCGTCCAACAGTCCCTCGAATCCCTCCCCGCAAACACTTCCCTAGTGATCGCTCTCTTCTCTTTCCTAGGCGGTGCCATGGAATCCATTCGCTCAAAGTCGCCCGCTGCGTTTCTCCTCGGCCACATCTTTAGCGCGGTCTACATCCTTAGCTTTGCGCGCCTCCGCGCAGGCCAGCCCTCTGGTGCCGAGATTGGACTATTTGGATCTTTTGCTTTAGCTGGTATTCCGATTTTGGCGGATGCAGGGTGGCATCTGGTTCCTAAGGAATTGGGATACGTGGGGGGTTATGGGGTTGCGGTGTTTGCGAATGCGTATGGGGGTGTTGGGCTGGCTGTGACTTTGCTCTTTTCGCTGGTGCTTTTGGCCTTTAGGGATGAAATTAGACAGATACGGAATCGGGTGGATGAGCACATGTGAGGGGTGAAGCATTGACTTGTAGGTATATGAATATAATGATCCCCAGTTGTAAACTCATTTGGCCTGAGAATTTGGCGTTGGTATCACCCATTTCGCGTATGCACCTAGCAAGGCATCTAGGTTTCATTGCGTGTATAGTCATCTCAATGAGTTTCAACCTCCATTGGCGCAGACAAATCCGGCGTCCATCCACTCGGACGCTCGCTGCCACGAACGAGGATTCCATATGCCGCCCGCTCTACCTTTTCCACACTGTTTTGCATAACTTCGACCTTCTTGTGGAGATCGCGCAGCATGTGATACTTTCGTGGAACACTCAGCGCCTCGAATCGTGCCCGCATGGCCCGGAGATCCACCACGATCCCAGCCTGTTCAGGCGAGAGACTTGGCGCTTGCGGTTCTGCTGACTCCTGGGTCTCCTGTGTGGCAGTCGCGTTGCCCGAGCTCAGCTGCAGGACTGCGAAGCGCATCATTTCACCGGTCAGGTCAAAGAGTCCCATCACGTAGTCTTCTTCGGTCACCATGATTCCAGCCGGTACACGTGTCGTCACCTCGGCGTGTGTGATCAGTGTTTGTGTGCGGAGGTAGTGATCGAATGAGATCGCTTCAATGAATTCCTGAATTGCACCGCCAATTTGGCGCTGGTAGCGCCAGGAGTTGATTCCCGCGACATCGGAGACGATCGAGGTGAAGAGCTTGTCGATGGTGTCGAGGCGGGTTTGGTTTTCTTGGGCGATCTTGGGAGGGATGGGTTGGTTGATGGCGCGGACTCGTTGGAGGGCGAAGATACTGCGTGGGAAGCTATTTTAGAGTCTATCGCGTTGTATTCAGGGTGTGCGGACGCTCACTTCTTTTTGCTAAGTGCAGTGATGTCCCGGCTCACTTTGATGATCCGCTCGCGGCGGTCATGATGCTCGTCCAGCTCGTTGCGGAAGTTCTCAAAAATGGATTGGAAGATGCCCACAGGCTCGGCGGAAGCCATACTGGCATCGGACTTGGTATGCAGACCGAGAGGCTGGCCTTCCCAGGATCGTTTGGTGCCCATCGAGGAGATGGAGTTGGAGGGTTTGCACCGATAAGATAACATGAATTCATGACGATCAAATCTGAATCGAAATCTGAATAGAAACCTGAACAGAAACCTGAACAGAAACCTTGAGCTAAAGTCATAGGCCCTTTCACTAATGCAATTAATGAAACCAGTTATGTATAATCCAAAATTAAACTTGGTTGACAAACAAGACTCGAGGAAAATTAAATGGCTCTTGAATAATTAGACACGCCCCATCACACCCTCATCTCAGCAACGCCTAGCTCTAACAATCTGCTTTTCTTTATTTTTCCTAATTAGGGATTCTCACAACTGCTCTGCCAACGATGGCATCATCCATAATCTTATTGATGAGATTGGGAGCTGCTTCAAAATCAAAAATCTCAATCGCTGGCGTGATCACTCCCTGGACGGCGAGTTGCAACAACTCCGCCATCTGCTCCTCTGTACCGACCGAAGAGCCTTTGATCGTGAGCGCTATATAGAGTCAGCATTTTTTTTTTCTCTTTGAAGAACTTCTGCAGTCCATGAAATTGAAAAAAAGAACATACCTCGAGCAGCACACAATGTTGCAGAAATGGGAATCTCGATATCATTACGTGGAAGACCTACGCAGATGATATGGCCCATATTTCTGACCAGCGTCGGGGCAGTTTGAAGTGCCTCTCGCGTGCCAGGTACCACCACTGTTGCATGGGCACCCTCGCCCGTCAACTCGAGGACTCGTGCCGCGACGTCTTCCGTCTTAAAGTCAATAAAAGCTTCAGCACCAGACTCTAGGCTGAGCTTCCTCTTAGCATCGCCACTATCGACTGCAATCACTCGAAGCTTTCTGACTCGCGCTGCGATCTGCACGCCTATATGGCCGAGGCCACCACCGGACCCGGAGATCACGACCCAGTCGCCGGGTTGAAGCTCGTTGTCGAGATGGCCCAGTGCGCCTGCCATGGTTAATCCGGCGCAAAGAAGTGGTGCTGCGACTTCATCAGACACCCCTTCTGGGACCATCGTAATAAATCTGGCATCAGCGATTGCGTATTGCTGTAATGTGCCTGGAACATGGCGGCTGGTGTTGAGCTGCTTCGCGCAGTTGTTGGCAAAGCCCCGCTGACAGACGGAGCATTTGGTGCAAGCGTTGTAAAGCCACTTGATCCCGACGCGCTTTCCCAGTAAAGAAGCAGAGACATTGTCGCCTGTTTGGACAACGGTGCCGATGCCTTCGTGACCGATGATGGAGTTATACGCGCCCCAGGCTAGCACAGCGCGGACTTCCGAGTGGCTTCGATTCGAAGGTCACATTAACGATACGAATGAAACATCAAGATGTGATCTGGAAACTCACCATATACCAGTACATTTCAACTTGACGAGAATCTCGTTGGAACCAGGATTTCCCACGGGGATGTCATGTTGAAGGACAACTTTGAAACACTCACCAGGGTTCTGCACCACGGCCGCTTGCTGAGAGTGAGGAATGAGTTGAGAGATTGATTCCATTTTATGGACTTTGATAGGGAACCATCGTGAGCAGCGATTTAAGCGACGCTAATATTTATGGTCGCGCTTGTTAGTGAATGCCGAACTAGCTACCCGAAACGTGGAGGCGGTCGAGTCTTACCCGTGGCCCGGCTACGGGCATGAACAGCCAGAGCTTATGAGCGGTATAGGCTATTATCAATGTTAAAGATTACGTACTTTGTCATCGATTATTAGAGAATCTGAGGTAGAAATTGCGGCGTAATTCTGGGAAGTCGCGCTGCAGGGCTTTGGGTCATTGTCATGGTCAAATTTATTTTTCTCCCCCGAACGGTTCTATTCGCAGAGGGAGCTTCCGCTCAAAGACTTTCACGCTCGTGATGTGGCTGAGCTGTGTGTTGTGGGGACGTCACTCATGATTTATCGCAATCGACAAGACACTATAATATAGGCATCAATTGTTATCAGTGGCGAAGGGGCCTGCGTGATCAAATCACAGCAACGAGGGCAAAAGAAATGTCAAGACTACAATTCAGACCCTTTCCGCCCACGCCCCGAAATGATCTGATCTGATTGATCGAGGAATGGGATTGTACATAGCGCTAGACAACTGGCTTCTCTCCCAACCCTGTCGCACGTATTCCCTGTCGCAGAGATTTTCATTGGCTTTGAAGTGCCCAGACCTCGCCCCTATTCCCATGCATCATGACACTGTGTCAAGGAACTCGCGTCGTACCTCGAAGCCAGGCTCTACGGGATGGTCCGTCCCAATGACGAGCGGAGGTCGATGCAGCCTACTATTCTGAGCCAAGGCGATGCGAATCAGTTCCAACGTCATTGACGCCTAATTGGCGTGTCCACAAGATCATATTCGTTCTCACTCCACGCTTATGTACTCTGGAATCCTCGAGAAAAACATATGAATGTATGAAATTCACCGATTGGAAATGTCGAGGACCCATTCCACTCATCCTTTGCATCACAAGATTAGCAAAACGCCTTGGTATCCACATCACTAGCGCCGTTGTCGCAAACTTTGTCGCATAGTCGCATAGTCGCATAGTCGCACTGTCGCAGTATGCTCATAGTCTTGTAGTCGCATAGTCGCACTGTCGCAGTATGCTCATAGTCTTGTAGTCGCATAGTCGCACTGTCGCAGTATGCTCATAGTCTTGTAGTCGCATAGTCGCACTGTCGCAATATGCTCATCTCATCTGAGCTTGGCGCTGCATTTAAATACCCTGTCCCGGCAGCCTTGCTTCTCGCTACTCCTCGATTATATTGCAGCAGTTCACTCAGAACAGCATTACAATAGGCTTTCAAAAGTCGCTTTCTACACAATGCTCTGGCAACCAATTGATATGTACTCTGCAACATGGAGCTTGCCTGAAGAAGAGAACAACTATACCTGGGACTATTCTGACCTCTTTGTTGATGTTGACGATGCTCTGCCCATTCCTTTGCCTGACGATCCTTGGTTCGCTCAATCTATGTCGCAAATGTTTGAATCCGAAGCTACTCAGCCCACTCAACCACACCAAAGTGGCGCTCGCTCGATCGATCACGAGGCCATCAGGCATACTCGAGCAAAGCAAAATGGGGAACGAAGATCTTCTGTCCAATTCTCCTGCGCGAATGCCAATGAGACCTCCGGGTCCTGTGCACCCGCTTCGTCGGGCGACTTCAATGTCTTGGCCCAAAAGAGCAGCGGGTATCCCAAGCACAATTTGAGCCACAATGATGGCCATCCGAACAAGGAACAGTAAACAACTTCAAGCACATACTCATGATGAAGAATGAAGACTAGACTCTGACCACCAATTCTCTTGCTAGAAGACTCATCGGCCCATTGCAATGTGGCTGGATAAATTGCAAAGAAGAACGTCCATTCGCGAACCTTGGAACTCTCAGGCGACATGTCGACACGCAGCATCTTGCTCCACGCTCATTCAAGTGTTCAAGATGCGGGATGCTTTTTAACCGAAAAGACAATTTGAGGGTTCATTCGAGAGGAATGCATTAAGACCGCGTTGAAGCTCTACATGTTTTGGATAATTGTTTTGCGGATGTGTCATACAAGGAAATGTTTAGATGCTTTGGTATAGCTAGTCAGTATTAAGGAGTTGCTACCTGCTGCCCTGATCGAGATAGATCTAGGGAATGGGGTGTCCCTGAAAAAAAAAAGGATCCATATTCTTTTCACTGAAGGAAGCATGATTTGTAGACTTCGAGCATTCTTGCAGACTCCAAGATATCAATTATGAGTCACCATTCTGCAAGAACCTGATCGAGACCGAAGAGAGGCCTCAATTCAGCCAGATATACAGCGGAGAGAAAACTTGACTCTCAAGCGTCATTATAGTACACAAGAAACTGGGCTTACAAAATCAGAAGAGGATTGTGATGACAGGATTAGAAATTTGAGGTTCAGATGGTAACTGCGAGAACTGCGAGAACTGGGAGAAATGGGAGAAATGGGAGAAATGGGAGAAATGGGAGAAACATACTACTTTTTAATAAACATACTCCATTTTCTAAAAAAATTGCTAGCACCAAACGGTCGCGTCTCAAGAGAAAAAAAAATAAAAAATAAAAAATAAAATAAAAAATAAAATAAAAAAAATGAGAATTTTAAAAAGTAGGGAACACGGATTATGGACTTGTCTATGAAGGGCCCGTTCACTATGATTAATCAATTGAGGCTACAAAAGCGGTGTGCGCTGTGTCGTGTGCCGCTGACCTACTTGCCTGTCACTACCGCGATGCTGACGAGCACCCACTCAAATTCGACGAGAACAAAGCAGGCCGAGAGAGGAATTTACAGAGCCCAGGCAGGGCCTGGTGCGATTCAAGAAAGTGAAAGTTCCAGAATTCTTAGCCCATCATTGACCGCGCTTATTTCATTTTTCGCCTCCAAACTAAGACCGAGGAGCTCTGATGAGAATATCAGGCCTGAAAATAGCCCCTATAGCCCACCTTTGAAGAATTGCACACCCAGGTCCGTTGCGGAAAGAAGAAAGAGTCCATATTCAATACTGCCGCACTACTGATTCTTGATAGGACAAATTTTCCAGGCGGGTAAGAGAAAGAACAACCGAAAATGAATATCAGAATGAATAGAATAAAGGTCAAAAAAAATAATGTACCTTCAAACCTTTCGAGTATTTCCAAGATCATATTTACGGTAACTCCGATCGGGAGGGGTTTTTGATCTGGTGAGGTACCTGGCCTTTCTCCTTCTCTCCTGGTGTCTCCCGGTGTCTCTCTGTCGCGACAGCGGATTACGGACCAGGTTTCTGGCCATATCTATTGCTTTACGGTCCAGGTTGGATGAGTCAGCCAGGGCGGTGGGAACATAGGGGTTTTGTATCCACATAGTCCCGGTTCGAACTTAGTATCATTACCAATCTTATAAGTTATTTTACACTTCCTTACGGTCCAGGTTTCCGTACCTTACGAGTCGTACTTCTTGTGTTGTTTTATACCAGTCTGTGAGATTGTGTTTTATCTACTACAGGGGACGCTTGTGGGGACGCTTGTGAGGTTCCGATCGTTCCGATCGGAAGGCAAAGCTCGAGGCCAGGCACAGCCCGATCCCATGCCCAGTGCGAGCCAATGATGTCCTATATTTTTTTCTTCTGCCCAGGCAAAGCGAGTTCCAAGTTATCTGTCGAGTACCGGTGCAAAGAAATGAGTGTTCACGTGCTTTTGTCCTGTCAATTGGTTCTGGTTGCGTCGTTGCGTGCATCGGATGGCTTTCCCGGGCCCCGGGTGCCCACAAGAGATGGTGGACAAAGTACCATCCTGGGCAATCGCTAGGAAGGCTTTTTGTATAAATGATTTATCATTGAGAGAGCCTTGGATCCCAAAGAGCAGCTCGTCTTCTTTCACTCTCTTCTGACTATTGAGGTCCCTTGTAGGACTTGGTGTTAGGCTCTCAACATGCCATGGCCGCAAAAGAAGGAGTATATGTGGCACGACGACTGGAAAATGCTACCAGAAGAGGAAATCAACGAATGGGATGATCTTGAACTCATTGATACTGTTCAAGGCCCATTTTCGACATCCTTCTCTGCAGAATCAGCGTTTCCCCAACACTTTGTCCAAATTCATGAGTCCAGCTCATTCCAGGCAATACAATCGAGCCAGCTTCACATCAATTTGATCAACTATGACTGCATTAAATACAATCAAGCCACGGAAAACGTCATCCATTACACTCCATCCGACCCAATCTATGTGGATATGAAGCCCGAGTGCAGTGCATCTACTCCGACAGAAACGTACAATCGGTCGACAAAATCGGACACTCAGCATGCATTGTCTGATAATGCTAGCCGTCCAAAGGATACTGAGTGAGTAAAAAGAAGAGCTCTTCATGTATAGCACACATTGGTCTCTGACAGAAGCTGCATCGGCTAGTGCTTCCTTTCGTCCTCTGAAATGCACGTGGCCAGACTGCCCGTACAAGTCTACTTTCTCCAGCAAGGGAGCTCTCACGCGGCACGAAAAATGGATGCATCTCAATCGACGCTCATTTAAATGCCCTGAAGCTGGATGTGGCATGGCCTTCAATCGAAATGATAATTTGAAACAGCATTTGCGAGGCAGACACTGGGATACTACTTGAATCGAAGACGGAAATTCATTTGCAAGGTTAAATGGCAACTGGTCTCTACAAATGTACGTAGTTGAATGAGGTTGAATGAATTCGAAAAAAAAATTGTTGGAGCGTTCTCGATTCTGACGCCAGCGCAATGAAACGCTTGAGCATGCCGTCAAAATGGGGCTAGTAGTCCAGAAATGCAGACATTGGCCAAGCACAGGAATCTAGAACTGGAATGCAAGAAGATCGTTCAGAACCCGCAAGGGGAAGTATATATGAATGCTGAGTCATCAAGTAAATGATACTCGTTCTTTAATCTCTTGCATCTCTAGGAAGCGAAAGCCCCTATCTCACCTTGTGTACAGCTGATTTCTGGGTATTCTTGCGAGTGAAGCTGGCGTGGCCTTGTTCAGTCAATCATGCGCCATCTCACCATCTCCCGACGAAGACTGCCAGATTCATATTGAGTAGAATCTACTGTGGGACCTGTGAGACGGAGGGACCGATCGATTCCAGGGCCATCATTGGTGCCTCTGGTCCTCTCCGGCCCATTAAACAGCCCATTCAATATTCCCGATCCAGATAGCTCCCTTACTGTTTTGTCGGGTTTTTCGTGACCCGCTGTCAACTCCGGCACACTGGTTCCTTCTTGCGCGGATGTTGGGGTTCTTATATGGCAGTCCGGTGGAACGGGTGGATGGGTGACATTTAGGACATGCTCTCAGCTAACTTTTGATATTTGGAATGCATAAAGAAGAACGGCCTAAGCCAGTAGATCGACCGGAACTGATTAGATCAGGAGAAGCTCGATTAGAAGTAATGGATTAAAATTTACACTGCCAGAAACCCCAATTATGGCCTGAGTGCACGTCATAAACTACTAGGCATCGTAGCAACCCAGACAGCGCTGTGGTGAAAATAACCATGCCTCTGATTCTCCACCACTAAATCCAAGTGAACGAACCAGCGTCCCCATCCAAGCAATCATTATCAATGTAACAGATGGTATCTCATAAAGAAAGCAAACTTCACCAGCGGAAACTAAACACCCGATTTTTCAGGGTGGTCAGCAGGAAGAACATCCGCAATGGTCTCATCAGTTCCTGCCAGATCCTCATGAACATCGACGTGGTCGCGGATCTTCATGAAGATGACTGGAGCAGCGACGACGAGGGATGCGGCCAGAAGCACCCAGTTGCTGATGAATTCCTTCTCAAAGGAAAGTTTGCGGGCGTCGAGGTTATTGACGATGGCTGCCCCGCAGGATTGAATTCCCTTGTAGAAACCGACATAATTGGCGGAGCGACGGCCCGAGTTGGAGAGGGCGCCCATGAACCTGATTGAAGTTAGTCTCATCCAACATCAGTGACACGGAGAAAGAAACCTACCAGTAGATACTAGCCTGCCAGGCAGCATCGTAGAATCCGTAGAACATATAGAGGAACATAGGACCGGCGTAGCCAGAGTCAGACCAGTCGAAGGCCTTCCAGTCGGGGTTGAGCTTGATGTTGACGGTGTCACGAGTGTATCCTTTCTCGAAAGCATAGCCGCCACCCCAGATCGCGAAAGTGAGCACGAAAAGAACGCTCCAAGAGATCTTGGCGCGGACAGAACGGCTCACACCCTGAACATCGAGAAGGAATCCCCAGATAGCAGCAGCGATAATCTGAGCGAGCCAGTAAAGAAGACTGTTCAGTGCCTTGGTGCGGGTATCGAAGTAAGCTCCATTCACAGCGTTCTGCTGGTAGACGTAGAACCAGTTGGAAACGAAGAACATCGGGAACAGCAGGATGACGAAGGGCTCGAATCGGAGAGTTTCCCACAGACCCGCGAGCTCGGACTGCCAGCTTGGGTTCTTCATGAGAATGACACGGCTACCATCTTCACGAACAATGTCACCGGCGTTGCAAAGGAACATGGCGAGGAAGGCTCCGAAGGCCATCAGGACAATGAAGCCGATGTAAGTACCGTCCGAGACTGTCGAGTTGGTCTTGATGTTGATGTTTTCGCCGAGAGGAATCAAACTACCGATCACCGCACCCATGTTGAAGATTCCCCAGAAGATGGCGAAGTACTTGCCCTTTTGCTTTTCGTTGGGATAAGAAATCATAATCGTGCCCTGCGCGGTCCATAGAAGACCGGCGCAGATACCCAGCCAAGCACCGGCGAAAAGGTTGAATCCGGGGACACTCTTGTGGACGGAGACCAGCAGACTGATTGCATAGAGACAGTATCCCGTACCACCGAAGGCCAGGGTCCATTTCACACCGAGCTTATTGACGAAGGTTCCTCCAAAGATACCGAAGACTGCGAATGCACTGTATAAAGCGGTGTTCTACATGAAGTCAGCCTCTGTGTTACCGCGCGCCATCAACTTCAGGGGCATTCACCATGTTGTCGGCCAATGTGGCATCGGTCTTTCCACCACCTCCCAATCCACCGAGCGCGTTGAACATTCCAGGACACATGAAACAGACAAAGGCGACCATTAGAAGCTGCACCTTCGGCGACGCGTACCACGGGATATTACGACCGAAAACACGACGCTGTCTATACTTCCACCCGGTGGGCAATGCGGGGGTGCCGAAGTTGCCATTGCCATTGTCATACTCGACCGGAGCAACATGCTCATCGGTGGTCCTGGCGATCTCTTTATCGGCAGACATAATGATTCAGATACTGGAAGTAGACAGGCTCCGCTGCTAGGAGAGGAAGGGAAAAAACAGTTTGAGGGGAAAGACAAAGATTTTATTCTATTCTCAGCCGCTAGCCGGGGGGTGTCAGCTCGAAGCTGCGTGAGTGAAACCTGATCGTTCAACTGTACCATCGGGATGGCAGCCAAGCTAGCGCGATTGAATCTCATCCAATAAAATGGCTATTATCTCCGCCATTTAGAGGTCCAACCCGCTAGTGGCTTGATAAGGGGACATGTTAGATACGTTAGATGGGTAAGATCGGTTCGATAGGGGACGTGCGAAAGTAAGGCCTCCTCGTGACTGCGCATCAACATAGGCTTAGTGTGAGCGGGGGCACACTTGTGATTCATCCCGTAATGCTACTAACCCCGGAAACCTCCTCACGCCAGGGCACGGCACGCCTAGGAAAGGGTTCGAGACGAGGATAACACGATGAAGTCCGATGTTTAGTCTAGAAACATATCCAAGTATTCCAAGGAAGATTGTCGGCCCCCACAGGTCGAAGATAAGACATTGCCACGCGCAAGACCGACAGATGAGACCAAACAGAGCACAATAGACAGCTCAAACAGCTTTGAAAGGGTACAATCAGATGCGAAATTGGGAGTCACCATTAATGCTACCTTAGCATGACACTGGCAGGATACAGGGGCACCCTTTCATTACACATCAGCGAATACGGGGCCGGTTGGCGCTAAAAGGCTGGCCGAGGCGACGCTTATCTGCACAAGATGTAACATCCACTTTGATGCTGTCTCAAGCTGCGTGCGCCACAATTCTACTAGGAGACTAAGTGCGGTGAAAGCTCAGACGTGGACTTTCTCTCTATCTCTCTCTCTCCCTCTCTCTATCCAGATTATCGGATCGCATCCTGGGGTCACATTCATTCTCTAACATGCAATATAAGCGACGAGAATTGTCAATCACAGTGATAAGCTTTTGTGCTTGGCCTATGCGCTGCGCCGCACGTCTCACTCCAAGACACCACAGGCTTCTTGTCCCAGGTAACGGTACTTGAACGATCGGTTCCCCAAGCCCGTGACAATCACAGTTTGCGCATCGCCCGGCACGATATCTATCGCGTTGTCACTGATTCGAACGCCCTCCTGCTCTTCGATAACCAGAGCCTTGACCGGCTTCCGCGCATGAATCTCCACACATGCTTGATCCGAGTCGCGGTGCACCTGGATTTCAAGGCCTCGATCCGATAGATCGAGGTACTTCAATGGCTGCGGCCAGTCTACATCACGCGCAACGACCTTGTTATCCACCCACAGCCGCGCGGCAAGGACATGTGGTTCGTCGGTCGTGTGGTCAATCGACCCCGTTATCACATCCGTAGTTCCGTTAGCCTGAATCGTGACATCGCGTGCAATCGGAGATCGGATGTCGCGTCCCGTGGTCACCGATAAGAACCGTAGCTCGATGCTGCCCTGGAGGACATGTGGCTGGCTGCTGACTACCCAGAGTTCATACTTGCTAGCTTGCGGAGGTTGGGCGTGGGCTACACTCCAATCATGATGCTCGCGTCGGACGCCGACTGCGATCGGGTTGAGGACTCGCTTCACGGCGTAGTAGGCTGGTTTGGGTTTCAAGAAGTAGTCCACAATTGCCCAGGAGATGGTCGGCCAGCAATCGTTGAGTTGCCAGAGTAGAGCTCCGCCGCAGTGTCGCTCGTCCCCCCATTGCCGTCGCCAGCCTCGATAGCCGAACATCATTGTCTCTGCCTGCACGACCTGCGTGAGATAGATGTATGTTTCGAGGTCCGTAGCGGTCCGCAGATTTTCCACCATGTAAGTTGCCAGCCGTCGCTCATGGCCATCAGCTTTGTTGTGGAAATCCATCACATGAGACTGTGGAAACATGTCTGCTGGGTTTTCGACAAAGTGCTCGATTGTTGACAAGTGAGGGAATGCTTCCATGCCAAACTCACTGTTGAATCGTCCGCCAAGAGTGTCGAATATCTGGTATTTCTCTTGTGTGCCATGCCAGACATTCCACTGATGCATGTCCCCAACAGTCGGGTCGGAAGAGATCTTTCCATCGCCCCATGGGCTTCCCGGATGATAAAATGTTCCGGGAGCATGCTCAGCGACAACCTCCGGCAGTAGCTTCTCGTAGATGTAGCGTGCCGGAAAGTCCGTCTTTAGCCAGCTCTCAGGATCCTTATCCTCGAAGTCATAAGTCAGACCCTCGGATTCTTGCACCTGATAGTCCTCATTGTTACCGACCCAGATCACAATTGACGGATGGTGTCGGAGGCGTTGAACGTTGAATACTGTCTCCTGCTGGATTGATTCGAGAATCTGAGGCGAGGTTGGATAATTGCCGCAGCCAAACATGAAGTCCTGCCAGACCATCACGCCGAGCTCGTCGCAAGCTTCATAAAAGGAGTCGTCTTCGTAGATTCCACCACCCCAGACCCTCGATAAAGTCAGCTTGGTTCCAAAAAGAAACACTTTTCTCCTCACCGAATCATATTCTGCCGGCCTTCCACCATCAGCTCAATCCATTTGCGGTATCGCGCTGCACTAATACTCGGCAATAAACTGTCGGCGGGAATCCAACATGATCCGCCGCAGAAGATATCCATCCCGTTGATTCGGAAGAAAAATGATTTGCCATGCTTGTCCGGCTGTTGGATAATTTCCGCCGTTCTGATACCAATTTTCTTGTCAACTTGATCGACCGTTTCGCCATTACGCAGAAGTGTGACAGAGACCTCGTATAGAGTCTGTTCGCCATATCCATGGGGCCACCAGAGCTCAGGGCGGTTCACACGGAATGTGACTGAAGCATTTTGGTCGGCCGAGACAGGAACGTCCTGCTGTGCAATTTCAATACCCTTTAATTTCAACGAAAATCGAGCTAGATAGTCCCCAGTAGTCACTGTCTCGACCTTAGCGACCGAGGTGATCTCGGCAGTCTGATGATCCACAGCCAGTTGGATTTGTGGCCAAAGATCAACAATTCGAGCAGTGTATACTTCCAACCGCACAGCACGCCAAATGCCCGCAGTCATCAAGACAGGACCCCAGTCCCAACCCCAGTGATATTGTGCTTTGCGTACTGCTAGGCGAGACGGGTCACCATTAAAGCCCACCCACTTGTGTTTTTGGTCTTGGCTTCGAAGCTCACGAGCCCTTAGCAAGGCACAGTCGAACTCGATTTCCAGAGTGTGCTCGCTCCCGGCTTCTGAGGCCCTGGCGAGATTGACCCGGTGACCGACGAACATGTTGTCGCTCTTGAGAATCGTCTGACCATCGAGCTTAACCGTAGCGAATGTATCGAGGCCCTCGAAAACTAGGTCAATCGCCGAGCCTTCAGGGACGTCCGGTCTCTGGAATGTGTTCTTGTAAACCCATGACTTTTCATTCACCCAGCGGGCTTTCAATTCATTGAAGCCGATGAATGGGTCTTCCAGTCTATGTCTAATTTAGAGCTATTCAGTCTACTTTAGTTCGGAGTGAAAACACATACTTCTGGTTTGCGATGAGATCCTGCTGCACCACGGAGGGCACCGCCGGGACTGGCATCCAGTCTTCGGCATCGCGGTCCCTGAAAGTCCACCCGGTAGTTAGCGACTGCTTAAAGAGCTCCATTGTGGCAGAGATGAATGAATTGCTGCACCTTCCAGCGAAGGGCCGACTTATAAGAGGGAAGGAAGCAGCTTATCGATAAGCTTCCCCACGCGCCTTCCTCTTTGGGCACGGAGGATGATAGTCACGTGACATGAAACCCTCAGAATTCAGGCAAATACCGGGACTGGATCGGGCACTTTAAGACAGGGAGCCTCAGGTACGGAATTACTTTTCTTCATGAATTTTCCAAAAGGCTGATGATCAAGTCATGGACCAGGTTCAATGAAGTCTATGCGCACAGGGAGAATCAGAGGCACGGTTGGCCCCCACATTCCCTATTTGGGCACGGAGCAACACCCGCTCAGCTTCTGGCGGTGCAACTAACCCGCCCCATGGGGATTCACTGTTCTCCCCAGACTCACCGAGTGAAACTTTACTTCGGCATCAATCGCCTATGCACAATTTTCATTTAACATCGGCCCACTTGCTCGTGATGAAGTCCGCTAGCCAACTTCCGCTTATCTTGCGAGACTCGCCCCATAACCCGAACCAATGGCTTCCATCGCCCCCCCCCGAATTCGGGAGCCCACGACGTTCCATTCATGGGCCTTCTCATCAAAGATACATGCGCTCCAGTCTTGGCATCACAAGCCCTTCCCAATTCCAATCCAAGTGCCCCAGGTTTTATGGAACTGAACTGCCGGCATACACGCATATTCCATGCCTTACTTGGATCCATTCGGCTCTTCTGTTTCTCCACTCAACATTGAAATTTATATTCCAGACTTGAAGGACAAGTCCGGCTTCGAAGTATTTGGGTTAAGTTCACACCCGTGTCTCCACGTTCTCGGGCCCTTACTCGAAAGAGACATCGTGCCCGCGTCAGGGTCTTGGTATTAATAGTCCCCGAGGTGGCGACCGGGTCGCTGCCAGGCACTTCTTGCCCCGCCTGATTCGACCGTGCGAGGTGGGATGACTCGCTCCATAAATGGCCGTCCTCGCTTCGTCTCGAGAATGAAACCGGTGAGCATCGCTCGGGAGGGCCCAACAAGAGGAAGAAGGTTCCGTATAACCCAGTTGCATTGAGTAGTAGATGTTTGAGCCGTGCTGAAGAAACATCTGGGGATCGGACCAAAGGAAGAAGTCAGCGAAGAATTGAATCTCCTGGATACTCCCCGGTTGATCGTCCGTCCTCCTGCAGGGCTCGCTTCAACATGAATCCATGTCATACTAGCAAGCGAGTCTGAAGGGCCATTAGCCACTTTGGGGGACTTGCCCCCTCTCTGGAGAAATTGAATCTGACGCCCTGGCGCGTGAAGGGTGGCGTAAACAGAGCGAGCGGCGCTCGTAATTCGATGCAGTTTCACCACCCTGGACTGGCGCGTGGCACCCCTCGGTAAGCAGACCTGCGACTCGCGAGTATTCCAACCCTCATTTAAATCCTGGTCATAAGTAGCCTGTGCTAGTGACGCACATTAGGCACCGATGCCAATAAGCTAGAACCATTAATCCCGCACATCCAATAAGCGAGGCCCCATGGGAGCAAAGGGTGTGTTCTCCGAAATGCGGGGGAGTTTTAGGCCGATCAGGCTATTCTTCACCCTAGCTTGTCTTCTTTCCCCTTGACTTTTTTCTTTTATTGAGTTTGAACGCTCCACCTGTGTAGATAGATGATCGCCTGTCCTAGCTGTGACTAACCCGACTTGCACTATTGCACTGTGCTTGAATCTTACGACTCTCTCACCAACTTCATTCCTCGTTTATTGACACGACAACTCGCGAAATATGTGATTTCTGACTGGTTCTCATTCTCATAGCCTCGCCATGTTCCACACCTTTGAAGGGTTTGAGAATTCAGGGCCAGCAACGCCTGCCCGAAGACCGAGCAGTGAGAGGCGCGAGTCAGTGAGCCGCAGAGTCACTACTCTACGTGCGTGTACATCTTGTCGTCATCGCAAGATCAAATGTGATGGTGAGAAACCATGTGAGGCTTGCCGGTGGTACAAGAAAGCAGACCAATGTCATTATTCTGATCCACGCCCTTCAAGAAGGTATGTTTGTCCCGCCTAGTGATCTGAGCGTGGCTAACATGTCGTAGACATGTCGAGAAATTGTCCACAACCTTGGATGAATATCGTAGTGTGCTGGAGAAGCTGTTCCCAGACGTGGCCCCTGAGTCTCTCGTCAATCTCAGCAGAGAGAAATTGCTCGAGCTGACGACCGGCTCAGTATCATACTCACTGGCAAATGCGCATCCTGCATCGCCTGCGACTTCGGGCTCAGTGGAGGCTCATGTGTCTCCACAATCCAACGAGGATGATAACCTCGAATCTTTGCAAAGTATGCCCGAGGACTTGGATAACATTCGACAGCCCAGCGCCACCGATCTTATCGTGGGTGTCTCCGACGATGTGAACGCCCTGTCCCTCTCTGCTCGACCTTCTTCGTCTTATCTGGGTGTATCGTCCATTCAGGCCGTTCTCAAAGTCATTGTCTGGCTTGATCCGGGGGCTGCGGCCTACTTCGCTCGGACACCCACAAGTCAACCGGCTGACAGTGGTGTTGACTACAATACGCAGAATGCATGGAATCAACCGCCAGTAACACCGCCGCACCCTTCCATCCCTTCGACAGAGATGCAAATGCTTGATGCCTATTTCCTGTATTTCCAAGCTTTTGCCCCGATGATCGATGAAAAATTGTTCCGTGACACATACATCTCCGGCCGACGCAGAGATGACCACTGGCTTGCCCTCTTGAATATTGTTCTTGCTTTGGGAAGCATTGCCGCCTCGGGACCGGATGATACGACTCATCAAACATACTTCATACGGTGCAAGAGCCACTTGAGCATCAGTTCCCTTGGTAGCTCAAATCTAGAGACCGTCCAAGCACTGGGACTGATTGGGGGTTGGTATTGCCACTACATCAGCCAACCGAACCTGGCATACTCGCTCATGGGCGCTGCGCTCCGAATGGCAGTTGGACTGGGTCTGCACAAGGAGTTCGCAGAAGCACGACAATCGCCAAATTCCGCAAGACTGGCCTCAATAGACCTGAAGCGTCGGGTGTGGTGGTCTCTTTTCTGCATGGATACCTGGGGAGGCATGACACTCGGTCGCCCTAGTATGGGCCGCTTTGGTCCAAACATTACTGTGAAATCACCCAATTGCCGAGACAAGGTAAGTTAATCAGGACCAATAATCAGATTTCATTGCTTACTTTCAAAGGATAACGTTCTAGAGATTCTCCCATTGGTGGAAAACATTCGCTTTGCCAAAATCGTGACCCAGGTTCAAGAATTGTTAGCAGCAGCGCCTCTAGTGAAACATCAGGAGATGTCTCATGCAGATACACAACTTCTCGATTGGTGGGAAAATCTCCCACCGGTTCTTAAAGATCACGAGCCTTGCTCGGAGTCCGTCAGTACCGTCCGAACAGTCATGCGATGGCGATATTTCAATCAGCGCATGCTTCTTTATCGCCCTACCCTTCTGAGCTACGCAATGCGACGCGTCCCGTATATTGCGTTGCGATCAGAAGAGCGCACGGCAATCGAAAAGTGTCGCGAGGTTGCCGAGCTGTCTATCCAAAACATTGCTTGTACTGCGCAACTCAACCAGCTTTGTGGCTGGAACGCTGTCTGGTGGACTTTTCAAGCATCTTTGGTGCCGCTGGTTGGCCTTTTTCTCAATGACCCCACGGCCGATGATCCCCGTGCTTCAATCGAGTCCTGCCAAGCACAAGTGGAGACTGCCATGACGATTCTCGCTCGCATGCAATCATATGGACATACTGCGAAGCGTTCTCTTGATGCTATTTCATGCATATACGAAGCCAGTAAACGAGGTCAAGATCTCACTACTTTTACCTCTACATCTGGCCTTTCTGCAAGCCTATATTCCGCTAGCCGGGATATGACCTTGTTCTCGCCTCCTGAGCCGGCCTGCATGGGGATGCATCCAGGAGATAATGGTATTGCAGATCCCTTATCAGCACAGCCAGTCGATGACTCCGGTCATTACTTATGGGAATATCTCAGCTGGAGCGACAATAATATGTGGCCGGGACTGACAGACCTTGAGAGCCGCGGCGAGGCCATGCCGCTGTTTACGCCCGATCATCAAAAGGGTCCCAAGTTTGGAAACCAACCATGTTTTGAGCCAATGCCGGATTCTTACTTTATCAATCCTCCCCTTTACTATTAAATGCTTCGCTTCTACAATTGTTGTCGACTTGTTGGGTCTGGCCGAGTTTTGCATCTGTACTCAGCGTTGGAACCGGGAATGATGCATAGTGTACATTTTAAGAAGGTATCAGAAGGGATATGTCTAGCTCTCTGATTGAATATACGCCATTCGAATTATTATGATCATATCTCCTCAGGTATTAGAGATACTAGTCACAATGTCATTGCTGCATAGATTTGTCACTCCAAAACAGCGTACGTCTTAGAGCGGCAAGCGAATGGCCCAAAGGGGGTTATAATCACGCTTACTCAGCACAACGTTCAATCTCGGCGCTTCATTGGAAATGAAACCTGTAAACATCGCGAATTGGCGAGTTAAAAGTATGGAACGCTAAGCAAATTAGGATATGGTCTTCTCACAAAAGTTATTAGCCTTGCCAGTTGTCAACTTACCCGCGTCATCTCTTCCTTTCAGCCGACGGGGGCTAATTTTCTCCTGAAAGCGGGAGACATCGAAAAGGGAGCTTCAGGACAGTTCACGTCGAACACACTGCTTCATCAGCCTATTTCATCAGCATGGGTATTTTTGACTCTGCAACGCGCGTTTTCGTTGTCGCCACGGCGCTACGCTTCGTCTTGCTTGTCTACGGCGGCTGGCAGGATGCCAATTCCGCTGTGAAATACACCGACATCGACTACATGGTGTTTACTGATGCGGCCCGCTACGTCTCCAAGGGTACAACGCCTTATGCGAGAGATACCTATCGCTACACGCCGCTTTTAGCGTGGATGCTTCTTCCGACAGCTTGGGAGGGTGCGGCCCCCTGGTCCACCTTGACTTTTGCATTTGGCAAGGCGCTTTTTGCCTTAGCCGATGTGCTTGCTGGGTGGTTGGTTGTTCAGTTGTTGAGGCAATTTTATGATTTTCCAGCCGAGCGTGCGCTGCGATATGTCGCCTCAGTGTGGTTGTGGAATCCTATGGTTGCTAACATTAGTACCCGTGGAAGCTCGGAGGGGCTTCTTGGCGTGCTTGTTGCCGCGTTATTGTGGGCGACGTTGACACGGAGAGCTATTTTGGCGGGTGTGATTCTTGGTCTTGCTGTTCATTTCAAGATCTACCCTTTCATCTATGGAGTGTCTATCCTCTGGTGGTGGGATGCTCAGCGCGATGGTGCCCCTCTTGCTACGAAGACCGACATGTTTTCTCGAATCACAGGCTTCATTACTGCTTCTCGAGTCAAATTGACTATGGCGGCTCTTGTCACCTTTGTCATCTTGAACATGGTCATGTATAGTCAATATGGCATGCCGTTCCTCCACCACACCTTCTTCCACCACCTCACGCGCATCGACCATCGTCACAACTTCTCCCCTTATAGTACTTTGCTATACCTCACATCCGCAGACGTTGTGACTTTCCATTTCGAGACAGTTGCATTTTTGCCCCAGCTACTGCTTGCTGTGGTTGCCCTCCCCATAGTGTTGGCAAAGAAGAGCTTGACGACCGCCATGCTTGCCCAAACATTTGCATTCGTCACTTTCAACAAAGTCTGCACTAGTCAGGTAACCTGGTACTTTCCCTTGAAGCTCAATATGCATCGCTAATCCCGAAAAAAGTACTTCATTTGGTACTTGATTCTTCTCCCATTCTACCTACCCTCTTCCTTGCTCATCCGCAAGCCCAGGTTGGGTATCGCGGCTGCAGTTTTCTGGATCCTTGGACAGGTAACTACCTCCCTTGTGTTCGTTCGCATCCTCTCAACTCACAAATTTCCTAGGCTTTCTGGCTCTTCCAAGGCTACAACCTTGAGTTCCTCGGCCTTTCATCCTTCGTCCCCGGACTCTTCCTTGCATCTGTGATTTTCTTCGGCGTCAATGTCTGGATTCTGGGTATTATCGTGAATGATGGAGGCGCATCCGAGGACAGTAATGACTCGCTTAAAATGAAGCAGTGAACATTGTGGAGGCATAGAGCCAATGTACGATAATAGAAATCAAGTGTTCAACAAAGACTACAAGTCCCATGAAGAGATATTGAAGAGGCATTGAAGTGGCATTGAAGAGGTATTCTTGATGCTGATGAGGGTATCGATGCGGAAGTACAAATCCACGCTGGGAAAAAAATAGATGCCAGGGCGAAACATAGTGCCTGGATGCTAGCGCTTCCTTCTGAATCGGAAGCGGAGCTCCTCATCGCTATCCGAATCATTCGTCTGTATTTGCCGCGGTCGTTTCTGGCTGCGAGCAAGAGACAAGCTTGACTGCGATGGAGTTGGGTCTGTATTTACCGAGGCTGGTACCGAAAGTTCTGATCGTGACACAGCTGATACAGCTCGCTCTTCTCGGAGAAGACTTGATTCTTCAATTTCGGCAGCCTGACTGACCTCGGGAGTTTTTATCTTGCTTTTGCTGACCCATTGGTACTCACCGATCCCGATGTCCTTGCGTGTCACTTCTTCCAATGGGACTATCACGGTTTGAATTCGCTGGCGCGTACGCTGCGAATCGCCTGTCCGTCGGAAACGCTTGAAGTTCTTGCGACCATTCCATTTCTCGTCCCATCTCTCGGTAACTTCGCTTTCGCGGGCAGGTGGCTTGCGCAAAGGGACATCCATCTCCTCGATGATGGCAAGATTCTTCAGCTCCTCAATATTTACATCCTGGGATCCAAGTGTATGCCCCGTTGCCTGGCGCTGTTTTTCTTCTTCTTCCTCCCGATGCTTGCGTGCTTCCTCTAGCAGATCCATCTTGTGACGCTTTGGCTTGGGGGCCTCTGTTTTGACACGGGTGGCCCTGCCGGCGCGCTGATCCTCCCCCATCTCTTCGCGCCGGCGTTTCATTGCACGTGCGCCGGGCAACATTTCAGACACCATGTCATATCCGACTTCCTCTTCGACCGTACCAAGGGGTTGAGCCAGGTGAGAATCCTCCGGCTCCATATCCATTGGCTGACTCTCAGTGACATCGTCGGCCTCCGGTGTATGAGTAGGGATGGTGTTCATGTCGAAGCCATCATCAAAAGTCTTCATTTTACTCACAAAGGGGCGCACTCGAGCCCCTCTTGATCTTGACCTTGATCTTGACCTTGATCTTGACCTTGATCTTGACCTTGACCTTGACCTTGATATTTCCGGTAATCTTGCAGAAGTTGGCTCGGTTTCGCGTGGCGTAGCAGCTACAGGGGCTGAAATCGGTGTTTCCTCGCGCGGAAGAGGGCGACAAAGTGGGGAAGCATCATTCCCAAGAATCGCATCTAAAAATTCCCTTTGCTCAATGACGCGTCGGTCAATCGCCAGTGCAACCTCATTGCCCAGCTCAATAGACCATTGCTCATACTCCCCCTTCGAGCGAAAGCGTACGAGAACAACACCCTCCGGTGCCCCACGGCCTGTGTAGCCCACGGCTTGCTTCATGAATTGGATGATATCTGACGCGGTGGTCGCGCCATCTTTGACTTCATATAATAACGCCTTCCCTTGGCCATTGTTGATGGCTGCCTGCAGGTTGGCAAATTGGGCAGCATCGCCAAAAACGAAAGTGTATCCCTCGAAAACATTGACTCGGGACGGGTTAGGGGCAAAGGCTCCTGCAGAGCGGCTTGTGGGTTCATTGCCAGCAGGTGGGAGATGTTGCATCGGCTCCGGCCACGACGCATCGAAATCTATCTCCAACGGCGATAACGACTCTTCATTTTCGAGATCGCTCGGCGAGGCGGCATAGACCAGTGCGTCGATGTAGGAGTTCTGCACAATATATTTGCCATTGATGAGCGCCTGGAGACCTTTTGCGGTATTACGCTTGCTTTGGACCACGTGTGTTGTGTGACCAACGAGGTAATCGATCACGGTCTTGATGTCGAGAGCTTCGAGTCGTGAACGGACTTTGGCTAGAGGGTCCTGGGATCTCATTTCTTTGGAAGAGAAAGAGAAACTTAATACCACTGGCTCCCATTTTAGTCTATGGAAGCGATGTGAGCCCATACCCCGCACGAGCACGCGAAAAACCTACCGAAGAGTGTCAGGAGCTCGACCCAACTGAATCGTGTGCTCATCCCCATTCAATACACGTTCAAGACCTTTGATTTGTTCTCCATCCACTGTTGTTCCGCGAGATGATCCGAGATCAGTAATTCGAACCTGGGTTCGTGCGTGCGTGCGAGTCTGGTGCTCATTAGAAACAAATTAGGATGGTCGAATGCGATGTCATACCCCATCACCTTCCTTCACCTCGAGGACTTGAATCACGATATGTTTACGTGAGATGGTTTTATGGTTGACCGCATGAAGGACTGGTAGATTATCAATAAGCAGGTGGGATCTAGAAGCGTCGCAGGCCGAACATACCACCATCCTGCTTGATTCGACCGAAAAGATACTTCTTACCGGGTCGCAGCCACACGCGCTTCCCTTTGAAATGTCAGTTGTAGACTCTAGAGAACTTGCGATCTGAACTCACCGCCCAAGAATTCCCCCGTCGAGTCGAGAATCCACATTGAGGAAGTTGAAAACCGAAGGTTGCGCCGTCCGCACGTGAACCGCTCAACGCGTGTGCACGTGACTTGGCGTTTCGTTCGCGGCTTCTGCCTAAGCCTCAACTGTACTCTCTACTTTCCTCATGGCTCGAAGGAATGGCTACTCCGGATGGTCCGGTCGATAACAATGACGATAAAAAAGATCGGTCTGACCTGGCGGGCGAGGATGACTTCGAGACACTGAAATATCAGCTCTTGGGACCCTCTTTAACCAAAGCGGGTCAAGATGCCGTGGATCAGCAAAAGGTGCCGGCGGAATGACGATTTTTCCTTTCGTGCCTGGATAGCTAATGTCGAGTTCAGGTTTCAGAGATTATCTATAATGCCTCAAAAGGCTCCAAGTTCTTCAATCATGAGCAGGAACGAGATCGCAATCTTACAGTGAAGATTGAGCGCATTCTGAAGGCAAAAGCCCGGCTGGAGAAGCTCGACTTGAGTCAGGATTTACGACGCGCAGACGAGTACCTCGCGGAGTTGGAACTCAGTCGCGATCTTTCCCAATATGTCATTCATGTCGACTGCGATGCATTCTTTGCGGCAGTCGAAGAACTCGATCGGCCGGAGCTGAAAACTGTTCCTATGGCCGTCGGCAAAGGTGTATTAACAACGTGCAACTATGAAGCTCGTAAGTTTGGAGTTCGCAGTGGCATGGCGTCGTTCGTGGCGAAAAAGCTGTGTCCCAATCTGGTCCTTCTCCCCCAGAACTACGACAAATATGTTGCCAAGGCCACCGAGATTCGCGCCATCATGGCAGAGTATGACCCGCTTTTCGAGACTGCCAGTGTCGATGAAGCCTACTTGAATATTACGGCCTATTGTGACGAAAATCAAATGGACCCAGAGGAGGCAGTGCAAAACATGCGCGCGCGAATCCTTGAGGAGACAAAGGTATCTGTCTCCGCCGGCATTGCTGCCAATGCGAAAATTGCCAAGATTGCGTCCAACCAGAATAAACCGAACGGGCAGTTCCGAGTTGCGAATACGCGAGAGGCAGTCATGGTATTTATGCGGACTTTACCGGTTCGGAAAGTCAATGGCGTTGGCCGTGTCTTTGAACGAGAGCTAGGCTCCATCGGTATTGTGACGTGTGGAGACATCTATCCACACCGTGCCTTGTTGACCAAATTATTCGGCGAAAAGGCCTTCCAATTTCTGGCGCAGTGCTATCTCGGCCTGGGGCGTACAAACATCCAACCCATCGAGGCTAGCGAACGGAAGAGTGTGAGCACAGAGACAACTTTTCATGCAATTGACGACAAGGAAGAGCTCCGAGCTAAACTTCGTTGGGCAGCAGACGAGATGGAAAAGGATTTGGCCCGCACCCAGTTCAAAGGCCGCACCCTTTGTTTAAAGGTGAAACTTCACACGTTTGAGGTGTTGACCCGCCAAACGTCTCCACCACGCGCTGTCTCCCCTAGCGAAAGATCTGTATGCGTTTGCTTTACCCATGCTGGCCAAGCTGGAGAAGGAGATTCCAGGAATGAAGTTGCGGCTTCTAGGTCTTCGATGCTCAAACCTAGTCAGCACCAAAAAACCTGGCATCAACTTTTTCGGCATCGCGACACAGCCCGCACCTGGTTCTGTGCCAACAACGAAGACGCGGATTCAGAGAGACGATTATGAGATCGGACCGGAAGAAGCGTTTGAGTCGGCAGCCCGACAAGAGGTCCAAGATGAGATGAACGACCTGGAAAAGCTAAGCCAAGAGACCGCTCATTTATCTGATGAAGGAGAGTCCATCAGTGCTATCGACCCTGACAGTCCACCTGCTCAGTGGGAGTGTCCTATTTGTGGTCGGCCGCAAGTAGCGGATGACCGGGTATTTAACGACCATATGGACTTTTGTCTCTCCCGCCAGACCATCCGTGAGGTTGTCGATGATACTTCACAGGAGGAAGCATCAATATTTGCCAGGCGCAAGAGAAAACCCACTCAGACGAGCACTGTCGACAGTAATGCCCGACAGAAACGACTTTTCTTCCAATGACCGAGGACCCGACTAACTCTGCTGAAGCACCGATCGCTTCCGAAAAACCGGTACAACGTCAAACACTGACCGGGCAGATGCTCCGTGTGGCTCAGGTTCACGGAGACTTGGCACTCGCGTAGTTATCATTGTTTTGCTGCATCTCGAGGCCGAGGGTCCGTGATCGACAAACCAATGAATTAGATACCAAGTGGAGCATGGAGATGCCTGTCAACGCCCTGCATCAGTCTCGCGCGATGTCAGAATAGTAGACTCATGATACGAGCCAGATCCTTGCATCTCAATAGTTATTCTTGCTTGTTTTTAGTAGAAAAATCACACATCTACTTGAGTCGAGCGCCATGTTTACTCGGAATTCCCACGTTGCGGTGAACGAACGCCCTAAACCGTATTTGGGCCGAATGTTTTCGAGTCCCTCGCCTCCCACCTTCACACTTCTCTCCACATCTAAACAGACCACTCCCAGTCTCCTTGTCTCGTCTCTGTCCCGAGAGAGACCTCATTGTGGTGTCACCATGCTCACGAGCCTGCGGTGCCTCGTAATGCCCGCTTCCGCGCAACTATGACATCCGATAAACAAAACAATGGCTATCCCGCCAAACCGTTTACGCCCACCCTCTCCGCGGCCTTTCACCGCAACAAGAAAACTCCTTTAACCCCGAAGCTGGCCAGTCCGAGTCCAGGTCACCCCGCTACTCGTCGTCTCGCACAGCCTGATCACCCCTATTCAACACCGACCAAAGATGAGATCACCGCCGTACCTTCCACCTTACTTAGCGCCAATGTCACCCCTCGATCGGGCTCCCGTACCACACGACGCGACACAGCGTTCGCCTCGCCCACAAACACTCCTCTGGCTCCATCCCCGCAGACTCCATATTCTCAGCCTACCGTGGGCCTGGGACTTCAAGGAGCACGGAGAACGGAGCGGAGCCCGGCTCGCGGGGTGAAGCCAGAGCAGTCAAGGAGTTTGCGAGCCAAAACTTTGACTGCAGAAGGAGCCCAAGTCTCGCGTCCCAACTCCTTCTCTGACATGGCAGCTGCATCCCCTATGTTCTTCCATGCCTCCGACGCACGATCAACTGCTTCCTCCGATTTGGAGACGTCCCGCCCTCGGCCGGGGCAGGGGCCGGTCCCGACAACAGCCCAGGTAGGATGTCTCCGGCCTCAAGCTTCATGTATGCAAATGGAGACCAGGAGCGACAGGTTGCAGATGACTCGTATTTCCTGAGCAATAGCAAACGCCGTTCAGGGGGATTACCTCGTCCGACACCGGCTAGATCAGCTGTGTCTCCCTCCCCGCGATTGATAAAATCGCCCCGACCATCAGATGCTACATCTCCACTCTCCGACGATACACATTCGCAAACCAGTCTCAACCCAGACATCAACTTTGACCATGTTCTACAGCGTTTCGGTTCGACTTCAAGCATCAATCCCGATAGACCACACCACCCGTCTATCGGCCGGCATACGAAATCAGCAAGTATTGATTCGGCCAGCAATATTTCTTTCTCGCATGAAGGACTTCGTGCCAGTCCAATTATCGTGTCCCACGACTTGATTGATGGTACGGCACCCGTGATGTCGGATCAAATACCCACCCTTCGCCCACGCATCTTCAGCAACGGTTCTTCTGTTTCCACAAACCCACCCATGTCGGTTCCTATGAGCCCCGGGAAATCCGAAGTCGGCGAAGGCGCGTTAAATGCTCGTACGGAGCGCAAGATTCTGGATTTGGAGATCAGCAACTCATCACTGCTTGCCATCAATCGAACTCTAGAGCGTGAAATGCGCAATCACAAGGCTGAGCTTCGACGATTCCGACGCCTCAGCCGATCTGGCCGTTTGTCTATGGCACCTTCGGCCCGTTCGTTCTCCGGTATTGCATTGTCTACAACCAGTGAAATGGAAGAAGGAATCAGCGAAATATCCTCCATCAGATCTCCGGATGACATGTCTGACTTCAGTGACGACGACTCAATCGCTGATGAAGGCATTCTGAGTCCAGATTCGCTCGCAGAGCACGATGCGAAACACCGGGCTCACGACGAGAAACGATTTATGGTTGACCTTGCCCGGCACCAAGAGCTTCTGGTCGACAGTCAGAAAATGAACCAAAGCCTTAAACGATGCCTCGGATGGACTGAAGAACTTATCAAGGAAGGTCAGAAGGCCCTTGAGTATAGTGTACATGTCCAGGACATTGAATTGGGCGGACGAGTCTTATCTCCTGAAGAACTTGGTGAAGTTGGCGAGAGTGGACGGGCTTTGCTTAGCCCATCTACTGAATTTGCTGCTTTCCCTCCTCACGACACACCGTCCAATTCTTACTTTGACTTTGACGCAGCAACACTCCCTCTACCCTCGTCTCCCGGTGGGACTGATGTAATCTTCTAATCTTCCATTCATTTGTAACTTTTGCCAAATACCCATTGTTCAGATCTGTTGTTGCTACTATACCTTGATACATTGCTGCATTTGGTTTACCTCTCTCGCTATTATTCCCCCCCTTTGTACCACATCTGTCCTTGATGGCTTCTTTTCATTGGGTTCGAACTCTCCATCGATGATGACTTATAGATCTTGCAAGGCTGGGCTGATTTCGGCTGAAATACTTTGACTCTGTGATTGATACCCGACATGCACCATTTGTCTGCTTTCGTACTTATACTTTTCGGTCAAATGTCATAGCCCTTGAGGCTATCTATGCTACTGGTGTATCTATTGAATACCAGACTCCTTGGTCTTGATATATGTAACATCAGGACGATTCATTGCACTTTGCATCTCCGCAAGGTGCACTGCATCTCAAGAACCTTTTGCTCCATACAGGGCCTTTGTGAATATTGACGTCGGATATCGGCCTGAAGCCACAGCACATGATAACCTCGAGTCGGCCAGAGTGACGGAAACATCAAGTTGACTGGTGCCAGTATGGTCATGACCTGATGCTCGTGGACGGAAAAAGCCGACTCATTCAGCTGAAGTAACACCAGGGCAGATCCGTGTCCAGTGCTGTTGACCGGGATGCACAACTGTTCCAATGCCCCTCGTCAAAGATAACCGTTGGTGATTCTCGGTTGCTGGTCAGAGCCTCGAGAATTTTACTGGATTGATCAGTCCGACGACTATTTAGTTGAGCTATCGATAAGGCAGTTTGTGTTGCAGTATATCTTGCACACTTCCGTTAAATGATCTGCCAAACCCTTGACTTGCTTGGCGGTATTATTTACAAAACAGGGAATAGCAGGCACCCGGGCCCCGACCGAGCGACCAGGACGATGATATAAAGCCTGTTCCTCCTCGAATACCTGCAACGCATCTCAACAATAGCAACTGCCAATATGCCCGAAACTGTGCGCCCGGCTTTTGATGGCCGTGACGGTCCTCAACTGTCATATGGCATCGATTTTCCCACCGCAGCCGCCCGACATGTTACGAACACATTTATGGCATCAAGAGTATATGTGATCTGTTCCGGCTCTATAGCACGCAACACTGATGCTCAGGAACTACTGGTTGCTGCACTGGGCCCCGAGAAGATTGCCGGTCAGCGGATCGGCATGAAACCCCATACACAATGGTCCGAAGTCCTGGAAATAATCGTCGACGCACGCAAAGTGCAGGCAGATCTTCTTCTTACACTGGGCGCCGGAAGCCTGACTGATGGGGCCAAGATTGTTGCATTTGCACTCGCGAATAATGCAAGCACGCCGGATGAGCTCAAGGCCCTTGCGGAGGGCCCGGACAAGCGTACCGGTCTTGTCGAATCTATGGTGCCCATCATCTCTATCCCGACGTCATTATCCGCTGGGGAGTACTCTGACTACGCTGGCGGGACTGAGGACAAAACACATCGCAAATATATGTTTTATCCCCCGTTACGTGGCCCCGACCTCGTCATTCTTGACCCTCGATTGGTGGAGACGACACCCGATTCTATTTGGCTCAGTACCGGCGTCCGCGCTGTCGATCATTGTGTCGAGACGTTATGTGCCGTCGGAATAACTAACCCAGAATCTGATAAACTCGCGCGAGGTACCCTCGGCGGCTTGGTGTCGGGGCTTCTACGGTGCAAAAGAAACCGCGCAGACTATGACGCTTCTTTGCAGTGCCAGCTTGGGTCAGTTGATGCTATGGCCGCATGTCTTAGCATATCATTCAAGCTTGGAGCGAGTCACGGCATTGGACATCAGGTATGGTATTCTTCAGGTTGCTTTCCGGGTAGGCTAACACATGATAGCTCGGTCCTCTCGGCGTGGGTCACGGAGAAACCAGCTGTATCTGCCTCCCAGCCGTATGCAAATACAATGCCGCACATAATGCAAACAACGAACGCCAGGCTAGCTTGCGGGACTTGATGATTCAGGATCCGATTATCGCTGAAGTCCTGCGTGAACGCCTGAATGATCTTGCTGCTGCTGATCTTGGGGATATTCTAGATGCCGTTATCCGAGAGCTCGGTTTACCTCGGTCGCTGGCGGATGTAGGCATCGGCCGCGACAAGTTGGACATGCTAGCCGAACATAGTTTGCATGATCCGCTGTGCCAGTCGAACCCTGTGCCATTGACGGAGAAGTCGCAGGTGTTGGAGATTCTCGACATGGTGGTGGGATAGATTGTGATAACGAAAAAGAGGACTTCAATTAGCTAAAACTTTGTGAAAATTCGCGGTAGACTCCAACAAATTACGGGAATGGGCACTGTCCCAGTCTTTGCTGTCGAAGATTGGCCTTGATCACCTCCAACCTTTCTGCCTTTGCCCTCGAAATACTTTGGACCCAGGTCAGGCGAGTAGTAGCCCTGGGGGTAATACTTGTCGCCATCATCACCTGGCAGTGGATGTTCCATAGCCCATTTAAACCAAGCCACTGGACCCCAACGATTCCAGATCGTGGGCTGAACATAAAAAGGTGCACCTTCGTAGTATGTGACGTAGTTCCTACCATGCTCGTTGGGCTTTTCGGTAAAGACATCCAGACGTATGAAGCTTGGACGAGGCAAAGCTAGATAGCGCAAAAAGGCTCTGCGCAATTGAAAAATTAAGACGAATGTGATCCTGAAAAAAGCAGGAGGACTTTCCATCATCATTGCGTTTCGAAGACGTTCATCCATGAGGAATGAAACAAGGTAGATGCCCAGTGGCTTCATAAACTCTGGCAGATTGTACACCAGCACATCTATGGTCTTGTCGGCGACCTCTTTATTGCGAGGATGTGGCTTCATGTGTTGCAACTCGTAGGAGTGGCTCCATTCGCTGATTTCTTCCAACCAGTGAATCCCATCCTGGAATTCAGTCTTACTAGAAGGGAGCTTCTCATAGCTGATGCTCAGCGCATCCCCCAAGCTTTTCCAGTACGTACCAACGGCACAGCGCTCCATCTCAGTCATCTCGCGCCATTCATAAAGCTTGACGAACCGGATGGGTTCAGTTGCGAACAGACTCAAGGTGTACAACATGTCGTCTTCTAGAATCTTTCCGCTGTCTCGGTATCCCTTGTGTAGAAATTTGGTTCGCGCAATGGCAGTCTGCGCTCGTTCTGAGCTAGGTTCGAATGCCATGAACTCACCAATCAATGTACCAGTATCGGCATATCATTTGAAAGAAGTTGCGGAATCTGAGAACTGGGAGGTTTTCAGAAGCAGGGTTGATATTGTTGGAATTCCATAGGTCTATGGTACTATCTATTAGTTTTCTTGCTCATTTTAACAGACTGCGAAATTCGAACCCGGAAAAGAGCAAAATGGATTGACTTGAGGACTATGAACGGATACTCCATCTCCATTATTGTCTTCTGGATGGCAAACGCATCGTGATCTGTCATCTTTCCCATCGAGGCTCGGTTTCTATAAGGAAAATTATTGTGGAGAATGCGACGCCTTTGGAACCGCAGTGATGATGCAAGGATGAGATACGCAGCGAGTCCCAAAAGGCCGTAAAGAAGGCCTTCCTGCAGCGATATTTGAGATAAGCGGTTCATAGTTGGAGTTTCTAGCGTGAACGATATCGAGATATGCCACACCAGGGAAAAGAAAGTTATGTAGCTTCGACTTCAAAAAGGAAAGAGCACGATTTGATGAAGATGTACTCTGGTGCTCCCAGTGCAACGGTGATCTTTTATACATGAATGTTCTATCCTTAGACGCGTTCTTTCTTCCGAGAATCATGGGCCATAATTGAGTAGTGTTGATTCTTCCCCCTCTCATTCGTCTCACGGTACACTTGTCCCCGAGGCATCTGTCCGAAAGAGCCAGAAACTGAGGAAAGTGAATGCCCGAGCGCGGGCCACTACTTCCCTACAATGCGTGCACAATATGAGCTAGTGACGATGTATCTTGTCGATCATCAACAAAACAGTCGTCCGTATGAGCAATTTGGATACATTTCAATCAGCAACAATGTATTCGGCGGGTCAGTCTTGTGAGATAAACGTGGCGTGAGCCCCCAACCGAGGTCATGCATCGCGACGCATAAGCGACTTTATGGACACATAGTGGCTCTTGCAAATCACTGGGATAATTATGCCGGATTATCGAATCATAGTCGGTATAAGGATTGCCCAGGGTCAACTTCCTCGACATCTAAGGGCGGAGCTCAGCTGCCCGACATCGTACGACTGACTCGAACGATCACAACTCGGGAAAAGAGCAGGTTCGTGCGGGGAAATCGGCATGTATTGGGCACAGAGGAGCTGGGGATCGCCGCTGACAATGTGTCTTCATTTGGAGTCACTGCGGTTGGTTCGTTGTTTGTTGAGTCCCACTTCAAATGAAGATAATCAAGCATTGCGGGGATGTTGCATTTCCCTCGTAGTTTTCTTTCCCAGTATAGCATCTACAATTCTATTAAATGACCAATCTGAGATCAAGGAAATCCTAATTGAGAATCTGAGAGAAGAGAGAAGAGATGAAAGTACAATCTTGAAGGTAAATTCTAGCTGAGACATCCAGACACTCGTGGATCCACGGCTAGGCTGATGCCCAAGTGTACAGATATACTATCCTGTTCCTCGTAACGTACCGACGAAGCGTGCGATGGAACATGTCAGAAGCTCGTCGCCAGAGATAGCAAATTCCAACCACATTCAAGCTGTCGCGATAGTTTGCTTGATAGTCGCTTTGTCCTTGTGCTTGATGTATGGAATGCCCGTCAACTTGAAAGCCCGCTCGCTAAGGTCTGGGTCATTGACCGGCTTATTACGATTGTGTGGATCATCTTTTCCATCCCGCTGAGCGACATTGGATCCAGTATGCTTTGCATTGGGCCAATGGGTGGTCCCGACACGTCGATCAAAGGCGTCCTTCTTTCGCAGAAGATCATCCTGCGAGGCATCTGCGACCGGCATGAAGCATGTGTAAACTGCCAATTGGGGCCGGGTTTTCTTGGGGCTGAGATTGTAGTGCGGTGTGCGCGAGTCCCAGAGCAAGAGATCTCCCAGTTCAGCGCACACCTTCTCCCAAGTGCATCCGTGGTCTTCGAGCCACTTCATGCCTCGCTCGGTGAAACCATACCACTCAGGTGTCCAAGCTGGGATTCTTTCTTCGTCTGCCATCTCACGATGGAACTGCTCGGATAGAAGGTGGCCACCTCGGCAGACGATCAAACCTCCGTCCTCTGGCCCGTTGGGCAGCATATTTACGAGGCCTTGTATGCAGCGGACGCCATGCTTCTCCGGATTCTGGTCCTGGTGCGGCCAAGGCTCGTTGGGTGCAATATCTGTCCGGCTACATCATGGTCAGTTTTCATTATCCCAGAAAGACGCTATGTACCTACTTAGGAAACTGGAAGTTGATAGCATCAAAAGATACAATGAGGTCTTCATCGTCATAAATCTTCTCAAAAGCTCCGACGACTCCGGGCTCGCTTCGTATTCCCCATACAAAATCTCGTGTGGGAGGCCGTAATGAAGACACATACCCTTCTCGTTGATTAGAGGAAGCTTGTCCTTGTGAACGGTCGAAGGATCATTGCGGTCGTAGTCCAGATTGCTGAATAGAGCATTAGCTATGGAACCTTTCAAGGGTCCTCTTTGTCTGAACGTAACGTACAAGTTCTCCAGCCACGAATGCATCTCACCAGCATATTTTAGGGCCCTTTCATAAGGTATAGTGTGCCCTTTACAATCGCGAAGCCGTCACGAGTCAATTCATCGCGGAAATCACCGAAGTGCTGATCTATGCCGTCGACACGCATTCGACCAAAGCCGTGCAAGTTCGGATTAGCCACCTGGGTCACCGTAGCTGTGACAGACATTTTCAGACTGGGATGCACACAATAGGTGGTCAAGTTGAAGAAAAAGGTGTATGTATGGCAGAAACCCGGGCGGCATTTATAATTCGTGACAACTTTTCACGTTCACATATCCACGAGACCAAACCGATGGCCCTAATTTTCTCACGCTAGATCACCACCTTGAACGAAACCATGTCTTCGATTGGCTCCAGAGCTTCAAAAATCCGTGGAGGAACCCCCCTCCACTATCCGGAAAGTGGGCGGGTGGGGATTCGAAACGATGGACATTGGGCATGTGGAGGTGTGGAGGGAAATTTTTGGTGTTTGTGCTTCTCAAAATTTCCAAGTACATGCAGAAAATTAAGATTGGTACCGTGTGCCATACAAATTTTCCATTTATCAGGTGCTTGCTTGAGCATGAATTGAACCAACCCCGAAGGCCGGCAGATATGTCTAGCGGGAAATGCAAGCATGATGTTTTTCTTCCGCTCGGACGACCGAGTAAAAAGGATTTTTGAAAATTTGAAGTCTCTCGAGAAAATAGACCGTGTCAAATCGATTGCCATTGACGTTGTTCTATTTGTGGCTCTAAACATTCAAGCATATGTAGTACTTAATCTTCGTTGCTCCCCGAGCCTCCAGTTTCCCATATCTAATCCGATTTACTGTGACTCGGGGAGCACACACGTAGGATTAATATTGGGGCTCAATTCTTCCACCAGCTTCAATGTGTTCAGCTTCAGGACGTGTCTGTCTTTTGGATCAATACTTACCGGATCGCAGCATGCCTCGTGCTCATCAGCGTCGCACGGACTGTAGGTTTGGCTTCCATCCGCGGCTTCAAACAACTTCGTTGCAGATTTGCCTTGAATACAATTGTTAGCGAATCAAGAGGTAAAAACAAGTTCTCAATGACATACAGCTTTCGCCGGTGTACAGAAACGTGAGCAAAATGTCTTGGTTCAGGACCTTGCAGCATAAGCCAGGAAGCCCTGCAGGAATTGGGTTGATCGGCTTGATGCAAGTGAAATTGCAATGAGCGGCGGTAGCGAAGGCGACTAAAGGTAAAAGCTTCATGTTGTCCCGAAGAAGTGGTAGCTGGGGGGGTCAGGCGTTCCCACAAGATCTCCAGCCCCTGCGCGAGAGCGATAGTTACGTAACCAGGTTTGCCAGTGGAGACGATCCGGTTGAAAAGAGTATGCATGTGCAGGCGAAGACCCCAGGCTGGCTGATATGGCCTCGATGAATGACTCTTCCAACATTGTATTCTTCAGGAGAGTCTGTTGTAAGCCATAGACGACCCTTGGAGTAATTCCTTTGCGGTATTTTGTTCTGCTGGAAGCTACGTCCTCCTCCCATGGCCATTCTCTATGTTGCATATCGAATTCTCCAAATGTCAAGAGTGCACCAGAGGTAATCGGCCAGGTTCAATATGGGAAAGCGAGAAGAAGGATTTACAGCACTCCTTTATCGTATGCGCAGATGTTGGAAATTAATAGACTTCTGGATAGTCTAGCGAACGCAAAGCGACATATGCCTTGGATGCCGTTGAACATATAGGCCATATTTTGTTTTGATTGATTGTGGCAAAACAATGTATATAGCCTTTACAAAAGACCAAAAATAATCAAGCTAGCGCGCATCGGAAAGCGCAAGTGGCCCGCAAAAGAACGCTTTCCGATCGCCCCGGTTCCCCGCATATAAATCGATGCTTTACCCCAGCTTCACGCATCTCGCGCTCGCGATGCCTACCGTGGCCCCACACCGTTCCCCCGCCACTCATCACCAATGTCCGCAATGTGACAAGGCCTACGAGCGTCCGGACCATCTCGCGCGTCCTTTGGATTCTCGTGAGTGGCCGAGGAGACTGAGGATTTCTGATGCTAATTATGGGTGAATTTCAGATCGCAACGAACGCGTATTTCAGTGTCCGAGATGTGAAAGAGGGTTCAATCGCAGGTAAAGTTTCAAGCACCCGCCGGGTCTCCACTTCATTAACGAAGACCAGGGATGTGCTGCAGAGACACCAAACGGTTCATGAGAAAGAGGCTGCAAATGGAAAGGCATCGGCTCGCAGGATTAAATATCGTGCCATTGCAGCGTGTGAAGCTTGCGCGACCGCGAAATTGAGCTGTGACAACGAAAGGCCTTGTAAAGTATGCCAATATAGGTGAGCCCATCATTAACACAGCTGACGCTTACCTAGCGATGTCGAGGGAAGCAAATACAGTGTGTTTCACAGACAGCTAGGACCGCGCGTCAGACAAGCACTCGAATCTCACATCCATCATCTATATCTCCACATACGTCAAATCCCAATAATCAGATGTGAAATGGTCTATTCGCCGGAACCCCAGACTCGGCTCTCTCTAATTATAACATGCCTTCCGGACCAGTTTCGTACTCAGGCAGTGCTCAGGACTCATACGATTCCAACCTCGCGCAAGATATTTCACTTGATACATTTCTTCCTCAGGCGAACTGACAGGCATACAAACCTCTCAATAGCTTCCCAGCTTTCTTTGAGCAAGTAATGTTACCAGGATTAGAATCCGAAGATGTTTTTCAAGAAACGCAGCAACCACGAGTTTTTGACTTCATGCATGATACTGACTTTGCAATGAGTGATAATGATTTGTTTGGAACGGAGTTCATTCCAGATCTGGACAGGATCCTCGATACCATGGGACCATTTCCCGAGCTCGAGGATCAGCAACAATCTCCTCAAGATGATCAAGACTCTGCGCGTCGGCGAGCGGCCGCCTTTCAGCGCTCTCTTTGGTCGGTGAACCTCTCACAGTGCCTTCATGGCCCACTAAACCTTTTGCTGTAGGTTGTGGATACAGGAAAAGAACCAACACGCTTTCAGCGATGAGGGGAAGATCCCTCTGCGGGATAGCGATAGTATCCCGACAGCACATCAGTCTCGTCTAGACGCGCTTCAAATACCGGGAAATCTGTTCCAAAATGCGCGAGACGATATTTTCAAGTTGGTTTTGAGGACTGCCGGATCAAGACTCTCTGTTTCTGCTTTCCCGTCTGCGGGCTACCTCGATAACTTGATCAAAATTGGGGTTGGTAAGAGAACGGAGACTGATGCGTGAATTCATCCCCAAACATTCTATGATCAAGAATATCAGCAATTACGCCCGGAATTTCTTACCGCTTTGGTGGCCGCGGGGTGTGTCTGCTGCGGTCTCCCTTCCATCAACAAGACGGGAATAATTCTTCAGGAGATCACTCGAGTTGGACTGGCGCAATTAGTGAGTCCTCTGCGAGTCCCGTGAGATGTGAACCATTGGAGATCTTACATCTGACTCGCGTGTTTTCTAGGTAGAGGATGACAATAGTGTGATACGTGATCTTCAGTACTTGCAAGCTTCAATGCTGTGGTTAGACATTGGCATATCTTGTGGCTACACCAGAAAAATGCAAATCGCCGAGAGCTATTTGCAACCACTGTCTACTGTAATCCTCAGGATCCCCGACTTGAATTACCTTTGCGGCTAACAATTCAAAGGCACTTCGAAGGGCAATGGCATTCGCCAAGTCAGCCTACAACCCCATCTCACCACATTGCGCCAGGGATGACCTAGAATCGCTGCAGAAGACCTGGCATTACTGGGTGCGACAGGAGTCATTGAAGCGGTATTTCACTTCAAGTCCAAGATTCGATGTTTTGTAAGCTAACTGTCAAGTCAATCGTCAACAGACTAGTCTATCATCTCTTTGGTCACGACGTGGAAGTTGCCATGTCGATGAACAGGTCCGCTCTTATCTCATACACAGAATTGACGTTGCCTTTGCCCGCAGCTCGGGATCTATGGCTGGCCCAATCTGCCCAAGAATGGAAACAGATTTGGACAAGTCGATATGACATGGCAAGAGAATCCGAAATGAGCTTACGAGATTTGCTGTCGGATCCATCATTAATCAACCATGTTTGCCCTCAGCTCGATTTGGCGATTGCTCGATCTGCCCTGCTTCATGGTCTAGCTATCCAGGTGTGGGAGTTTCGTCAGCAAAATTTGTTATCCCAAGGATCACAGTCAGTGTCGCGTGCTACAGCCCGTCTATGGCTTCAGAGCAGAAAGGAGGATCTGTATGCACCGAAATTCCCCCCATTTATGATTAAATTGCTGATCACATCGTAGCTACACAACGCTTAGGACCACCCAAAATGATTCGCCAGACCAACCACGTACCAACACTCTAATGCACGAGTTCGTCATGATGTACCTTCATATAGATGTGGACGCAATCCAGCGCTTTGTAGGTAGGATGGGAGAACTGGAAGCCCGGCGCGCATACCCAGGTCTTCGAGATTGGAGCCATACAAAAGAAGCCAGGGTGGCCATTTGGCATGCAGGTCAAGTTTTCAAAGCAGCGCGAGCCGTCAAAGCATATCAACTTCGGGGACTTGACTACTTGGCTGTCTACCATGCCGCACTCGTTTTATGGGTCTATGGGTTACTGCAATGTGGCGAGACGAGAAAAGTTGAGGTTGATACACCGATGAGCGAGGGTGATACCGTGTCTCGAGTTGCTTTGGATTCATCCGAGGACCAATTGGTCAAGGCTTTTTTGGCTCGCGGCAATGGACGGCCTGGATTGACCATGTACCACCACGATGGAAACGGAGTGGATCCGAAGACATTCTGCGAACTTAGAATTGCTAGGTCGATAATGCCCTTTCAATGAGAGTTAGTTTTCTGACTCGACAATCCCAGGAAACTACTTGATCCTCCCACTGGGCCTTGTATATGGTCGCCGACCGGCGGCTATCATATCTATCATAGTGCTTCTGGTTGCAACCATGTGCCGTCTCGCAAACATTTGAACAGCATCTTGGCTTGCGTATACTCCAAGGCTTAGCGACGGGGGCCACAGAGTCGGTCAGTGGATACGTCAGGGTGAACAAGAGCCAGCAACTGACAATAGGCAATCATAGCTTCTCCCATTAATGCTTTCTGAGGTCACATTCGTTCACCAAAGAGGTATGGTCTTTGGTCTTTACTGGACAACGCAGAATGTAGTGACCAGTTGTCTGAACCTGGCTTCGTCGTACGAGGCCGCAGCTTTAGGATAGCGCTGGTTCTACTGGGTCTATGTGATTGCTGTCGGTGCCGGCCTCGTGATCGTTCTGTTCGGGTGTTTAGAGACTCGATATCATCGTGGCGCCCGGGTTGTCAACGGGCAGGTGGTTGTTACAGATCAGTTCGGTGTCACGTATGTTCTTTCCGGCTCTCAGGCTCAGGATTACCTGCGGGCACTCGAGTCAAATGACGAGAACCTCCCAGAAGATAGCAGGCCAAAGAAGATGTACCTTGAAGATGCTGCGGCCCTATGAGACACCGGCAAAGAACCCACTACGAGTGGTATTGATGGCTTGGTATTTCACATGGTCCAAGGCTTCGGTTCGCCAGGTATTCTTTACGCCACCTTGTTGGCTTCAGTCGTCCTCGGTTCGACTATCGGGATGTCATTAACCTATGACACTGTTCTTCAGTCATATGGTTGGCCTGCCAAAAATGTCGGGTTGATAAATCTAGGCGGTGTATTTTGGTGGCTTCGGCGGAATGTTGTACGCAGGTGTGTTTGGTGATTGGTGCATCCTACGCATGGCTAGACGCTCGGGGGGGAGTACATACCCCAGAACACAGACTGATACTGCTGATCTTGCCTGGGTTCTTGACGGTGGCCTCTCTTCTACTGTACGGCTTCACTGCAGAAGGAGGCTCAACCTGGGCAGGGCCATACATGGGATGGACTTTGCTCCAGGTCTCTTTCGTCTCCGTGCTGATATTATCGACTTCCTTCGCCGCTGAAGTGTGGGAGAAGAATCCTGGCCCTGCGCTTGTGGCTGTCGTTGGCACGAAGAACATTATTGCCTTTGGAGTAAGCTATGGTCTGACCCCGAGGGTTCAAAGATTTAGCTACCAGGCAGCAACGGGAATATTGGCAGGAGTGGCAGGTGGCATCTTCCTACTCGGTATCCCGGTGTACTTCTTCAACCCTAAGGTGAGTTCACTTGATGTACATCGTAACCAACTTGAAAAGATGCTTACAAGACAAAAGTGGCGACAATTCATGCAAAGGGCAGAGAAAAGAAACTTGCGGCTTTGATCTTGCTCATTTGTGTATTGCGGGAGATAGACAAGAGATAGAAACAGTCGTGCAATGCCGCTAAATTCATCAGTAAAGTGTTTGCATCAGATAAAGTCAGGGAGACAATCGAAGAAACTCCTATGGAAAACCGTGGACTCTGTTGACTCTTCTCTGCCTTTTTACAAGGGGACCCAGTGAGGCAGACTCAATTCGAGAAAAGATTGACCAAAGTCCAATCTCGGAGAGGCTTATCGTGCGACGAAGTCAATGCAATCAAGTCTACGGACTGGGAGGTTGAACCAGAAATGCCTTGAGGCTTCAAAGTCTTGATGGGAAATGGCAGCAAAGATAGTCCGGAACAAGGTGCAGCCCTATCGGAGGCGCAATTAAGTCCGATACCTTTCGGCTGTCACGGCCAAACCTCGGGTGGGTTGAGCCTAACCGTTTGTACGTGATCGAAAGAGCTAAAACCGATTCAGGGTGTGCTGGTCACTTGTTCAGGAAATATTAGCCTGTTGATGCCTTAAAAAGGACGATCCACCGCTGATCTTTCGGTGAAATGCGAGATCCATAGACAAACTGATCCGTGCTGAAGCTGCAAATCGAACAAACAAGCCTAAACTCCGAGTAAGGACGGTCCTTATGACGATCCGTAAGCACTAGCAGAATCCTTCTTGAAGCCTGAATTTCTCATCCTCGTAATTGAACCCTGAACATGTTGGCACGCGATCTGAATGCGAGGGGTGGAGCATCGTGAAGTCTTGGTAGGGTCAAGGCATGGAATACCCCGTGTTATGCTAGGTGCTCAGTGACAAGGGGCTCGGATGATTCATCACATCCACGAAGTGCACACTGCATCGCTATGCATATCATGGAATAGCTCGGAGAATAGTGTGAAGACCTTGCCGATGAACCTCCCCAAGCTTCCATCCTGAATCCTTGAACCTATTGGATCCCTGCTCAACAAGCCCATATGACCATAAGCCCCCTTGGCGCCCCAGGTTCGTTTCTTCAGCTTCAGGTCCATAATTATACCGGGGCGAAACACCACTCGCTTACCTTGCACCGATTTGGGTCAGGGCCAGCGCCATTTCGACGTGGCCGCTCGTATTTCACACGGGCGACTGGAGTGTTTTCATTTAGGTGACACCGGGTAGCCGGTCTCTCGCACAGTAAGGCTGATCCCTGGCTTCTTTTTTCGGATTGTCGTGATCGAGTCAAGTTTGGAGCCGCACGTGGGAAATGTCAATAGAAATATAGAAGCTGCAAGGGCGCCCCCCCTTTGCTGCCGCAGTCTGTCACCTTATACCTAGGTAGTCTCTTGTTCCTTTTTCCCCAGCCCTGAGGTTTTTCGTCTATAACCATGCTGGCGCTCCATATTGCCCTGTATGCCATCATCGGCACCTGTTTCACCTTCTCCGTGATCGAGCTAGGACTGTGTGCCTATGTGGTTGCTGTCTACACTGGTCGTCGTACAGAATCCTACTATGATTTTGTCACGGGTAACGAAGTCTCGCAGACTGTCCACGTCAGTACCCCGGGCATCTTGGCTTTCCTCGTCTTCTCTGCCGTCTGGTCTATGCTGGTCTCTGTGGTTGGCCTGGGCTTGCCTTGGCTCCTCACTAGCAAGGGCAAGGCCACGGCCACATTGAACCGCATCCTGGGCATCATCTTTGCCGTTCTCTATGGTGTCACTGGGGTGTTCTGGCTGGCCTGCTTTGCCGATATCGCGGCCAATCTCGATGGTGTTACCAGCTACAATGACTACTTGAATGCTGTGATTGCGTTTGCGGTCCTGCTATGGTGAGTTTCTTCTTTCCCAGAATCTCTACTCGTGAGACATAACTAATATCGGGTCGATCTTCTAGGCTTCTCTTCATGGCCCTTTTCATCTTGTCAATTCTGGCACTTTGCGGCGTACTCTTTTCCGACTGGCTCGGTTACCAGTCTCTGCGCAATACTGAGGAAGTCGGCGCACCACAAGAGGTTCGGGAAGCCGGTCTTGCTGCCCATGACGCTACGGCTCATGATGTGCATACCAGTACGGTTCCGGTCCCTCCTCCGTCAGAATTGTCAATTCGTGATCGTGATGCTGAGGCCATGCATAATCAGACCATGAGTAGCGCTCATAGCGTCTCGTCGCCATCGGGAATCAACAGCGTCGAGCTTAGCGGTGATAGCGCCGTGCACACGTCCCAAGTGAGCCACGCCTAGAGAATTGATCAAAAAGGCATCGGCCGACTGTCCCCGTTAAGGATATGTGTGTGATGCTAATGGAGTAATGGGGGAGATGCATCGAGCGCAGTGAATACCCTGGGAATCTTGCAAACATTTGAATGTCTAATAATGCGTATCAAACCATCTTTGCAAGCCTTAGCGAACAATATTGTTATGAGCGAAGAAGAAGGAAGTTCTCGCTAGTCGTTGGGGAGACCCAGGTATTTCGGGCAATCTATGGTTCGAATTATGCGTAGTGTTCACGCAACATGGCCAGGTCGCTTGAACAAAGGGGATCTATTATCCCCGTATCGCAGTGGAAAGCAAACATATATGTCCAGACAAAAGAAGACTGAGAGAAAAGAACTAACACATTGGGAGAGGTGCTCAAGCAGTAGGCCGCTCCTCGGTGTGCTCATGCTCCTCGGAGTCGTGGTGGCCGTGCTTGGACTTCTTCTTTTCCTTCTTCTTCTCGTCCTTGCCCTTCTTTGACATAGCCTCAGCCATCAATTGTTCAAATGCCATGTAGTCACCCTCCTCTTCGGGATCGCGTGCAGCCTACAATTGGAGAATTAGCCTATGCGAACAACAGGAAAAGGGGGGGGGAAGGGGGAGGACGCGGTAGCTTATGCGTAATCGTACCTTAGCGTAGATGTTTCCTGCGATGACCAGCGCATGAGCGCGCTCGACGCGCTTCTCCAGACGAATTCGCTTGTCGCCCAGGACCTGATCACAAACCTCTCGCAGGACACTCTGGATTTCAAATTTGCTGCCACGCCAAGCGGCAGCGAGAATTTTGCCGGTCACCTTCTTCTCATATTCTGCCTTCTTCTCGTCCGTCCAATCCTCGCCGCCGCGCTCTTCCAGTTTGGCCATTTCCTCCATGGTCATCTGAGCGTCAATGGCGGTGGAAATGGTGGTCCAGGTCTCCTTGGCGAGAGTGCCCTTGTCCTTCAGACGCGAGAAGAAGCCGGAAATACCGAGGAACTTCTGCGATTTGAGGAAAGAAGTACCCTTTTGCGTGTATGTGGCACCGACGGCGTGCAGGATCTCCAAACCGAAGGACTCCATCTTCAGGTTCTCAACCTCCAGACGAATCTTCTCCTCAAAAGCATGCGTAACATCCTTGCCCTTGTCGGTCTCGGTCCAGACACTCAGGCGATCAACCAGCTTGTTAGCTAGGGTGTTGACACGCTCCTCGCGGGCCTTTCTCCGCTCCTCCTCAAATGCGTTAAGGCGCTGCTGCTGCTCCTTGGACAGGCCCTTCTTCTTCTCCTTCTTGCGCAGCTCCTTCTCCTCCTGCGACAGACCAGCTGCCTCCATGCGCGCCTCCTCCTCAGACTTGTCCATGAGAGCTTGTTGGCCCATGTATCGTCGGGGCGTGCTGGCACCCGAGCTCTGGCCAGAGGCTGTGGAAGCTTGAGCCTGAGCCTTCCCAAGATCGGCGGCGGCTCCCTCGGTGTTCGCGTGTTCTGCGCTCGCAGCCTTTACCTCCTCGTCATGAATGTTGAGCTTCTCTTCGGCCGACGCGGCGAGCTCCTCCTCTTCCATCTGTTCCATCGTGATATCCATGGTCGCAGTCAGGTCTTTCATAAGAGAAATCTCGCCGATGAGGTCAACGAACGCCTCGCCGCCGAAAATCATGCTGAAGAATTCAGACGGGTCCTCTGTGCTTGCCTGTTAGCCAGAATGCTCTGATCATGATGCGCGAACCGGAACCATCCGCAAGGTCGACGAACCGAAACCTCCACCGGGGACAGACTCCTCTTTGCCGAATTTATCATATCGCTTTCGTAGGTCTTCATTGCTGAGAACTTGGTAGGCTTCGCCGATCTAGACACGATATTAGTTCGAGGCAGCGATGTTTACTGCGGACGGCGCGCATACCGCCTGGAACCGTTCATGTGCGGTCTCGTCACCGGGATTCTTGTCTTTCGAGAAGCGTTAGTTATTGAAAATCTTCATGATGCAGTCCGCCTACCGGGATGAGTGGTGATCGCAAGCTTGCGGTAAGCCTTCTTGATCTCAAGCTCGGTAGCAGTCGGCGCGACGCCCAAGGCGTCGTAATAAGTGGTATCAGCGACCATAATGTGAAGCTACAGAGCTAAGGATGCTCTGACACGGTCCAAGAAACCCGGAAGAGCCGTGTTGAATGAAGACAGGTGGGATGACAAGAGAGAAGGCACTTTTTTGATTCCCCGCCATATGACGCCGTGTAGGGAATGGTCGGGTCACGTGGCGAAGTCTCTTAATTTCCTCGAGTTCGCCCCCTTTTCCTCTTCTTCCCCGAGGCTCTGCAACTTCATTTCTGGTCTGTTTCTTTCTTTCCCTACCTTCTTCGGGCCCTTGAGTGTCCGAGTTTGTACGAGATGGGTTTCATTGGAACTGCCACTTACCTTGCCCTGCACCCGTTGCAATTGAGAGCAATCGTCCAGTGGTACGTGTCCCCGCAGAGCCCGGAGCTGCCCTTGCTTGTTTTTTGAGCTCTATCACATCTCGGACTAACTTCGTCGGTTCTAAAGGAAGGTCTGGCACAACCCTCCTCACGAACGCGACGCCAAAAATGACACCGAGACCCAGAAGCAATGCTTCAAGTTCTTGGACCTGACCAGCCGTAGCTTCAGCGCCGTGATCAAGGAGCTTCACCCTGAGCTGCTGCTGCCTATCTGTGTCTTCTATCTCGTCCTCCGTGGTCTGGATACCATCGAGGATGACACCTCCATCCCGTTCGCGACCAAGGAGCCGCTTCTTCGGAATTTCAAGGATATCTTGACGGAAGATGGCTGGAACTTCACTGGTAATCGCCCGGAGGAGAAGGATCGGGAACTGCTGGTTCAGTTCCATAATGTCGTCGCCGAATTCAAGAACATGAAGCCTGCCTACCAGGCCATCATCAAGGACATTACAGACAAGATGGGTAACGGTATGGCGGACTACTGCGCCAAGGCCGAGAAGGACGAGGCGAGCGTGAAGACCATTGAGGAATATGATCTTTACTGCTACTATGTCGCCGGTCTGGTCGGAGAGGGCCTCACCCGACTGTTCGTCGAGGCCGAGTTTGGCAACCCTGCTCTTCTCAAGCGTCCCAAGCTTCACAAGTCCATGGGTCTCTTCCTGCAGAAGACCAACATCATCCGTGATATTCGGGAGGACTTTGATGACAACCGGCGATTCTGGCCCCAGGAGATCTGGTCGAAGCACGTTGATAACTTTGAGGATCTTTTCAAGCCCGAGTACAAGGAGGCGGCGCTTAACTGCAACTCCGAGATGGTTCTAAACGCTTTGGAACACGCCGAAGAGTGTCTGTTCTACCTGGCTGGTCTACGTGAACAGAGTGTGTTCAACTTCTGCGCCATTCCTCAATCGATGGCGATTGCCACAATGGAGCTTTGCTTCCGCAATTACGACATCTTCGAGCGCAACGTCAAGATCACCAAGGGTCAAGCATGTGAATTGATGATGGAGTCGACCCAGAACCTTGCCGTTTTGTGTCAGACGTTCCGAAAATTAACTCGCGCAATCCACAAAAAGAATACTCCCAAGGACCCCAACTTCCTGAAGATTAGCATTGTCTGCGGCAAGGTAAGGCAAAATGCGCCTGTCATGTGTCAAGATACTAAATATATGCCATATAGATCGAGAAGTTCATCGAGACTATCTTCCCAAGTCAAAATCCGGAGGATGCTCATCGCCGCGTGACCGGCGAGATCACCGCCGAGCAGGCCAAGAAACGGGAAGAGGATGCTGAGAACAAATCCGACATCTACTTCCTCATGGGTCTCATGGGAGTCATTATCTTCTTCGTCGCCGGTGTGATGGTATGCCCGCCTCAATTTTTCCCGAAATCCCAGATTAACTTTCATAGATGTTTGCGGCATGGATGCTAGGTGCTCGATTCGACCTGGCCTGGAAAGAGATTACCTCAGGCAACTTGAGGCCTCCCAGCTATTACAAAGAGCAGGCTACTCTCCGCGGCGAGCTCTGATTGACCTTTTTCTCACTACACGGCGTCACGACACTTACTGCTTAATCTTCGATTCCCCGTCCGGTGGACTCTTGTTTTATTATTTCCCCATTCCATCCGCACCACCGGTGCCTCGATGTGTATTGATAATAATATACCATTCTTTCGTCCCATTACGGCACACTATACTTAATCCACCGCGAGAGTCTCTTCAGCAAGTCCATATTGGCAAGCACGGATGTCAAATTGCGATCCAGCCCTTCCATGGCTGAGGTTGTGCCGAAGAAGTGCTGACATCAACGGAGATTCGTCTCTTTGTCCAGTGAGTACTAGATTTGTGTCCAACGATTAAGTTCGAGGTGGCACACGTCCATTGAAGATCTGGGATATCCGTAGATCATTACGTCTTTAGGTGCGAATATGTAAATATATATCAATTTCGATTTGTTCCACATAATATTATTTTCGCCTGTTTTGAAACTCTCGGTCATAGATATGATTGCTTGCAGAAGGTAGAAAGCGTATTTCCGGACAGTGTGCCCCTGATGGCACACAGAACTGCAATCTAGGAGCGGTGCGTAATGTGTATGGCGGCCGTTTTCATGATCATGTCCAGAGACTTTCTTATCATCGCTGGCTCCTACGCTTTCCATGCTGACCAAATGCTTTGCAATCCCGGCCCAGTTGATCACGGGAAATTCATTTGAAAATGGTTGCCGCGATCCACCAGTCTATTCACCGAATCAGAAATCTCTGCTTTCTCATCAATTCCAGTCCTCTCAGGCAGAGTAACTCTTGCAAGTCGCCTATTCTTGACCTGCTCTCACGCTGACTCGGCAGTGATTCTCGCTTGACTGCCGTCCCATGCGCTTGCCAGTTATTGTGCCCCCAGTATTCCGGGCTCCTCTCTCTGCTCGTCTGTACTCGTGTTCAAGGTCTTTCAGCGTCATGGGTAACAAGAAGACTGCCCCGTGTGAGGGTTCTAGCGGAACCTTGCCCCCTCTGTCTGCCACCGACTTCCGGGCCTACAACCGCCTGTCGGAACAGATGGACGCTTTTGTAAGTCGTGGCATTCTCAAGCCCCGCCCGTAATTAGCACTAAGTCCGACTCAGCACAATCACTTCCGTTTGGCATGGAACCAGCTCTATGATGCTTGTTCGAGTACCGGGAAACGGCCTAGTGGTCTCTCCGCCCGTCAAATGATCATGATGGGTCTCCAATTTTGCTCCCAGCTCGACTTTCACCACTCCATTGAAGAGCAGCACATCTTCCCCGTGCTTGCGAAGAAAATGCCAGAGTTTCGCAAAGAGCTTGAGCTGCTCACCCAGCACAAGCAGATTCATGCAGGCCTGGAAAAACTCGAGGCTTACCTCGAGAAATGTCGTTCTGGCGAGGAAGATATGCGCCGCGAAGAGATCAAGCGACTGATGGACGAATTCGGAAAGGTGCTCTGGCAGCATTTGGACCAAGAAGTCGAGACTTTGAAGGCTGATAATATGCGCCAATACTGGACTGTCGAGGAGATGCGCCGTCTTCCTATGTGAAGCTTCCTTTGTTCATTGCAATTTCAATACCCCAATTCATCTTACACCACACCTTTCCACACACTCTTCAGGATCTTCTACTCTTATTGTTCTCATTTGTTCAAAGTCAAAGGCCATCTGCTGCAAACCCTACGCGACGTCACTCTGTTCGCGAGCATTGATCTGGATCCAAATGACTTGATTCGAAACGGTATATCATGCTGAAACACCGCCCATGATGATCAGGCCGGCATTGGAAGTGACACCCCCGTTCCCTCCTTTGTGCCCATATCGGTCACTGATAGTGGACCTTGATTGAAATCTTATGATCGCGTTATTCTTACAGCTTCACGTCGCGGTCCCATGATGATTGCCACGGGACAGAAACTTGCCGACTTTGTGATCATCGCTGCGACGACTAGAATTCACAGCTGAGGGTGCCGTGATGAAGGCAGGAAGTCTTGACCATTGGGGGCCCTCTGACACGCCTTTAATCGTCCTGAACTTGCCGCGCCATGCTTGTGTTGCTGAACCCGTAGCAAAATCTCGAATCGAGGACGGTTCAAGGCTACATTTTCGAGCCAAGAAATCCTTAACGCATTCGACTGTTTTCAGCATTCCCCTTTCGGAACTTGTCCAACCATACTGGGTGTTGACCATCTCGGGAATGCTGGCCTGACCCCTGAGTCCCTAGATTCGCATGAACGTTATGCCTGTTTTCCCACACACCCGCTTTTGTCCACGAGTCCGCCGCAAACACATTTCGCGGCTGATCACTTTCTAGATGCCTTCTGTCCCGATCCATCTTTAGTAGTATATGCAGAAGGTCATCAATGATATTGAAGTTACCAATATCCTGATTTATGATATCATTGCTGTGCGTGAGCACCATTTGGTTGACGATCATGTTTCATGGTCTGTTTGTTTTTTTTGTATCATGTCACTCGCGCCATCTCTAGGGATCAAAAACACCCTTTTCTACTTATCGTGGAGCCTTATGCGAGGTTTGCAGGACAATTGTCTTTCTTTTGCTAAATCCCGGGGTTTCCCCGACCATTGCTGGATCTTCTGGCCTGCATAGAGCGAGACTTGGCGATCTTCAACCTATCCGTCGCGGTTCCGTGAACAAATGCCACAGTCCCTGGAGAATGCATCTGTCACTCAGACGCGCAAGCCACTCATCGCATCGTCCGCTGTCTCCACTCAGTCGCCTGATGGTCGCGGAAATGTGCCAAATCCCGCCCAGCAGGCCACGCTGGTGGGCAGTCTTGAAACGATCGTGATCAACACTGGGCGAGTACCAGCGCGGCGACGTCGTCTGGTCTGGATTCCTCAGCATGACAGCTTGGCTGCTTTGCTCGGTCTCCGCCTCCCCCGCTGTGTGGGCCTTAGACAATGACCGATAAGCTCTTAGGATCGGTCAGGACACACCACCACAAGATCCACTTCCCCATGCGGCTTCGTCGTCGCATGCGACCTTTTGCATGCAATGATATAAGACTGAAGTACCAGCCTGATGCTTGTGATTTTGTCTCTCGTCTCGCCGCCTTTTCGATCGCTGCTATCATATCCTGTTCCGGACTCTTGTATCGCTCTTCCACTTTCAATATGAAGCTTGCCATCGCCTCACTCGCTACCGCCATGTTGGCTAGTACTGCTCTTGCAGCCCCTCGACCTGGTCTTGCTGAGCGCCTTAAGCAGCGTGGTGTTTTGCAGCGCTCGTCTCAGCCCGCTAGCAGGTTTGACAACTCCGACGAGAAGAATGGCATTCTTCTCAAGGAGGGCTCCGATGATGCCAAAGTCCAGTACAGCAGTAACTGGGCCGGTGTCGTGCGCGAGTCGCCCCCTGCCAGTGCCACCTACACTGCTGTTTCGGCCACGTTCACTGTGCCCGAACCCACAGCCACTGACAACTCGGGCGACTTGCAAGCTGCCTCCGTCTGGGTTGGCATTGACGGTGATACCTACTCCCAGGCCATTCTGCAGACTGGCATCGACAGCTACATCCAGAACGGCGAGATGAGCTATGATGCTTGGTACGAATGGTACCCTAACAGCGCCGTGAACTTCGACATAAGTGTGTCTGCTGGCGATGTCATTGTCGCTTCCGTCAAATCTTCTTCGTCCAGCAAAGGTGTTGCCATCATTGAGAACAAGTCTTCCGGCGAGACTGCGACGAAGACCATTACGGCGCCTTCTTCAGATGCCACTCTGGGTGGACAGAACGCCGAATGGATTGTTGAGGACTTCAATTCTGGCGACTCCCAGATTCCATTTGCCGACTTTGGCACTGTGACTTTTACAGGTGCTCAAGCCGAAACTGCTCGTGGCTCTTATGGTGTCAACAATGCTGCGGTGCTTGACCTTCAGCAGGGCGGGAAGCTACTTGCCGATGTCAAGATCGAGAGTGATACCGAGTTCACTGTCACTTATCAATGAACTTGCGGCCTTTAGGCAGCAGGCTGTCTGCCGGTTGTTTATAGCAATGAGCATTGCTTTCTGGAGTTGATGGATGGGCGTTTCTGAGATCACGTAACTGGGACTGGTTGTCTATCTGGGTCAACTTATCGTGTTATGGGCTTAATAGAATTAAATTATACCTGAATGTCTCAATATATCAATATTATCAATTTTCTTATTCATCATGTCCATTGCTCCTGGCCCCTCATGCTATCTGCTATCCAAGCTGGATCACTGTATGCTTGAAAACATTCCCACCATCATGTTTCTGCTTGACCCCTTTTGGATCATCGTAGCGGCTGCCGTAGGTCAGTCTTAAGTCCAGATCATCCATGGGTGTCCATGGAGGGTCAGTTGACAGCACGACATTTTTGGGATTTGTGCTTCTCAAGGCCGCCACAGATTTCTGAGCCCACACGAGGTTCCTCTGAAGCTTCTCTGCCGATGCAGCCATTGAGAAAATCTCAACAGTAAAGTGCGGGACTTGATTAATTGCTCAAGAAGGGCCTCGGAGCATTGGCAAAAAGACCGTGAGCACCGAAGATGGCTTCAGGGCTATCGGGCTGCAGCGTTGCGTGCTCGGCCATCACATCCAGGACCTCAGGGAAATGGCTGATGCAAACGCAGTGAATGCGTTGAGCCATAGGCGTTCCTGCGGACTGCGGGGTAGCGTAGTGAATATAGGTGTTTTCCGAAAGATACTTGGTCAGCTTTTCCATCTTGGTTTCGTGATCAAAGGCCAAACCTAACTGACTTGAATTCCGAGGGTGATTTGTCAGTGAGCACGGAGGTGAGGCGGGAAGGACGGTTCATCGTGTTTAGTGATGTTGACAATGGCTTAGTTGTCCGACCTGACTGCGCCCGTATTATGTGCAGCAGCATCTCGTCTCGCTCAAATGAATGCGATCTCGCTCGCCATACTACTCCAGGACACCCAGTCTCATTGAATCGTTACTGTTCCTTGCTCTTATTGTTCCATCGCTTCTACCCTCCTCTGAATCCTACTTCAAGTGCGGGGAGACCTTAATAAAACTTGGCAATCTCTCGCGCGCAAAATATTGATAGACTACACCTGGGCAGCCATCCTTATCGTCGCTTTACAACACGTAATTGGGATTCGTAATACTAGTGGCAGATTACCGTTGGACGAACAACTTAGCGGCGGAAGGGAGGTTCCGCGCGGATAGGATTCTCATGTGAAGCATGTGAAGTGCCTCTTCAAAATGAGCCCAAGTACGAGTAGTTGCAAATTGATTTTTAGGCATCTTCCAAAACTCTCACAACGCGGAAATAATTCTCTGGGCATTTCTCCGCACTCATATGGAGTCGACGTCCTTATTCCAAGTACGGGTTGCTGTCACTCAGGCAGAGCCCATATGGCTTGATCTCGATGCTACGGTTGAGAAGACCTGCAGACTCATCGCGGAGGCTGCTGCCAATGGTGCTCAAATAGTGACATTCCCCGAATGCTGGGTGCCTGGCTATCCTGCCTGGATTTAGTATGTCCTAGTCGCGTTAAAGTGACTCTCAAATCCGGACTATTTAATACTGAGAAACGAGGGAACACAGGTCACGGCCGGTTGACACGAAATTAACAGTACGATACATACAAAATTCGCTCAAACTTGACTCTCCTCAAATGACGAAAGTCACGGAATGTGCGGCTGAGCACAAAATCGTGGTGGTGCTCGGATTCTCCGAAAACGTCAACGACTCTCTCTATATCTCTCAAGCTATTATCGATGCAGATGGAGTGATACGTGTGTCACGCAAGAAAATGAAGGCAACTCACATGGAGCGGACGATATTTGGTGACTCCCTTGCAGACTGCCTTGAAAGCGTCGCTGATACAGCGGCTGGCCGAGTCGGAGCCTTGTCGTGTTGGGAGCATATCCAGCCATTACTGAAGTACCACACTTATTCCCAGCGGGAACAGATTCACGTGGCTGCATGGCCACCTATCTTCCAGGATGATGACAAAGATGTTCTCTTTTCGATGTCTCGTGGCGGTAAGATTCCTTCTCCCTCAGAGCGAGCGACATGAATGGACTCACGAAAATCTAGGCACCACCGCGATTGCACAAACGTACGCGGTTGAGTCGCAGTCATTCGTTCTTCACACGACTGCTGTTCTCAGCCAGCGCGGCATTGACTTGATGAACACACAGGATGGATCGATAATGAACAGGCCAGGAGGCGGCGGATCAGCGATATTTGGGCCAGATGGCCGTCAATTGACCACTGATCATCCCGAAACTGAAGAGACCATTCTTTACGCCACGCTGGATCTGAACAAAATTCTCCAGTGCCGAGCATTTGTCGATGTTTGTGGCCACTATAGCCGGCCAGATCTTCTGTGGCTAGGGGCCGATAAAGAGCTCAAGCGTCATGTACGATCGTAGTGATTTACTGCGTCTCCACAGAGCGTCTTCATTGTATACTTTAACAGATGTGAGACCATGCAGATTTATACAAAGGCAAGACTGAAATTGTTTGTGATAGTGCTTAATTCATTAGGTAGGCGGTAAGGATTGGCATTGAACGATGTAAAGCCCGTCGGGAGAATCGCAGTCATCTCCACTCTGTTAGCGGCGGAACCGTAGAAGCCGCGCTGATAAGCCAATTTGACACTTGTCTTGCCTTTATCGAGGAAGATGAGCCGAGCCTTTCATCGCCATGACGGATTTTACTTCTACTGCCGGTGAATCTTGTACTTCGCGTTCGCTGCAAGGAATTTCCTGAGCGTGTTTGTCCCAAGTATTCAGGATCCTATCGCCCTTCGGACTCTCCCCGCTGCGCCTCCCGACCCCAATCCGTCCGCTTTGGCCATCTGGTAGCATGGCTACACCAGGACACTCCACCAGAGTTCGGATTGCGTGTGAGACGTGTCGCAAAAGGAAACGGGAGGTGAGGTTCCGAACACTTGTGACCGGTCATTCTTTGATAGGATGGCCCGTTGCAGTGCGATGGAGTTCACCCCTGTTGCTTTGGGTGTCTGAGTCGAAATATTGAATGCCGGTATGATATAAACAAAGCACCAAGGTCTGGAAATCGAGTCTCCCGGATTTTTCGTTTAGTGCTGACTGCCGAGCAGGCAAAGACGCGATCCAGGATACGTGACTGGGCTGGAAGATCAACTTGAGCTTCTGAAGGATGAGCTGCGCCGCTTGGGAAATTTAAAATCCAGCTCCCAAGGTGCGAGATCAGAACCGGAACCGGGCCCGAAACCTCCACCAGACCAAAGAGACCTGGATGATGGCTCCGATCGGGGAGAAGACGGTGCTGTTGCCACATTTGAGGAATCTTCGCGGAAGGCTACTCCAATTCAAGATGTGAGTTCCCTAATATGGCGCATGAGTATCGAAGATACCGGAGAACCGGCATTTATCGGTCCTTCAGGAAACGAATGTTTCCCTGTTACGCCAAAGAGGCCCCTTGGACGCGCTTCAAACTCTGAAAGATCGACCAAAAGAAGTCATGATCCGTCAACAGACACTCACCGGAGGCGCAATGAAGCGCAACTTACAAAGGAGCTACTTGATCTGTTCGTTGATTTCATCAATCCGATTCATTTTTTTCTGGACCAGGATACCATTCGCGAGATACGAGCGGATGACGTAAAGTCAGAACTGAGCCGGGTTAAGCATGCAGTCATGGCTGCTGCGTCTCTTTTAGCCGATGATGAAGACAGCCGAGATTTTGGAAATGATGTAGCTTCTGCTGTTGAGTCTGTTGCATTACCGGCTTGCCGACAGTACCCCTCGTTCAGGTCCTGGCTATTATGTGCTGGCGCGAGCTTGGTCTGGAGAACCATAATATGGCCTGGATGTATAATTGTCTGTTGTCCGATAATGCTCTTCCTTTTCTCTTCTTTGTTGTTGACACTGCCTAGGTATGTGCGCTAGCATGACTTTGCATCTTGGGCTTCCAGTCAGCTCCCTTCATGCGCTCGTAAACTCCGCGAATGAAGTCAGTAATGCGGCCAAGAACATGACTCGCAATAGTGTCCGTATATCGACTGCTTGGTCTTCGCTCTTGATTGATAGGCAAGTTATGGTCTGTTGAAGCTGCCCCTCCTCGACGAAGCCTAATTCTAGGCAATAGAATTGCGACCTCACTTTTAGTGCGAAACTGTATGTTACCATGGCGGAGGGTCCGAGCAGCTTCATACATCGATGCCATTGCCGCGCCAAGCCTATGTGATCTGGTCTTCGACTCACATTGTCGGCTGTGGTTTGTTCATGATCAGTGGATGGACAAGATGTGAGATGTCTTCTCCGCCAAAACCGACTGACATTTAACGTGAATGCAGTTATTCATTCGATTTTGATGATTGAGGAAGCTCAGAACAGCATCAACTTCTCCTGGGCGCCCGTGAGCAAATTCTTTCGTTCCAGCGGAATCTTGATAATCGTGTTCAACTAAGTTCGAACAACTCATCCCCTGCGGTTATTGTTCTTCACATGACATACAACATGTCCCAAATTTTGATACACCGACCCTTTCTCAGGCTCTCTGCCGAGAATAGTACGTTTCTCTCTCTGTACGAGCCATGTCTACTGCAGCGATTTCTATGTCAAGATTGATTCTTGTCTTTGAGAGGGTTGCACGGTTAGACAGAGCACCACCGTTTGTACCTCATAGTATCATGACTGCTGCTGTCACCCATCTTTTAAATGCAACATCGACACAACCAACGGTCAGGAGTCAGTCAATCAGACATTTAAGAACATGTTTCAGTGCCCTAATGACCATGTCAAACCGGTGGATCAAGGCAAGGAGGTTCGTCTCATCTCTTCAAGACCTGGCTCAAAGATGGAGTATTATGCAAGCCTTGCCTTTGCATGCGTTTCCAGTGAGGTCTCCTGCAGACTTTCAGAACTTGGCGGATACGCCTCATGAGCCCACGCCTGGAATATTGCACAATGAGCCCCAACACGATCAGAATTTAGGAAATGACGAAGACTTTTCGTGGTTTGATGTGAACCAAATGAACCTGGCGTCTTATCAAGCTGAACTTGTGAATTTGTGTATGCCCAATGAATTAGATTCTTGGGTGATGGACACTCAGAACGATGCCAATTACTTATGCAATATCTAGTCAGTATTGGAATATCAGAATCAAAGTCATTTGAGAGACCTGGTAGATTTTCATTGTGCCATGTATCTTCATCATTGCTCCTCATTGGTGTCATCCCCAGTTGTGTTATCATAACCGGAAGGAAGCAAGCCGCGGTCCAAAGGGCTCTAGCCGTCGTCTCCTGGTCAAGTGGCAGCTTCCAAAATATTGAAATACAGAGTGACGGACCAATTGGCGACCAGGGACTACGTTTTTGGGGTTGATCCCTTTATCTCCCAGCGGCGGGAAGGCGGGAAGCCGCCCCGATTGAGCACTCCTAAGTTCAACTCCCATCATCTTATCTCTTCCCCATCATGTTGCCAGCTTATGTCGTTCCTTGTGTTCCTTGGGTCGTAGAGTAGACGCTAGGGGTGAGTGATATGATCAAGAACACAAATACCTCCTGATTGCCTCAGATCAAATATGGTCTCTCAACATTCTCTTCCAAGACAACAGTACTCACAGCACATTTCGAACACTTGGGCGAACATGGCATTCGGTGTTCTAGAGTCCAAATTGGATTCATGTCCATCAGGGTCTACCAACATCCAAAGTGACTTGAGTAATGCTGGAATGGAATCGCACATGGAGCGGGTACCACGGCCGTCTGACTCGCCCTTGGATCCTCTGAATTGGCCCCGAGCTCGAAAGGAATTACTGTTTGCTACCATAGTCCTCGGATCATGCGCCACAGGGTCACTAGGTCCTGTTTTGGTTCCTGGCTTTACAGCCGTGGCCCATGAGCTACAAGTCAGTGTCGGACATATAACCCTTCTCAACGGCGCTCTGGTCATGGCTCTAGGTGTAAGCGCATACCTTTGCTCTTCCTCTACTGCTATATTTGGGAAGCGCCTCGTCTATATATTTACCACTTTATTGGTATGTATCGCGTCCTGTTGGGCTGCTGCTTCTGCTTCTTGTAATTCCCTCTTAGGCTCTCGTATTGTTCAAGGTATGGCATTCTCCATCCCTACTTGTGTGAGGATATGAAAGCTAACAGCTCGACTAAAGGCTTAGGAATGGGCGGATTCTTTGCCTTGGCCGGCACAGCGTCTATAAACGAGGTGTTCTTTGTTCATGAGCGTGGGCTACGCGTTGGTCTCTGGAACTTTGGTGTCATCACCTCAGTAAATCTTACACCTGTGATAAGTGGATATGTTATCTCCAATTTGTCATGGAGATGGAGCTTTTGGCTTGAGGCAATCATGTTTGGAGTTGTACTCATGGCGGTATTTGCCCTTTTTCCTGAGACAACATTCGAACGAGCTAGCGTTTCCTCGGTTCATCCGGAATCTGCGGCCTTGGAAAATAAAGGAAATCAGGTCTCTATGGGCTCTGCCAGTTCCCCGGATCTGCAGCTTGTTGTGTGGCGATCTATACTACGTCTTCAACTGGTGCAGGTACCAGGGACTAGGGATTTTTTGACAAATATCGTCCAGCCTCTGGCTCTGCTGCTTCATCCGATCGTGATTCGCGGTTCTCTGATGTGGGCAGTCACTTTCACCTGGACCATTCTTCTGGGGGCTGTTGTTTCCCAGATTTTCACCCCGTTTCCATACGGCATGGACACCATTGCGGTCGGCAACTTGTCTGGCATCGCACCTTTCATAGGATCAGCCTTGGGAACTGTGATAGGTGGCTATGTCTGTGACTTTTGTGCGGTATATCTGGCGAACCATAATGATGGATATTACGAGCCTGAATTTCGTCTCATCGTCATCCTTCCAGCTACCATCACCATGGCCATTGGCACCTTTGGACTCGGTGCGGCTATTCACAATGCACTCCCCGCCACTGTCTGCGGTGTTTTCATGGCCATCATCAACTTTGCTGTTGGCCTCGGGTGTACTGCTATCGTGGGATATACCAATGATGCTTGCGGTCATAGGACCAGTGACGTATTCGGTATCGCCATGGTGAGCACAACCTACCCAAAAGTCCTTCCCCTGCCTCACGTACTAAGTTTTGTCATAGGTCGTGAAAAGCGCCTTCACTTTGGCCTTTCTTTTGTTTTCAATGATTATTGTACAAACTATGGCCCGCTCATCTTTTTTTCGACTTTTGGTGCTCTTACAGTCGGCATCATGCTTACTAGTCTTCCAATGTATTGTTTTGGAAAGAGAATTCGAGCTTGGGCAGACCGCCGCAACATTTTGCATTAGGAATCAAAATCCTGGATTCAGAATGAAATTTTCAAATCACACGATAAAATCTCTAACTTATCGATCAGCGGAATTCTAACTGAGATTTGGCATTGTTCTTATCTCCATCTTTTGCCATAATATTCTCCTCGGTGAATAAAGAAATCTTTCCCTTGATATTTGTACTGGTTGTAAGTCATTCCGTACCAGCTCCGTAATCGCTGAGCTTTGGTATTATTGTTCTTGGGATTAGAGAACCTCAGTTCTCAATATGACTCGATGGGTGCCCAAATACGGAATTGAAGAACAGGAGCTCGGCAGCCTATTGAGTTGACCAATTCTCCCTCTCTGACCCTGGGAGATGTAGCTAGCTCCCACTGCGTCGGTCGTCAACAGATCAATGATCCCATCCACAGCAACATGCTTGTGCGCTGCATGTGAATTTTCCAATCTTCACTGATTTAAACAACGGCGGGGGTTTTCCTACAGGGTACCAATTTCAAAGGGCATGGGATTTCACTTGTTCCCTGTTTCCGCAAATTGCCAGTCTATTCCAGGCAGCCTAGTATCTCACCATTCATTTTCCATCAGGCCACAAATAATCTGCGAGGAATTCCCCGAAATATACCCGAGGATGGGTACAGAGGAAGCCTATCATGAACTGATCACATTTCCTGAATGTTGAATGTTGGCTAGAATCAGCGAGGTCGACCTTTGGAACGAAGAACAACGGATCATTGACGAACCAATGCAACAGAACTACTCCCGTTATCTCTCTGGTTCTGCAGCGGGAGGCTTCAACAAGGTCGTTCCTTTGTGACTAAGGGCTGACTGTGGGGTTATCGTGCAACCATCATTCGAGCAAGGGTCTGGGATAAGTGAAAAGAAGAAAATTGTGCGGGTGTCATTAACCCAACGGATCTCAGTAAGTCAAAGCACGGAGCTTTTTTTTAAAGACGAACGAGACGCGCTTTTCGCGGATCGGGTGATGACTGGGAGGAGATACGCTAAGCTGTGAAAGACGCGCACAGCTGGCTGAGAAAATTGCCCAGAGTCTAACGAAGAGCCCCTTTGCTATTTCTGGTATCTAAGCTTATCTGGGTAAAGTTGACGTGCGTCTTGGGGTGGGAGGCATGGAATCACCAGGGGAAGTAATCCAGGCGATGCCGGTATAATAACGGGCAAAAGAGACTTCGTGAGCCATTGGGGACCGATGATATCCGAGATTCAAGTATTTGAGTCGGTTGAGATGGAATTTACCGACATCGGGACGAGACCCGACGCGCGTGTGGGGTTAAGTCAGGGTTCCTGGTATTTTTGAGTCATCGCCCCTGATCTTCATATCTTTGAACGCTTATATCCATTTCCGTTGTAGGAATCATTCAGAATGGCAGTTCATATTGAGGCGGCGCAATTTCCTCGTGATTCGGAGGCTGTTCATGCCTTGTTCTCGAGCTACTCGTCGTCATTGGGAATCGACCTCACGTTCCAGTCTTTTCAACGTGAGCTTGACTCTTTGCCCGGCAAATATTCCGAGCCTCAAGGAGGTATCATCCTGGTCGCACGAGCCATAATCGGTCATGCTAGTCATGTTTCTACATTGCACTCGGGGGCCGGGCTAGCTCAAAGCCCGAAGGTCCAGGTCTCCCCTGCCGTCGGATGCGTCGCGTTAAGGCGAAACCCGGGTAATTGGTGTGAGATGAAACGCTTGTATGTGGTCGAAGATGCACGAGGCTTGAAGCTAGGTGACAAATTAGTCGAGGCCATCGTTGCACAAGCCAAAGCTTTTAGCTACCGGGGCATTCGCTTGGACACACTACCCGATATGACTATCGCCCAACGACTTTATCATCGGCACGGATTCGTGAAGATTGAACCTTACTACGATACGCCTATTGAAGGTACTATATTTATGGGGTTTGAATTCGCCCGTTCATGAGTATCATTCGTCACCTCATGGTACGGGGAAGTATCGGCCGATACCTGATCAGGGTACTTGTACATTGCTTAGGGAGACACGGAACTCTTAGTGCGACATCGCAACCCAACAATTTGTCCGACCAGTCTAGTGTGCTGTCAGTCTATGTACTACTAGCAGGTCATTGTGAACTGACCGTTTCACTCTGAAAAGAAGCGACCCCACCCCATTCATTTCATCAATTTCAAACTTGAAATAAATGTTATCGAGTATAAACAAAGTTCCTGGATATAGAGCTTAGATATTGAATATCTGACTTAGCTTTGACTCAGCATCTACCTTGACTTCTGCAGTGAGACTTTAGATCAACAATTCTCCGTGTTGCGGTTTTGAATCCAAAGTGTGAAATTGAGACGCTAGTTCTGGCCATCTTTCTAGCAGGTACAGTGCCATAGAGCGGGTCTTAATGCAAGAAATCGGTCAATTCTTACCCATCATTAGAGAGTCACGAATGACAAACCGTATTGATGGATCTAGATTCCACAAGGGCTCGGTAATGCTCGGGGTTTGACCTTTCCACTGTCCGAGCTGCAATGTGTCTGATCACATGTGCAAATATGCCGTTCGAAAAAAGCAAAATTATAAGATTAAATTGCGATGAAGTTTAAATCAGAAACTCAAAGAATTTGAAAACAGCCTCGAAAGCATTCCATGTCAAGCGAATCATGACCGACCAGCCTTTGAAAGTTCTTGTCGTGGGTGCGGGCATTGCCGGGCTTTCTGTGGCTATTGCGCTTGGGAAACAAGGCCATCGAGTTGTCGTAAGTAGTCCAGCGCAAGAAATCGAATTGTAGACAATCAAGGAAGAAGCTAATCAAGAGATGCATCTGCGCCTTTAGATTCTTGAAAAGTCTCATTTCCTCAGGGAGGCCGGAGCTGCAATTCACTTGCCCCCAAACGCTACGGCATTATTGGAGTGGATGGGAGTCGATCCGGCGTCTTTCGGGGGTGTTCTACTGAGAAAGGTGGGGTTTTCGAAATTGAAGAAATCTTTGGCTCACTCAGCGCTTCTTATAGATCAATCGATACGACACTGAGGGCGACTTGAAGTATCAAAGGGATTTTGAGCCCGTCAGGTGCAATTGGCAGGCCGTGGGTGGTTACGTTATTCTACGAAATGGGTTGGTTAATTTTCTCCTAGGGATGGTACCTTGTCCACCGAGTTGGCCTCCATAACGCTTTGACGAAGCGTGCGCTTGAAACTGCCACTCTCCATACAGGATGTACAATCATGCGAATCGATCTCGATGTGCGACGTCCATCAATCGCACTCGACGATGGGCGCCGGTTTGAAGCAGATCTTCTGCTTGGGGCTGACGGATTGCACGTAGGTTATACTTCAGCGATGACTTATTTAGAGATCCACCTCACCACCTCCATAGTCTCAGCTCCGCAGCACGATTGCCCCGATGGCGCCTCCTCCGTTCCGAGCGGGCAAGAGATGCTATCGCTGGACTATTCCAACAGCTGATCTGAGGACAGATGAGTTGACTCAGGGCTATTTTCAAGAGCCAGGGGTGTTCAGAGAGTTCGAAGGTCCAACCCGTCGCTTGGTCGCTTATCCATGCTCCGACAATAACGTCGTCAATCTTAGCGCGTTCATCTCCACTAATCCGAACCAGGAAGCCCATCGGGATGAGGGTGAGCGACTCAATCTCGATGTCATATATGCTGGCTTATACTGGTGTCACTAGGCTGGCAGACCCGCGCGGACAAAGCAGTTGTCGTCGATGCCTTCTCCCAATTTGGCACTGGAATCAGAAAGTTGATTGACAGTGCGCCAGAACAAATCAAAACATGGGACATGTATGATATGCAGACTTTGCCCACCTGGGCCCTGAGGTCACACTGCACTACTGGGCGATGCCGCGCATCCATTTCAGCCATGTATGCATACTCACATCTTCGTAGTCAACCGCCTAACTGACTTGAGACAGATATGGGCCAAGGTGGTGCAATGGCTATCGAAGATGCGGTCTCCATCGCCATGCTGCTTCCATTTGGCACGAAGCCACACGACATTCCAGAACGCCTTGAGCTTTACCAGTCCTCGCGCCGGCCACGAGTTGAAATGATTCTGAACTTCACCCGTTGGAATGGTCGCGACGATGGACGAATTTCACGTGTGTTCTCCTTCCACTCGGTACCCACGGACCCTGTTGACAAGTAGTAGCTGCTGAAATGGTGAAGTTTATGGGAATCTGCGTCTCGTACAACGAGATGGAGAATTGTAAAAGGCTGCTGGAGACTCTATAAATTTCACTTCAAAAATGTCATGCACCGTATCCCTTCATGCCCGTCGATCTTCTCAAATCGTGGGTCCTCTAGAAGAATGCGAGAGTGGTTCTACGAGTATCACAATCGTACAATGGCCTGACTTCTTTGGCGGGTGGGCACTTATCGGAAATAGATCTGTCCTGTCGACTTCCCCTTCGCTATTCTCACGCATTCCGGTTGAGTATTGGTAGCCATTGATATATTACTTACATGGTACCGAGTATTTGTAATCGGAGGGGGGAACCTGGCCACCCAAGAAACTACGCAGTAACGATATCGCAACGTAACTCTGCTTCAATTTCAAGTACTTGCCTCAAGTACTTGCCAAATGGAAGGGAAGCGTCACGTCAAGATAAATGTTTTGTCGCCGGTCCACGGTACAATGCTTGATGCCTCAGGTGTCTCGATGACTGATCACGGCCATGGCAGCTTATCGGCGTTGACGCGGCTTGATTCCTCTGCGATTAGCTATGCGTAGACCATGGAGTCTGCAAATCTGCAGCCCGGATCGTCGGATCAATTCCGGATCAGGCGAAAGCCCTTGTCAAACCCGAATCTGCGTGGGACTGCGAATGCCGATCCTCAGCTGTCTCACGCCACAAGCTCCCCTGCTCTAGTACCACTGTCGTCATTGCGGCCCCCGTCGTATACTGATCTTTATGGACCAGCACCCCAAACACCCCAACCACCCCAACCTGGTTCTCTTCAAAGGCCTCGAACAGCGGGTGCCTCGTCAACATCAACGACACCACCTCCTCCATCCCCGTCACCGGTCCAGAAAGCATATGGCGAAGCCCGTCATTTTCTCGGTGGTCTCATTAATCATCCAGCCGAGTCTAATAAGCATTTCACAATATTACGACACTCTCATGGCTTAGTGTTCTACCGTGGTAACACTACATCGGTCGCTGTATCCATATTCTCGGATGCCCCTTTGCCATTTGATCGTACAATATGGTTACAGAGCAAAGGATGGTCGGGAAACACCGGAATGCGTACGAAAGCGCTGCTGCATCTCAACAATAGCTGGCTTGATGTCACACCGGGAATGCCCATCCGAGCGGATCAAGTAAACCCGGATGATGAACGCGCCTGGCAGCGCGATATCAAAAAGTTCCGCAAAAAGGCACCAACCCGGCCTCGAGAGACACATCAATTGCGCGAAACGGCTGTCGTGCGAATTCCTGCCGAGGCTGGTGATGGCTATTTTCAACTGGTCCTTTGTCAGGGACAAAAAAAGAAAGTTCTCTGCCACAGCCCGGTTTTTCGAGTCATCTCAACGTCAGCCAATCCACATTCCCTCCGGGGCGCCAGTTTGAGTACACTACCTTTAGAGGTCGGAGCAATGGTAGTCAGTCTCTATGCGCAGACGGCTGCGCAGACAGTAGCTGCGCCTGCTGCTGCGGTAGTCTCGGCTAAGGTGAATCCCTACCGCCCGTCGTGGGTGACACAAACTGCGGTTCAGAAAGCCTACTCTGCTAGTGGAGTCAAACATAGAGTGGCTGGAGTATTGAACCCGTCCGTCGGGTCTGGTCAGAGATCTGCGGCCGGTCAGGGCCCATCGCCAGTTGTCGTTGATGAAATGTCGTCTGTTCACGATGGGCCACAATCGCCTTTTCCAATGAACTTCAAGGCCCGTGGGGAGTTGGCGCACACTCCATATCATAACAGTCCAAGCGAAACTACGAAGTTGGCTCTGACGAAGGTTCCGGACTGGGTTTCCGAGCAGCTGCGGGGATATTTCTTTGGCTGGGCACGTTTCGAAACAAACACAACCAAGGATGCTGCTCAAGGGCCATGGTGTCCTATCGTCCTCTCAGTCCGCAACTTAGATCCTCTGCGGGTATCAAGGGTCGACATGACACAGATCGTACGGCGGACGGTGACTCTTCGTCTCTTGGGCGAAGTTCCCGTCCAGACGACCAAGCTCGAGATTCGAATCATGGGATATCTTCGAGATGACATTCCACCCCCGACTGGAAGTAATAGCCAAGAGCTTGCGAACGCACAGGCTGCTGCAGAGGAGGCAGCACTTTTAGCCGACATATATGATGTATCCGTGGTGCAGAACACGTTGGCCCATCCGGCCTGGGCGCCAGATGTGCCAAGCGGCGCCGGAAATCAACGGCAAGGCACCGCTTGGGCTGATAAAACTCGAGAAGGATATGCCGCTGCGAGAGCCCGTGGTCTGAAATGGGTAGAGCAGGTGCCTTTGCATCGACTTGGGGTTCGGTCAGCTACAGATGAGTGGAGAGAGAGACAAGTTGCAGTAGATGGATTCTATATTGTTCGGTGAAATCATCTCAGCGTGCTTGGACTTTCTTCTCTTGATACTTGTGCTTTTTCGAACTACATGATATACACACATAGTTTGTACTCTAGTGAAAATTTTATTATCATTTTGAAGCACAGCCCATGTGACTCTATTCATGGCGATGAAATGCTGCTACTGGTATTAGACTGCCGCCTAGTTGACTATTCAGGCGATACCCAGCTCCATGTTTGTTGTCAATTCAACGAAGTTGGGTTATCTTCCCAAACGAGTATTCTATCTTGAAAATCCGAGTCATTGAAATAAGCCAAAAGCACCATATCCTGTGTGTCCTGTCTCATCGCTAAGTATTATCAAAATTCAATCATCTCGGTGGCGGCCTCAAGGTCCCACAGGAGGCTCTGAGGCAGCCAGGTTGCACTGGCGGAATAGGCGCACCTCATCCGGCTTAAAGGCGCCCACGACAGAATGCAACACACCTCGGTTGTTGAAGAGCACCAGATCACCGTTCTCCCAGTCATGCGGATACACATATTGGGGGCTGATCGCCGGCCTCTGCAACTTGTAGATGATTTCACGCACGCGCTCCAGGTCATCAATCACGGTGCCGTCGGCGCAATGAATCCGGCGGATGGCGGACGGGTGCACCTGCATCGCCAGTTTACCGGTAACAGGGTTTTTCCAAAGCATGGGAAGAATCATGATCTTCTCCTTGTCAATGGGAGGCAGTTCTGACTCGGGTAACTCGAGTCCTTCTGAATGCAGACCGAGGCCAGTGGACCTTGAGTGGGCAGGGCTCATCCAGATATAGCTAATCACGACTGGTCAGCGCATTTGCCACATTTTCTACAACTTTGGCGAGCAAAGAGTGACTCACGGGTGAGGTGCATATTCAATCTTGCTCGTCCGTACAAACTCCTGGTCCTCTGGCGATAGACCCTCGTACATCTGCTGGCCGCTAACGAAAGCGGTCGTGCCGAGCGGGACATCCATGGTCTCGTCGGTTCCATCATCATACAGAAGTGTCTGGTGGCGACCCTTTGGTACATTGACCGCCAACAGCGTTGTCACCTGGGGCGGATATAGATCATAGAGGGCCGCATCAATGTGCCAGCGATAGAATCGCGTGAAGTCGTAATCTTTGTCGTCAGGAATGTGGTCCTTGTGAAAAGTTCGGTGATGGGGATGTTTCAGCTGGATATTCTCCAGCCCTTCGTACGAAGGAACGAAGCCATTTCCGATCACTTGCACTTGTGGCTGGTGGGGAATGGTTTTCAGATCGGGATGGAGGATGCTTCGCTTGGCGTCAATCGTCTTGCCGTGGCCATAGCTCTCTGCCGCGGGGTCGAAACGCTTAGTTAGCTCGTATTGCGCTTTGGGGGAGAGCTTGTGCTGGTTCTTGAACACGATGACGTGATGACGATACAGCGCGTCGCGAACGGTGGCAAACTGCTCGTCTACCAGATCTTAGCCAACAATCTTCAAGGTGGCATCTTCAAACACGAACCAGTCAACGTCTCCAGATCGATGCTATCGATCTGAGCACCAAAGTCAATCTTGGAGCCCGCCGGGGGCTCCAGCGGTCGGACGGTCGGGTTGAGCACGGCCATGGTCGAATTTCCGGATCGGCCCAAACAGCTCGGGCCGGGGGTAAGCTTCTTAAGTGTATTCGGTACCGAAGTATACAGCGTACCTTTGCTGATACAAGGTCTCCAAGATGAATCGGTTGACGGCAATCACCGGGGCAAGAGAAGAAGTCTTAAGGAAATGATTTGCCCCAGAAGCCTCGCTTCTCTGCTATCGCATGCGGGCGAGTGCGGAGATCTTTCGATAAGATAAGTTTTGAGGGCGAGCGGGTGAGATTGATAATTGATGAGGATCTAAGGGACTAAGTGCCGGTCTAGGGCTGAACAAGGTTGATTTGACAATGAAATGGGGTTATTTGTCTCAATCACTAGTCACAAATTATTGGAAAGGCAGCTTAATTGCCCAATTAGTTCACCAGATCTTCCACCACGGTCCGCGCGGCCTCTCTGGCAACTCGGCCTCAATGATCTCCTGAAGCCCCGTCTGCATATCAACTTCTTCTGGACGCCACGCCCATGGATCATTCCAGTACATTGCTCGGTGACCAAAGTACAGCACCAAAAAGGCGGGAATGCCGATATACGCGGTGAAGAAATTGCTCACAGACCACTCGGAAGGGAAAAAGACAGTAAAACCGTTGATCAGCAACATCAAAGTTGAACCAGCCATGCCAAAGTAAGCTCCGTATGGCTGGATTCGGGAACGATATGGCATTTCGATACCTTGCGCATTAACTGCTTTGCGGAATCGGAAGAAAACGACGCAACAGCAAATCCAGGAGATGAAACCCGAAGTGTTGGTAAAGTTGACGAACCAGTTGAACACGATGGAGCTCGAGTTGCCTACCGACAAGTAGGCCAGTGCTGAGAAGCAGGCCGATGCAGCCACGGCATAATATGGCACGCCCCATCGGTTGCAAGACTTGAAGACGCTAGGTGCATTGCCCGACACAGCCAGTGAATATAAGGATCGTGATGACATGTATAGGAATGAGTTGCCGGCGGACCAGGCGGAAGTCAACACTGCCGCGTTAACGATGTGATCCAGGACTGGAATTCCGGCGTTCTGGATGCCCACCACAAATGGAGACGAGTTCACAGTCCCGTCGCCGGTCGTCAGCCGCGAAGCGTTGGACGGGCAGATGACGCCAATGGCCAGCACTCCAAAGATATAGAAGAACACGAGACGGTAAATGTATCGTCGGGCGGCACGAGGCACATTGCGACGCGGCGACTCCATCTCTCCACCACTGATGATGATCAACTCGGGGGCGAAAATGAAAGCAATTGCGCTGGAGACTGTGCATTTCAGCAGACCAACGAATCGTCCTGCGTCTCCTGGTACCAAATACTGATTGAAGGCACCGGGATGCTTCCAGTAATGGAAGCCCAGCAATTGTCGATTGGGTCCTCCGCCCCAGAAAAGAATGAAAGACACCATCAGCAGTCCGATCAACGTGATGATCTTAACGCCAGAGAACCAAAACTCGGATTCGCCATAGAATTTCACGGGCAGGAAGTTCAAGGCGATGATCACAACCATCATGATCGAAATCCAAACCGCAATGTTGATGGTCCCGTGCGGGTCCCAGTACCCAATGACCAGTCCAGCGGCCGTGATCTCGTATGGAACCAGAATTCCAAGCGAGTACCAATACAAGTATCCCATCGAGAATCCCAAACTTCTCGAGACATACCGGAAGCCGTGATAGCTCATCGTGCCACCATGGACAGGGAGGTAGGCACCGATTTCTGCGATCGCAGTTACTAGACCATACACCATGGCGGAGATGAAGATGTATCCAATCAGCAAAGAGGCAGGGCCGCCGGTGGCGAGCGACTGGCCTGATGACACAAAAAGACCTATTTGAGATTGACGTGAGTCATAAGCGTCCCAGCAGAACAGCCGCCACTTGGGGAGACAGCTTACCAGTTCCGATCGTGCCACCTAAGGCCATGAGCTGAACATGGCGATTCTTCAGACCACGCTGAGTGGTAGCATAGCGATCGTCTAGAAGATCTGCTTCAACTAGCGTTCTCACATTCCGACCTTTTTCGGTGAGCGGGGAATGGTCGGCCATGGAAGAGGTTTGTTCGACCGTCGCCATTTTGTGTGAACACCAAATATGAATATGGAAGACTAAACCTGCTTCAAGTGGGTTGCCGGTCAGAGACGAGCATCTTTAAAGCTTTCAAGGTGCTGACAAGACCTGCTGTCGGCAAACCCTGTGCAAAGGCCCTGAGCCAACAGGCGACGGTCAAATGCGGGCTTTCTTACCCATGACTGGTCAGGGGCCCCGTGATAAGCTAACCGATGTGAAGGCCAAGCCACTAATAGTCTGGGGTAGAAGACGAGGCTCTAGCGTCGGGCGAAGAAAAGATAAGGCCGAGGTTTTTCATCCTACTTTCTCGCAATCTCTTCTCTTTAACCTAGCCCAGAAGTTTGGCATCTCTCAAAATGTTGCACGTGTGTTTGAACTGTTGAACAGGACCTTGTTCCGGTCCTAACTACTCACCAAGCGCGCGTGATTCTAACTGTGCATCCCTGAGCTTTTGTACGACACGGTCGCTGGAAACAAGTGCCCTTATCTCTATGCTATCCAGAGAACACATGTCACTCGTTGTACTCAGATAACCATCCTCCAGCTCGAAGGTTGTCAGCCACACCGGCAGCTGCCGGTAGACCGGAATTGGCTTTGAAGATTTGAGAAGCCGGAAAGCCTCACTAGACGACCCTTTCTGACAACAGGCTCAGCACCGGTCCGGCCACCGGTCCGGCAATGTATGAAGTGCCTAGCAATTTAGCTCCTCTCGCGTAGGCCTGGGGGCGACGCCCGAAAGCTTTCTGTCTTATCAGCACGCGACAAATATGCAGGGATTATAGCTAGCACATGGAAGAAACAGCGAGCCGGATGGGATACTTGCCACTACGCCTGAGACGGGATAGACTCTAGCGATCGCCAATGACATTGCGTTACCGTACAAGGTATCAGCGGACCAGCTACGGGTTAGGCCTAGACGGGAAATGCTTGCTATCAGGCGTCCAAGCTAGACTTGAAGTGGAATAGCTACGTTCCACAAATTTTCATATGTCAATTACTGGTCAGCGAAGTCGAGATTAAAATCGCATTGGACTTCGAACTCGAACATCGTAAACAAAATATACCGGAAAAGTATAGTGACTCTGGGGGCTCCGCGGACATCATTTGGCTAGGGTCGCATGCCCGTAACCTCCCCGTGAACAGTGCTGAAAAAAGATAAAATGATACTAGACAAGGCCTCTTCTTGGATTTGCTCAGCTTCAAGCATAGAAGACTGTGGGAGACAGTTCATCTAGTCTGAGGCCACATGTATATCATGTTGCGCGGAGGAATATGCCAAACAAGTAGTGGCCATAGGTTGAGTCGCCGTGAACTATCAAAGAATGTCTCGATGTAGCAGATGTCGCTACAGCAGATTTGATCAAGACATTCTTCACATATGGCACTCAACAGCCGAACTTTTTGTCCCAGTGCAATGGCCTGGCACTGCCAGGATCAATTTCAATCGCACTCCCCTCTCTCGCAGCAGTCACGTTGGTGCAGGCAAGATCCTGCACGAAGTCGACAGAGAAACTCATTCACCCGTCCACTGGGCGTATGATTCTTCTATTTCGTCTCAATAGGGAGCCATCTGCCAGGTGGCTCAGAACTTGGTCATTTTGAAAATCCTGGAACAGCTGGATTCGCGTGCAGTGAGATAAAATACCTCTAGAAGATCTTGAGAATATTGCTAGAGCTTTATTGATTCGGTTTGGGTTGTTTTGGTCCTCCTCGTCTGCAAGGTTCTTGGGGTGATTGATATTGGCATTGAGCTTGGCCGTGCGGGAATCTTGTCACGCGTTTCTCATTTCGTCTTTATATTGGTTGGTCGACTCCTTTGCACCTTTGTAATTTACGGAAATGTCATTGGCTTGAGCTCATCAAGGATAGAGCTAGACTAGCAGATTCAAATATCCTGGTGCCTGGGCTTCTGGTGGCTTGCCGTTATCGTCAAGCGTGGTAAAATTCTTGGGGAGGCCAATTCGGAGGGCCTTTTAGCGGGAAACACAGAAACATTTAAAAGGCATTCGGATATTTCCCCCCAATACTTCAGGGATCATCGTGAAAGATATTGCTGAAAACTCACGAAGTTCAGAAGAGTCTATTATCTTCGTGGCTCACTTAGATTGAAGGAGTGGGATATTTTCGGATTTTTGTAGCTAAGCCTACGCTCATTACGGTTTAGCTAATCTCTTAGAGAATGTACTCTGATTGCAGCTGATCTAGGGGACGGGGCAGCCTCAAGAGTTTATGATTGTTCGTCATTTGTCTCGCAAGGGTCTTAGGAACCATTCATTCCTCTCCTGATCTGTCTAGATTATGTATTGCTATTCTCAAAAACTCTCGTTCATGACAAATTTCCTCATTGTTGAGATAGGCGTATCAATCCAGTGCAGACCAAGGGAGCATTCGAAATTCTGTGATGCGTACTTTGGTTCCATCGACTTTTGAGGAACCAGTTCAAAGTAACCTTGTAGTCTCGTCATTAAGGAACTTCAGGCTTATAGAGTGAATCTATTTGTACTAATCTGGCTATATCTGAAGGCTCAATGGATTTGGTCCGTGATAAGTTTGAGGGGCCATATACGCACGTGTTGAGAGGCAGATATTGGTTCACATCACCTGGGCCATTGAATTTGAAGTCAGAAACGGATCCCCGATCCATGCTATGTCTCCCTTTCACTTCATTCAATGTTGAGGCTTAAATACGGAGTAACTCTTACCCCCACTTCCCCGCCATGGACCGCCACTCCCGTGTACTACATGGGTCTGGGATCGGTCGATCGCGGATGAGCTCGGGCACTCCACTTGGATGTTCGCTGTTGTCGCCGAGCTTGCTTTCATCGCATATTCCTCGATGCAAGTTGGCTAGGGCTCCCAAAGATCTGACGCATTTAAACAGCCGCCTCGGACATTGCCTGTGCTAGAAACATCCATGGTGAAATTGGCTTACAAGTCTAGCAGAATCTACGACCACTCAGGAAACAATTAACTGGCACAGCAACCATGAAGGCTCTGATCTACACCGGCTCAGAAAAATTGGAAGTTATGTATCGCTGGATCGGCCATCTAGGCGGCATCGACGCCGTCGTACGCGTACTGCACGCGTCTATCTGCGGCACGGGCCTTCATGTCCTCAAAAACGACGTCCCCGATGCACACCCCGTGCTTCTCCTCGGTCGCGAGGGAGTAGGTGTCGTCTCTTCGATCGATTCGGCTGTTCAGAGGTTGCAACTTGGCGATCGAGAGCTGATCTCCCGTATAACATCGTCCGATGCGTGCCAGTACTGCCAGCGAGTTATCTCGGCGCACTGTCGCACGGGAGGCCGGCAGTTGAGAAAGAATATCGATGGAACTCAAGCCGAGTGTGTTCGAGTCCCCCATGCAGCGCTCTCATTGCATCCCTCGCCTGCGTCCATCGACCCCAAGGCTGCCGTGGCCTTGTCCGATGCCTTAGCCACCGGACTGGAACACGGTGTTCCCAGCTCAAACGTTCAATCAGGGATTCCATGAAGATTACATGTGCAGAGCTCGTTGGGGATTTGCGATTCTTCTCACTGCGCAACTCTCGATGCCGTCGTCTATCGTCAGGGTCGACCTCGGCGAGACACGTCATGAGATGGCCCGCAAGTTTAGCGCTCACGCTACTGTCAGCTCATCCAACCTCGTTACTCAGCAAAGACACATGGATATGACGCAAGGAGAGGGCTTTGAATCATTTATCGAAGCGGTCGGCATCCCTGCGGCTTTTGCAATGTGCCATCATTTCGTCGCCGTGGGCGGCTGGATTGCAAACGTAGGCGCACGCGGGACTAGCGTGGGCCTGCAACTAGAATACTGTGGGATCGAAATATTAGTGAGCGACGGAGACTAGCCGAAAACCCCGAGTAGGAATGGTAAGGCTGATATGCTAGGTATCCACATGTCGCTAGTGAACGTGACAAGCACGCCGCGCCTCCTACGTCTGATGGAGTCCGGAATGTTGAATATCGGCTCCATGCGGACCCATCGTACATATTTCCTAAACCTCAACCATCTCCCGGAGCGATGCACGAAAGCCTCTACAACGTAGAATACAATCAGGTCGGCATCAGGCCATCATGCCCTGAAATTCGCCATTGATTTTGTGTGCGATAGCCAACAAGTCCGGCCTCCACACTGGGGATAGACGGGATCACATCTGACGCATCGGGTTCGGGATTTACTTTATATGTCGTGCACAGTCTCAAACGCTATGCCGGACACAATCCTAAATGCAATTTACCTTCCTCTCATTTTCAGTCCCCCTTTTCACAAGCATATGGCCCCAACACGAGTGGGGTGACACTTATGTAGCATTCGCGGGATGGCTACTCCTAGCGTCGGACGCCGATTATACACCGGCATCCTCCAGGATTGATTGTTAGTGGTGCCTAGAGAGAGGTGAGTGGCCTTGTGCCTAGAATTGTGGTTTGTTCCAGTTCTTTCCATTTCCGAGTTCGCTGGGGATTCGGGTACGGAACCTCGGACCACAAGTAGAGGGCAGCGCCCCTGACATCATAGTTCCCCGGAGTGCAGTGGCGCCTTTGCAGCACGCGGATGGAAAAGTATAAAAAAAAAAAATCGAACAGGGGATATGATCGCTGCAGGGCAAGGCATCAGATAACTCAAAATAACTCAAATCATTCCGATCACTCGTTGTTGCGAGATGTTCCATCATTTTGACGGATAGGGCCGATCTGCTCCGGTCACTGGAGATGAAACCACCGACTCCACCACCAATCATGATTTCCTGAAGTCTGAGCCGAAAATCTCGAGTTGCCACTCCCAAGCCTGGTCTGATTGGCGTTTCCCCAATTGCCTTTCGACGTTAAACCCAACCTAGGTTTGAAGCGAAATCCTATTCTCCTTGGGGCGTTGCGTTCTACTCCACTTTTTGTCCTTTTTTTTTTTTTGCCCGGTTCATTGGGTATGATATTGGTCTCGTTGCGCCTCTAACTGCCTTCTTACCTGTCTTTATTCTTCCTTTTCTCTCCTTCTACCTTTGATTCTATTTTCCTCACGTGCCGGCACAATACCCCGTGGTATGCACACCGTTCGTTCAAGCTCCTAAATCTATAATCGTGATGGCTATCGAGGAGGCACTGCGACGCCCGTCGAGGGCCTCTGTTGGGCGCTCAGAAACAGGACCCGACACAGACAAGGCGGACCGCGGGTTGGAGGACTTGGGATATACCCCAGAACTGGCGCGTAACCGTTCCATCTGGCAGGTCACCTTCATGTGCTTCATCCTGTCGTCTGTTCCCTACGGCTTGTCGACTACGCTATATTATCCCCTCGCTGCCGGTGGCCCCGCCAATATCATTTGGGGATGGGTCCTCGTCTCGTTCCTGATCTTGTGCGTCGGCATCTCCCTCGCGGAAATCACCTCGGTTTATCCCACGGCTGGTGGTGTCTACTACCAAACATTCGTCCTCTCACCACTATGGTGTCGTCGCGTTGCATCGTGGATTTGCGGCTGGTCATACGTTGCTGGAAATATTACCATCACCCTCGCCGTCAATTTTGGAACAGCTTTGCTTTTCATCGCTTGCCTCAACGTGTTTGAATATGCCGATGGAACCGGCATCACCGATAATTTCCAGGCGTATCAGACCTTCTTGATCTTCTTGGCGATTACCCTTCTCACTCACGCCATCTCCGCCTTTGGAAATAAGTGGCTGCCCTGGCTCGAGGTTTGTGAAATATTCCCCCTCTTCTCACGTGCCCTCTTGCCTAATTTGATACTCACAATTTGCGCTCAGACTTTTGCCATCTTTTGGACTATCGCTGGCTTGGTCGCCATTGTCGTATGTTTGTTAGCTGTTGCAAAGGAAGGTCGTCATTCGGGTGCCTGGGTCTTTGGTCACTTTGAGCCGCAGGCCGGCTGGCCAGCTGGCTGGTCCTTCTTTATCGGACTCTTGCAAGCCGCCTATGCCACCTCGGCCACTGGCATGATTGTCTCGTAAGTGATGTGGTTGCTCGTGGATGTGAGAAGAAGTTTGTATTGACATTCATATAGTCTTTGCGAAGAGGTTCAGGAGCCCGCCATCATGGTCCCCAAGGCCATGGTTGGCACGGTGATCATCAACACGATCGCCGGTCTCATCTTCTTAATCCCTGTATGCTTCGTTCTCCCTGATGTGACGATGCTAATCAATCTGGCTTCTGGTCAGCCCACGCCAGTGATTTTCAAGCACGCGCTCGGCAGCTCAGTTGGGGCCTTCTGCCTCATGATTCCTTTGCTTGTTCTCGGCCTCATCTGCGGTGTTGGATGTGTGACGGCTACCTCGCGCTGTACCTGGGCCTTTGCTCGTGATGGTGGTATTCCCGGTTCTGACTGGTGGAAAACAGTCAACAAGAAGCTTGAAATTCCACTGAACGCTCTGGGATTGGGTATGGCGGTCGAGATCGTACTAGGACTCATCTATTTCGGTTCAACCGCTGCTTATAACGCCTTTTCGGGTGTCGGGGTCATCTTCCTGACCACAAGTTATGCGTGCCCGATCGCTGTCTCGCTGTTCTTCCGCCGTCGTGAGGACATCAAGAACGGTAGTTTCAACTTCGGAACCTTTGGTGCGATCGCCAATGTGATCGCTCTCGGTATGTTTTGTTTCCTCTCATCCGGTCGCCCTCTTTTTGCTTATGATATGAACAGCCTGGAGTCTCCTCGCCATCCCCTTGTTCTGCATGCCGACTCTCGAGACCGTCACTCTGCAAGATATGAACTATGCATCGGTAGTATTCGTTGGATTTGTTTCCATTGCTGCCGTTTGGTACATTGTTTGGGGATATCAGAACTACCGTGGCCCGCCTACCGATGCAGTTGAAAACGATAGCGACTCCCCCCTCAGTGCCCGAAGCAACCGCCGAGCTCCCCAAGCTCATTTTCGAAACCAACAGCAAGGCCCAGGCTGAGGTCGATAGCAAATTCTGCGCTGAAGTCGAAAGCGATTAAGCCCATGCTCCCCTGATACCGCGATTGCGCCGCGCCTCCGGATGCGAATTGTTCTGTAGTTCAGCCCTCTGCGAAACCTCAGTTGATGCCCGCCAACCTCCCTACCTCTCGCCCTCTTACCTCCCCTGCGAACTCAACATTTGCCCTCGCGAATGAATACCCCCATCGCATGTTTTCTATAGTAAATCTTCACTTGGGGCGAGGCCCCTCGATGTACATATGCATATTTATGTCCTTTTCCATTGTGCAATTATATACCACTCGTTGCTTTCGGGCCACGGAGAATTCTCATCTCTTCCCTACTTCTTAGTTGGAACTATCTGGTAGGATGTCTGCATTATCCTCGATTTTGCACGACTCCGCCCTACGATTAACTACCTGGCTTGGAAAGCGATTTTGAAAACGAATCACTCGCCACGAAGGGCACTCCCTGACGAATGGCCGTTGAATAGTCTCACGAGGAATGTAGTCTGAACAGGGCGCCATCTGTTCTTTGTGAAAAGCAGTGCGCGAGTATGTCCAGAGTATGTCCAAGTTTTACGCCTCAGGGCGTTGATAGCTGAGTTGTCCTGTGGGTCTATACCGGATTCCACACCACACAGCCGCCTCCGGGAGATTTCAATTGAACTATTCCTTGTCCTACGCGGGACCATCGACTCCAGATCGTCCGCTCCTGGCTGTCGCGATGCAGAGGATGTGAGCCGAGGTCCATAAGCTTTCTACAACAGGTACAAAGGTGACCCTTGGTCGAACTGGGGTAATGTGTTCTTCGGGGGTCTCATTACGAATGATCGTTGCCAAAGCCAGGTCATGACGCTCGTCCCATACCCGATACTCGACCGGCACAGCCAGTCCATTTTAATAGAGAAGCCAGTTCCGACGCTCGACGTTCCATTCGCGGCTTGTCTCGCCAAAGCAGTGTGCACTGGTCAGAATCCATCCACGCGATCGACGCATACCGCGGAGCCAGCCTCATGTTGGGCGAAGATAAGTGTTGATGCTCATGCTCGTACTGTTTGCCAGCCGACTTTGAAGCTTTTTTCCATTGTTAGAGAAGCCGATGCTCGCAATTGATGCTTTTCTTTAGTGCAAGTTGCAAATCAGCCCCTGGAAGCCCTGGGAGCCGCGACTTGGTTCGGGCAATCGCGGGCTCTGCAGGGATCGAGTCTAACACGTCAAAATGGACCGGCTCATCTATCTCCTGGAATCCAAGAACCTTCTTCTCATACACCGGAGTCTCCTTGGACGCCGGTCGCAGGTGTCGCATCCTTCACCTTGAAGCCTTCCTGCTCGTTGGTTTTACCCACCGATTCTTATGAGCCCACGCGACCGGGCTCGGTCCTGATAACGTAAGCACAATCCCAGAAAAGCAAATTGAATCCGCATTTTGGTCCAAAATGCACGGGGATTGAATTAGTAGGTTGGCTTGCTCACGATTTTTGCGCGGGAGCTTTTAGTGCTTGAGTGATCGTGATTAAGGCATGTTGAGCAGGCTCCTAGGTTGCAGAGGTACCGTGCAACACTGCAACACCTGCCTATCACCCGATGTGCTCACCCTTGAAGCCCATGAGCAAACTTAATCTCCACACAACTAGATTCGCCCAAACTGGGTTCTTGTGGATGACAATTGACTCTTTCTATACTTTCGATTGGAATCTTTTCCGGGCTGTCACTCGAGATTGCTGTCCGCATAGGTAGTCACACTCGGGGGGGAAATATATATTGTGATAATTCCAATTCCAAACTGCTAGCTATCCGCGATTGTGTAACATGACACATGAATCCCTTCACCTTCATTGTGTGACCGTGTTCTTCATCCAATCGCAGCGACATGATCAGTCACCAAACATACAAAGTCACTCGTGCCATAGTAGATAGTATTTCCATCATCAGGCGACTCGCCAGTGCTCAGGGTGTCGCCATATTGCCAATACAAGTCTGCCGCGATGCCAGTTGTCTGGAGGGCCGTCTGCTGCCAGGGAGCTTCTACACTGCAGTGATTAGACGTAACACCGTACTCTTCCAACAAACATGGCTTTCCAGCTGCAGCGCATGCTGCACCATGCGCTGTGATCCAGCCGTTACCCCATGCGTCGGTGGTCCCCCCCTTTAGAAAAATTAGGTTAGCCTTGAACCCCTTAACAATTGGAGGAGTCATACAGCTGTCTGGATATAGATGCAACGTGCCAAAGTCGATGGTGTCGATTGCGAGGTTCATGGTGAAGTTGAGACCCTCACTCACGGTGTATGGGTAGCTGCCATCAGACTCGACATCAAGCCCGAATCCCTCTGTGCGACTCGGGTTAGCTAACAGAGACCGGGAGAATGAAGGATCCAACTGACCATCTCCAATGCACACCATGTGCTTAGAATCGAGAGACTTGATATACGCACTGGTCGACTTGACCCAGTTGTAGATGATGGAAGTATCACAGCCGTTGCAGCGGGGCTCGTTCGCCAACTCCCATGCAAAGACGGCCGGAGAGTCATTGTAGCGAGCCACGACCGCTGCGATGTAGTTTCGATATGCACTCTGAGCCTCCGCATTAGTGTACCAACTCGTTTGCGAACCCCCGAATGCCGTTACGTAGGCGGCCATTCCTCCATAGTCGGACCAATTATTTACGAAATTGATGATCAGTTTCACATTGCGCTTTTCGGCAGATGCGACTACGTAGTCCAATCGTTGTAGACCATCGGCACCTGTATTGATGGTTGCAGTGCCGTCTGCAAGGAGCTGATAATAGACCGTCCCCGCGGATGGAACAGAGTTCACGTCGTTGAACCCCCAAACGCGCAGGATGCGCAAGCCAGATTCATTCATGTGATCCAGCACCAGATCAACGTCGTCGTCATCCGTGAGAAAACCGATCCAGTACGAGTTGGAACCGGCATAGTAGCCAGTTTCTCCATCGATTGTAAAGTTGAGTCCGTTAGTGGTAGAGAAGGCAGTCGAAGAGGCACCAGCCGATGTAGTGGAAGTTGACGAGCTGGTCGATTTGCTTGAAGTTTTCGACGCACTGGTGGTAGTCGTCAATACCTTGGTAGTCAGAGTAGTTGTAGTCGTCGTGGCGGTGCCTAGGAGATCGCAACGCTCAATATCGAACCCATGACATCCGGTTCGCGAGTACTCACCTTGAAGACACTGGCTGTACCAGTCATTTTGGTACTGACAAACCCATCCCGCCACGCAAGCGGTGGAACCGGTGTAGCCAGTACCGCCACATTGACCGTAGGGCGCTACTTGTGCCGCAGCCAAGCCAGCTAGAACCAAAAATGCGAGTCGCTGCATTATGTCTGGTGTTCGACCGGAATCATGGACGATCTACGACACTGAGCCTATTTATTGGGGCACAAGCCTGAAGATCGAATGGAATCACGGAGTCGGGTCATGTTCCGTTCTACATTTGGCGATGAATTTGATTGAAAAACAGCGGGGGCCACATGGTATGCATGTCACTCCGTGTTGTTTAGGGTATAGAGGTGGGGAAGCGCGGGAAAGGTGACGGTTTAATTGCGGAGACATACCCATGCTATTTGATTACCTCTCTTTGTATGGCCAATAGAGTCGTGAAGGGTGCACGGTGAATCTGTAAGAGTCAAGGGGGGTTTCTTCAGAGATGGCGATGGCGCACGTCCGACGATCGGGAGAAAGCGACCGTGCGGGGAAGCCATGGTCTCGAGGTTCCGAGGCATTTCGATCCGCGTTCATCAACAGCCGGAACAAGAAATGTTCTAGAATACGTCGAAGGACCGGGAAAAGCAGAGCCGAGAGCTCATCCCGGGATGACTGCTTATTAATGATTGCTTGGTAGCGAACTCATAAGCTTGCTCGCGTCAGATCTCGATCTTGGCAGAGGAGCCTCGATTCGGCCGTGACCCTCTTCTGAGACTTCGTGGCCTGGATCCTGTCAGGGACGAGTCCCGATGAAAACCCGGTCTGTGGCCCGGCCGATGGCTCCATCTGTGGGAGACCGGGAACATCTGCCAATAACAGGCCCGGCATTATCCGAAGTCCAAATTTTTTTTTTTTGCAGTAAAGTCAGATGACCCGGGAACCTCCACACGCCGTAATCCACGTGTGTTGGAAATCGACGTGGAGAATCCAATCTCCTTGGATAAGACCTTCTCCGCGATGTGTCAGCATCCCCGGGAAGTGCGCCGCGAGGGACGATGTTCGACAGACTCTGCTTGTCCCTGACGGGTTGGGCGTCTCCTTTTTCCGAATGGTCGTCTTGGATTCTTTTTGCTTTTACTTGTATTATTCTTTATTCCTATTTCCACTAGCGCCTCTTTTGCTTGAATTCACCAGTCCCCCAAAAGTGCAAATCACCCGCGATCGCGTGGACGGGTCATGAAGATGATCCCGGTCATGGTGCTGTGCAGATTCTTCTTCAGTGACGTACTAGGAACCGTGAGGCGGCTGTGGCGGCGCCACGGACGGGAAGTGAAATATCGTCAGTTTCGCCTGTGCCGGTTATGATGAATGACATTCGGGACCTGGCCGAGTGGATTCCAACCAATTACAGGACACAAGAAAAGGGGGGAAAAACTCTGCGCGATGTAGGCGACGTAGAGACCCTGGAAACACGTGTCGAAGTCACTCCGCGGACTCCGCATTTCCTCCTCCCCCCCCCCACCCGTAGATTTTTGCGGCCTTCCTTATCTGGAGATGGCTGCTTCCGGGGCAGTTTCACCGGGATACGTATACGGCATGGATTGTGGGCAAACCGTCTGGAGGGCCTGGGGTTCGGAAGACCCGGCTCCTTGTTGGTGACACCCCACCAACTTCTCCAGAATATCCTGCATCATTGATTCAACACCGTATGATCGTCGAGTTGAAGTAAATTTTTCCCTCGCGACAATAGAGGTATATCAGTCTATATCAGTCTATGTAGTGAACGGACGGGGGAACGAGATGATCTCGGCCCTGATCAACGGCGACACCGTCAATGCCGAGTCAAGCACGTCTCTCGGGGTCGGCTCGGCCAGTCCCCGAGTTTTGCCACCGAGTGATTCGGACCTCAAAACTGGGCAACTCGGCTATCCGTCTGACTGGTGAACCGCAGCCGATCCCCCTCTTGGAACCAGCTCTGGCTGGCTCATTCCCCTGCTTCGGGTGGGGTTCGTTCGGGTGGTGAGCGAGTCGGCGTCTAGCATATGGGTTTGACAATCGTACGACTCTCCGAGGCACTTGTCGTTGCGCGCGTGGTTTCTCTCCACAGAGTCTCTCCACTTTCCCCCCCAGACGAAGAGTTGGAGCTGTGTTTCGCCTGGGTCTGTGGGAATACAAAAAGGCTCTCTGTCCTCCAGATCCCGGCTTTCTTTTTTCGATTTCCACTGTGGACATTGACCCTTCTCTATTGACCATCTTTTTCTTCATATTGGCAGGGGTTGACTATCCTTCTTCAGCCTTGGCTTTATTACGTATCAAGGTTCTCTGACCAGAGAGGGAAAAAAAAAGAAAAGAAAAAGATTCACCTCCCCCCCGATCTCTTTCATTATGGGTGTTAAATCAACCTCCCATCACGGGGAGTCTGTCACAGCTCCGGCTCACCACTCGAGTACCGATACCTCCTCCCAGAACAGCCCCAAGCAGGAGCCCATGATGCCGGCTGGTGTCGATACGCCTATCCCCCTCATCACCCTGCGGTCCCTCGCCATGGCTCTTTTCGTCTCGATGGGTGGCCTGCTCTTTGGTTTTGATACCGGTCAGATTTCTGGTTTCCAGGAGATGAGCAACTACCTGCAGCGTTATGGTTCAGAGACTGCGAGCGGCGATTATGTCTTCAGTAACACCCGTGCCGGTCTCATTGTCGGTCTGCTCTCCATCGGTACTTTGATTGGCGCCCTGGTGGGCGCCCCGATGGCTGATATCCTGGGTCGCAAGTGGTCGATCAGTGTTTGGTCCTGCATTCTCATCGTGGGTCTTATCGTTCAGATCACCTCTCCCTCCGGACACTGGTGGCAGATGGTCATTGGTCGTTGGGTGACTGGTCTGGGCGTTGGTGGTTGCTCCCTAGTGGTCCCCATGTACCAAGGCGAGAGTGCGCCTCGTCACATTCGTGGTGCGATGATCAGTTGCTACCAGCTGTTCGTCACCCTTGGTATCTTCCTGGCATATCTCATCAACTTGGGTACCCACACCCTCGAGGGCACAGCCCAGTGGCGGATTACCCTCGGCCTGACCTTCCTCTTCGCCCTGATTCTCGGTGGCGGCATGGCCTTCTTCCCTGAGAGCCCTCGTTACGAGTTCCGCCATGGCAAGGTTGACAGCGCCCGCAGCACCTTGGCCAAGCTGTACGGGATCCCGGAGAACCACGTCCGCATCATTGAAGAAATGAATGAGATCCGTGAACAGTTCGAGGCCGAGACGGAGGGCCAGAAGTGGCATGAGTTTATCACCGCGCCCCGCATGTTCTATCGTATCGTTTTGGGTATGGCTCTGCAGACTTTGCAGCAGCTCTCTGGCGCCAACTACTTCTTCTACTATGTAAGCTCCAACACCCCCCCTGATTCCGAATGTTTCGACAACACCATTGCTAACGCTTTCTTTCAGGGCACCACTATCTTCCAAGGTGCTGGTATCTCGGACAGCTTCATAACTCAGGTCATCCTGGGAGCCGTCAACTTCGGCACTACATTCGGTGGTCTGTACGTGGTGGAGAACTTTGGTCGCCGCAAGTCGCTTATCTTTGGTGCTCTCTGGATGTTCGTCATGTTCATGATCTTCGCCTCGCTGGGTCACTTTGTGCTGGACGTTAAGCACCCGGAGAACACCCCCGGTGCCGGCAAGGGTATGATCGTTGTGACCTGCCTGTTCATTACCGCCTTTGCCATGACCTGGGGCCCTATGATTTGGGCCATTGTCGCCGAGCTATTCCCCTCCAAGTACCGTGCGAAGGGTATGGCGTTGGCCACTGCCTCCAACTGGGCTTGGAACTTCCTCCTCAGTTTCTTCACCCCCTTCATCACGAGTGACATTGACTTCGCCTATGGCTACGTCTTTGCTGGCTGCCTCTTCGTTGCCGCTCTGGTCGTTTATTTCTTCGTCATCGAGGGCAAGGGTCGTACTCTGGAGGAGCTGGACTTCATGTACGTCAACAAGGTGGCTCCATGGAAGAGCAGCTCGTACCAAATCCCCCAACACGAGTGGCTTGAAGAGGAGAGCCCCAACGGGCGCAAAGAGCGACAGATGTACCATGCCGAGAACGCATAAGCGTCGCCAATGCACCTTTCGCAATTTGTTTACCTTCTCCGAATCCGGTTAATTCTTATTTGTTTGTATTTTTATGAGATATGTCGATCATGATGCACGAATCCTGCGCGATCGACAAATGCCTTGGGATTTGGAGTAACGAGTTGCATTGTTTTGACGGACAACCCGTCGGGGTATACATTTAGCATTTATCACACGATCCATTGAATTAGAATTTGATAAATCAATACATCACTACATCTGGCTAGTCTCTTTTCTCTCTAATTGTGGTAGTCGCTGGGTGGGATATTCAAGATCTCGGCGCAGAGGGTCATAGTAGCTTCGTCGCGACGCAGACAGTCGACTCGTTGCAATTACCAAATATTTTTTGTTGCAGACAACTATCCTAACGTTGAACGGCTCTACTTCTTACTGTCCAGGATTGAAGTACGAACGCGACCCTGCATTATTAGAAAAAAAATAAAAAAAAAAAAGAAGGGACGAAAGCTGTAGATTGAAAGCTACGAGAAAAGAAAAAGAGTAGAATGTGCGATCTGTGCAGGAAGCCAGAGAAGGCAGAGGCGGTGAGAAACAAACCAAAAGGGCCTTGACCTAGCAATGACCGTGCTGGGTAAAAGGTGTGTTCCGATGACTGGTGTCTTAGCAACGATCGTTAGTTAACGAACCCAACCACGCGATTGTTTTGCGGATTTTGGCACTATGCAGATCATGGAGCCCGAAATTATATTGATAATTTTGATCATGGGGTAACATGCCCGGCAATGAACTTGTAGCAACGCCCGGCTTGGTCTGTACTTTGTGTTTCAACTATCACAACAGAAAAAAAGTCCAACGTGTTTATACTAAAGGTGAAGAAAGATCCCAAGCTTAGACTTGAGGTAACCCTTTCCGAGATGATTCTTTCTACTACTACGGTATAACGCTAGATTCAATGTCATTACAATTGTTGCTAGATTTTCAGGGCAGTCGCTATGTTAGAAATCCCATTTTGAGGAATTTTGAGTTTGATTTCCCCACCCCCCTAATGATTGACGCCGTGAGGAGGATGGCTGCGCCAACCAATTTACAAGTAAAAGTTTAGTGGAACGTCCTTCAAGTGCCCACCCACGAAGAATCTTGTAGCAGCTGCGTGCATACATGATTGTACGTGCTGCAAAATTGCTTTGCTTTGACCAATCGCTTATCTTCTCTCGGCTTTACTCCGGAAGGGGAAACCGGGGGATAAGCTATCGTTAAGTCCGATAGCCATTGAATGAATCACAAGTCTGGCCAGCGCCCATGTCAAAGATAAGGAAACCCTTCCCTTCTTCCTCTACCTTGAAATCCGGAGCAAAAAAAATGGTTGAGATGCAATCACAGTCCTATAGATGTCTCGCCAGGGCGAAATGCTGCCCCTTGGAAGTGGTTTCGGCCACAAGGCCAACTGAGCTCAGCTCCAATGAAATTCTGATTCGCATCAAGTCTATCGCAATCAATCCAGCCGACTTTAAGATGATCGATCAGGGCCACAGGGCCACTACCTGGCCTCTTGTGCCAGGTCTAGATGGAGCTGGTGTTGTGGAGGGCCTTGGAAGCGATGTCAAAAATCTCACGTTCGGGGACAGAGTGCTGGCCCTTTTCACCCCAGGGGAGGAAGGTCCGCTTCATATCAGACATATGCCGTGGTGAAAGAGAAGGATGTGGCCAAGATCCCTACATGGTGGACATTTGAAGAGGCTTCAACACTTGGGTAAGTCGCTAGAATCACCATTAAATCCGTCCTTGACATCGCATCACTCCTTTTGGTGGTCGTGAAAATGCAGGTTTAACCAATTCTATTCGCAGGGTCTCCTATTTGACAGCTATGATGGCTCTTGGGATTGGTCTGAAGACTCCGTTGCCGTTTCTGAAAGGTGGCCCAATAACAGGATTCAAGCCCTCGTCTGTTCTCATTCTTGGTGGCAGCTCTGCCTAGGGGCCGCCACAACCCAACTGCTTCGGCTAGTATTCCCTGGTTGCTTAATCCTCGCCACAAGCTCTCCTAGACACCATGAATATATCAGAACCGTACTGGGAGCCGATGGTGCCTTTGATAGAGGCTCTTCATCATTGGTTGAAGACATAAAGTCAGGAACCCCAGGTTCTCGAGGAGTGGATGCGATAGTTGACGCGGTTGGCGCTGGCGCTACACAAAGAAATGTGTTCGACACATTTGACCCAAGCGGGTCCAAGAAATATGCGCAGGTGTGGACCGGTGACGAAGAAATTGATGCCCCTAGCGGTGTAGAATCCATTCTGTTCAGAGGCCGAGACCTTCCAAATCTGCCAGGCAATGAGAACATCATGGAATCATTGCACAAATTGCTCGAGGAAAAGAGATACAAGTTACCCCTTCCGGTGCATACAGTGGGTCACGGATTTGATGTAGTTGAGCGAGGCCTGAACATGATGCGACAGGGTGTGAGCGGACAAAAATTAGTAGTCACTGTGTAGTTTACATAGGCAAGCTCTATTTTTTGAGCATTGATGCCACCAAGCCCCCCCGAACAGTGTGCCAATGTACATGAGTGCGCTTTGTTGAGAAACTTTGGAACTTTGCTGTGCCCGACTGGGACAGACTCCATCGATGACGGTATGCGTATTCATTGAACAGCGGACAGGAAGACTCAACACGCACTAGAGCCAAACAATCGGGCAATACTAATAAGTCGAGTGATGAAGATTAACTTGATTTAAGATGGTACCGCTTTCCTGTACAGTAATTCTTGAAATCGGCTATACTTCCAATACGAATTCCATCTTGGCTTGCCCAGTGAAGCACTGTGAAAGCCAATCAATCTTCCGTGGTTATTAATTGTAGGAAGCGAAAATCAACCTGCAATTGCCAAAACAACAATTCTCTTTTGGATGAGCTATGTTCCACTATGAGTCAACTTCACTGGCCATAGATCAAATTACTCAGCCAAACGCTTCTCGCCAATTTCGCCCGCCGACTAATTGGAGCATCGGGCACAAATACATCAAATCCATGCCAGCAGCCCGGCCACACATGTAATTCGGTGGATACACCGGCCTTCCATAGTGCAGATGCATAGTCTACATCTTCGTCTCGAAAAGGATCAGCCTCGCCAACATCGATAAATGTTGGTGGTAGACCACCAAGATCCTTGGCGTGCGACGGAACAGAGTACATAGTAGCATGCTCGCGATTCACACCCAAGGCATAATTGCAGGCGTCGATGCTGTTTGATTTAGTCCATGGAGGAATGTCCCCGAATTGCTGCATTGAACCAGTTGCATTGCTGTCATCAAGCCAGGGGTACATCAGCAATTGGCCATGTACCCTCGGCCCTGAGAGATCGCGTGCTAGCAAAACCACACCAGCAGCGAGATTTCCGCCAGCCGAACCACCGCAGACTATGATTTGAGCCTGGCTGATACCCAGTTCCTGTGCGTTCTCACTCATCCACACAAGTGCCGCGTAGCTATCATGCAGCTGTGCTGGCTGCGGATGCTCAGGGGCAAGGCGGTATTCTGCAGAGACGAGAACCACACCGAACTCTTCGACCCAGCCTAGCACACTTGCAAGTCCCATGAAGCGGTTTCCGCTGCAATGCCCGCCACCATGGATGTGTAATACTCCGGGGGCTAGTTGTCCAGGTTTTCGCTGGGTCTTCGGGCGGAAAACCGATGCTCTCATGGGACCCTGTCGGTCCGGGAATTTCTCGCTCTTCGTGAAAGATGACATTTTCCTTTCCTCGAATTGTGTCTTCCAGTGAGAAATTCAGCAATTTCCGACGAATGGCGAGATTTTCTGCTGAACCGATCTCTTCGTTTGGAGGGAATTGATTGAAAACTTCAGTCAGGTCGGAATGAAGGGGCGGACGGCGAAGACCAAGTGACATGATTGGAGATTTCTTTTCAGCGAGCTACTCTCAGTGAAAGATAAGGTCTGAATGTATTGCAAAGACTTTCTGAAAGGTGTTGGTTGGGACAAGAGGATATGGCTCTTCTGAAATAAAGAGCCGCTGCATTCGTGATTGCTAATGCTTGAATTTCTTAGGCAAAGAAGTCGCCGAGGCTAGTTAACTACAATTCTCATGTCTGGCCGCCGGGGAGACTTTACATAACCACAGCTGAGTGTCCGATTATGGATTTCTCCGAGACGGATAGATTTTTTATGATAAGCGCCAAGGAAGCTAGCTAACTAGCGATGGAACGGTACATAAGGGCAGGCGAAGAATTCCGTCCACAGCACGATCAGGTCAGAATATAGCCTTATTCGAGATAGTGTGCTTGAAATGGGGCACTCAGAAACTAAGAAAGAAAATGGAGGCAGAATGGATTTCGAAGACCACTGGAAAAGCGGACTCTTCTCTTCATGGGTCAGTACAAGTACACTAGTCTGTGGTACAACCAGGGGTGTAGGAGAAGGCCGCGCTGCATGAAAGGGGAAGATTAGTATGAGACTGGCTGGAGGTAGAAAAGCATGCAGACGAGCTTGCCAAATCGCTCTACGTCGCGATTCTGGATGGTGCATTAGTACATCATATTATAACGATGACTCACAATGGCAATACTTTGAATACGACGTGACTTCTGCTGGAGCTGTAAAGCGGTGAGCTATACTGGATTAGCGCTCTTCGAATTTAGTTCCGAGAGTCAAGTCATGAGATATTGGCGGTATGACCGATTTTGACAAATACTGTATGCAAATCTCCCAGGCAATTGAAACCCCCGTGGAGCATGTAGCCAAGATATAGGAGGATATCAAGTAAGAGTAGGAGGACGAAAGCCATATATTAGCTGCTAAGCAATTCCTACGGTCTTTCGCGAGAAATGAGGTGGGATGTGTCAGAATATGTGGACCACATTCGCCTCGAGTATAAGGAGCGAAATAGTCTGACCGAGAGAATATGCGACAAGGTTTGGAACTTTGCACCCAGACAATGCCTCTACTGTTATATATAGCGCTCGGCCCTGGTTGGGCGTAGACAGATTGAGACAAAGGGAGTTCCACGAAACATGTATCTGGGTAGCAATAATCTGCCGGGAGGCACCGCCCATACCAGCCGTGCATGCCGAGGCCGGGGCAAAAATGGGGGCGAACTTGATAATTTACAACCTATGGAAAGCAAATGAAGTTAAATGTTGGGCCAGAATAAGTCCCACCCTAGTTCATCAATAGAACAAATCATGAATCATGAATCATGAATCATAAATCCAGAATCCTGTCAGCGCAATGGAAAGCATCAGATGGACTGTAAATAACCCCCGCACTGTTTCGGATGTCAATGGCAAAACTTGGAAAAGTTGGCAGGGCCAACCTGGGACCTATAAGGAGGACGATCAATGGTGCACCAGGGTCGGCAAAATTCTCCCGCACAAATCCGCGGTTCAACGCGCGGCTTCCAGACCCCTGCGCTCAGCATCCCGTTTGGTCTAGTCCAATCTATGGTCTAGTCCAATGTGCTCCGGCCCCGGGACCCTTTTCGCCTAGACTCTGGCTTTTGCCCCCCGTGTGAAACCAAGGATTGTTCCGGTTCTGTACTCGTTTAATCCAAGGTTCTTGCCGCATGGTTCCTGGAGATTGAAAAAAAATCGAAAAAACAATGCTCATTTCCATTCGCCCCCTCCGTCCAGTTTCATCGTGAAGCTTCCATTCTCTCCATGAATCGTTCTTCATGAGTCGTGAGACGATCATCGCGGTCGGATGCGCGTTCCTATCGCCGTGCAGCTCGGGCTGCTAGTCCTGTTGACAACTCTCGTGGGCATCGTGGTTCTCGCCGTGGCAACAGTAAGAAATCGCGTCTCTCCAAACGGTCGGTAGGATCGGCATACTGACCAAATGACTAGTGGACCACAACGTACGACTTTGTCGTGGATGTCAAGTACGCGTCGCTGTCACTCCAGAACTGCTACCTTTCAGATTTCCCCGCATGCTGACCATCACCAAGAGCCGAGAGCCTAGAGCTTGTCGCGACGATCAAAGCCAGCCAGATCGCCTCTAATTTAGATCTCCTCGAAGTCACCAGCAAAACCATCTCCACGCGTCTATTAGTCCAGGCCGCCCTACGTCGCTATTATGAAGGAAATACATCCGCGAGTAATTGGGCGAGTTCGATCACGGACGTTCAATCGGCCCTCGGGGGCAGAGGGTATCTTGATCTCTATCAGGCAATTCTCTTTGCCAGGAGCGGGGAGGTGACCCAGGAGAGGCTGCTCAGTGTGACCAGTGCCACTGTTCCAGAGATAGTTCTTCCATACACCCACACCAATGGAAGTAAGGTACTCCTGGGATCGGATGATGGGGGTTACCCTCCGTCGCTCTACCCCAACCTCACCTACACGAAATCGGCCAGCGACAACTCAATCACCGTCCATGCCTTTCCCGACTATCCCCTCGGATTGACATCTGCCTTGCTTCTTGGGCCACTGAGAGTCAACGACTCCTTCTCTTCTCGTCTCGTTGACGCTCCCCATTATCAACAATACGTCGGACACCGACCTGCTTGGTTTTATGACGTGAGTGAGGGCATTTTTCGATCGCAAGGCGTCAGGGGTTCCATGGAAAGTCATACTAATAAAGTTATAGCATCGTTGCCAGTGCGGCAAACGTCCAGAGCGTTATTACCTCTCGAGATGGGCTTGGGAACACGGGCCAGATTCTTCTGATCGGCCCTTCCCGCGCGGAGAACACGTTTGCTTCCTCTGCCCAGCCTGCTACGGCCACCACGCCCCCCAAAGCCGCAGCGCTTGCTCAAGCGGAAGTCCATTATGTGTTCGAGCCCACACCTTTACCTGGACAAAGTGGTCGGCACCGTGGAATCTCCACCGATACGTCATGGCCGCTTTCGAAGTATAAAATGGCTCTGAAGCTGATGCTCGAGTCGTATGAGAACGAGAACAAGTCCATTAGTGAGCTTTCTACCACCAATGAGGAGGGATACAATGTTGCCGTGGGTGCCGTTAGGCCTGCGAGCTCATTGGTTCAATGGATTCTGATCGTGGAAGAGACGCACAATGAGGCGTTCAGCCCGGTGGCTCGACTCCGGAAAATCATTCTTGCTTGTGTTTTTGGAACAGCGGGACTGATCATTCTCATGGTGCCTATATTGACGCATTTCGCGGTGGCCCCGATCCGCAGGCTACGTGCGGCAGCCCAAAAGTCAGTGAAACCGGAGATCCCTGCACCGCTTTCTAATCCCCAGCTCGAGAAACGAGATTCTCAAACCACCGACGACGTCGGAGGGACTTTAGGTTCGATGGAAGAACAGGTCAATGAAAAGGGTCGGCCTGCCATTTGGGCGAAGCGCCTTCGGGCTCCGCTTCATAGACTAAACAGCTCAGCCAACGTTCGCGACGAGGGCAGTCCTCGCCTGTTCCAGATTCCGGGAAGAGTCAAAGAACGCAATCATTGTGTGACAGACGAGCTGACGGAACTGACAAAGACATTCAATGAAATGTCGGATGAACTGACGATTCAATACACCCGTTTGGAGGAACGGGTCGCCGAACGAACTCGAGAGCTGGAGAAAGCAAAATTGGCCGCAGAAACTGCCAACGAAAGCAAAACTTTGTTCATTGCCAACATTTCTCATGAGCTCAAGACACCCTTGAATGGAATCCTCGGAATGTGTGCTGTGTGCATGGGAGAGGATGACCTCTCTCGCATAAAGAAATCGCTTCAAGTTGTCTACCAATCCGGAGATCTACTTCTCCATCTGCTCAATGATCTGTTGACATTCAGTAAGAATCAAATTGAGCAAGCCATTCAGCTGGAGGAGAAAGAGTTCAAACTCTCCGATATCCGCTCTCAGATTGCGATCATTTTCCAAAACCAGGTCCATGAGAAACAAATCGACTTCAGTGTCACCTGTATGTCCGTCGACAACTCGCAGCACGCCCATGTCAATTTGTGCCTCGATGAAGGTGCCGAAGGGACAACTTCAGCCTCTCACCCCGAAGCCGGGAATCTCATGAACATGGTCCTCTGGGGAGATCAGCACCGAATTCTTCAGGTGCTGATCAACCTGGTCAGCAACAGTCTCAAGTTTACGCCCGAAAACGGCAGGGTCCAGGTTCGTATTCGATGTGTCGAAGATGAAACTGGCTCCACAGCCCCCATAGCCGCAAGGCGAACATCGCGCTTGCCAGCGCTTAACCGACCAAACACCCAGAGCTCTACAGAAACCACTGCGGAGCCCAGGCAAAGCTTATCAGATGGAAGACAGCTCATGTTCTATTTCGAGGTGGAAGACAACGGGCCTGGTATACCTGCGCACTTGCATCGGCGTATCTTTGACCCGTTCGTGCAAGGAGACTTAGGATTGAATCGCAAATATGGCGGCACTGGCCTGGGTCTGAGTATCTGCGCTTAATTGTCTCGAATTATGGGCGGTGCCATCGTTCTCGAGAGCGAAGAAGGCAGAGGGTCTACCTTTACATTGCGCATACCGTTGACATTCGTCAAGCAGGCGCCTCCTAGTACCCTATTTTCAAGCTCTCCGGGATCAAGAACACCAAGTGTTTTGTCGTTGGAGGAACTCTCTCACGCTACGAGGACTCCGTCTAACCATGGGTCTCTCAGGAGTGAGCAAGTTGCCCCTGGTTTTGAAAAATCCGACATTCAACCTCGATTAGTTGGTCTGAGCCAGCCATTTTTCACCCCAACGATCCCTTCCTCGCCTTCGTCATCTCCTTCAAAACATCTTATGCCGAGCAACGGACAGGTGCAAGAGGACGGCCCAAAGAAAATTCGCGTCTTGGTCGCCGAGGACAATAGTGTCAATCAAGAAGTGGTTCGACGGTACGACTTACCGAATCCTACTTTGAATATGCGAATACTAACTTGTCATAGAATGCTTGCCCTTGAAGAAGTTTACGATGTGACAATGGTCAAGGACGGCCAGGAGGCATTTGACACGGTCAAGGCAAATATGGAAAAGGGCCAAGTCTTTGACCTTATCTTTATGGATATTCAGGTATCTATATGACACCAAAGTTCCTTTCTGAAAAAGAGACTAACAGATATAGATGCCAAACCTTGATGGCCTTCAAAGTACACGACTTATTCGAGAGATAGGATACTCGGCACCCATTGTCGCACTTAGTGCCTTTGCAGAAGAGAGCAACATCAAAGATTGCATGGACTCTGGAATGGATATGTTCATCAGGTTAGTGTTCCACACGTTCAACGTGACTACCAAGGATGCTGACAACTTCACTTAGCAAACCCATTCGACGACCTGCTTTGAAACAAGTGCTGAACAAGTTTGCGACTATTCCTGAGGAACCCGAGATCGGGCCATGCGAGTAACATGGCTCGGATTGCATGTATACATAGCCTAGTTTTTAATCCGAGCATTCATCATTCAATTTGTCTTGAATCTTTCAACTTCATTGAAGGGCAGTGTTATATCTGCCTCCACGCCTTAGGACCCTGCCCTAGAGTGACTGTTTCCATGTCGCCGCCAGTCTCAAATACTGGGATCGGCCTTCCCAAGGCCGGGAACTAGCGGGCTGACGGACTGGTCAAAGAAAGAATGATCAATCGTTGGGCTTCCCACGTTCGCAGGCTAAAATACAGATTTCAAGGATATCCGTTCTTCCCCACAAGTGATGGAGGAACCAGGTGATCGCAAGTGGGTGCAGAGGTCGCTGCAAGAGTCACGTGACTTTTTCGGCAGATTTGGCCCGTGCTCATCGTAAGTATGTAATATTGTAGGGTATGCCCTAGTAACCCGGTAATTCACCCACATAAATTATTAGTCTCTTTCTATTATTATCCTAATTACCATAGAACGCGTAATAGATTTGACCTAGCGGGCCTATGAGGATCGTACCCTCACTAAGCTTATATAGATTAATTCTGAACCTAATACGGAATTAGCGAGCGAGTATATTAATGAGTTTGAAGACTGGCAAGAATTCTAAGTAGCAATTCCTGACCCAGATAAGGTGAATATATATATTGACGATAACTAGATCTAAATTAGTTTTAAACTAATTTATTTATAGCTAGTTTATATTCTAACACTATTAACCTTTTATCCGACCTACCCTATATTAGCTGCAATTATTAAGTATATACCTTTACTTTCAGAGTATCTAGAAACTTATAAGGAAGGGTTTGCCTATATCGTAAATATTAAGAAATCTAGACCGAATAAGCTACGAGCTATAATAAAATCTATTAGTAAATAACTAGTTATTAACTATTAATAAATTACTTACTAACTAATTATTAGATATAGTACGCTATAGGTAGGTATAGGTCGAGAGAATTTATATATTCTATATTCCTTAGCTACTAAACAGAGCGAAAACGCTTTAAGTATAATAGTATTAAGTGCTATGAGTTTCTTAATCCTAAACTCTTATATTTAGCCTATATAAAGGCTAATAAAGATCTATAAACTCTAATTATAAATATACGTAAAGAGATAGCGGAGTCCTCGCTTATAGAGGGCTATAGAGACCTATAACGTATTAATATTAGGTAAGCTTATTAATTCTAAATTAGTTCTAAACTAATTATAAACTAATAAAAAATCTCTATATAGGTTATATAACGTAACCAAAAAAAAATTTATTCGAGGTATCGCTTATAAATTCGCTCGCTAAGGTTATCGGCCTATATTTCGCTACTATAATTATAAAGTAAGTCTTATTTCTACTAATTTCTAATTAGTTACTAACTAGCTATTAGAATATAGCTAGAGTGCCTAGCTATTATATAGGCTACGCGAATTTAATATAAGAGAACTATTAGGAATACTTCTATATTTCTCTTATTTCGAAAGAGAGATTACTTAATATAGAACTTTTACAGAAGCTTCTAGCCTCTACTTATTAGCCTAGACCACTAATATATAGAGTGATTAAATCGGCGAATTTAAGAAGGCCACTATATAGTAAGATTTACTTCTTAACTAATAATTATTTAATTACTAACTAATTCTAGGTATTATCTATCCTTAGGGTTAGGGTAATATCTAGCACTATAATATTTATAATATAATATTCTAGATCTTTATCCCGCTTCTCCTTAAGAGATACCTATATACTATCTTTTACTCTCGCGGAATATATTCTTATTTACTACCGCCACTAACAAAAGCTCTATAGATAATTATTAGCGAGGTCCTTAATCTAATCTATAAGAATCTAGACCCGGACCTTAAGCTAAGTAAGTTTAAATAAGAACTAGTTACTAACTAGTTACTAATTAGTTATAGGTATATTTTTACGTAGTCCTACGCTTCGTAAATTCTATAAGTAGTATTAATATAATACGCTATTATAGATCTACTCTAGCTTTGCTAAGATTAATAAGGTTTTAGTATTACTCTAGAAATAATAAGCGCTTAGTTACCCCTTTAGTAAGGGTATAGCTAGCCTACGCTATTAAATAGAAGTTAAACCTAAATTAAAGGTAAATTAACTAATATAAAACTAATTTTTAATTAGTCACTAACTAGTTATCTTTAGGAATATATTCGCGAGATCTATAAAATTTCGGAAGGGACCTTTATCTTTTATATTTTTGCGAAGTAGCTCTAATTTATAGTAACGCTTAATACTATTAAGGTTAATATATCCTATAAGCGAGTGAAGGGGGATATTAATAAGGTGATCTTCGCTATAATACTCACGAACTATAATAAAAGTAAGTAAGGTTACTATTAACTAATTTATAATTAGTTACTTATTAGTTTAAACTAATTATAACGCTCTGTTATATTTTTACTAACTAAGAGAACTCTATAAGGTATAAATTTATTTTCCGGATAGTCTTTAAACTTATATTAAGGTTAATAGGGAGACCTATTAGGTTTCACTACCTATATAGTGAAGGTATTAAGGTAATTATTAGCGATATATATCTAAAGTAGATCCTCGGTAAGTTAACTAATTAATCTTTAGTTACGAACTAGTTACTAACTAATATAAAGGCTTAGGTATATTCCTTTAGGACTAAGATACCGAGTATTATAGGCGATCTCTAGCTTAGTACCTTACGCGAATTATAATCTTTTGCGCTATTTACTTTATATAAATAGTATTAAAGATCTACCCAAATTAACCTAATAGCTCCTATATAGAACACCATAAGCGGCTAAATAGGTTACTACTATATAAGACCGAATATAATTACTATAAGCTACTAGATCTTATTAAAGGTAAATAACTCGCCTAAATTAGTTTATAATTAATTACTAACTAGTTATTAGAGTACGAGCCAGACCTTAAATTTTAGGTTCGATATAAGAGATACCTAGTTATTATAGTAGGGCTATATTAGGTATACTTAGGTATTAGCCCTAAATTCTTTTTAAGGTTCTGGCTATATAAGAATATAGTCGAGCAAAGCTATAATAAGTCCTATACCCTTAGAACTTATGATTCGTTATTAGGTACTATAATAAAGTATATATTAGTTTTAAACTAATTCTAAATTAGTTACTAACTAAATATTATAGGTTATTATACCTTAATTAATAGGATTTAGACTAACTTAAGACTTAAAAGAAGTTTAGTATTTATTATCGCTATTAAGCTAATAATATCGAAGCCCGCTTTAGAAGGAATCTCTAGCGCGAAGTTAGAAAAAAAGAAAAAGCGAAAAACTAGGCTAGTTAACACAGAGAAGCATAGATATAGTTTAATATTAATAATTAAATCCTCCTTAAGGCCTTATCTTTAGGCTACGTAGTTAATATTAGACGTCAGTTAAGGTTATTTACGCTACGGTAATTAAGCTTTAGAGCGACTATACGGAGCTATTCTCGGTATATATTAAATTAGTTTAAAATTAGCTTAAAACTATTTACTAACTAATTTTATAGAATATCTATAAGCCTTAGTCTCCGGCGTATAGCTATAATAAACTTATAGAATTAAGACTATCTAAATAACCTTTAAGAGCTCGAAATTCGGCAGAAATACTAAGAGATTAAGGATACTTAAGAAAAAAGATAACTAAGGCGCTAATAGTTAGAGCTTAAGACTAAAGAATAAGAAATTAGGCTTACGAAGATAGAACTAAAAAGGTAGCTAATTAAGGTATAGCTAGCCTAGATTAAAGAAGGAAACTAATTTAGAATTAGTTACGCTTTACGAACCTTTATTAAAGAAAAATTTAATTTAGAATTAGTTCTAAACTAATATTATTAACCTTATATCCTTAGCCCTAAGCTTACTTCCGCTAGAACTAATTTAAGACTAATTTCTCTACTTAGCTATAGGAGTTTCCTATACCTTATCTTCTCTATCTTTATCTTTATTTTCTTCCTCGATATTAATAAAGTATTTAAAGAAATTATAGCCCGAACGCTAGGTCTTATAATAATAAACTAAAGGTAAAAAGTTAGTTTTAAATTAATTTAAAGATAGATAAGAGGATTAAAACTTATATTTAATAGCCTTCTTAGCTTTATAAGATTTATATAAGCTAGTTTTACCTATTTTATAAAGTATCTCGCGTATTTTAGTTATATTAACCTATTCTTAGTATTAGAAACTAGTTCTATATTAATTTATAAGGGACTTACTTTACTATTACGCTTAAGGGGAAGAGAAGGATAATACTTAATATTATTAGTATATTATTATTCGTAATAAATATATAGAGGCTAGTAGAAGTTATCTAAAATAAATTAGTTTAGAATTAGTTTAGAATTAAATTAGTTTAGAATTAGATAACTTACTAATAGCTTTAAGTATTACGGTAGCAGAAGTTCGACTACCTCGACTATTAGTTATCGAATTATTACTACCTATTGTTGGGATATAAGGGTAAAGCTACCACGAAGCAGATCGTGGCCCCTTAAGTCCGTGGGATCAACCTTAGTCTGACTAGGTCAGTCGGTGCAGACAAAGGTAGAAGGTCAAAGGTCGTAGGATAGACTATAAGCAGATATAGCCTAAACGAAGGCAGAACCACAGTCCTGAGGATCAAAGGAAGAAGGTAGAGATAACTTTGGAAAGTAGAACTGACTTCAGGAAAGTAGAAATGACTTGATTCTATCTGCTAGACAAGAAGGACGTATTTATAGGCTAGGATAGCCTAGAAATGACGTCTAGAATAACATACAAATGACGTACAAACACTAGGCAGCAACATAATGAAGGTGGCAAAGAAGGGAACCGAAGAGAAGCGAAAAGAATGATATCAAGGATCGACGGTCTAAGCCACCCTGAAGGCATCCCCGTAGGATCAGGCTATGCATGCCTAAAGGTGGACCATTTTACCCCTAAGGGAAAGTGGTCCGCCTATCCTTAAGGGGACCGAGGGTCGAAGTCTGTTCACCGGGGTCCGAAGACCATGGTCGAAGTCCGCGGGCAAGGCATGCCCGAAAGCACCCCCGAAGGAACGGACCATTCATGCCTGAAGGCGGACCATTTACCCCTAAAGGAAAGTGGTCCCGCCTATCGTTCGGGGGAGGGCCGCGGACCAGAATCAGAAGTGGTCAAAACATCATTTTGATAGAAGAAAAATCTGGTCACGTGATCAATGCAATCTGGTCTTATATGTTGAATATAAGGATAGATCTTTCTATGTAGCATTGGTCTATATTCCAATACCTATATATTTTTAGGTAATATAATACTTTAATTTATTAGTATTTTAGAAGATAACCTAGGAACTAGTTAGAAACTAGTTTTAACGTCCCTTATTTTAACTTATAGGATAGAGGTAGCCCGGGAAGCGACACTAAAGCTCTCCGGGGAAGACAATCCAGTGACTATCTACCTAGAAAAGAGTTAGAACTAGTTATAAACTAATAAATATAACACTTATATCCTTAGTTATATCACGCCAGGCACCAGAAATATTAAGCTTAGTCTTACTTAGGTAAAATTTGTAGGCAGGCTATATAGCGTCAGTTTCTATCACTTTTCTATCACTTTTCTATCATTTCTTATCGGGATTTAACCACTTACATTATCTTTGAGGGTTTCTATATTAAATATAGGCTTTAAAAGTGGAAATTTAGTTGTAAACCAGTTAGAATAAAGGTTGTGTGGGTAGATAAATTAGTATAGAATGAGTTGAAGGTGAAGAAGTGGTATGGTAAGGTAAGAGATACGGATAGATTTATATTTTTCCGAAAAGTGGGGGCCGAAGTCATGTGACACTTGCAGTCACCTAGACACTCCCTTGCGGTCACCTATATGCACCAAGTGATGTACTTTGCTTGAGTGGTTCCTCAGGATTCAAAAGGTGGCACAACATTGGAGTCATTAGGGTTGAATGTGCCACACGCAAAGATACTACCCAAAGTGAGCTGGAGCTTTGGGGAAGATGAAGCATTTTCATAAACGGCCAAATACCAGCCACAGAGGCTGTTAACCCGAGCAAGTGCATCTCAATTCTCATCATGTCTTTGTGCCAGCAATGCCACAAATAGTACGGCCGTTGATAGATATGTATGAGGACTGGATGAACATCCACAATGTTTTCATTGTCGGGTAGCCATAGAAGAGGGGGGTGGGAGGGGGGGGGGGGGGGAGATTCCTTGATACCTATTGGCAGTCCGCCAGTAAGCAAAAGATTCTGATTATCGCGTGCCTTTGACGACTGTTCATCCAATAGTGAATTGTCGACTAGGGTTGTATACGAGATGGTGTCGCGTCTTGAGTGATGTCACTTGAAAGTTCCATATAAGCCGCATATTTGTGCTTCAGGTGAGATCCACAATATAGCACTTAATTTCGTGAGAGACCTATGGGTTTTGAACAATATGTGGTGTTCAATTGACAAGAATTACGGATTCCAGGATTTACGGGGCCAAATGAAGGGTTGATAATTGTCTGTGTCTTCTTGACACATGGCACTGGCGAGTGACTCATGCTAGCCAAATATTCATCTCGTCAGCTCTACAATAGGTCCTTAATCACTGCAACTTTACATCTTATTGTCATACTGCTATCAATGCAACGAGAGTATAAAGTGGAAGGGTTCTGGGATATTCTTATTGCCGCGTTCACTGTCTGGCCCTCTCGCTTCTGTATCTCGTCTTCTTGCATTCACGAAAAACGAACATGGCGCAATGCCTAAAATACGTAACCATTCAAACTTTTGAGAGTCCGCTCATTCACTGCATGATGCCTGTTCTCCTCCCAAGGCTGCCCACCTTCGCCAAATTGATTTGACAAGTGACCTAAGAAGAAATCCAGATTCTCTTGACACTGCGGGAACGCATTCTTGAAGTATTCAAAAAGTTCGTGAACTTCCAATTTGGTGGAAGCGTATGTCACTTTCTCCCCAAACGTGCTAAGGTACTTCTTGGTATGGTCAAGATCAGCCAGAGTATCCAAGTCCCATCCTGCTTCTACATGACCAGGGATAAGTTTCACAGTCTGAAGGGCCGTAACAAGTTCCAAGGTTTGCATCCATGCTTGGAGTAAAGCAGGCGTTTCAACCTCTTTACGATGGGCTTCAATTGCGCGGAGAAAACGGGATATGAACTTACCAAACGTGCGTGCTTCTTCCATAGACTGTGTCCCCACAGATGACTGTTCTCTCAGTCGGCATCCAGAACACCGTGTGATCAGCAGAATCGCCCTGCAGCGGGCCCAATAGGACTACAGGGCTATCTGGGTTATCTTGTAACATAAAGAAGCTAAAGTTGAATGCTTCCGGCTTTTGAGGGGTCTCTGGGACATTATCTTTTCCAAAGATCGTTGGCCAGTATTTCACTTTATCATCGTACTCGCGGTTGATTCCAGCGAGCACGTACGGCGCGGCGTAAAATTTGGCGGTTGAAAATGTGTCAAGAATAGGATTTGCTGAGAAGAAGTGATCGGGGTGGTGATGAGTCACAAACACCGCTTTGAGAGGGACATGGGTTGTGGCTTGTACCCAAGCAATGACGGCCCGGGCATCAGGAACCAAAAGCGGAGGGTCAATCAAAACGGCCTCTTTAGCACCCACGATCAAAGTCGTGATACTGGAGAGGCCCTTGACGGAGGAAGAATGGTGGTAGGTCTGAAGAGGCATTGTCCGTGGGTCCGTTCTTTCAAGGGAAGGACACGGCAGGTCAGAAAAGGTGGATTGGTCCGATGGATAAGTCAATTTCGAGAGAATATTGTCATCCAGCGGGGCAGATGGAACATCCATGTAAATCAGCTAGTGTAGTAGAGAACCGGTGACATAATGGCATATGCACACTGTGGCCTTAGGCATGATGAATGCCTGAAACGCACAATGCACCTTCAAAGACAGAGTCGGAGATAGATTAAGCAAGTATCTAATTCAATTCCGGTTGTCACCACAATTCTCAATTCATGATGCAGCATTACAAATAGTCCCTATGGCCTCGATAGGACATCGGTACGGCCTCATTCAGACGGATCACTACGCCGACCAGGGAGTGTTTGTGTGTGTGTGTGTGTGTGTGTGTGTGTGTGCTGTGTGTGTTGTCCAGTCTACATTGTCAGACAGCCATCGAGCCGTCCCCATTTCAGTAGTCATTTCAGAAAGACCCACATCTAGGACCCCGCCAACTGAATTGCGTCAACATTTCCCCGCTTCATAGGTGGCGGAAATTATCCCACGATCGGAAAATCTCAATGGACTCCTGAAAACATGCATTCACTCTTCAAGATTGTTGCTTTCATGTAAGCACTTGTAACTTTTGCAGTAAGACTCGAATCTGAAAGACAAATTCGGATCTACTTGTCAAATTACCGATTGGTTGTGCCGGAATCGCTGTGCAGCTAATGATAGAGGCGGACTAAGGGGAAAGCCAGTGGTTTCAATAGCAGGTGGTGAAACATTAATCTGCAAATTTCGTAGCATATATTCAAGCCAAGCCACTTACTAGATGTGGAGTGGAAAAGAACAGGAGCGAAGCAGCAGAGCGTATCATGGAGGTGACGTTTGGACAAGGCACAGGAATGGTTTAGATTGTATGAAATGGGTACAAGTTGACTGATACACGAGTGTTGAGAAAACGCGATTGGAAAAACACGACGCATGATGTTAACATCATGGCCAGTCACGCGATGTACATTTGGCTACGCTGGGATAATGCTTGACGCCCGCAGAAGCCCAAGGGGGAAGGCGTGGGTGGCCTACATCGCAAGGTATAATGCCAAATACAGAAGAATATTCGAATCTGAAGTGTTCGGGGAAGCTTCGAGTCAGGCCTAGGACGTTGCCTGCTAGGCATAAAGTATAGTCAGCAAATCACTTCTGCGAAAAAGCTGATTCCTGGTATGTCTCACACAGATGAATCTTAATCAATGTATGGAAGGTTTGTCCTTATCACTTAAGGAACTTAATGCCCCAGAAGTCGAGGACCCCTTGGAGGTGGTCCATTTCTGAGGATGTCTCATGTCATTTACATTTACGCAAAACCTTCAGGTCCTAAGAAATCGTCCGCATGTCGTCAAGTCTCCATATAATTTGCATGACGCAGACTCACGGAAGCACGTTTTTAAAATTACTTTCAATAGTGGTTCAGGTTTGCTCAGGTCAATCCGCGGGGTCGCTTCCAATCATTTATGAAGTGGTATTGACTGGCACCTGGGGAAAACGGAACAACAAATTTAGTCACTCCATTTGAATGGCAGGCTGGGTAATGAAGAAGAGAAGATAGATTGATACTTGCTTCAGATAGTACCAATCTTTTCCCCAACTAGTATCACAGAAGAGACATGCGGAGCTACCAATGCTGCAATTGGTGTAGCTTTGATATGAAGGCCTCACAATACCTTCAGTGCCACTAACGAGGGCATCTATAGTTTTTATTCGAGCCCCATTTTGAAGAGAACTATTGCTGCCGGCTTGACTATGTGTATTCATATGAATTTACGGGAATCCCAGCAAGAATGTTGAACTATAAAGCTAGGCAAAGGTCGCTTGATTTGACACGAAGCAAAGCAAGGTCTTCTTCAGAATCTATGCTGAAACACTCCAAGTCGTCAGTTTTGATCTTAGTCTGGCGCTAGGCTGATAAAAAAGACACGTCAGCCAATTGACAACATCGCATCAGAGAAAAAGAGATCGTTTTGCCAAGTTTGTTGCTCTATTCAGCATTGTAGCATTTTTTGTTGCTGCCCCTGCGCCTGGACCGGAGCCTGCTTCGTGGCCCTTGGTGGAAGTTGATCGCAAGAACTTCATCTAACGTCACGTTTCAGGCCAGGGTCTTAAGATGACCAGACGAGCTGAAGAGGCGCAACAAAGTGCCAGAAATGACGAATGGAGACGTTCTGGACGGGAATATGAAGGAGATTGGGGTCCCCCAGGTTGGGATTATGGCGGGAGATGGGTACGCGGATGGTAAATCCTCAGAAAGATTGGGCTGGATGCGGAATCTGGACTTCGTAACAGATTGATCTGATCGGGCCGTGATTCATAGGAAGATCTGAATGTCATCCTTCTGTAGTGAATGGAATCACTGGTCGTAACAAGCATGTGTGCGATGAATGCCCGACAAAATGATTATTATGATGAGATAATCTCAGTCGTACAAGACAGACTTAACTTCAGATGGGAAAGACTTGCAAATGATTGGGTCGACAGCACTGGGAAAGGGGGTCAGGGTAAGCGAAATCTTGAATCTGAATTATGATGTCCAAATGATACAATGGAAAGACCACAGCTTCTGCGCGGCTCTTTCATGAGGTCAAATTCTCAGATCCAGTTCTCAGGTTGCTCGCTGTCCAGAAACTCCGTGACCAATGCGATTTCTTTAACTTCACGTCCTGTACAGAAGGTGCGCCCCAATCAGACGCTGACACCGGGGAAACAATCGGCAAGGCCCTTTTTGTGCTTGTTGGAGGCATGCTCGAGGAGACTACAATGGTTGCGCGGAGATGTGTGAGTAAATTGGGCGCGCTGAAAAGGGATGAGATCGAGGGTTGTAATATGAAACGTACGCCGGTGCTTTGGTTGTCTGAAGGAACGTCTGCCTGCAAACTTGGCATTGGATGTTCATAGCTTTTTCATTCTAGACAGAGACACAAATCTTAGCGACATGCGATCGGCAACATCTAGGGAGGAGGCTTTGGAATTTGATGTCCAGGGAACGTACTGATTTGGTCTGTGACTTGGCAGCTTTCGCATCCTTTTGGTTGCGCTCGCGCTTCATCGAGGCTTTAGCTCCCTGTGAGGTATTGTCAGTCCACTAGCGCGTAAGCTTGATGGTCCGCGACGGAGCGCAAACGGCGCGACATCATATCGCCATTGTCGGGGTAGGTCTTACGTTACCCATTGTGATGATTTGGTTGTCAGTTCAGATGTTTGATGTACAAGTCTGTGGGTGCGCAGGTGAAGAAGCGAAAGTTTGACAAACTAAAAAAAAATTGGAGGGGTGGCAATGTCAAAGAGGCCCGGCCGAGTTGGTGATAGCGCGGCAATTTCACTCCGCCTTTCCAGCGGCCGGCAAGCTGGAGTCACGGCATATCTCAGGCGCTCTATTTGCAAGAATACGATATCATTGATTGTGCTTGCCCCTCGTCTAAAGCTATTTATTCTCGGGGCTTATGTAACATGGTGCCCGTACGGCCGGCGCAGACCCCGACGAAGGCCGTACGTGCAGAGGACGGACTAAGATATTCCCGTAGGTCGTAGGCCTGAGGTGGCAGCGACTGAGCCCCAGAAAGATGGTTTTCTTTCCCACAACAGTTGGCTGTTTGATACTAAATTAAAGGCTTGATGCCAGCTCTATCGACTATATATCCGGCGATGTCCAACTGGGTAAGGGACAGGTGATCTCTCGGCGGGCCCGGTCGTAATTGAAGAGACCAGTGGTAGCAACACGAAAGTTTACACATTTCAGAGCATTTAAAGAGGACCGAAATGGTGAAACTCCTGCTTGAGATATATTTCATAAAGTAAGGGTAATGTGCACGTTGTTTTGTGTGAGCGTTATCTGCATCTTACCGTTAATAAGGTCTGCGTCAATCTCAGTAGACAGCGGTGAGCACGTAAAATGTCAGACACCAGGATATCGGGACTCAATGGCTGGGCGGTGATGGCACCGCTCGGTTCTGGAGTAATTTCTACTTGACAAGTTTTCCCAAAAGTACACGCATTTTTAGGGGGTAGGACGCCGACGAGTACAGATAGTATCTCCTCACCAGACTAGTTTTGGCTCTTTGATTGTTTATGTTGGCTAATAATAGATGTCGTGTCCAATCAGAGCCGTGTGACGATGTTGGGATAATGCTTATTGAGCAACGCACCGCCCCCACTCGAGATATCCTTTGCATCAACTCGGCTTAAACGAAAAGGAATGCTGTCTGTGCCAATTTTAAGCCCTAAGTATGCAACTCAAGTATGTAAGGAGGAAGAGCAGGATTTTCACCGCATTTTGTTACATTTGCTTTCTGGCTGGAGCAGCTCTATCCTGTCCTGAAAATTCCTTTCCCTCGATATACCTCTCTCTATCGTGAGACTTGCTCGAGTTACGGCTCCTTAGATACACCCTTATTCTCTTGTCAAGATAGAGGTCTTCATCGACAGAGTAAGGATGGGGTCTATCGATGTTCCGAGCCCCTATACGAAAATAGGGCAATATCTGTCTTTTCGAAATCGTGACCACTTCAACTGGTGGCAACAGAAAGGGCCAATTCTTTCTCACATGCTTGAGGCCTGCCACTATGGGGTCCATGAACAATATCAATATCTGACACTCTTCTATGCTCATCTAATTCCGGCATTAGGAGCCTTTACTGAGCCATCGGTCGGTCAGAAAGGGAACACCCTTCTATCTGGAGCAGGAAGACTCGAATTGAGCCGCACTTTTACGGCTGATGAATCCTCCTTGCGCATTGCATTCGAGCCTACCAGCTTTCTGGCGTCTGACAAAGGGACAGATCCACTGAATCGCGTCCCGCTTACTCGTCTCTTGAGCGTCCTGGGCCAGCTCAGTGGCATTTCTCTGGGTACTGATAGGTACCACGCCCTTGCAGATCAGCTCACTACTTCTGACGATGACGAAGAAAAGTTGCTAAATGAACCAAAGCTCACGGAGCAGCTGCAAGGCCTGCCCTCTCGCACTCAAAATATTCTGGCCCTTGACTTGGTGAATGGACATGTCAAGCCTGAATTATACTTCCATCCACAAATGAAGGCATTAGCGTCCGGTGCGCTGGTGGAAGATCTCTTGTTCAATGCACTACGTTCCGCCGATTCCGTCGGGCATCTTCAAAAAGCCATTGAACTAGCCAAGCAATTTGTGCAAGCAGCTCCGAAAACGACGCGCCCGCAGTTCATCTCCTACCAGATGGAGAGATCCCGCTGCAGCGCAGCAAAGCTCTTTCTCACGGAAAGCGTGATAAATTGGGATCAGATTTCTGGTCTCTGGACATATGCCCAGCCAGACAACTTCCAACTACAACAGAATCGGGCCTTGCGTGTCCTTTGGGAGAGTCTTAATGTGGTTGAGGGTGATCGTGGCCCTGACGAATTCCCTATCATGATGGTCCTGGGTTTGTTCGCTGAGAATCCATTCGTGAGACCCCAGATAGCCTTCCCCGTGGTTGGCATGACCGAAGAGGCTATTGCAGGGAGCATTGGGCGTTTCTTTGACAATATGGGATGGGAGAATCACTCCCAATCCTACCTTGATGGTCTGCACTCATACTTGTAAGTCTCTCTGAGATGCCTTATATTCTTGATGTCAGAAGGGGCAAAGTTAATATGGAGATAGTCCAAATGAGGATCTGCATCAGCCATTGGGCAAACAGGCGTGGGTTGCGCTCTCCGTGTTTGACATTGGAAATCCAGCTCTCACCGTATTCTACTACTGACAAGTGACTTGAATACTTCAGAGCATATCAAAGGCTTCACACGTTGTGATTGTTTGAAAGTGCTCAGCTAGTTTGGATTGTTGAACGTGCTCTTCGGATAATTTGTGAGTACAAGGCGACAATGGCTACTAGATTAGGTCAATCTTTAATTTGCGAACATTGAACAAGAAAAAACGCAAGTTATCTTTGTTTCTTTTGCACGATTAGTCAGGTATGCATTGAGTATTAGATTTTAGTCTGACAAAGTGACAACGAAGAAACAGAATTCCATAGAACAACTTGTAGAGGGGAAAAGGAATCAAGAGGTGATAGTATCGTTGCCCGAAGCAATTTTGTTGCGCCGTTTGAACAGCATTGTAGAGGTAGCCAGGTCCTCAATTGACGCCAGGTATTCGGCATTGCGTACGACGGCCTGGCGAATCATATTTGTCAAAGAAGGCGGCTGATATATAGGCACAGGCAAGGGATCAGTAGGCGCAACCCCCAGGCAGCCTCCAGAGGCGCGAAGGAAGCCCATCAGCGGCCACAGCGGATGAGACGTGCCGACCTCGTCGACCTGCCGCTCAACTGTGTCCATCCACTCTTGTGAGGAGCATGGAATCAGATCTCTTCCGAGCCCCAAACTGATCGCTTGCCAGAAATCTGGCATGCTTAGCCCGTCACCTAGGCTGACAGTTTTTGCAGCGAGTGCCAGAGGGTTTCCATTGTCATTGACGCTTTGAGGTGACGGACGAGCATGGAGTGTTTCATGGATGATCAAGCTTGCAACCCAGTCGACTGCCGCCACAAAGAGCCAATTCTTAGACTCGTCCGCGTTGTAACTGCAAGTAGTCATTGCAGTCGCCACCACACGCCAGAGGAGGTCATCCCCATTGGCGACTGCATTATTGACAGGCCCGATCAAAAAGCCAGGCCGCACAATGGTCAGGAAGTGCGCCCTGTTTCTCGCTGAAAATGCTTTGATCAGCTGTTCTGAGGCAAATTTTGTTTGTGTATACCCATCAGTAAGTTCAATCGGAGGAAAGAGCTCGTGGCCATTTGACATGCCTGCGTAATCGACAGTGTCCGTTGTTGCGAGGGTAGCATCACCAGGTATCAGCGCAGAGATATAAGTCAAGGCGATAGGTGTTGGAGAGTGATTGAGACATTGCAGTATGTCGAATGTACTACGAACATTTGCAGCCTCTAAAGTGCCATAATCGTAGCCCCAGTGGATGACCGCTCCGCAGTGAACGATTGCGTCAACTGCACCACTTGAAGGTCCTTGACTGCTTTCGGTGCCGGAAAGTGTTGCCCAGTGTGCATCAGCAAGACCTAGGTGAGGCTGGCAGAGATCGCCAGGCCACGCTTGAATGAGACGTCGGCAGTCGTCCCTCCACCACCTGGCAAGTCGTGCCGCCTGAATGATGCGCGCGAGCCCCTTTCGTGGACAGGGCGCCCGCACCAACACATAGACCGTGCTAACGTCATTTTTGAGCAGGAGCTGGTGAAGGATATGTGTCCCAAGAAACCCAGTAGCCCCAGTGAGGAAAACACGTTTCCCTGATGGCCGAGGATGTATCGTATGTTGAGAATATTGGCAGGTAGACAGGTCGTTGATTCGATGTATCATACACTGCACTCTGTCCCACCAGCCAGGGGATGAGAGAGCTTTCTCCGGGACTGAGTTGGATGACCGATTGATCATCTCTGCCACCATCCTGACGGTCAAAGAACTGTCAAAGAGTTTCGTCATGGCGATGGAGCAATGGAAGCTTCGAGAGGCGAACTGGGACAGGGCCATGATATCAATGGAGTCTAGACCAACACGGGACAAGACAATATTGCGACCAACAATCTCAGCTGCCATTGTTTCATGGCCAGTTTTACGTTGTAGAAGTTCACCAATGTGATTGGACAATGCCCACGCAACTGGGTCATCTGTGTGATCTAACAGCCCTGTGCTCGTGTTCTCATCGCGATTCAGTGATCCTAGATCGTGTAGATCGATCGGGCTTAACTTATTGGCCATGTTCAGGAGAGCACGTCGGTTAACTTTGCCTGATATCGTCAAGGGAATCTTCGGCAGCTGCAGATATAGCTCGGGAACCATGACTGGATTGAATTTTTGTCGCATTTCTTGTTGCACACGAGTTGCTCGAAGCTTGAAGTCGTCACTATGAGATTGGAAGGCTACATTTGATGACCCATTCATGTTGGAGGGACCCGGTTCTTTGGCGGCCACCGATGGAATGTGGGCCATGGCCACCAAGCACGGTGGCATATCTGAATCAGCAGGCTGCAGAATCGCAGCAATCCCGCTGGTATCAGTCCCGAAGAAACGCAAGACGTGGCGTTCGACTTCCGCCAGGTCCAGACGTTGCCCATGAAGCTTCGTGTGTTGATTCGTGCGACCCAGGAAAGTGAAGGTCCCATCCAAGTTGCGACGGACCAGATCACCCGTGCGATACATACGCGAGGCTCGCCGGTATTTGAATCGTGGTGCCCACGAGGGCGGCGACAGGAAGCACTCAGTCGACTTTGTAGGGTTATTCAGGTACTCACGACCGACGATGGGGCCCTGAAGGATCAGCTCGCCAATTGTGTTGATTGGCATACGCCTAGTGACATCTTCTTTGTCAACTACCCATAGGATTGCTCCCATACCTTTCCCGATCAGTCGAGCGTCAGCGTCATTGGACGTGATGCGCTGGGCTGCAGCCCCTGTACAGCATTCGGTCGGTCCATAGCCACAGTAGAGATGTACACGACTGCACCACTGCTTGATCTGGCCTGGGAGCATGGACTCGCCTACGGCAACAACAGTACATAGGCTTGGTACGTCCTCGGGGGTCAACAACCGCAGCACAGAAGGCGTGATGCATAGCCAGCTGGCCCGATATTTCTGAATGATGCGGCCCAGGTCCTGTGCGATTTCGGATTCCGAAGGAATGCACACACAACCACCGCTAGCGAGCACCGTAAGGATTTCCACTGCAAATGAGTCAAAAGCGTAAGAGGAAAGCTGCAATACTCGGGAACTGGAAGTTATCTCCAATTTACTTTGCTGTGCTACAATGGCTGAAGCGTAGGAGGCGTGCTCGATCAACACTGCTTTGGGCTCACCAGTTGAACCGGAAGTAAAGGCAGCGTACAGGAGATCGCGAGGACTGGGTTTTGGCATGGATGAAATGGTCCTCATTGAAACGGCGTGGGAGGCCAGCGCTTCGGTAGACAGCGAAATCCAAGGTCCGTCAGATACAGTCGATGCCAGATTCTGCAGTTTTCTTGACGTGATTCCCACAGTTCCTGAAATGGCACGGCATATTCTTACGTTACGCTCGTGGGGTTGATTGGGGTCCAGAAGGACAAAGGCGACACCCAACTTGGCCACTGCGAGCATTGAGAGGGGTACCCAGTACGACCTCTCGAGCAAGATAGGAATAAATTGAATGTCTTCACTGACAACAAGCGGTAGTAACCACTGCGCCAGTTGGTGCGCACTGGATTGTAATTCTGCATAAGAGAGATCCCCATCCCAGGCAGAAACCGCACACTCGGATGGATGATGGGTCACCTGAGCCTCGACCAGATCAACAATTGTAGAATCTAAGCAGGCGGGCATGCTCGTGAGACAGGTAGAAAGCATTTCAGAGTCACGATTAGAGATGAGATCCAGTTGCGCAATAGTTTGACTTTGGGTGTGGCTGTCATCGATTTGCTTGAGTAAGTGGCTTAATTGACACAACATGAGCTCTGCCTGATCACGGGGAACGGCGGCTTCGTCGACCAGCATTTCAAACTTCCATAATGTCTCCGATGGTGTCACTTGAAGGATAATCGCATATCCGGGGAAGCTATTCGAGGAACCAACGCATACTTCAACTGGGCCAAAAATAGGGGACTCGGGGATCATGTCATCGGCTTGTATGACGAGTAAATTTTGGAACTTGCAAGCCGTACTGGGACCGTGACCCATCATCTGAATCCGTTGCAAGCCTGTGTGCTCGAAATGAATCATTCTCTTCATGTTGTCTTGAACTTGCGCCAGAGACTCCTCTAATGTGGACTCGCGCCGGATGGTCGTCCGCACAGGGAGTGTGGCAATGGTAGGACCGAGTACTGATCCGAGATCGACGCCAAGTCCGCGGCGACCGTCGACGACCGTGCCGAAAACAACATCTGACGAGTCTGTGTATAAGCTGATTAACAGCGCCCAGGCGAGACGAATTTTGGCGGACGGGCTACTAGTATGTTTCGAAGAGTTTGCCTTGGCTCGAGATCCCTCATAAACGACCGAGCTGCTTGTGCGCGGGATATACTGCGGCGATGGAAGGGCAGGAAAAGTATTGGTGTGCAAGTCGGCCATCTCCTTTTGCCAGAATTCACGAACTTTCTTCTCGTCGTCTAGATTGTGCTGTTCCAAATGGTGAATGAAGCCGACGAACGCAGATGGAAATAATAATTCCGACCTATACGCCTTCTCCGCTTGCTTTATACACGCATGAAGCGTGAAAGCGTCGTAGACAGAGTGATGCAATGTCACAGCCAGCTTCACAGGCTGTCCTTTGGCTTCCGAGTCGTGGATGAGTGTCAGCCGAACTAGCGGCGACCCCAAGCCCATTGGAAGAGCCCGGTCTTTCTCGTAAAATTGAGACTCAGAGCTCGCCGATTGCCATTGCATCTTCAGTTCAGGGCTCACCACAACCTGGTAAGTACGACCATCAATCGCCTGGATGATGCGAGTCCGGAGAACGCTGGTCGCTTGTACCACATTTTGCCAGGCCTGTTGAGCCAAATCCACGCGACAGTCCGCCGGGAGCGAGAAGAGAACCCGATCAACATATGCGTCGCCGCCGTGAATTTCAGTGACTGCCAGAAGGCCCTCTTGTAGTGGAGATGTCGGATAGATGTCCTGAATATCCTCCTCCTGGATCCTGCATTCCTTGCTGGCTAACCGGCGCAAATTGGTAAAGACACGTGCATCGTCTATCCCGATCAATGAGAATGGCGGGTGGCCCTCTGCTGGCGTCACTGCATCAATTGGCTTCGCCTCCTTCGCGACGGTTCGAAGGCTACATTCTATATCTAGTAGACGTTCTGTATGAAGACGCAGGTTGTACGCCAAGAGAGCACGGGTGAGACGAATGGCAGTCGTAGAATCGCCACCCAGTTGCGGGAAACTAGCCCTCAAGTCAATCGAAGACGCTGAGATCCGACAGACACTCACGATAGCCTCGACTAAGGCGTCTTCATGGGGTGTCATTGGTAATGAGTCCGCTTCTGTCAGGCAAAGAGACCGATCCCCTCCTAACCACTCCATGAGCCGCGAAGAAGAGAATTGCTGGAAGCACTGACAGAGTCGGCGACGGTCCACCTTATCGGTAGCTGTTCGAGGGAAAGATTTCACCGGGATGATCAGGGAAGGCACCATGTATTGAGGTAGGTAAGGGCGCAAAAGCGACTGGTAGTGGTGGCTCAGAGCCCACGATCCGGACTCGAGCGTTGTCATACTCTCCCAGGGCCGCTGTGAACTCCAATCAATTGCGAATCCAGAGGGGTCGACGAGAAATTCTACGAGGGCCATCGCACTAGCGTCATCATGGAACTTGACTGCACTGACGACAAAGTCGACATGCGGCTCCAATTGTCGGAGTTGCAGCTCGACAGCATCGACATCAACGCGCTGGCCCCGGATTTTGACGACAGTATCCCTGCGACTGACATAGCGAAGGGTGCCTTCCACATTATAGTGACACAAATCGCCCGTCCTGAAAAAGCGACCTTGGACGGGAATGTCTGTGAAACGGTGACGCCAGCGAGGAGCATCAATGAAAACCTGTCGCGTACGTGCAGGGTCGTTGAGATAGCCATCTGCGACGACAGCGCCCTCGATGATTACCTCACCCACTGTGCCAATGGGTGCCAGGGAGTCACTGTCATCGGGAATCGTAATCCAAGCGATGCAGCCGGCCGCCGTGCCAAAAGTTCCTGGTGTCCACCCGCTCGTCGGTGAAATCCGGCCAGCCCCCGCAGGTCCAACCTCGGCCGGTCCCCAGAGGTTGAAAATACTCAAATGGCTCTCCCACTGACGAGCCAGGTCCACAGGGATTGCCCTCCCCCCAAGGGTAAGAGTCCTTAACGTTGGGAAATCAGACGGTTCAAAGTTCTTGAGGGTGGTCGGGGTGAAAAACGCCCACGTCACACGGTGCTGCTGAAGAAACTCAGGCATGCTATTCAAGCGTTGAGTTTCGGACGGAATGCAAAGGCAGGCCCCGCGTGTCAAAGCCTGCCATGTCTCGATGATGCTCATATCAAAAGCGTACGATGAGAATTGCAGCACACGTGATTCAGATGTAATTTGAAGCCTTTCGCCCACATAGTGACCCGCCGTGGCTATCGCTCGATGACTGAGGACAATGCCCTTGGGCACACCGGTACTGCCTGACGAGAAGACGAGGAAGGCTACATCGTCCGGACTGGCGATGGGGAATTGAGTGAACCCTGGCTGCTGCGTCGTCGAAGATGATGTGGAGCTGTACAAATCCTCCGAGATGATGAGCACCGGAGAATCACAAATCTGACGCAATAATGGTTCCTGTGCTCGTGATGAAAGAACGATCGCAGGGTTGGACTGATGTAGAATGCGTTTGATGAGATCCATCGGGTGGCTGATACAGATGCATACTGCAGTGGCACGAACCTTTGCCACTGCGAGCATCGCGACGGCCATCCATTGAGATTTCTCAAATATTAGGGGAATTACCATGCCAGGCTGTATATTGTGTGCAAGCAGGCGTCCCGCTGACTGAATGGCAAGTTCATCAAGTTCCCCGTAGGTGAGCTCGCCGTCCCACGCCGATACAGCCAATCGTCCAGGATCCGAACGAACCTGAGTCGCGACCAGGTCTTGAAAGCACGCATCGATGATGGCCGGAGGATCATGGTTCCAATCCATCAGTTGAATTTCATCCGCCACACTTAGCAAAGAGAGCTCGCTGATGCTTGCCTGCAGACCTCTGAGATGGCTCACAAGTTCCTTGTAGATGTGTGCGAACTGTTGGGCGATGCGCTGCGCGGCTTCTCTGTCCACCAACATCGGGTCATGTACCACTTCACAAAACCAGGAAATATCGGTCTTGCTTGGCTGGAAGACGACGCGTAAGTGCAAAGCCTCGCTATCATGAATCGGGGGAAAGAACTCTTCTGTCACAGAGTGATCGGATGGTACGCATTGCATCAGCAAGCTGGCTGTCCGTTCTCCGAGATTTGAAGCGACATTGGGCCTATCATTGATTCCCTCACTTTCCCCCGGGATACGCTTGATTCGCCGCAGGAACTCTGCCATTTGACGTTCCAAGGATAGTATTTCAGACGTCGGTGCCATGTCCGCTATGGCGTTTGCGGATGGCACACGTGCACACCCCATTTCACTTAGCAAGACGCCATTCAATGGCATTGTTGTTGATCCATGATATAAGCTGGCCAGGAGTGACCAGCTGATCAGGCAATACTCCTGAGATAAAGATGATGCCAACGGGAGTCGCGTAGTTTGACCTTGATGCGCCGAGTGTAGGTTCGTCGATTTAGACGTGATTGGGGTAAAAAGTGACGGGCAAGGTACTGAGACTCGAACCCAAGGTTGCTTCGCCATCTAGAAAGGTTCGTAGTTAGTTGAAATTCCGGTCACTCAAGGTGTCGGGCGGAAGATTCATCCATCAACGTGGGCCCTCGCGGAAGTCCTCACACCTTCAACACAGTAGGCCTTTTGCGGCTTGTCCGAGCAGGGGAACCAAATATACTGCGGAGAACCATCTACGATACAGGATGAGTATTCCAGAGACTACTACCGGCTACTGATTGAATCTCGCGCTGCAAGGGACACACAATTGTGATGAAGATTCAGCTAGCTACGGCCAGTTCTTCAAGTTCATTCTTTCGAGGGCCCCTTGCAGAGCTTGCAAAACTTGCAGAAGTAGGATCAACGAATTCCAAACGAAGACCTTGCGTGATTTGAATGCGCCATCTTCTTCAGTGAATGCAAAGAATGCACGACTCCATTTGGAGTAAATTGCCTATTCTTTTTAGATATAATTGGCCTTGACAGCGACAGGATGAAGAGCAATGTACCGACTGTAACACGCGCTTGACCTCAGTTCACCATGTCCAAAACCAGTGAGGTGAAGGTAACCGAAGTCCGGCTGGAGGACCCGCTGCCCAGTGTCGTCGACGCCTCCCGGTTTTCTTCAGGGACGTCAACCGAGCAACGGGCGTTCGCTATCGAACTGGCTGAATCCGTTCGCCGCTGCGGGTTTGTGAAGGTCATCAAACATGGTCTGTCCGACGAGCTCATCGACGAGCTCTTTGCGTGGGTAAGTGACAATTCACTTTCTGCCGGAGAGGGGAGCCACATCGCCGGAATATCGTAGTGTCAAAGCTCACGTATTGTTCAGAACGAGCGCTTTTTTGCAATCAAGCCTGAGCAAAAGCTGGCCGTCGCCAACCCGCCTGGACCAGCGCCGCAGCGTGGATGGAGTTGTGTGGGCGCCGAGAAAACCTCGCGCCTCTTCAGCAGAGGGCAGGCCTCTATTGATCTGACTGACGCGCGGGTACATGCCACAGTGATCCCAACCTTGTCAGAACCATCATTTTCGCTAATAGAAGATTCAGGAACACTTTGATGCCGGTTCCCCCAGTGACACCAAATGGCCCTCGCGTTGGCCAAGTGAGGCGGTGATCCCAGGCTTTAAGGCTTTCATGGAAGAATTCTACGTCCGATCTCATCAAGCTGCGCTACTCATCCTACAAGCTCTTGAGATGGGACTGGATCTTCCTGCAGGAGTATTAAAATCTCGCTGCGGCGGATTCGCGAGTGAACTTCGCCTGAACAGCTACCCCGAGATCGATATCCAGGAGCTACGCCGCGGCAAGATCAGTCGCATCCATCCGCATGCCGATCTGGGTGTCATTACCTGCCTTTTCCAAGATGGACTTGGAGGTCTGGAGCTAGAAGATCGATCTCATTCCGGCTCGTTCTTGCCTGTCAAGCCAGGTGCTCGTTCGGAAATGGTGGTCAACATCAGCGAGACCTTTCAGCTATGGACAAATGATGTCATTACCGCGGGTATCCATCAGGTCACGGTTCCGCCAAAGATGAAGACCCGCACTGAAGGTCGGATCCCCGCTCGGCGTTCTTGCGCATTCTTTCTCAAAGCTGACGGAGATGCGTCTGTCGCGCCTTTACCTCAATTCGTAACGAAGGAGCGACCAGCTGCCTACTCAGAGATGAGCGCATTGGAATATCATCAAAAGCGTTTAGCCACCGCATATTAGATGCCCTCGTGGCCCCATGCCAATATAAATGTCAGGTACTGGGATTACGAACAGATCAATTACTAGAGCACGTAGATTGACATCGGTGACTAGGCTGTGTTGCAATAGTAGAGCTGACTGGGGCTCGACATTTTACGTCTATGAAGTTGAAAGATAAATAAGAGATATATTTATTTGATAGATTCGAGAGATGAAGCTATAGATCTAGATATCATCAAGGGTACGGTGAAGAGGGGCACTATCCTGAATTCAATGCGAACAATGTCGCCTTCAAGGACTTATTCATACAAGGCTCTAGAGTGCAATACTATTCTCAGCTTGAAGAGTCAGCTCGGGAGATCTTCATGCCTGTCGTTTTGTCCTCGCCATTGGCACCGACACTTGGTGCGAGTGCGGCCGTGGCTTTTGCGGTGATGGCAGCGCAAGTCTGAAGTGTTTGAACAACCTTTTCCTTTTCTAATACCGCTAGTCCAGCGGCAGTCGCTCCACCCTTTGTGGCTACTTGTGCGACCAAGTCAGACGGAGATTTTGACTGCTGCAGAAGGGCGGCCGTGCCCCGAGCTGCCTGTGCCGTAATTGCCAAGGCCACATCCAATGGCAGCTGTTGCGCAGTGTTGTCGCTATTACTATGTTGTTCTGCAACTCCCTGGGCCAGACCTTCGATCATCTGAGCAAAGAAGGCCAGAGACGATGCGCTTAACGCGGACGCGACATTCATTTGGCATTCCGGGAGCCACTGCACCACGCCTACTGATGCGAAAAGGTCGGTCACTGCGCGCCGGCTCTCTGCGTCGTCTGTGCCATTGTCGGTGGTGGATAGAAGGGTGATGGATTCGCCGACCTCCATTGCAACACTGCAGACGGCACGCACGACGGGCCCCGTCCAGAAGTGTAATGCCTCTACGATGAGACCTGGCGATACGCCCCCCATCAGGCTGACCAGGATCCGACGCGGGTCATGAAGCACGCCCTGCAAATCATGCACCAGCTCGCCGAGGCTGGAATGTTTGCACCCAAGCAGGACGATGTCTGCTTGCTCGGCGACATTGCGATTCTGATCTTGTTGCAGGATCGAGACCGGCGGGATCGCCCGTTCTCTTAGCAAGGGGAGACTCGCTCACGGACTAGTTGCGCGGTCCGTGCCGATCGGACCGTAACCTTCAGCTCTCGCATTCTCACCGACCCGGGTTGGCCCGCGGCCGAACGGAGCAGGCCAAGCAGCATGGCTTGCCCCAATTTCCCTGATTATAATGATCAGCGACGTCCAGTGCAAGCGGAATCCTTGCCATGGGTTCATATCAGGGACGCTAAATGAATACATGACGGTGAGACCTTACCGCATCCCAGAATTGCTACACTCGGGTGTTCGATAGCGGACGTGAGTGTCATTTTCATATACAGGAAAAGAAGGGGAAAATATGTAAATAAACGCATAGGGGGTTGTATTGCATTGTCATGCCTATATATAATAGACATAGTTGGCTAGGGTCGTCTTCCATTAGGTGCTCGGACTCCCTTCTACGCACGGGGCTGGGCACGTGTAAACATGTCAGCGAATTACCCATCCGAGCGGGGCTTTGAAGCTTTTGAAGCTACATTCTCACAACTCATGCGTAATGTCCGGTTGCTTAGCAATGTACGAATACCCCTTTGTGAGTTAGAAGTAGATGACCGATCACATAATTATCATCGCTCATGATTAGGTCTAGACCGGTATTTTTGCGGCCTGTCAATGCCTTCATTCTTACAATTTTTTCCTTCTTCACGTGGACGCACAATCAACAGCCACCGACAAAAGCGTAACAAAATTGACCATTGAATCGGTAAGCTGTGGGACTTCCGAGCAATGTATCTCCCCTTTCGCAGGTGATCAGGGCGCCAGTGAGACCGTCGTCCACTGTTTCCAAGTATCTCTAGGTCTTACACGATAGCCGAGGCCTACTATCACTTAACATGATTTTGGGGGTTGGGGCGGGGGGGGGGGTGAAGAATCTTCCCTATCGCACCCATTAAGTAGTACTCGACAATGTACGCTTTCATCGGCGCTCAATGACAGCTACGAGTCCCAAGATCACAAATCAACGATGATAATGTGGGGTACAATGTCTACCGTCGATCAAGCAGTGATGATCGCCATGGGGCTCGTTTTAAGGGATCTCGATTGCGCTGGGCAAGTGGAATCAAGGATTTGGTGCCCTTCGAACAGCCTTCTCGCTTTCTGATCACATCTGCTTACCAGTGGCATTGCGTACAGATCCTGGTCGTTGCCTGTTTCTCTGACCTATGGCAACGAATTCTGGTGCCACTTGTGGTCCAGCATCTTCAAATGTGCCGGATCCGTATCATGTTCCAAGAAATTGCGGTGAACCTGTACCTCAAGCTTTTGAAAGAATATGCATTGTCTGACAGCTTCCGTCACCGAAATAACTATGACCATTAATCTAATTTACGTGATCTTAACTAGTCGTTGTGGTCCACTACTAGACACTGGTATCAACGTGACGTTTACGTGCTAATGCAAGGCGTGCGATAATTTGTCAACATCTTGTTAAGATACGGGATAGTGCTAGGTTACAAGGGGCTGTCATGTTGGCAGTCCTATCGGTAAGCGCCCCCTAGACAGAATGAAGAAAAAACGAGAAAGATGAAGGCTTCGCCTGCAGAAAGCATCGGAAGAGCCGACCACATTTCCCTCACCGCATGGATGACTGGAAGAATGAGGCAAGGTAAGGGGTCCAAGGAGCAACTCCTCGCAAGTCTTAACTCGCGACGTCCAAAACCCAGCTGTCTTGTACTTTTTGAATACTAAGTCATGAACACCTCAGGATTAGCGACTCAAAATTCAACAAACATCGTCGGTTAATCGACCAAATCAATTCGCAATGACACCCGCTCCAGCACAACACACAGATCAGCTCCATGGCTCCCGGATACTCGTTATAGGGGGAACATCGGGCATCGGTTATGCCGTGAGTGCAGCCGCACTTCATCATGGCGCAGTAGTGACCATCGTGGGATCGAATATCCGCAAGCTCAAGGATTCCATCGCCCGGCTGAAAGCCTCGTTCCCATCCACAGACCACGATAACATTATCGCAGTCCAATGTGACCTCAGCAACCCCGACACGGTCGAGCATGATGTCGAGAAGGCTCTCCATCTGGCCGCTGGAGAATCCAAGATAAATCACATTGTGATCACCGCAGCGGACATGACCGCTCCACCTCCCTTGGCGGACCTCACAGTTGACTCTGTGCAGCGGCCGGGCATTATTCGACTGGTCGCCCCATTGATGGTAGCAAAGCATCTTCCGAAATATATGGACAAATGCCCTCAGAGTTCGCTCACCCTAACTAGTGGTGCCCACTGTTTGAGACCAGACCCTGGCTGGACAGTCATCTCAGGGTATTGCGGTGCGGTTGAAGCTATATCGAGAGGATTGGCCATCGATTTGAAGCCACTGCGGGTGAACGTTGTGGCCCCAGGAGCAGTTCTCACAGACGCCGTTAAGGATATCCTCGGGGATGCATATGACGCCGCGGTGGAAATGGCGGAGGCAAAGTCGACGGTGGGACAAACTGGGTCTCCGGAATGCGTTGCCCAAGCATATATTTACCTAATGAAGGATCACTATGCTTCGGGATCGGTTGTCTCAACGAACGGTGGCATGCTCCTTGTCTAGGTCATGTGTTGATCGCTTGATAAGCACCATCTGAATATCTGAAATCATTCATCCTCTTTCTGTTATCTTGAGTCTTGACTTACGTCAAATGCTGAGTCAAGAAACAAGAATTTGTTTGGAAAAGGAATCCCAATTTGACAGTATTCACCAGTGTTGATTGTTTGCTTGAAGTTCTCTCATGATTGATGGCCATCGCCGCACTCGAAGCTGTGATCAAGACTGTCTTGGTTTTAATTACATGCAACTGGCTAGAGTCATTCCCCCATATCGCTCATCTTTTTCGAAACACTTAGTTCTCACCCCGTCCTTTGTGCACCAACTCTCAATTATCCAGCTTATATTTGGATTTCTTGAATTTCTTAGTTTATAGGAAAGCCTTGACCATCAACAGAGATGGTATATGTCATTGTGCCATCTTTCTCAGACAGTCGCGAAATAGGCCGAGCCTGACGAATTTAAAAGTAGATCGATCATTCCAGTTGCTGCAACCTAGCGTTGTCCCATAATCCCTTCAAGGGCTCTTCATCTGTATGAAGGGATTGGGCGTATGAAAATTGTCTGGCCTTGAGATAATAAGATCATGTACCTTGTAGGCGCTTTTTGGAGATAAAGTAATAGGACCCTGGGCTTGAGACAAATAGGAAGCTGGTGGAATCGCAAAGTATTTCGGGTCTGCATATACTGGATATGAGGGCAACCTAGATTTGAAAAGGGACTGTCTGGTGAAAGGGCTACGTGCTGTACGTTGATATCTTTGGTCAAGAATCAGCCACTTTGTGAAAGACTCAAAGGGTAGCTGGCCCGCCTCGGCGTGATTCATCTTTGCTCAATTCGAGTCCGCTAATTCTTCAACTTTGACCTCTGAAGTGTACATCTAAAATAAAACTCATCTTCGAAATAAGTCTTGGAAACCCTATCTATCGCTCCGAAGTCTAAGATATAGATAAATGGATAGGTTGAATTCATGTGAGGCATGTTCAATCAAGGACACACGCAGCTTCGAATGAATTCTTTGACGGATGACATGTTTTTTCCCATTGTCGAGATGAGCCTCTTCAGGGCCCGCTGGGAACCAAAGAAACTGACATGGTTGATCTCTTATTGTACATAAGAAAGGCCACATTAATCGCTTTGAAATCGAACAATCGCCAATAACTACTTCAATATATTACATACATGCGGCACAGATACATCTCTAATCACGCAGACTAAAGCCTCTGGATGTCAGTGCCTCCGCAATCGGCTTAACAAAATTGACTGAGCTCGAGAACATGCGTTCTTTGTCGAGAATTCAACGGTCTGTAATACTGTTGAGCTTTTTTGGACCTTAATATGTTAATTTAGAAGTCAAAATTATGAAGAGCTGGCATGAACATATGCAAATCAAATGAGATATTGCAAGTCTTAACCTATGAACTATGTCCTCCTCCTAATTGTAGTGATATTGTACATTAGATGAGGACTGAAGAGTTTTATTTTTTTTTAGCCACTTTGAAACACAGCATCGAACATGTACCAACTACTGGAATAAAAGAGCTGACGGCTTCAGTCAGGTGATTCGCTCTCTTTGGACTACTTTTCGAAGCGAGGTCGTATTCCCGGGTCATGAGAGCAGTATTGTGGAATCAATACACAGCCCCACAATTCCTGACGGTCATGGGACTCATTGCAGGAAGCAAGCATATCACATGCAAGGAAAACTGCTGTGGCCCGCAGCAACGAGCGTGCTTATGTTCAGCTTGTTCCTTGCTGTCTTGTGCTCGCCATGATATGGAACTGAGCCATCATTTAGTGCTTGCAGATGAATCGTAGCGTTATGCAGTATTTGAGGGCAAGCTTTGCGCATCAGACAGCGCAACAACATGAAAGTCGGTCTGAATAAGTTCAGAGCCCAGGTCAATGCCGGTGCATGCATGTTCATTTGCGGTGAGAGTGAGGATAACATCACGTCCCCGGCCCATGTTATATAAGTTGCCCATGGGATAAATCTAGACCGGGACGTAGAAGTCAAGATTTATTCATCATCCAATTAGGACAAAACCCTCGTCTTATCCTCACCTGCGAACTATGACCATCCAAGCGAAGAAAATTGTGACGATATTTGGAGGGACTGGTAAGAAGCTTGTGATACTTGAAAAAGCTCACAGTAATTAGCTGACCGATACAGGAAACCAGGGCAGTAGTGTGGCACGTTCCTTGCTGGCACATAAAGAGAAGATCTTTCACGTTCGTGTAGTCACGAGGGACCCTCAATCAGACAAAGCGGAAGCTATCGCGTCGCTCGGAGTGGAATTAGTTCAAGCAGATGGACTCAACTCTCGTGAAATGACAAATGCCTTTGCTGGCAGTTGGGGGGTTTTTATCAACACCAATTCTGATGATGAGGTAATGTCACAATGGAAAGTCGCATGCTCAGTAGTAAGAGTGCTTGCTTAATTTGTGCGCGAACAGGCTTTAAAGTCACTGGATGGTCCTAGTGACTATGACCTTGGCGTATCGGTCATCGATTCTGCAAAGAAAGCAGGTGTTCAACATGTGGTTTACAGCTCCGGACCTTCCATCACGAGCGCTACGAAAGGCAGAATGCATCTTGAAGGCTTCGAGAGTAGGTAGATCCTATCCCAGCCCATTTTTTAAAGTACTAATTGATGTTTGAAGCCAAGTACCACGTCGAGCAATATGGGCGTAAGAAAGGGTTCACGAGCTTCACCCCAATTCTATGCGCCTCCTTTATGGAGTGTTTTTTCTACGATCCATTCGTGGATGCCTTCGGTGGGTTTCCTTGGAACCCCGACCCAGAAACAGGAGAAGTGGTCTTCCGCACTCCGGCCTACGGGGGAAAAGGCGATATGCCCTGGATCAGTTGTGAGGATGACCTCGGAGACATCGTGCATGGTATCTTTTTGAACCCGTTCAGATACGACCAGATATTGGTTCAGGCCACGAGCCAGCAGATTACAATGTCTGATGTGGCAGCTTCATATACACAAGGTACGCCGCTCTTCCCCCTTTCTTTTCCCAATAATGTCCATTGGTGGTGGTGTCTCTCATGTAACTAAAATTTGCTTCTTACAGCCACTGGCATTCCTGCTCGGTACGAGGAACTGCCATCCTGGTCTAGTATCAAGCCCAATGGGACAAGGTGCCGAGCCGAAACGCGCCAAATGTTCTGGTACATGAAGTATTGCGGTGGCCGCTGGTTTGCAGAACACGAGAGCGACATGTCTACCGCGGTCGCATTGAAGAAATCAGCAATGTTGTCTCGGGGCCAGGAGGGGGGTCTTGTTACATTTCAGGCTTGGTTTAAGAAGGCGCAAGTCCTGAGAGACCGAAATGTATGATTCTCCCGAGATTGAAGCGGCAACCTGTGCACTCGTCTCAAAGTTTTGGTATCAGGCATGTAGGGATTAAATTATCGTGAACCTTTGAGACATCAGTATCACTGCTTTGCTTCATCGAGAATTAACATAATAATGGCACTCTTTACACTTTCTCGGCTGAGCTGATAGTTGACTGTCGTCAACGGAAGAATTTGAGTGTGGCATCCCCGATCTCCGACTGCGGTTGAACGAAAGATAACGGCCCATATTCATAAGGGGCTGGAGGTCGAAATTGCCATATGAAATGTGCGGGAATGGTTTGCAAACGCCAATTCGCAACCCACGTAGAAGTTCAGCAGCCCCTCGGCAGACTGAGTTATTCCTCTGATACTCAGTCAGCTCCCTTTCTCCGCTCCAATAACTGGAGTGTACTCTATACCATATTGCCGAGTTGTCTCAAACACAGTCAGTTGGAAGAGATGGGGCTGTTTACAGTGAAGCTCTGATACACTACGGCCCGATCTGCGTTAGCCAGACCATTGTACTAGTATGCTGTAACCTACTCACGATCATTTGCAAATTTACAAATACTCTGATTTTCGCGTCCAAACAGTCGACGCACAAGTGATTCTCGCTTTGCTGGATTTATAGCAAATTTATGGTTATGTGTTCCAAGACATTTAAGTTCATGGTAATAATTGCAGGCTGGGAATGAAACCAGTATCTTGCATGAACAGATCAACCCCCCTTACACATACCGTCACGTTGGCTGATGATATCCTCTGGGGGCTCACTGCGACCTGGACCCCCTTGCAGGTCTACCGCATCATCAGCAATCCTACCGTAGGAGAGACAGATGTGCAGGCGAGGCCGGGGATGCTCTCTCGATATTACATAGTTCGCTACTCCACTTCCTTGTCTCGTCATTCAACGTGACCTTCAAAGTCAAGATCCGACTAAACGTCAACTGTAGCCCATAAGCCTGAATTCCTTCCATGATGGCGTTCCGGCTAGCCGGGTTATTCCTGGTTCTCGCCCTCGGCTTGGGACGTCACTTTTCCAACGAGCAGGAGCCCCGATGTCGGTGTGGTCCGGACGATGATTGCTGGCCATCCCCCACGGCGTGGAATCAACTTAATGAGACCATTAATGGTCATCTGACGCAGCTACGCCCAGTTGGTGCTGTGTGCCACGAGAAGCATTTCTCAAACAGCTCCTGTAGTGAGCTCATCCAACACTATCGCAACACCACATGGCGCGTCAACAATCCCGGTAAATTGGCCATACCCCGGAATCTGAAAAGTGGCTTTTGCTCATACTCATTGCGTCTTGTTCGCAGCCGCGCTGCAGGTAGACACCTGGGAACATTCGCGTTCACTGAAGCAGAGTTGCCACGCCCAACACCTGCCGGGACACGGTGAATGCCGCCAGGGCCGCGTCGCACACTACTCAGCCTACGTCGATTCCGTATGGGCAGTGCAGCAGGTGATTCAATTTGCCACCACCCATCGCCTGCGACTGGCCATTCGCAACACCGGTCACGATCTGGCAGGACGTTCATCAGCTCCAAACTCACTGCAACTTCATACCGCTGGTCTTAAGGGCATTAATTATGTGGAATCCTTCACTCCTCAAGCTCCAGCCGGTCAACCAGTGCTTGCAGAAGGTCCTGCGGTGACCGTAGGGGCAGGGGTCCTCACAGGAGAGCTTTACTCGGCGGCCGCAGAAGCAGGATATACCGTAGTAGGAGGAAGCTGCAGTACGGTTGGAATTGCGGGTGGCTGGATGCAAGGTGGTGGCTATGGGATTTTGACCCCATCACGAGGCCTGGGGGTCGACAATGTTTTGGAGATTGGGATTGTAACAGCGCAGGTATGTGGCTAGCCGGTCTCTATCTCCGATCTGACTGCCTTGCAATTTTTCTCACAAGCTGTTCATTCTAGGGAGCCTATGTCATCGCGAACCAGTACCAAAACCAGGATCTCTTTTGGGCTGTTCGTGGAGGCGGCGGGGGCACATTCGGGGTCATTGTGAACGTTACATTTCGCACCTACCCAGATTCTCCCGTGAGGGTTTCGAAACTGAATGTAATCAGTCCCAATGGGCTGAGTTCAGCCTTCTGGGACGCCGTAACGGATTTAATCCACGCCATTCCTGTCCTGGTGGATCGCGGCGACGCTGTCCAAGCCATTGTGATCCCTATCATGCCTGGCAACGCGACATTTCTCTCCATCGAGTCTTACCTCATCAACGAGACGTATGTCGGCGGTCTCAATGTTCTTCAGGAGCTACGCGGAGGTATTGAAGCCCGCGGTCTATCAGTGGAGTCGTCCGAAGAGTCCTTCGATCGGTTGTCTGCGTATCTTGCGATTCCCAAAGGTTTGGACCAGGCCGGCATGGGGATGATGACGGCTTCACGATTAGTTTCGCGAGAGCTAATGGAGTCGACTCAGGGGCCTTTGCTGATTAGCCAGACGCTCGCCCAGCTTACTTACGAGCCCGGAAATGTGTTCAGCCTAGACGGAATGGTCGGTGGACCAGCTGTACGATTCAAAGACACAGCGAACCGCGCAACCCATCCATCCTGGCAATCTGCGGTGATGTCCCTAACTCTGGGCCACAGCCTACCATCAGCCCCAGATTGGACCGCCTACAGCCGTGCCCAGCGCGAACTAGCGATGACGCAGCTACCGGCGCTTCATGCCCTCGAACAGGGGACGATGGGCGGGTACCTGGGAGTTCCGTTCCCGTACGAAAGCGACCCTTCTCAGGTGTTCTGGGGATCCCATTATGATCGACTTCTGACACTCAAAGGGCGTTGGGACCCCGATGATCTGTTCATGACTCGATTGGGGGTGGGCTCGGAGCGGTGGGATGAGGAAGGCATGTGTCGAGTTGGTCGGAGGCAGGCTTCACGGTGGCTGTATTCCAACCTTGTAGATCGCGTCAAATTATGGACAGCGTAGGCTATATCTAGTCATTCGCTAAACTAGATTATTTCATGGAGCTAGCGGGGCACTCTTGGATCTGGCAGGTTGGCCTTCAACATAGCAATCTCATGACATGCTTGCAATTCACCAACTGAACTCTGACTGACATTGAACTCGTCGATCAATCTGTCAGTGCGAAGTTCTACAACTTTAGCTTCACGTGGCAAGTTGCTTCTGAGTCGAAGAATTTTGACGTTCAAAACTCAATCAAAGCCCTGATTGGTACCTGGACTGACTATTTTGTCCAAGATTACCTACAGCGGTAAATAGAGAGCACGTCCTTCCTCACTAGCCGTGAGTGGGTGGGTGTGTGTGACCCAGTGTGTTTTGCCAGATAGCCATCGAGCCGTTCGCACTTCACTATGCACATTCTTGATAGTTACGCGAAAGAAAGCAACATGTGCGCGTTGATAGCTTGGCTCGATACGTAACAAGACATAACATCGGTCGCACCACTTAATCGTGCCGTCCCCTTACAAACTTGATTTCCTTTCTTTTTGAGTTCACCTGTGATATGCGAGAGGCAGATGCATCTTATGCGCTGTCGAAACCCTGATCACATCTCAGCGACTTTTTGATATCAATGAAGATTGAACTATCCATTTGAAGGTGTGTTTCGCTCAACGTATGCTCGGAAGTTCTATGTCATCGATGGACTTTGAAATACCTTGATGCGAATATACGTCTTGCGGTCAACGCACAAGTCGTGAATATTGTACCAAGCGTTTCGATTCATACAATCTCAGTCACGTTTCGATGGTTTCTACTATACTCGACCAGGAGTGCGAAAACCATGATTGAGACATGGCTTTTGTTGGTACTATAGACAGAATGAATGTAGGGTTCTATCTCGTCTGTGGAGTTCGAGTGAAATGTGGATAGTGGTCTGGGAGAAATTAGACATAGTCCGCAATGATCAAGATTTTCATTCTGCTTCAAATTGACTAAAAAACTTCAATTGAATAGGTCAAACGGTGCGTGAAAGGCCGCTTGAAGATATTAATTGTTGTCCTCTAGTTTTGACCATGGATACTCATCAGAGGAATGGTAGTATACACTCAGGTAAACCCCCGTCGCCTCCGTGTATGCGAATGAAATCCACGATGTCAGGCGAGCGGTTTTGCTAAGGTCTCTTTCGGGACTATCACAGTTAGCAGTCTGATTCATTCCACAGAGGATGGGGAAAGTAGAGAGGTCATACAAATAGTGCTGCACTGTCGCCTCGTAATTGTCACCATACTTGGAGAGCCCGATACGGGACAAGAAATGAGCCAGGCCACCAATGACGTCTTGGTCACTCTCGCCGTGGATTGGAAAATAGAACTTCGTGAGAGGGATAGCCTCGCCAGCTTTCATCTCGTAATTCCATACCATGGGGGTTGCGGTGGAGTCTTCGCCGTCATCAAAGCCACCGTTAAATTCACGATGCCCTTCGGACAACTTGGTCAGCTCCCAAAGCTCCTTGAGATACTTAAGACCCTGTTGAATAACAGTCGAGTTGGCTCGCCCACCTAGGGTCCATATTTCCTCTACCTTGGACCAGACAACGCTATTGTGAGAGCTATAGAGCTTGAGGCGCGATCGAGCGGGATCAACACAGTCAAAGGACCAGAAAGCAAACTGGCTGTATCCATTTGACTCTTCCAAATACGAGTTCACCATATCAAATGCGGAAATGGGGCCCATTTGCGCCGCGAGAGGCTGGATTGACTCAGCTATGAAGTTCCCAAACCCTTTTTTATTGAGAGTGCATTTGATAGCGGGAAATGTGTAACCCTTGACTGAAATCGCTTTTTCCTTCAGATCAAACCCAAAAGCAGCCTGGGAGGTTAGATCGCTTCCTTCAATCTTCTTCTCCTTGAGAAGCTCTTTCTCTTGGCCATTGACAGTATGAGTATCCAGGAAATATCGGAACAGTGACGGGTCGAATCCAGGTATATTCAGTATTTCAAGCTGGTTCAAGAGACCAACAACTGGTAATTGGTTGTAGGGGTCAATATCTGTTCCCGACGCCGCAGTGACCGGTTCGAATCCGATGCGAACCACAGGGTCGACGTCTCCCCGTTGTTGGTAGTTGACGCTGAACTCTAGTGGCAGTCCACTGCGGGTAATTGCGCTGCGAAATTGATATGGGTAGGGACCCAGAAGCGGTATCAGGACCTGGATGTAAAATTTCAGAGCCTCTAGGCGCCGGGCAGGGTTATAGCCCGCCGAAGCTAAGATTTTGTCGAACAGTCGGCCGGTCTTCTCCCACCAGACTCTCTGGTGACTATCAGTGAAGACATAGTATCGGTCCAGTACGTTGAAAGTTGCGCAATTGGGGGAAGTGAAAGGTTCTTTTGCCAGCGTGTCTTTGGACGCATAGCCCTCAGCCTTTTCAATGGTCATGGTGATTCGAAACTGTGAAGATGAATAGAAGGATCAACTTATCATCGATGTTGCTTTTGCCTTGACATAAACCTTTTTCTGGGCACAAATGCTATTTGAACAGGTCAAGATTATGACAAACTTTCTCTACGGGTCCCGGGATGCATCTCATCGACGAAGCGAGCAGGACCACGTAACAGAATGACTACTTGACCGCCATTTCTGTCCCAAGACGATTGATTATCTGCATTTACTTGCTTTGCTGCTTCGTGTGGCTCAGGGTTGTACAGCGTCTTGCAAGTTGCGGGGCCATCTAAGGCAAGGGGCAATGCAAAAAGATAGATGCTCACGCCATGGGAAAATACGCAGTCAATCACACTGTGCATTGCACCAACAGCGCCGGGAATTACGCTGCTATGACTTTGGCGAGTTGATGGGTGTGCATCCTAGATGGCTAGGCTTTCTAATTGCCACATTCTATCAATGTACGGATAATGACTTGATTACCTCGACGCTCGTTTTGGACAAATTGGATACGTCATATGTACACTATGAGTGAAATTCGCCTCTCAGTTTCCTCTTCAAGCCGACAGCAACCCCCAGTGCTATCCAACTCGCGCCGGCGGCGGACGATTTTTCTACAAGTTGCATACACGCCTGCCTCATGCTGTAGCATGCCCGCTTAACACTTCGGAGACTTGGTCCGTGAAATTATGCAGATGGCTGGCGAAGATAGCAGGTATGATGTACTGGATGCGGCCTATTCGCTCGAGACTCTGAATATTTTCGAGTAGCGAGTTTGGCATGATGTCTGCGGGCATGATGTCTGCGGGCATGATGATATATGGTTGGTTTTCGCGCCGTTGGCCGCAAATTGTAGAGCATGACCACTGTAAGGGATTGAGAACGCAGGTATCAATGAGTAAGGATGCGCTGCACTGTGCAGTTAGATATACAAACTTCGTAAGCTTGGTCTACACCTTCCGCGTGCGAGTATATTACCCTTGAATGTGAATGATGATGCAGCGCTACACTGGGGCAACATCAACAATGCCAAAGAGCCAATGCGTCTAACGGAACATGATCTGTATGTTACACCTAAGCCCCTTCGACAGAACCTCACGATGACTAGATGGTTTGTCATTGGCAGTTTCAATTGATTCCCAGTTTCCTTCCACATCGTGCGAGGAGTACAAGACATGCATCAAGTAAAAATGTAGGGTCTTGTACCTAGGGAACCTTGAATTCTTTAAGGAGCGGCTACAAAGCGGTGAAGTAATGCGATTGAGACGCAATGACCTATCGACACGGGTACGCTGGATGCGCATGACACTGCTGTTGAGTGAGCGTCGCCGCACCCCGGATCGCCTGAGTAGTCATCTCGGATGCTACTCCCTCGGGAAGCCGGTGGCCATCGCTGCTAGATTTGTCGTAGTCATCATCACTGTCACTTCCATAACCCAAGCCAGCGCAGATTTCATCTTGGCGAAAACTTGGCGAAAATGCCACCTGGGAGGAATTGAGCGCAGACGCAGTGTGCACGTGCATCCCCGCTAACCACATCACAACCCCCCCCCAAAAGCCAATAGAGCGGTGGCGAGGTCAAAACATTTGGTATACTCCGCCCAGGGTTCCGTCTCGGAGATTATGGCAGCTCATTCGTAAAGAGCAGCTACATCACTGCATACGGCCCATGTAATCAGCCAACCCTGCTCAATGCCATTGTTTCTATTCACCTGGTGCGCAATTCTGTAGCCCGAGACGCCTGACTAAGCTTACCAGCATTCTGGGTCTGGACCTTGAGATGTGCAAGGACTGTACCTCATGCTATCTCATGCCTTGCAGATCACACAAGAAGTCGAATGGATCGGCATGATTGCAGCCGACAAAAATGTATCGACGTCTCAAGCGACGGCGTGCTTCCGCTCTTTTGGGTAGATTTCAATGTGAGGAACGTTCAGTGGGGGCTGAAAAGGCTCGTGCGCTTGTGCAAGCGCTCCACTGTGGCTTCCGAACGGACCGTAACCTTGAAGCACGGTGTATGCTAAGGTATTTATGTGGATACCACCAGACTTAGACACTAAGCCTAATGTGGAAGACGGTCTCCCAAGTTTGGCGTCGGCTTTTTCAATTGTCGTGTTCAATTATTTCCTGCCTTGATTTTAGCGATTTGGACAGGTCTATCATTGGCGGTGGTGGCTGCGATGGCGGCAAGGAGGCTATGCAGGACTGCTTGCCGGATTTTGCGCGCGGGGTTTCAGCTGGGCCAGCTGGGTCAGCTCCTGTGTAATGGGGCTGCAACTGGTATTTGTGTCGTATTAGACCTAAGTAAAACATTCTTAAGGCGCTTGATTTCATTGGCTGACCGTATAATGGTATCCATGATGTCGTTGGATTGCACTAGGGGATTGTTCACCGATGCTTTACAGAGGGAATATGTAGAGATCATGATCACTGTGTATTGGTGTCACTTTAAAATGCCGCTCGAGGGATTATGCCCATTTAGAGAATATTGGGCAGTTTGCCCTAACGGCACACAAGCACATGCAGTCTAAACGCAATCATTTATGACCGACAAATTGAAACTGGTGCTTCGTGACAAGTCATTGTGCCAAATCAAGTTAGGTCCAGAAATTCTTTTAAATTTGTCTCTTAGCCACAATGGTTTCTCGTTTTAATGTGCATGCAGATCGATCACCGTTCTCTTGCAGAAAATACAAGTGGGAGGCCCTGCACCCCTTGCATGCAAAAGCACGTGAATGTTGAGTCGATTCCAGACATATCCTTGGTAGAATGACAATTGTGATTGCTTTGAAATATCTAGCCAAGTCCCGCCTTTTTCCTACGGGAAAATACGTTTCGCGAGAGTGCTTGAATTTCTTGCGTGTATATTATCTAGTGGGAGCTGAACACCGTCATTATTTTCTATCGAGATGACCGTCTTGACTGGATCGAAACCTCCCTGCGGGGCAAGTTCACAGAAACCTCAGAGCACAGAACCAGAGATATACTGTTCCCTAACAGCATCCCTCGACTTCAGCAACGACGCAGAAGAAAAATGGTGGACACGAACAGCTCCTCTGCTTTCCAGAATCCTCGATGCAGCCGGGTACACGCTTCCCCAGCAATGCCAGTTCCTGACCCTCTACAACACACTTATGATCCCGAACTTCGGGCCTTATCCTCATGTATGGCACTCCTCGATAACGCACTCTGGGCTTCCTGTGGAGTTTAGCGTCAATTATCAGCCCGACAAGCAGCCAACCGTGCGTATTGGTTTCGAACCTGCCTCGTCCATTTCGGGCACTACACGGGACCCTTACAATATGATCACCGTGTCAAATGTCCTGAACAAAATGTCCGGGCTCAACTTCAAGGGCTTTGACCCATCTCTGTTCCACCATTTGATCGGCTCACTTACCCTCTCGAAGAAGGAAAGTGATCTGCTCCAGGGCGCGAAGCTTGAAGGCTCCAAGTTCAAGACGCAGGTGGCTTTTGGGCTGGATCTCAAAGGTGACGCCGTGACAGTCAAAACTTATCTTTATCCTGCGTTGAAGTGCAAGACCACGGGACTCGCATTTGACAAACTTCTGGAGAACGCCCTCTCTAAGCATCAGAATGTGCACGATTTTTCTCGGGTGCTCTCAGTTGTCAATGAGTACATGGAGGAGGGGCAGTGTTATAATCAGTACTCATTCGTTGGATTTGACTGCGTGGACTCTTCAAAGTCCCGAGTGAAGATCTATGGGGCTTTGCTAGATATATCTTGGAAGAAAGTGGAGGAGGTGTGGACACTTGGCGGACGACTGGCGAAAAGTGAAACCAACAAAAAGGGTATTGGGTATATGCGGGCCCTTTGGGAGTACCTGACACCCGGAAAGGTGAGATCATAAACCGGTAGCCGCGGCTCGTGTGACTGACAAGGTGGTTAGGAACGACGCCCTGTGGGAATCTGGAATTACGAGCTTTTACCCGGAAGTGGAGAGCCGATGCCCAAGTTCTACGTGGACATGCATGGCGAGAATGATTGTCAAAATGCGCTGGGCATATCAAGGTTCCTGCACCATATTGGCTTGACGACAAAAGCTGAAGGCTTCATCAGAGAAATCCGGGAATATTTGTACGGCATCCTTGCCCTTTGTTGCAAACATTGTAACGTGGCCTTCGCTAACCAAAACTCCATGCAGCCCCGGTCTGAACCTTGAGGAAACAACTGAAGTGATTCAGTATGTATCATTTGCCTGGAGTAAAGATGGACCTTATTTTAGTGTTTATTACCTATCGTCCTACTGAACCGGCAGGTTAGAGAATCGATCAATGGACCATGGTCAGTAGCTCTTACGTGGCTCATATTAGTCATACATTCAGTGACCCGCCATGATTGTCGGCCCTTGCGGGATGAACCTAGCCTCTTTTTTCTGCGCGAGTGACTGCTAGGAAGGTCACCTAGCTTGGCGGTGAAAAAGGATGACAGATGAAGCTTTATATGCCCGAGGTGTCTCATGTACATCCTGATATATGTATCTTCGGTTGTCTAAAGTACAAGATAACTACTGATCTTTTCTGATTCCTTCGCTCTTCAGCTTCGATACTCATTTTTTTGCTTCACTATAAATCTTGAGTCACTCTTGCGACGACAGCTTGTGTATGTGTTCGCTGAGTCTGCGTGATCAGAATGCTATGTCGTCCCTCTTCCCTGAAAAGTCCTGGTCCACTGACCAATTGGCTTGATTCTTGACGAAATTATGAAGGTTTAAGATGAGGAAGCCTTTGTCATCGTTTATGCCGGATTGGCACTGTTGTAGATTAGCTAGAACCTGACCGCTACTTGACTTACATCGCCCTCTTGTGAAAGTGGCCCATTCTACCCATAGACCTGGTAATAGATCTCTCGGACAAATTATTGGAATGGTGAAGTGAAGTAGTGTCTCAGCTTGATTCTGATCTTTGTGAATGTGGTGTCAACATCTGTCTTAGTCTAGCTGTGCTCCAGGGGTGCTCTCATAATTCCACTCTACTTCCCGATCCAACATACATCAATCACCGCCATTCGCACCCAATCTTCCCGGCTGAGATAGCATGTCATCCTAACAGGCTCATACAGCTGTGGGAAGCGAACTTCATTGCTCTTTCGGACAGCCGGACACAGAGACGGATTAGGACATTGTTCACTGATCTACGCCCTTACTACGAAGTGTAACCTTTGGCTCTAATGTAGTGTACCACTAAGCTTTATAGACTGGCTTTTTCAAGTGCTCTTGACCCACAACATTCCGAATCCCCAATTGTGCACGTAAATCGTCTGGCAGGTTCGTGGCGTGATACTCTCTTCCCATATGGACTGCCTTTACCACTGTTTCGAACTCCTGCTCAGTGTAAGCCTGGCTGTCGTGGCCATAGATCCACGTCTCGAGCGGAAGAGAGGCAATGTTTTGTTCGTCTGGCTCATAGGCATCCCAGTCTTGATTCCGCCAGCCTTCATTCACGCGATGGCTTATCAGCTGTACAGCCGAGGCTCGAGCATAGCGTATCCTTTCAGTGACGCGGAGAGCTAAGGAGACTTGTTTTCTTCCGGCCAGAGACAAAGTAGTAGCTAGGACGTTTGCGTCTTCTATTCCCTGAGACGCGCCCTGCCCTGCTGCAGGGAGAGGGGGTGCGCCGCGTCCCCAATAACAATCAGTCGACCATTGCTGGATACCCAATGATCTAAGGGGTTATGATTCAATAATGGGTAGTTAATAAACTTTTGAGGCTGGGTATGTCGAATCACGGACCAGAGGCGCTGCCCAATGGGCCAGAACTTGATCAGGTTCAGCATCTCGTTGGGGTCGGCAGGGGAGGTCCAGACATCTTGGAGGTCTCTTGTATCCTACAGACTTCGTCAGTTTAGATCTTATGTATGGGACAGAGTATCATACCTGATGAATGCAGAACCAAGAAAAGAATTTCCCTTTATTGCACGACTGCAGAGCAATTTGCGCGCCAGAAAGGAAGAAGACATCAAATCGATCAGCCTCTTGAACTCCTTCAAACACCCAGCTCGCTTCGGAGTCACCCTTGAGTTTCTCCGTATCTACCAGAGCCCGAAAAGCAGCGTACCCAGACGGACGAGGCTCAACAGGTTGCGGCATGATCGTCTTCCGCATTTTGCTGTGCACACCGTCGCTGCAAATGATACAGTCACCTTGTAGTCTTCGTCGCTCGCCAGCTCGGGAAATGATGACAGCACTGGCGCCATCTTCGTCTTCGAAAGGGTCACAAACTTCCACGCCGAGGCTTATTTGGACCCCGATCTTGAGCGCGTGCTCATACATGACTCGGATGAGCTCTGACCGCGGGAGGAGGTAATTTGGTCGCTTGCAGACTTCGGATAGGTCCTGTCGGATGATCGCACGGCCGGAAGAGTTATGTATATTTATTTCCTTGGACGACACCATCCAAGGTCGAAGAGTTTCGTGGATAGCACCAGCGCCCCATCGTTCGATGATGCGCGTTGCGTTGCTTTGTAGACCAATACAGTCTCCTACACAAAGGTTCGTCGTAATATTAGCTTCCACTACCAAGTTTGCGGGCGGGAACCTTACCAATGGGCTTCAGTATATCGCTTTTGTCAAAGGCCTGGACACTATGGCCCTTCTCTCGACACTCGATCGCTGCGGCAAGTCCGACGATTCCCAGGCCGACAATGATCACTTGGACTTCTTCACACAAGGAGCCCATTTTCGGAAATTTTTGGGGGTGTCAATTTCTGTGCTGAAGTTTCCAGTCAGAATTGATGCGGTGCTTGGAATGATGGAGAAGAGGTCCAAACAATCGTTTCTAAAATCTCGTATGACCTGAGGGCCACTACTGTACGTGACCAAGTTGTTTAGAATGTAATTGATTCAAACAGGCTTACGAGACCGGAATTACTGTAAGTATGACTGTCATTTGACCGATATTGACTAGCCTTCGCAATGTTCTGCTAGAGACTGGTATATACGTGATGAATGCGTGGTAATGCAACGCGAATGATATTTTATAAAACATTGGCCAGGTACAGTATGTTGAGGCAGCAAGGAGGAAACAATGTCAGCTCCACAGCCTTGCATTCCATTTCGAGCGCACTCTTGATCTTTGCCATTCTTATATCAAAAAGCAACGTGATATTGCAGAATTCCTCTCCCGAAATGTGGCAGTGAGGGAGGTTCACCTCCTTTGATGGGAGCAACTCGACGCAAGCCACGCTCGATCTGGGATACTACAACGATGCGTCTATGCGTCGATGGTTCGTGACTCAACGAGAGTCGGTGAGCATCATGTGTTTTACATGGATCATGTATACAGGTTGCCTTAGTACCTTACTGAGAACTCCTGCAAGGTTGTGATGCAGCTTGCTGGGTACTTCAGGTAATAAAATATGCATCATTATAAATAACTTCCTGTGTAACAAGGGACAACAGGCGTAATGAAGGAGGAAACAGGCAAGGGACTCCGAGACTGCTCGATCGAGACGGTCTTTTGAAATTTCACTAGTCCATTGCCTATTACATATAATGCCATTACTTTTTCTCCGTCTGTACCTAAGGTAACGCCGTTTACGGACATCATGATCATGAGTCAAATGAATCAAGATGCGGAAGACTATTTCCGCGTGTGGAAGCCTGAGGAAGCGAAGTCAGATCATCAAGAAAATCCCGTAGAACTCGACGTAAGTGACCAAGAGTGAATTGAGGTGAAACTATGATCAAGGCCATTGACTTTTGTCAAGCGACGGAAAGCTGCTCAGGATGCTCTGGCTGTCCAGTTGGTTCCCCTCTCCGGCTCTGCAGAAGACGCCAGCCACTAACGCTACTTCACTGGATGAAGATACTACAACCTGGTGACTTCGATCTTTCAAAAGTCCGGCCGCATGTGCGGACACCTCTGCCGTCTCTCCCCGAATGAACCCATGGCTCAGTCCCTGGTCCGCCATGAACACTATCTCGCCCACCGCGTGAACATGCAAGAGGGCGAACGAATTCTTGACGTGGGATGCGGCATCGGTAATCCAGCACGGTCAATTGCACGATTCACCGGAGCGAACATCATAGGTCTGAACATCAACGCGCAGCAACTTCGGCAGGCGCGTCAGTTGACTCAGGAAGCCGGGCTAGGCTACCAGGTTAACTTCGTCGAGCAGAACTTCCTCAAGATGGATTTCGCAGATAACACATTCGACGGGGCATACGCCATTGAGTCGACTTGCTACGCTCCCGACCTTGTGGAGGTCTACAGCGAGATCTTCCGCGTGATGAAACCAGGCGCCAGATTTGGAGTGTACGAAGCTCTCCTAACGGACAAATACGACAACAACAACCCCATCCACCGGGAGGTGAAATCTAACATCGAGCGCGGCGGCGGTTTAGCTAGGATCCACACTTCAGCTGAGGCTATTGCCGCGATGAAAGCTGTTGGCTTCGAGGTGCTTGCGATTGACGACCTCGGTGCTCGGCCCGACCAAATCCCGTGGGAGACGCAGCTGTCTGACCCGCGTCTGGAGAAGCAGGGGCTGTTGTCATTTGTGCTGTTGAGCATTTTCTTTGCGGCGAGGGCTTCGCCGCTTGTTAATAGGGGCTTGCAGGCTCTTGTTGGAAAGCTGGAGCAGATGACGGTTTTTCCTGCGGGTTCCCAGAAAGTTGTGGATCTTGTGGTGACAATTCTGGATGGGATGTACCGTGGCGGGGAATTGGGGATTTTTTCACCGATGTTTTTGATCATAGCAAGGAAGCCAGAGGCATAGTCAGTAGTTAGAAAGATGTGTTGGCATTAGACTACTCTACTATCTCAGAGGGGATGATATGAGCCTCGTGGTGATCTATCTCCGTTGGACTATGCATCACACAAATAAGGAATGCAGGCACTGAACGTTTTGTTACCATGCCTCGATTGTACCTAAACCCAGCCTTCAATTATTATAAAGGTACCTACAGCGTTTCCTCATGATAGAAAAGCAAATTGGACTTCTTTTCAAGGTTACCAGTGAAATGTGGGAGCAGTACGGTCTGATGAACTTTCTCTGATAGGGGCTTCTGAAATAGTGGTAATTGCTACCAACGTATGGGATAGTGAAGGAGTGATGGGGATTTACTAGCAATAGACGAATGGTTCTTCCAACTGGCTCATTTCTATAATGGTCACTGCTTTCTATCTAGTAACAAACTATCCATGACAAATTTTCGAGTGAGGAAAACCCATGAAGACGTAGCACAATTATTGCCCAGGGGCATTCTTTTGGCTCCCCCAATATGCAAATGGCGGAGTTCATGGGCTTGCTCGCAAAAACAACCCATGGACAATGTCAATGCATATTTGCGGGGCTTTGGAAATATTCGGAGTCTTGGCAGAAAACCACTCAAAAAACTTCGCTCCCATGATACAAAGGGCGTTCCAGCCACAAGAAGATAAAAATATGTGCTGTAGCAGCTTTATTAACAACTTTGGGCTACGGCAGCGCCACCAACGGAAACGAGCTGGCTAAATCCGCAGCCACAATGCAATCACAATCTTGGGTTCCACCAGGGCGGGGTGTGATGGATAGTACTGGCTACAAGACATTTTCCGAATTGATTAGGCGCAATAACAATGAATAAAGCGGCGCCTAGATCTTAACGAACAGAGCGGATGGCGTTGCAGTTGCCATATCGTCCTGCGGTAGCGAGCCCCGCGCGGCTACGAGCGGTAGTGACAAGGGCTGATGCAGACGAGAGACTGAAAATCGTTTCGTTTGGGGCATTCAATATGGAAATCAGCTTGTACACATCCTCCAGCCGATACAGGCGATGACGGTTCCCACGTAAATCAATAGCATGTAGTCTCCCATGATGTTGCCGGCGAAACCGCCGATCGAGATACACATGCCTATCGCGGCAATTGTGGGGATATATGACGCCCGCTTTCATGGCTGAACTTTACGGCCTACATCCTCATTGAGGCAAACATTGCGTCGGTAGTCAATGTTCCTAGAGATGAGAGAGGTTTGGTAGACTTATGTAAGATGGCATCATATAACGTGGTCGGTAAGCGAGTGACGCATGTAAGCGAGTGACGCACCCGCCCACTTTTCCGCATCTCCGCGCGTCTATCTATCTTCTATCAACCACCATGCCTCCAATTTGCGTCGGATCAAGCCAGGATTCTATCCAGCAAGAGGGCCGTTTATCAATTGCTATATAAGCTATTCAAAATACGGAAAATACGTCTATACGCGAGACGGCACGTCGTTTTAATATACCTAAAGCTACGCTCCGCCGTCGACTACGCGGTATTACAAACCGCGCTGAATCTCGCGTAAATGGTCATGAAGAGGATATACTCCAGTAACGGATATTATCGCTTAATCTACGCGGTGTAGCCCCTACGCAAGCTCACGTACGAGAAATAGCGAATATTCTACTTACGAAGCGCGGTTCTACCCCTATCCAGACTGTCGGCGAAAAATAGGTATATAACTTCACCTAGCGCTATCCAGAGCTCAAAGCTCGCTTTTCTCGACAATATAATTATTAGCGGGCCGAATAAGAGGATCCAAAGATTATTCGTGCGTGGTTTAACCTCGTATAAGCCACAATTTAGTAATACGGTATCCTACTAAACGATATCTATAACTTTAACGAGACTGGCTTCGCGATAGGCCTCTATATAGCCCAAAAAGTAATTACCCTATCAGAATACTATAGTCGGAGATTAGTTTTATAGCCAGGAAACCGCGAGTAGGTTACTATAATTAAGTTAATTAATACCTCGGGGTAGGCGCTTCCACTAACGCTTATTTTTAAAGGTAAGCTATATAATTAAGTATAGTTTAAAGACCTTCTACTTAACTGGCGCTTCGAAGTTAGTATAAATAGATAGATAACCGACGAGATAGGCCTTCGCTGGCTTCAAAAATAATTTATTCCGTTAATAAATTATCGTAGGCGTAGAAGATATCGACTTTTAGTCCTCGACGGACACAGAAGTTATTTAACGCCAGAGTTCGATCAAATCTGCGCGGATTATAATATTATCCTAATCTATATACTACCGTATTTCTCGTATCTACTTTAGCCTCTTAATATCGGATATTTCGCTGTTTAAAGCGTTCGTACGGTAATTTAATCGACCAGAAGATATAGCTCGGGATTAACTATATTAATAAACTTAATTTCCTTTTTATATATCTATAAGCTCGCGTCGATATATATAAATTAAATATAATATAGAATAGCTTCCGAGTAGTAGGATTAGTACTAATTAATCCTTAATAAGTGCTATTAAAGCTAAATATTTAACTTCGGACGCCGACACCTCCTATAAGCCGCGGTAGTCAATTAAGCGCGTTTTACCTATATACGCCCGCGAATATCGATAAGCTTTTAAAGTAAGTATCCTTAATTAAAGCTTTCTTAAAGCGACGCTTAAAAAGTCCGCTATCGCCTTCGCAAATCGCGTTAAACTAGCTTATTAAAGGCTATCAGATCGCAATATAAAACGGTATACTTCTCGAGTAAGAAAATAAGTAGTTACGTGCCGTAAACGCTACGTAAAAGCAAAAGCGTGCTCGTAAGAATAGATAGATAGCCCACAATAATAGTCTATCCGTACGAGAAGTATTAGAGCTCGAAGAAGCTTATAAGGAGCCCTCGTAGGCAATACTAGCTCCACTAAGCCTACTACCGCGGGATATATAAGTACCGAAGACGCGGCGTCCACTCCAATACACTAATTGCGGACAGATCGGACATAAAAGGAATATATATAAAGCTAGAGATCAATTAATATAAAGGCGTTCTAGTTAATAAAAGTGTTAAGATATAGAGAAAAAGTGGGCGGGTGCGTCACTCGCTTACATGCGTCACTCGCTTACTGACCACGTTAGTTAGCACGGAGCAGAAATGTGCAGTGCTGCTGCGCAGCTGAATCATCTTTGTTATTAGCTTGAGCAGCACCGTCGCCTTCTTCTGCTTCCATCAATAGATAGTAGCCCACCGTGCTAGCCACACCTCGGAAAAAATTAATTAGAAAGTGATCCAGGGAACATTCAATGATACTTTTGAAGCGACCACACTATTGGTGAACAAAAGACAATAGCCGGTCCAAAGATTGGCAGACCTACGAGATTAATATTGGAATAACAGTGGACAGTGGCCCTAAGATATCAATGATCGCGCTAACTGTCTCTTACGGCGAGAAAATTGCACCGCTAGCTATGAAATTACCCCACCCGGTAGCTTAATGTAGAGCACCATCTCTAGGTGAGACGGTTTGTGAGCGCCCCGCCAATCTTGAAGACCATTCGGGCCTCTACCCCTAGGGCAAGACCCAAAGGAAATTCCCAGCGGGCCAACAACATCGGAGATCTCAGCTATTCCTGTTCTCAAAGCGTTGAATAATTCGCGTTTCTCAAGCAGCACTGTCTAATCCATGATCAAGACAGCGCCGCAAAAGCCCCCTCCACCATCGAGCCCTGGAATCGTGCGGAGAGGAAGCAATACGGTTGACGTTGGAGCAAGACTAGAGGTGGAAGACCTAGGTCTAACAGGAGGAAACGCCGCGATGGATACGCATCTCGAAGAATATTGCGGGTACAGCCTTCCGAGTAGCAGTTCCATGGACCAGATCTTGAGAAAGAAGACACTGCCGTAACATTCGAGGCCACCTACGGGTTTGAAGTCCTGCAAACTTTCGGTATGGCTGTTGCAAGAATATTACTCTCCTGCGGCAAGATCTGCTTGTGCTTGCAGGAACAGTGAAGTCCATTGGGACATAAATCTAGTGGCCCTGAACATATCGGTACACAAAGCTGTTGTCAACTAAGCATTTATCCAAATGCGGTAAATAGGGCTCTAGAACGTGCGAGCCGCCTCGCCAGTCTTGGAGCACTCGTTTGTTCGTCAGACGATGACATAGACCTCTAAGGATCAATTGTTTATGTTAATCTGCTCAAATGCTCATTCCAGAGTTAGTTTTGAGTCCATGCAAAGCGACCGGCTTGTTGTATAACGGCACAAGACGTCGGTAATAATGTGAAATGAAAGGACACCAAGGCAAGCTTTGGCATAGCAGTGAGTGTACTAGTGAAAGGAAGCATTTCATCGTCTTGCGTGGTTCTGCTTTCCTCTCGAAACACTCGAGTAGAGCTGAGCCCCTTTTGGGATTTTCTTTCCCTCTCAACAGAAGTCTATTACGTCTCTTATATCATCTTTTAATCATGTCGACCAGACATCGGAAGATTCCGCGATGCGCCATCCGAGACTTCTCAGTCTCTCCCTGTGAATGATTCGACCAAGAATCCCCGAGGTCAGTATAAACATTGTGACCATTCTCCGTGAATGGCCCCTTCACCCGCGAGGGGCTAAAAGACAGAAAGTCATGAGGCATATAGTGCTCACATGCTCGTGCAATATAGGCCAAGGAAATGATAGAGTGCTTCTTCAATTTTCAAGTTGTCGGACGTGCTTGGGTTATGACGTGCTTCACACCTATATAGCATACATGATAGATGGAACATCTCCTGTTCGTACTTGACCCATGAATTTCTATTACCTAACTAATCACAACCCATCCCACTACATGATGGCTCAACTATTTGCTCTAGCATAAGTTGAGTCATGCTGCGCTGGCTGCTGTATCTTTCGCACGAAGCCTCGCCGCTTGTTGCGCAATTAGATCCTGAAATGGGAACGGCTCGATGGCTGTCTGGCGATGCAGACTGGATAACACACACATACACACTACCTGCCTGGTGTAGAGGACGCTAGATGAGGCCGTACTGATACCCTATTGCGGCCGTACGGGATAATCTTAATACTATATTATAAATAGAAGAAATAGGGTAAATCCTAAATACATTAGGTAGATAACTTATCTATCTATAGGTGTATCTTAAAGATAAATTATATACTATAGATATTAAATTATGCCTAAGGCTATATATAGGCTTATTAGGTTATTAGTTCTCTTACTATATATTATCCCTCCCTATAAAATTAACTATCTGATAGTTAAGTGTAATTAATTTAGAATATAATAAAAGTAAAGAAAGATAGGACTACAATATTTATTCCCTATCGCTATAAATATTATATCTCTTTTTTATTATTATTATTCATCGGAGATATAATTTTTAGATTAGGGGGACTAATATATAATCTTAATACCTTATAATAAAAAAAAGAGTCCTTCCTAAATATTAGCTTCTTTACCTTAATTATATCTCTAAATAATTAGGTATATATTTATTATACCTTTTTTCTCTATAAGATAATATAAGCGGTTACTATAGCTTTATTCGGTCCGAAGAGAATATCTAACTTAGCTAATATATTAAGGTCTATTTAGCGACTATAACTAACTAATGTAGTGGGAGAACTGGTGACATAATGAGCCTATGTGTGGCCTCAGGCATGATTTAATGTCTGCAGTGCATAGTACATCTCCAGACACACTTAGAGAGAGAAAAGTCATCTACCTAATTCATTCAGGATTCACCTAATTTCTTCTATCTATAATGCAGCATTAAGATTATCCCGCACGGCCGCAACAGGGTATCAGTACGGCCTCATCCAGCATCCTCTACACCAGACAGGCAGTGTGTGTGTGTGTGTTGTCCACTCTGCATCGCCAGACAGCCATCGAGCCGTTCCCATTTCAATATATATATACTACCTACTTAGTATAGAGGACGCTAGTTAAGGCTATACTGATACCCTATTACGGCCGTACGAAATAAACTTAATACTATATTATAAATAGAAGAAATAGGGTGAATCCTGAATAAATTAGGTAGATAACTTGTCTATCTCTAAGTGTGTCTTGAAGATACACTATGCACTGCAGACATTGAATGATGCCTGAGGCCACACATAGGCTTATTAGGTCACCAGTTCTCCCACTACAATCCTCAATTAACCCTCAGTATGCCGTAGCATGGAGGAATTTGTCTATCACAGGATCAGCACACTAGTGCTTACATGATTTTTTTTTGCAGGAAGTAAGTTCCTTAGATCGACAGTACGGGCCTTAAAAGGAAGGATGTGAAAGTGTGCAGTGCTGCATGAACTAGAATTCCTAACGTGAACATATTTGCCGCCTTCTTGAGATATGGTTTGTATTTAAGGTGTTGTGTGACACTTACATGGGACAAAAGGGTTGTGGCTGGCGTCGTGGCTGGCGTAAGACGAAATGCGAGTCTTAGAAACGGGCAATTTGCAGCTGCAACATTAAACCTCGAACAAGGCGATCATATGAAATTCTTGCGATTGATTTTCTGCCACTGAACTCAAATATCTACCGGGCGTGGTTCTGCCATACTCCATGCAAAGACCGTCTACATCAGTCGATGCGATATCCATCTCGAGTTGGGCTGTATTTACTCCGCTTGCTGCTTGTTCACTTACCGCTTGTTCAATGAGGATTTATCCTCTACCGATCGACCCTATCACCTTTATTCCCGACGACTTCTGGATTGACATCTGAATCTCCATCCTGGACAACGTGCAACCCTTGCTCCCCACTCATGAACACGGCAGTGGCGGAAGCCATGGAGATGAGTCTAGTAAATGGAGTTAGAACTCCGCAAATTCGGCATACGTTTGAGCGGCCGGGATACTCACTTTGCCGCAGATTATTGGCGGTCCATCAGTTATCCAATCCGGGGGGCGTTCTCGCTTCAACAACATGCGTAGGGACACTAACTAGTATGGAGGCGTAGCGTTGGCGTTGTTGGATATGGCCGATGCGTGGCCGTGTGTATTGCTAGAATACCAGATATAGTGATGAGTCTGTGAAGAGGACTATGCAAGATTGACTGCCATAGGAATGAGTAGAAGCAATTCTGAAGAACGGTCACTGTATTTGGCCACTGTGTTGTACGTACTGAAGGAGTATTGAAAACGCTAGAACAGCATTCACAGGTCTCTATTCCGGCTTCTTGGTTTTGTTTGCTCGACTCGTCAAGATAAATTTCAACGTAATTCATAGGGATTAGCAGATGAATTGTAGATTAAAAATTGATTTTACCATGATTTGATCCAGAAGAGTGAAGCAAAGTCCTGATCGAAAGGTTTACCACTCCGAAAAAAAGTTTTTTCTATGGGTCTACAGTAGCACTAAGCAAGCATTTATTACATGTCACGCAAAGCGCCTTACTCTGGGGGTTCGGTCCCTGAAAGCACTAGTGATCCTTAAATTACCAAAGAGGGTTTACTAAGCACCTGCGATCCTCAGTCGGTAGATGATGTGAAGGTCACAAATAGCCCTTGGAACCATAAAAGGCTATGAAACGTACCGAAAAGCCTTCTGAGAATTGTTGTGTTTAAACTGCTTGTATAGAATTACGTAAACAAGGATTTATGCACCTGTCTACCCCTTGCACACAATGTGTAGGTAAAATAAAGATGCCATTTAACACTAGATACGCGATCCATGGTCATCAGACACACTGCGACCCATGGTGAGGTTAGGTGAGGTTCTTTTAATTGTATCAATCCGTATATCCGTCATGGGATGAAGGAAGCATAATTAAACTTGAATTCTCCACGAAGAAGTCCAGGCATGTGGAAGCACTCCGCATTGTGAAGCAAGGGACGGTCGGTATGTAATGTTGGTGACCAAGACTTTCTTCAAAACTTACCACACCATGCAGGAACATGCAGCCGGCACGCATATTCTAGCCGAGCACTGGTACATTGGAATGACTACTCAAGAACATGTGACTGAATGAAATAAGTACAGTAATTTGGGGCGTAAGTCCATTGGGCTCTGTAGCTTTATAAAATATTTTGGTTACCTGCAAAACGGTAGGCTGCTATCCTGCATTAACACCAAGGACACCCATCGTTTGTCTAAGGCCCCCAGTCTACACTAATCCTCCCAACCTCCAAGTTTGTGGGACAAGAGGGCAAAGTCTTGTCAAAGGAACCTTGATGAGCTTCACCCTTACAATCGATTGCTGAACCATCACCTCTGCGAGCGATGGACCGCCACCAGATTGACCTGATACAATTGGTACGTAACCCGACCAGCTCAAGCGCGGTACTGCGATCATTCCTTCTGGCATTTATCTTGTACGCGTTCTCCATCGTCGTCAACAGATTATTCTTTCAACCCCTCAGCAAAGTGCCGGGGCCCAAGTTAGCTGCATTGACCAAGTGGTACGGCTTCTACTACAATGTCGTTCGTGACGGCCAGTACTGTCTATCTTTTCCTTCACTTCACAAAAAATACGGTATGTCGAAGGTTGATCTTGTCGGTATCGGTTGGGGCTTAATGCGCGTTCGTTTCATAGATTCACCAGTCATCAGAATCGGGCCCAATGCTGTCCACGTCAATGACCCGAATTTCTATCAGGAGTGAGTCAGTGCATCGAACACATGTGAACACGCAGCTAACGCGTTCACAGGATGTTCTCCATGACGACGAAGTACTACAAAGAGCCCGAGTTTTACAAAGCCCTCGGAGCAGAAGGGGCAATGGCCTCAATCCTAGACCCCAAGAACCACCGCATGTACAGGAACCACCTGCGACCTCTTTTCGCCAGCCGAGCCGTGGATAGAGTAGTCCCTTGTTTGCGTCTCGAGCTCGAGAAGGCAACATGCATCTTTGAAATGCATCGTAAACATGATCGTCCGTTGAACATACAGGCACTATATCGCTCTTTCACGGTATATATTCCTCTGGAAGGACTGGCCTGTCCCGCAAATGTTAGTACTAACGATTTATTGTATGTATCTAGTCGGATATGGTATGCGAGCTGCTTTTTTGCGAAACCCCGAATTTCATCGGTGAGGGCAATGGGTATCATCCATTCGTTGCGGCGCTGGATCGTTTTACTGCGTTTTCCTGGCTCGGTATGAGATTAATGACGCTTATATTAGGAAGAGGTACTAATCAGGCTGACAGTGGTCTATTTCCCTTGGATCAAGTCGATCCAGTTCCACCTACCCTTTGGCCTAGGCGACAAACTGGCCCCTGAATTCAACGAGTTCAAACGAGTGAGTACCTTCCCTGTGTTAAGGTATTCTATTCACTGACTGGCACGAGCAATGTAAAACCTGGGAGGCAGAATCCCATTTCAAACGCGAGTCAGGCGCTCAGGTAGAACGAAAGAATCTGTTCGACTACTACGCAGAGTTGGACGCTGGTCCTGAGACCGCTGTAAGCGGCGTGGCTCAGCCAGTCGAGGATGCTTTCAATTTCTTGACGGCAGGCACGGAGTCAACGGCATATACACTATCTGCTACAGCATTCCATATCTTGAATAACCCGCATGTGTTCAGAAAGCTCCGCGAGGAGCTGGATGCTTCGATAGAGTTCATACGGGATGACTTCAATGCGAAGCAGATTCAGGCTCTACCCTGACCTGGTATATTTCCTTACCCGGACTCTAGAATTCTGCTTTTGGTTTGCTGTCCTTTGCTGACTATAAAACTACCCAACAGGGAGCCGTGCTCAAAGAAACCATGCGACTATCAACCGCGGTGCCCGGCAACCTTCCCCGGCTAGTGCCCCCTGGGGGGGTCACAGTTGGATCTGTCTATCTACCTGAGGGCGTATGTCTTACCTTATCTTCTCGTAACAATGCTGTACGGGGACTGACCTCTAGCAGACTGTTGTATCCTCCAGTCATCTATCGATTATCCACAATGAAACCATTTTCTACGACCCCTACGAGTTTAAACCCGAGCGTTGGCTGGGTGATGAGGGTAAGGAGCTCGAGAAATGGCATGTCGGATTTAGCCGGGGCCCTCGGCGGTGCATTGGGAGCAGGTGAGTCGATATGCTAGGCTCAGTGGCATATTATTTGTTATTGGGGGCAAGCACTAACAAGATCGCAGCCTTGCATACCTGGAGCTATCTTGTGTTACAGCATACGTATTTTCGCGATTCAAAATGACGCTGTTTGAGACGAATGAGAGCAGCATGCAGTGGGTAGACCGAATTAGTGCGCGCAATAAGAAGGATGTCCAAGTGAGGATATTGGCTGATCGGTGGGGGAGGAGGCACATTCCATAGCCAGTAGCACCTTGTGCAAGGAGTAGGTGGAACAAGCCGATAGTATTCAACTTGGAACAATAGCAAGGCCCAGAGTGTGTCTTGTACAACCTGGAACTACAGCCTTTTTGGAGTTCGTTGTCGACCCCAGGACAAAACTTTGAAGCTCAATTTACACTCTCGATGCCGTAAGCTGAGCTGCACTTGCTGGGTCTCACCGACACTGAATATTACGAGGCGGTTTTCATATGACCCGCAGCTCATCCCTTTCGTGCATGTGCTGGATATTTCTTGCGGTGTAAAACGAGGGAATGCAGACGACCCTTGCAGCGGATCTGCCGTGCTGTGCTCTTCCATTGTCCACGGAAGCTTGGTAATACAAATATTGTGCAATGATCATCGGACCTGTTGATGAACGTGCTCACCATTGCCTTTTCCCTAATATCCTTTCCTATCCCAACATATAGACTTCACGTATACCCCGAGTGCAAACCAAACCTCCCTCGTGCACATCATCTATGAGCATTTTCTAATCTCACGTCTGGAATATGGAACCTCATCATGACGGGCATATTCTAAGAGTGCTACCAATGCTTGCCTCGAACGAAAACTTCCTACGACTGATGACCGCCTTCGTGGCCGGAATAGCTGCACATATCACCATATTCCGGCGGGGAGAATGGGATGTCGCTGCCACCAAGATCCCAGTCGGTCTATGTCTACTGCAGAGCTGCCTATTCGGCTACTACCTCTTCGTCCACGACCCTTCAACCCCAATCTACACTGCCCTATGGCTGGTAGGCCAGATCACCCTGGGCCTCCTAGCCGGAATCAGTGTTAGTATTCTCTCCTACCGCGCTTTTTTCCACCGACTCAACAGTTTCCCTGGTCCATTCCTCGCTCGCCTTTCCATGTGGTACGTCACCAGTCTTTATGCCAGGAACCCGGATGCCTTCAATACCGTGCGTGGGCTTCATCAGCACTACGGCGATTTCGTGCGCACAGGGCCGACAGAGCTCTCAGTGAACCACCCGGAGGCCCTGCACGCTGTCCACTCGGGCCGATCGGAGTGTACGAAGGGGCCATGGTATAGTATGCTCCACCCGTTCATCTCGCTATTTGCAATTAGAGACAAGGCGGAACATAGCCGACGCCGGAAGCCTTGGGAGCTTGCATTTCGACCGAATGGTAGATGGTTCCAATACATCATTTCCTTGTATGGCCGCGCTAACAATAGATAGCGGTTCTGGAGTACGTGCCTGCGCTAGAGGAGGGCACAACTGAGCTCTTGGAACAGGTTGAAAGGCGCAAGGGGCAGTCCATGGATATGACTTACTGGATCAATTTATTTACATTTGATGTAAGAGCCCGCCTCGCTACACCAGCCAAGTCATTCAACTAATGGATCCGGTAGTTGACCGGCCGAATAGCCTTCAGTCAAGAATACAACTGCGTCAAAGACAACAAGAAGCATCCCATCATGGAGATCAACGACTCGTCAAACCTAATCACCGGCGTCGTGAGCCACGTCGTTTGGCTCATCTCGTTCATCAAGGCGACACCGGGCTTGAACGCGAATATGAAGGCCCTCATCGGGTTTTCTGAAGAGCAGGTTCAGAATCGACAGAAAATGCAGACGTACGGGCAGCGGGACGTGTTTTCGTGGCTTTGGGAGGACTTTATGGAGCAGGGATGGAGACGCCACAGTCAAGACTTGATCTGGTGGCCGATGCATCCCTTGTCATCTTCGCAGGCAGGTTAGTATAGCCCTTCCCCTACAATCTCCCCTGGTCAATAGACCCTGACATTTTTCTCCAGTGGAACGGTCGCCGTCACAATCATCGGCTCCCTCTACTTCCTCACCTCCACCTCCCCATACTACCTCACCCAAATTCGACAAGAGCTGAACGCCCTAGACGAAATCAACTCGCACACCATCTCCAAAGTCCAGACCCTCAACGCCGTCATCAACGAAACCCTGCGCCTCCACTACCCTGCCCTCTCCGGCTTCCAACGCCAAACACCCCCAGAAGGTATCCACGTCGGAGGACGGTTCATTCCGGGAAATACCAACATCAAGATCCCTTTTTACACTCTCTTCCGGGATGAGCGCAATTTTTCGGAACCGGAGAAGTTTATCCCTGAGCGCTGGACTACAAAAAAGGACTTGGTGAAGAATCCCGAGGCCTTCGCGCCGTTTTTGCTGGGGCCGTATAATTGTCTCGGCAAGAGTTTGGCGCTTATGCAGGTGAGACATGTGCTCGTGGAGTTGATACGGCGTTATGAAATCGTGCTTGCGCCCGGTGCAGATCCGGAGAAGTATTGGAGAATGAGAACGGATGGGTTTGTGATGGGCTTGGCGCCGTTGGAATTGGCATTTACGGAGAGGGAAGTGGCTGGGGTCTAAGTAGATAGTTGTACATTCAGTAGTTCAACTACTCTGACCCTAGATGGGCGTGGTTGTGCGCTCTGACTGCCATACGAATGGGAGGTTTTTCTTGCGCGCATGCCACCTTGTTTATGTTTCTTGCCATGTAAACCAATGTAACGCCAAGAATATTAAGAGCGGCAACTTGAGCAATTCCCAATGTAAGGGGCACCAGGCTCAGTGACTCTGCAAATTCAACTGGACAAAGGGTGGAAGCAAACATCACGCACTGATCGAACAATTTGTCCCTGTCCTAGTCAAGGTCAGGGCGAAAGGATGAAGGTTAGATAAAGCCACATCGACGACGAACCGCCAACAGTTGAAGATAAAAGCTACCACGGTAATTAGGCAACCGATTAGGTCTTTACAAGAGGCTCTGCTAGTCGGTAAAGTGCAAGAAGCAAGTTTCAGCTCACTAGAACGTTGTGTGTCTCTTGAAGGTTTGTTTTGGCCTGATTTTTCTCAAAGGAGCCGTGTATTTTGGGACGTTTGTCTAAAAGAGAGACCGCGAGATGAACAAATCCTTTCCACAACTTTTGTCTCTCAAAGAGGCCCTCGTCATCTCGTGAGTGCCTAGGAGTGGACTTAGACTACTCACATTAATTCATCAATTTTTCACATATTTTCATCTTCACTTATCCGACAATTTATGAGTCCCTTTTTCTGATTCCAGTGATCTGATAGAAGCTGGCGCCCCCCCTGGTCATCATAATCCTCATCGTCCTCATAGCCGTGATTTTATAACCGCCGTCCTCTCGTGGGGGTAGGGCAGTCATTCCTACCCGTTTAATCAAGGCTTTTATCAATGCTTTGCCCTTACATTAGGGCTTTGCTCGATACTGGCTAATCTTATCGTATCAATTAAGATCACCGGCTTCACCGAGCCTAAGCTCACCGACCTCGTTTCTGCCCTTGTAGGCGAGATTAATTATACTTCTCGGGCTGCTAGCCTGCGCCGGTCATTCGACGCTCGCAATAGACAGTAAAACAAGCTCCTCATCCGTGAATACGCACGCTCTACCTTCGCCGACCCTCAAACCCCTACTACAACAGCCTAATCATCAATTTAATCTATCCACGCATCTATACCTGCCGACGCCTACCTGCCAACGCCATCAGGATACGACGAGCTACGCGAAATAATATGTATCCCGCTATGCATTCGCCGCATTTGACCACGTAACGCGTCTATTCATTATCAACCGACGGTATCGTCCGTCTGTACAGACCTCTGTCTACACAGCCCCGATTAAGCTACACAAATATGCTTTGACGGAACCCACCCATACTCACCCAGCCAGGAATAGCTTCAACTGGATTGAGGAATAGTTATCCTTCATACGGATATCTCCTAGGCGCATATGCTTAGAGTTAAAAGAACCCCACCTAAAAACGTTAATGCTATGGTCATGGGGGACGTTTGTAATCTCACTTAGCCTACTTCTCCTATAGAATTACTTTATCACGCTTCTATATATCTACACCTTCAGTTATGCTCTCTGACGAATGTAGATTTAGGAATTTAACACACTCAACTTGTATCCGAACAACTGTTAGAGCGGTTCCATCAGCAGTCGGTAGGTTTCCTCGGGTTATTTTAAGGGAAATGATGCTCAAACGCAACGTTAGCAGGACAGCAGATTAAGCCGCGTTCGAGGTGACGCGGCCACCGCCCCAGACATTAATACCGATATCCTCTCTCAGTTCAGAATACTAACCTAATAGGATCATTGCTGCGCGGGAAGCTCCACTAGAAGCAGTAAAAGCTTCGTTGATGCAAAGATTGAAGCAAAAAAAAAACATCGACACGCCGGCTGGATCTGGCCCGAGGCCCTAGGCGAGATATACCGACACGAATGACAACATTCGGGGTGTACTTGGATTAGCACACCACATTCTTATAATGAAAATATTTAGTTATTCAAGCTCCAGCTACCACTTTTCAAAAAAAGGGGCTCAAGGGCGACAGGCACATTACGAGGGAAGCGAAAAGGCATCGAGATGAGGCGGAAGGCATCCCGCCTCAAGATTCGCCCAGACCGGAACCCCTCGAGAGAGGTTCTCCTGTTCACATTGAACGGGGGAAGGCTCGATAACAGGCTAGCAATGTAATCCAGACGTTACCCATATAGAAACACTTACACAATGACTCCCATGCCTCGTCAGAGTTGGGTCATAAGGTTTTCCCGATAGATAAACTCTGTATGGCACCTAATGTCATTTCAGGAATCAAAGATTTGTGGTGAGGACTGGATGAATGAGTAGTTGTCTGATCTATCTCCCACTCCCTGATAAAGGGTAGTATGTGCCATAGGCATCTATGATGCCTTAGGTCACATTATTATTCTCACATGTTCTCCCACTACATCGTGTCGTTCTATGTAGTGGAAAGCCTCTGCACCACTTCCGACCTGCGGCTCACCCGCCCCACGGCCACTGCTAGGTCTCACGCAGGTCCGGAGCCGGTTCCTGGCAGGGACCGAGAGGACCCATCAGATCACACTGATACCGAAACTTATAGGGACTGGTATAAATTTGCAAGTCTTAGAGGTAGGTCTGCAATGAGGAGTTTTTTATCGTCTCGACTATTACAGCACTTTCGGGTCCGAGTGGGTTTGACATGAACCACGACTCCATGCTAGCCACAGCTCGTCGAAGAGATATGTATTAAGTTCGAATCTCTCAGAAGCACATTCTGTGATATGATAGATCTAGCTGTGAAATTGACACCTCCAAGATCTATGTCATCGCGACCAATTACCCATACTCTCAGTCCGCTGTTTGCCATTGAGACATCGCCGTATGCTTTCTTATACTCAGATTTCCAACTTTCTGTACGACGCTGCTATCAACCAAACATTGGCCGACAATTTTTCATCCTCAGCGGCGGAGGAACTTGAGAACATCTAATAGCCTTTCACTGGCTCCTGAAGAATCGTGGAAATCGCTAAAATCTTAAATATCGCATAGACGATTCGGACCCAAATGCAAAAAGATTATGTCATTTTTGAGTCCAAATTTTCGCACGAGCATATGGCGTATTAGGAAATAACAGTACAAGTCGAGTGCTGAATGGTGATAGACGGCCTTTCAGTTGGTTGATAAAATTGCACTACGCCGAGGGTGGGAAGCACCTCGATAGATTCAAAACATCATCAACAATCGCCTTAAAGCCTTATGCAGGCTTGCTTGACCCTATTCGATTACCTTTAATATAGAAAGCACGGTATAAATGCAAGAAGCAGACACAGCAAGTCTAGGTCCTATAGAAAGGGTAAATGAATCACGTCCAATCAAAATGTTTCCTGGATCTCAACCAGAAAAGTCTTGTTATTTTCATCTAGCCTCAAATGATTGACAACGGCTTATTTCAGGAAACAAATGTAAAAGATTATCGCTTACTGTAATAACAGAATCGCTGACTGCATGAAGGAGCGGTCTGTCGGATGACCAAGGCTTTTGTCATATATAAGACTATTTAAGGGCAGGATAAGCAAGAGAAACCCACTTTCTCTTTTGAATTACCCCTATGTGTTCTCCTCCCTTATGGATCTAACTCCTTGGGCCCGTGTGTTTTACCAAGTCTGCGTGGTCAGACAGCCATCGAGTCATTCCCACTTCAAAACTTCCAACCGCTTTTAGACAGTGGAAAACTCTGTATTTCAAGTTCTCCCTAAACAATGTCCGATACAGGTTTGGAGATCCGTAGCTGCCTTCAGCCAGATTTTTTTGGCGATGGCTTCGTGACGCTGTAGCGGGTAATCAAGGCTCATGGCCACGTAAGCTTAAAAGTGCGCAGTTCTACATGCCCCAGAATGTTGGACTAGTCCAATTTAGCACATATTCATGGCTTTGCCGTCTATTATGACAAACTCCTTGCTTTTGAAGCCTCATTTAGATCTTTCACAGGTGTCTCCAAATGACTTGCCCTTTCAGCTACTTAAGGAAATACAGGTACTCAATCGCATCTTCAGTATAGTTACGCATAATTCAACCAGTAATCAGCTCTTAAATGAGCACTAGAAGAGTCACTTCTTTCTACTGGCGCCATTGTAGTACTTAGGGTTCTTTCGTTCGTGTCTAGTGCATGCCGCATGTGATTCATCCTTCTCTGAAGCAGTTGTTGGGACACATATCAGGCTATGGTCGTGTAACGTATCTGGATTCAAGGGGCTTTCAGTTATTCTTCTTTTCCATTTTTTTTTTCCATTGGCAGCTCTATTGGTGAAACCCTAAAATACCCACCATTCCCCAAGAAATTACCTGCGGAAAGATCAGGAACATGAACACTCGAAACCGTTCCTTCTCTTAATGTCACGGTTCTTTCATCCTCTTAAATGCAGATCGCTGCTCCATCATTTGGAGATTTAATTGAAGAAAAGAACTCACTACAACGCCTTTTCCTCCTTTGACTCATTCCTTCAAGAAATCGCAACACCAGTGGCCAAAGCCGAATTCTTGATTTTGAAACATTCCGCTGGGCAAGTCCAGCTTCCACTCAATTCGTCGTCTTCTAATCATGTAAATTCCAGATCCCATACTTCGTAACGTCACTTCCATACCTGGCTCGTTCCGATCTTATCTTGAAGTTGACGAGAGAGGGGTATCGACTTCTTGTGCTTCATACTCGATCTGTTGTCTTACAACGCTTCGCGGATTGTCACGCCAGATTACTTGTCAATGTTTTTCATCCAAAAAAACATGTCAGTATGGTATTACTTGGCCATATTCACCGCGATGTGGCTGGTTTATCAATATCTGAAGCCTATTCCAAAGGTCCCCGGACTTCCGGTAATCAATCGTGCAGACCGCTGGGACTTTTTCTCGATCAAAATGAAGCGACGTTTCTTGAATCATGCCAGCTCACTCATGAGAGAAGGCTTTGAACAGGTAAGTTGCATTGGGACATTTCTCCGTTACTTGGAATGCGTTTCTCAGAGCTTGCAGTCACCGAGCGGATTTACGATCATGTCTGTAAATGGGCCTAAATTGGTCCTATCCCCAGACTATGCAGATGAGATCAAGAATGACTCACGGTTTTCCTTGGAGGACGCTGGACTGAGGGTAAGCAATCATTATCTTTCTGATTGAGTGTGCGAAGGTGAGTCAGCCTCAAATGCTTATGTCTCAAAATAGGACTATCCCCGCAGTATTGACTGCTTGGAGCCTATCAGTGGTGGAAATTTGCAGGTACTTAGGGGATGCATAGCGAGGATTACAAGAAATCTCGGTAATAACTGGGCCGTGAGTATCGATAGTGTCCATGTGTGCTAATACTGTGGGATTGGAAGCCTCCTTGACTGCGCCTCTATCGGACGAGACAAGAAAATCGTTCCAAGATCATTGGACAGACAACCCCGGTTGGTACTATTATCCTGGGCTGACTGACAGGCCCTCATAACGCGGCCGCTGGCTAATTCACGTGATACTAGACTGGCATCCTGTCCCACTAGGTAGCGGCTTACAAAGGATGGTATTGCGGATCTCCGGTCGCGCCTTTCTGGGGCCGGAGGTTTGCGGCGACACAAGATGGATTGATGCAACTATGGGATATCTGGAAATGGGGGTTAGAACTGCTTTCGTCCTCCAGGTCTTTCCTCGTTTCCTATTTCCGCTGCAAAGATGGTTCCCTCTGTGTCGGAAGGTCCGAAAGCATATTGACATGACAGGAACGATTCTCCGTCCCTTAATTGACAGCCGTCGTGCAGACAGAAAGTCAGCACAGGATGCCATTAGTTGGTTTGATGAAGCAGCCGCTGGAGAGCCGTACAACCCTGTGTTTTCTCAGCTCTCGCTCTCCTTCGCATCAACTCACACCACCGCTGATACAATGACCAAAGTCATAATTCACCTCGCTGAAAATCCAGCTGTCGTTATAGACCTTCGGAAGGAAGTTATCGACGCAATAGCTAAAAATGATGGATTGACAAAGTCCGCTCTATCTCAAATGAGACTATTGGACAGTATTTTGAAGGAATCCCAGCGGCTGGAACCTTTGGCATCAGGTATTCCCCACGCTTTCCGTTTTGTTCGAATATTGTACTCTAACAGCTTGCTGATATGATCTTCCTTCCGTGAGCAGCAACGATGAACCGGGTGACATGTGAAGACGTGACCCTTTCGAATGGCCTATGGATTCCACGGAACATGTATGTGTTGGTGTCGGGGCATCGCATGAGGGATCCTACCCTATACCCGGACCCGGGTAAATTTGACGCATACCGGTTCGTCAAGATGCGCGAGAGCGGCAATAGAAAAAGTGATTGTGCATACACAGCAGCGACGGTGGACCACATGGGATTTGGCTACGGGAAGCACTCTTGCCCTGGCCGATTCTTTGCCGCCCATGAGGTAAAGATTATTCTGTGCCACTTGATCTTGAAGTATGACATCAAATTACCCGAGGATCAAGCACGTACGTATTTGCTTGCCGGATTCTTCACATCCGCTGGACCCAGGAACAAGCTTCTTGTTCGCAGGCGCGTCGAGGAAATTGCACTATAAAGCTTACTGCTTGCTCGGTAGTAGCGAAAGCAATCTCTATATCATCAAATAGACTGAGGAGTTCAGTGCGCTTCTTTATCCGATCAATAGCTTAACATACTGACCCCCGCGTACCTATACTCTAGTTGTGAGTGGTGCGAGGGGCTCCCCTATTTCTCCGCCTCCGTATTGGCCTCTACCCTATTGTCAATCGTAGTGACCACCTTACTATAATTCTTCGCCCGATCATTAGCCCGGCGTGCGTGCTTCCGCGCCACTACGTACGTGTCTATTCGCGGTCGGCCTATCCCATGGGGGTAATTGTGTCAGCATGAATATCCCCCGGCATGAAGGAGAATGTGTTATTCCGTATGTTTGTTGGATTTACATATCTGTTCCGATAACGTGGTCGGTAAGCGAGTGAGCCATGTAAGCGAGTGAGCCACCTAACCACTTTTTCTACACTCTACATATATTAAGTAATGTAGTGGGAGAACTGGTGACATAATGAGCCTATGTGTGGCCTCAGGCATGATTTAATGTCTGCAGTGCATAGTACATCTCCAGACACACTTGGAGAGAGACAAGTCATCTACCTAATTCATTCAGGATTCACCCAATTTCTTCTATTCATAATGCAGTATTAAGATTATCTAGCAAGGCCGCAACAGGGTATCAGCACGGCCTCGTCCAGCGTCCTCTACACCAGACAGGCAGTGTGTGTGTGTGTATGTTGTCCAGTCTGTATCGCCAGACAGCCATCGAGCCGTTCCCATTTTATATTGGCGTCCCCAAGAAGGCTCTTTTGTTAAGGTATATCACTATACAAAGAAACATATACCTAAAGGGTGGGGATCGCGTTTGACCCTGAAGACTATAAGACTGTCTGAGACCTTAAGCGGGAGACTATATTCACCAGCGATTATAACGGCATATATTCGGTGCGGATAGCCGAGAGTAACTAGCCGAGATATAGTGCTCCCCTAAATATACTTAGTTCCTATAAGGAATACTATCGGACTAATATATAGGAGATACGGCGGTACTTCAGATATTACTAAAGATATAGCCTATCTAATTAAATATAGTAGCCGAGTAGGGATACCTAGGTATCCAATAGCTATAGTACTCTACCACACAGATAATATTAATATAAATAATTCTATATTATAAATTATAAGAAGAGGAAGCGGCCTTAATAAGAAAAAAGGAAGAAGAAAAAGAATTATTAAAGAGATATAATTAAAAGTAAAGCGCATAGAGTTAGCATTTCTTTTTGGCCGAAAAGCTATCTCTTTTCTATAAGTAAGTAATAGCGTATAATATATAAGGTATAATAGCTCCTAAGCTATCGGACCCTAAGGGTATTCTAACCTTTATAGATTACTATAAACCTATACTAAAAAGATCTGAATTAACCCTAAGTAGTGATAATTATATAGATAATATAGATTATAAGTACTAGCCACTATTATCCTTAGCTAAACCGCCTAGTAAGGTATAGGCTATACCTTATCCTTATATAGTTTAAGTACCTTATTTCTTTATATTACTAGCTCTAGGATCCCTAGGAGCACTATACTTTAATAAGACTAATATCTCCGAGTTCCTAGAGAAGCTATAGAATATATATTTTAGATATAGCGTTAAAAGCGATAAAGATATTATAGGTATATTATCTTAGTATTACGCGAAGGTCACTAAGTCTTAGGTAAAGAGATAAGACTCCTAGCTAAGAAAGGACTAAAATATCTTTAAGGAAGCCTTCTTAGAGCACTTCTATAATAACGATAGCGAGTAATAAAGGTATATAAAGATATACCTTTAATCCCTTATATAGGTTAAGCGGATAATATAGGATAATATTCGCTTATATCTTAATAAGTTCGATAATATCTCTAGCCGTATCTACTTAAAAGGCGAGATTAGCGATATAGATAAGGTAAGTCTCCTTATCTAAGGACTTTTATAGTAGCTTAAGGAGAAGATTATTAGAAGGTATTCTCGTAAGTAGTTACCGAGAGAGACACTAATTACTTATTCGGAGGTATATATAGTAATTAGGTTATATATTAGAGAGAAAACTAATATTTAGAGAATTCTTTCGACTATTAAATCTTCTCTAAGTAACCCTAAGCGTAACTAATAACTTTATCCCCTATAGTAGTCGCTTACTACTATTATAAAGCCTTAGGAAAATTATTAACCGACCGTTAGTTAGGTCTAGCGTTAGGATAAATAGGATAGGAAGCTTAGAGAAATATAATTATAGATAGAGGCACTTACTCTTAAGCTATAGGCTAGCTAAGATATAAGGAATAACGTTTAGTACGAGCCTAATAGAAAAAACCCTTCGAATAGCCTCGGCGCTAATCCTTTAATAAAATACTAAATATATAAAGGTACCTACTTCTCTTGACTAAATTAATATCTATCTATTCGCGATATATAAAGCTATAGTATTATATATTATAATACTATAAATCAGATAGTTTTAGGCACTATTAAATAACTAGGCCCGAGACTATATATAATCCTAGGATAATTAAACTAAGAAGCCTTCTAAGCGTAATATAATAACTAAAAGAAATAAGAGTCGTATAGAGTATTCGTGTAGCTAACTAATAATATCGCTTATATTACTCTTCCTGCTCCTACTTATCTTATAAACCTAAATATACCTATCCACTTTATTATTATTACGCTTCTTAGTACTACGCCTATATAGGAGAAGCTCGAGGAAAGCGAGGATAAGGAAGTAATTATCTTATTTAGTGCTATTAACGCTATTAAAGGCTATCCTATAAAGCGCCGTAGAGACTAGGATATTACTAGAATAAGGAACTCCTAGACTAACAGATTCTAACTATATATTACTAATACTAATAATAATAATATAATATAAGACAGATAGCCTAAAGAGACTTAAACTATATAGCCTTAGTAGGAAGCTACTCCGCTATATAGCTATATTCCGAGAAGAGTCCGCGGCCCTATTAACCTAGATATTACGTAGCGAAGATCTTAGCTTTCGGATATTATAATATAAAAGATATAGGAAACCGAGATTACCCTTATAATCGGTAAGCTCGCTAGGTCTACTCCGAAGATATACGCTAAAATAGATAAAGGTATTAGTATAGATATTATTAACTAATATATTAATAAGGTACTCTCGTAAGTATATACTTAGTCGAACTTCGTAGATATCTCTCTCTCGAAGGAAGTAAAAGGTAAGATTAACTAAATTATAAGAGATATTACTAAGTATTATTAGGAGATAGGTAGTCCTATCAATATAAAAGATTTAGCCGCGAAAGTAAGCTACTAGAATACCTAGATAGCAGATATCTCGCCCGTATCTTCTCCTTATAAATACTTTAGAGACCTCCTATTTATAATAGTTTCTATCGGCGGATAAGTAGTTAAGGTATATATTAATATTAGATTGTTAGTTAATATTATCTGTAGAGATATCACCTAATCTATATAAGCGTAGATACGGCTAAAGCTAAGGCTAAAGCTCGTTCCTATTAATAGCGATAAGTTCGTAGTTAGTGCTTATATTAAGAATCTGCTAATTAATATCGGTAATATTATAACTAAGTTATATATTATAGTTAGGGATAGTTATACGAACGATCTCTTACTTAGTAGGATATAGGCGAAAGACGCACTACTATAAATCTCTGAGAAAGGTAATAGGAGGGTTATCTGCACGATATCGAGCTAAGACAGAAGGAAGCGCGTTAGCTTTAAAGTGTATTATTCACGGAATAGGGGATCCTTCTATAAAGACTAACTTTAGCCCAAAGAATATAAGACTTTTGGTTTAAAAGCCTAAATAGGTATTTAGTAGCCGCCTTAATACCTATCTCTATCCTAGCGGCCGAGTCTACCGAGACTATTTATTTAATAGTACTATCGAATACTATAAATATAATAATCACTAAAGAAGAAATAATAAAAATACACAGAAAGTAAGAAAATACAAAAATATAGCGATAAGAGAAGAAGAATTATATAGGGGAGACAAATTATAGGGTAAATAATTTTTTGGCCAAAAAGATCTCTCCTTATCTTAGTGCCTTACAGATCTAATATCTAATAGATCTTTATTATTGCCAGAAGACTATAGCTAATATTACCTATTTTAATAAAGTTAAGTACCGTATATCCTTTTCGGACTTTATTATATTAGAGCTAGGATTCCCTAAGATAAGACTACCTAATACCCTTCGATCGAGGAACTATATCGCCTACCGCGCGTAAGTTAATACCCTTTATAAGAGGAAAGTAAATAAGATATACCTAATTAATTTATCTGATTCCGATAAGTCGATCCCCGTTAGTAACCCTAACTAATAAAGGATATATCTCGAAAAGTACTATATAAAGTACCGTATCGCTAATACTTCCTCTGAATTCAATAACTTACTATAACCTTATATAGTAACTATTATAAGAGGGGCTAGGCTCACGCCTAAGAGAGAGGAAATACTACTTATTAATATAGCTTTTCTCCCTAGAGAGAGACTGTTACTATATAAGCTATTATTTAAGAGGGAAAGGGGTACTTATATAGTCTTAGGAATATATAAGTCGTATTCGTAAAGAAGTTATACTGGCCTAGCGTATTAAGACTATACCCTATAAAGCTTAGTAGTATCCTAACTTTAAGATTCCCTATACTCTCGCGCCCTTTATTAATAAGATACTCCGAGAAAGACTATAAAAGGGTGTCCTCGAGCTATACGATAGTCCGTACAGAAATCTATAGTTCTTAGTAAAAAAAAAAGGCGTAGGTAAGTATTAGTTAATTAATACTATAATACTAATTAATAAGGTTATAAAGCGAGATATAAATATGCCCCCAGACGTTAATAAGTTCGCTAAAGAATTTATAGGACTTATACTAGCCTCTTTAGTTAACCTCTATTCCGGATATAATTAGATTACCCTCACAGAAGAAAATAGGGACCTCACTACTATTTAAATCCCGCTAGGCCTTTTACGATAGA